AGGAGACAGGGAGACCGTGTGGGGTGGGGGTCTCCCTGAGTCAGCTCCCAGCAGACCTTTGTGGTGGCTGCAGCCGGGGCTGGCTGGACGGTTCAGGTGGAGACGCGGGCCTGGCCCCCTAGCTGGGGCGGGGGGACTCCAACTCCAGGGCCCGCGTTTCTCTCGGGAGCACCTGGTCCCAGGAGCAGTGAGAGCGAACGAGCCCCCCCCCCCTTGTCACGGCCTCCCGCTCCTGCTGGGAGCCCCAGTCCCGCCATGCATGGGGCCTGAGGGCTGCCCAGGGAGGCCCTGGCTGGGCCCGCCTTCCTGCCCGGGACCCAGCTCCGTGCGCTGCCCTCCGGGGCCGCACCAGCCGCCCGAGCACCGGTCCCCAGAGGCCGTCCTAGCTCCCACCTGCACAGACTCCCCGGCCCGCTGTCCCTGGCTCTAATTACCTGGCCCCCTCTGCCGGCCCGAGCTGGGGCCCCGGGGTCGCGCCCAGGCATGTCACATTCCTGCACACTCCCAGGCCCGCTGTCCTGCCCGCCGCAGCAGCCGGGCCGCCCGGGGCCTGCAGCTGCTGGATGGGGGAGTCTGGACCCAGCCCAACAATGCCTCAGGCCTCCCAGCTGTGCTCCCCCCAAGTGGGTGATTTATTGCTTGGGGTCCCCCAGGCCTGGAGGAGCTGGAGCTCTGATGGCCACGCAAGGGAAGGACTCCCCAGCGGGGGGCTCTCCTGCTCCGGGCGGGGCCTGCTGACTGTGGGGGGCAGAGCCTTCTCTGGAGCCTGGGCAGTGACCCTGGCCAGTGATATCTGGACAAGCGTCACTCTTTAGGGAAGACCCTGTTTTCCCATGGGGTCGCAGACCTCCAGGAGGTCTCCCTGCTTCTGGGGCCTGATGGGGCAGCTGCAAAATGGACAGCTCTAGCTGAAGGGGCCAGTGGGGACCCCAGCCCTGCCTCGCCCTGCGGGCCACCAGAAGGTGCCGGCCAATGTGGCCCCGCCCCCGCCCATGGGGTGGCAGTCCCTGTCTCCGGAACCAGAGCCTTTGGGGTCTCTCACTGTGTGAGTCTGGGGACCTATAGCTGCCCCCAGAGATCCCCTCATCCCCCTACCACCAGCACCCCAAGATGCAGCCTGGGAGCAGGCACGAGGCCTCCCCTGCCGGGAAGAGGGACCTTGTGGCAGAGAGTGGGGTGCTGCCCTGGCACTGAGGGAGGTGAGACCAGGTGGATAGCGAGCTCCGATGTCCAGCCCCACGGAGGGGCGACTGCCGGGCAGGGAGCCCCATGCGGGGGCTGTGGGGGGTCTGGCTGCGGCTCTGCCCTGCGTGTCCAGCTCGCCCTCTTCAGGAAGTGTAGGAAAGGGGAAGACTGGAGGTGAAAGCAGCTCCCTCGCGTCCGCTGTCCCCCACTCCCTCGAAGGGCAAGATGCCCTGAGGACCAGGGAGCACCTTCTGGTGGCGGGAGCACCATCACAGCTGGTGTCTGAGATCAGGGCAGGGCAGAGGTATGCCGCCCCCCTTAGCCCGCTGCCAGGCACACATCCCACTGCCAGCTGCTGACGGGACGTGCCCAGGGCTCTCCCGGCCCCACAGGGCTCCATGTTGCGCTTGACTCCCGTCAGCCAAGGACTTGGAGAGGCCACCCCCACCTCTGCGGGGTCGGTGAGCGGCCCCGGGGTGTGGGGCCGGCGCCTAAACCCGGCCTCTCGCTTAGAGGGCCGGGCCTCGAGCGCCATCTGCTCTCTGAGCCTTGGTTTCCCTCTGAACACGGAGAGGGTGGCAGTTCAGGGCTAGGCAGGAGCGAGCAGGTACCCTGTCTGCCGGGCCGGTAAGCCCTGGCCCGGCAGGCCCCTTGCCAGCCGGGAGGCCGTGCGCTCCCCAGGGTCCCCCGGCCCCCCTGCGGGGCAGCTGGAGACCAGGAGAAAAGGGACCAGTCCTGGGACTTACGTGCTGCCTGGTGGGGAGCCGCAGTGCCACCCCACCCCCGCCCCGGGGACGGGCCGCGCTCATGGCGGGGCTGCTCTGGGGCAGGGCTCTCCTCTCGGGGCCCTGCCTGCATGCTCCCCCCATTCTTCTCTGGGGGGAGCCAGCTTCTCTGGGGGGAGCCCATGCCTTCATCCGGGCTGGCTCCCTGAAATTTGGGAAGACCCAAGTGATGGAGGGACTCGCCCCTGGCAAAACAGCACGCTCCCCACTAGGGTGGGGACTCGGGTCCTGGCTGCGAGCTGCCGCCGGGCAAGTGGGCGCCAGCACCCGGCTGAGACCAACATGCCAGCACCAGACCTGGCCGAAACCGGCGCCCCCCGCCCCGCGCCCTAGACAGCCAGGCAGCCCTCCCCGGGGCCACGGGAAAGCCGCCTGCTCAGAGCAGCCCCTGCGGTGGCGGGTGCCCAGAGCTGGCTCAGAGGTGCGTCCTGCGCCCAGCGTGGCACACTCCGGGGGGCCGGCGGGGCTCCGCAGCTCCGGTGCTCGCCCGGCGGGCAGGGGCGTGATGGGCTGCGGGCCGGACCTCGGCTGCCAGCGCCCTTTCTCCTCCCCTTCCCGCCTGCCTTCGGGGGATGCGGGAGTGCAGGCCGCCGGGCAGGCGAGCAGGCAGGAGGACAGCCCAGGGAGTAGGTGGGAGCAGGTAGGGAGGGCCCCCCAGGAAGCTGGGCGGTGGAGGGGAGGCCACTAGGCGCACGCCTGGGGGCGCAGGCCTGGTGGGGGGGGGAGCCTGGCTTCAATGCCGTGAACTAGGAGGTCCTCACACGGACCTTCCAGCTGCGGTCTCAGGCGAGCGGGGAGCACTGAGGCTGCGCCCAACCCCAGGGTCCAGCTCTGTCCTCTGCCGGGGGCCCAGGCTCCTTGGAAAAGTGATCAGTTCTGGGACGACACCGGCCAGGAGCGGCTGTCGATGGAGAAAGCACAACGTGCTCAAAGAGTGGGGGCCATGTGGAAGGACGGGGGGCTGGCTGAAGGGCCAGCTCTGGGACAGAGCGGTGAGAGAAATGGCCGGTAGCCCAAGTCGACCTGCGCCCACGCGTCCAGGGAGCCGGGCGAATCCGTCTGCAGTTGGGTCAGATTCGGGACAGGGAGTCCAGCCGCCGGCAAAGGGGAAAGGCAGCCGCCAGCCAAGAGGGAGAGACGCGGGGCAGGGTGGCAGCCGGCAGGCACGGGCCCCTGCCAGGAGGCCGAGAACAAAAGCACCCCTCCTCACAGAGCGCACCGAGCGCATGAAGACTGTGGTGGGCAGGGCCTCCCGGGGGCGCAGGGTTGAGTCTCAGGCTATGGAGCTGACCGCAGCCACTGCAGCCTGAGTCCATCCCCGGCCAGGGAGTGACCCCCAGGGCGCAGCAGACCTCTCCTGTCTCCCCGCCGCTCCCCTCAGCCATGTGTCTCAGTGGATCCGGCTATTCTGCTCCCCACTCTGTCTCTGGGGAGTCCTTTCACCGCCTGTACCCCAGCTCTTCTACATATGAATAAACCTTAAGAAAAAAGGCAATGGTGGGGCCTCCCCTGGTGGCGCAGGTGGGTGAGCGACACTCTGTGAAGCTGCCTGCAGCCTCTGCAGCGCTGGTTCCATCCTGGCCCGCCGGCGAGGGTCCCACATGGCGCGCAGACCGCTCCTGTCGCGCCCGCTGCTCCCCTCAGCAGTGCATTTCGTCAGTCTGCCTGTTCTGTTCCCCGCTCTGTCTCTGGTGAATCCTCTCACCCTCCCGCGCATCTGGCCTGCACCCCGGTTCTTGTACAAATAAATAAATCTTTTTTTTTTTTTAAACCTATATTCTAACAAAAAAAAAAAAAAAAAGGAAAAAAGGCAATGGTAGCAGAGAAATGGTGTCCCAAGGATGTGCGCACCCTCACCCCGGGACCTGGCAAGGGGGAATTTGCAGACAGGATGAGGGTACGGACCTTGAGGTGGGAGATTATCCAAGATCCCCCGGATGGGTTCAGACTAACCACCACCCGTGTTCTGAAAATTGTCTGAGAGCCATGTGAGTGGGAGCCGCCCGCCCGGCCCCTGCTGGCTTGAAGACGGCCTTTCCCAGCCCTGCCTCCAAGTGTCCATTCTGCGGACGGGTTGGGGAACACGAGGTGTGTCCCCCAGCCTCCTCCCCAAAGCCCTCCCCCCGCCACTTCCATTTGTCTCTCAGGGCCCAGCCCGTAAGACCTTCCCTCTAGACGCCCTCCGGATTTCTCTGTTCTGTCCGTGTTTTCCGCCGTCTCCCCTGCTCCTCTAATCAGCTGGTACGTTCTCCCCGGGGCTCAAGGGCCCGAGAGGCACATGCCCAGGTCTCCCCACCGCTGTGTGCCCTAAGCCGGGTGCCCCAACCCTGTCCCTGGGTGTTTCAGGCGAGACGTCGGTGCTAACCCCCGGGCGGGCAGCGTCCAGCGCCACAGGCAAGGCCGGGCCTGGGCCGGGCCGCCGAGTTCGAGCCTCGAAGTCGACCCTAAGGGGGACCAGCCGGAAACGCGGCCTGAAGACCCCGCTCCTTTCCAAGGCGCAGCGCAGCCCTTTCTCTCCGGCCTCCCCGCGCCTCCGGACGGGGCCCCGCGGGGCGAGTCTCGGCCCCCGGCCCCCCCCCCCCCCACCCACCCCGAGGCGGGGCTCCCGGCCCGGCTCCCCCGGCACCCGCGCGGCGCTCGGGCAGGTGCGCGGCCGCCCGCCCAGCCCGGCCCGCCCCCAGGCCCGCGCCCGCCGCTCATTGGCCCCGCCCGCCCGCCCGGCCCCGCCTCCCGCGGGCGCGCCCCCGCCGGGCCCCGCCCGCCCGCCGGCCCCGCCCCTCCCCGGCCCCGCCTCCGCGGGCGCGCCCCCGCCGGGCCCGCTCCCGTGGCGTCACTTCCGGCGGCGGCGCGCGGAAGGCGGAAGTGTGTGTGCGCCGCGGCGGCGGCGAGCCCGGCCGCTGTCCCTGGGCCCCAGGCGGCGCCTCCGTCCTCCGGGTCAGGGCGCGGGTGGCGGGGCCGGCGGCGAGAGCCCGCGGGAGGATGCCGTGAGGCGGCCGCCGGGCCTGGCGGGCTGGAGGCCGCCTCCTCCGGGCAGCCGCCCGTCCTTCCGGGTCCGGGCCCCCCGAGCGGCGCGATGGCCGCGGCCGCCGCCTCCAACTGGGGCCTCATCACGAACATCGTGAACAGCATCGTGGGCGTCAGCGTGCTCACCATGCCCTTCTGCTTCAAGCAGGTGAGCCCGGCGCGGCGCGCCTCGGGGTGTTCAGTGCCGCGGCGGGCGTTGGGACTGCGGACACCGGCGGCGGGTCCACCCAGCTGGGTTTCCTGGGCGAAGTCTGAGCGTCCGGGGTGCGCGGTGGGAGGAGGTGCCGCACCCCCTTGGGGCACAGCTGCCAGCCCTGAGCGCCGGCCGGGCGGGCTGCCAGGGCAGGAGGCTGCCAAGGCCGGTCTGTGATGAGCCCGAGCGGGCACCAGACCAGCGGATCCCGCATCTAGAGCCTCCAGCGCATGGGGGTGAGAATGGGTTTAGGGTGCCCGTGTGAGGTGTCCGTCGGCTGAGGCTGGTGGCCGTGTCAGCGGGAGGACAGGGACTCTGCCTTGCCGGCCAGTTCCGCAGCCCCTGGAGCAGCGTCTGTGTGGGCATTGCGAGTCCCGCTGTGCAGTGTGGCCCCCTCCGGGTGTTTCTGGAAGGACTACATGTCCCAGTGTGCACTGCGACCAGCCTGGCCCAGGACTGCATCCTGGGAGGTGGAGTTGGCAGTGCCCCAGTGCAGAATCTGCACTTGGGTGCTGCCGCCCGTGACCGCTAGCCTGCTCAGTGCCGTGGGCGGGCTGTGGTGGGTGCCTGGGGAGGTGCTTCCTGAGCTTCCCAGTGCAGAGGGGCGGGGTGGGCAACAGGAAGCCTCTGCCCTGGCAGTGCTTGGCCCCTGTGTCCACGTGGCACAGCCCGAGGTGCAGCCAGGGAGCAGCCTGCCCCCTCCTCGCGCACATGCCCTGGTTCTGGGCTGGCATGTGTCCTGGGGCCACTGCTGTCGCCCTGAAATGCCCTGAAGTGTCCTGAGAGCCGCCACTCCTCAGCCCTGCCCACGGCGGCTCCCGGGTCTGCCGCCCCATGGTTCCCGAATGCCCTAAGGGTGGACAGCGTGTCTGGCTCTCTCTGCTGACTGCCCCTCCTGGCCCGGTGTCCGGCCACTCACCAGCCATGGACAGGGCTGTGGGTCAGCACTGTGAGCCCTGGTAGACTTATTCTGTGTGTGCCTACGGTTTCTTGTCAGCTCTGGTGCGGCCACCAGGGGTCTGCTTAACACGGGAGAGGGGCGCACCTCTTCCTGTTCTGCTCCTTCCAGAATGTGTTTATCACCCTCAGCTGAGCCACAGGGGAGTGTGCAGAGGATGGGGGGCTGGTGAGCCACCCAGGAGGCCAGTTGGGAGCGGTGCCCCTGCTGGTCTTTCACGTACACATTTTAAGTCCCTAGGCAGCATTTCTGGCTGCCACACTGGACCGTGGTCCCCACCGGGCGGGGGCGGGGCAGCAGGAAGGTCCCCCAGCCGTGCCTGCGCTGGCTGCGTGTGACGTGGCTGCTTCCTCCCCCAGTGTGGCATTGTCCTGGGTGCCCTGCTCCTGGTATTCTGCTCCTGGATGACACACCAGTCCTGCATGTTCCTGGTGAAGTCGGCCAGCCTGAGCAAGCGGAGGACCTACGCTGGTCTGGGTGAGCGCTGCGCCTGGGCAGCTCCCAGGCCGGCTGGGCCTCTTGTTTGCCTTCACTTCTCATTCTAAGACTTAATGCCCTTGGGCCTCCCTGGGGGCGCACAGGGGTTAAGACACAACCTGTGGAGCTGTCCACAGCCTCTGCAACATGAGTTCGGTCCCCGGCCAGGGAGCACCCACATGGCACAGCAGACCTCTCCTGTCTCCCCGCTGCTCCCCTCAGAGTGGGTTTCAGTGGATCCGCCTGTTTTGCTCCCCGCTCTGTCTCTGGGGAGTCCTCTCACCCCTGCGCCTCTGGCCTGCACCCCAGTTCTTGTATGCATAAATAAATAAATCTTTAAAGTCAAACAAAAAAAACTGTTAATGCTCTTTTGAAGACAGTTACACAGTCACATGCTTCAGAAGTGCATTGAGGGCCTCCCCGGGGCTTGGGAGTCAGTCTCAGGCTGTCACTGCTGCGGCCTGAGTCTGATCCTAGCCAGGGAGTGACCCACACGGCGCAGTAGACCTCTCCTGTCTCCCTGCCGTTCCCCACTCTGTCTCTGGGGAGTCCTCGCACCCCCATACCACTGGCCTGCATCCCAGTTCTCCTGTGCATAAATTAATATATGCATAAACAAATAAATCTTTTTAAAAAGTTGCGTTGTCACAAGGGGGCCGAGGTGAAACCCCCTCCTGCCTCCTGTCTTCCCCTCAGGTCAAGGCGCATGGACGGGCGCCCTCAACTCAGGTGGGCCCGAGCTGCTCACGCTCTTCCCCTGACTGCTGTCTGCCTCCCGTGCTTAGAGCCTGCTCAGATTTCCTTCCCTGCTCCCAGAGCCCCTGCCCTCGGCTCCCCCCCATCCCCCCGGGCGTCCTGGCCTTTCCAGGCTTCTCTTCTGAGGCTCTCAGGATGCCTGCTGGCCAGATCAGGGGCCTCACCCGGCCTTCCTGATGCTGTAGGCCATGAGCTCGCTCTTTTTACTGCCCCTTCTCCCAGGGCGGTGGGCCTTTGGGCTCCACCCCACATCCATTCTGGAGAGACTGCCCCGGGCTGTGGGGGTGAGTGTCCGCCCAGCACTGTGGCCTGGACTCGGGCGGACTGGGGCGGCCTGCGCTGGCCCCAGCTCCCAGGGCGGGTCCAGAGGCGGCGGGAGAGGAGGTGCGGGGAGGCCGAGCACCTGCGCCACCCACGCGCCCCGACTGGCTGGCTGGCGGGGTGGGGGGGCTGGCTTCGCTCTGGCCCCAGAAGCGGGGCGCATCCTTCTCTTTTCGGAGTAGCCTGGTGCTGTGGACTCTCCTTTGGAGTCACTTGAGGAGGTGAAAGGCCCCACAGCCGCTGCCCCGTTCAGTTTGGGATGCGCTTCTGGCCGGTCCCTCCCTCCGCACCAGGCCGCAGCTGTGGGCGGCCCCTCTCCCCGCCAGAGGTGTCTCTAGGAACACCCTGCAAAGTGCTGGCTGTGCCCTGAAGGAGACGTGACCCTAGGCGGACGGCTGCGGCCCTGTCTGACCATTCCTAGAAAGCCCGGAGCAGACCGGTCGGCCCTGACGGCGGGCGGGCGGGCGGGGTGCCTCCGTCAGGGGGTGACTGCAGCCTGTTTTGTTTCTGCTGCAGGGAGGTCGGGCCACAAGGCCTGGGGCAGCTCGCATGCTGGGTACTCCCAGGGCCCCTGCCTGCCTGCAGCAGCTGCTGTCCTTTGTCCTGTCTGGCCCCTCGGCTCCGGGACCCCACTCGGGCAGGAGCCGCCACTAGGGAGCATCTTCCTGACCCTGCAGTTCAGCTGCCAGCCCAGCCGGCCCTCACGGAGGTGCTGGCGGGTCTCATGGCGGCAGACGCCCCCGCTGGCTGTGCCGTGCCACAGAGGGTGCCTGAGAGCATGGCGCCCGCCTCCCACGCCTGCCGTCCAGGTTGCCAGCCCGCGCCCTCCTCAGGCTGCCACTGGCCTTGGGGCGTGAGGCTGAGTAGCTCGGTCCCTCCACCCCGCACACCCAGCACGTCCCACCGGCTCGGGCAGAGCTGCCTGCTGACAGTGGCCACGGATGCTGGGGTCTCCTGGGGGGACAGCGTGGCCTTGGGCTGCCGTCCTGGCTTGTGATGGGCGTGGCCGGCTGGGGTCCGTCAGATGAGCCCTGAGGGGGGTGGGGGTGGGGTCTGCCCTTAGGACCACCACCCTTGCAAGGGCCTTTGGGCTCATCATGCCCACTGGAGCGCTTTTTCTGTTCTCCCGAGCCCCGGGGCAGGAGTGCCCCGGGTGCCTGGGTGCGTGGCTCACACAGCGCTCGCTGCTTGCTCCTGGGAGACCGGAACCCCCTGCCCTGGCCTGGCTGGACCGGGGCTGTGGGGAGGCAGGGGTACAGGGCTCTGCCAGGCCCTGGGAGCGTATGCTCCCTCACCAGCTGGGGCAGGTGCTGTGGGGTGTGTGGGCCAGACACCCACCCCAAGGGGCTTCCGGCGCTCATGTCCTCCCGTGAAGGGCCCATGTGGAAGGGTCTGCCTCGTGCCTTTTTTTTTTTAAAGATTTATTATGCATACCAGAGCTGGGGTACAGACCAGAGGGGTGTGTGTGGGGGTGAGAGGATTCACCAGAGGCGGAGCGGGGAACAGAGCAGGCAGACTGACGAAATCCACTGCTGAGGGGAGCAGCGGGCGAGGCAGGAGAGGTCTGCTGCACCGTGGGGGTCACTCCCTGGCCGGGGATCGAGCTCAGGCCAGAGGCTTCATACAGCTTCATAGCGCTAAGACTAACCCCTGCACCCCCAGGGAGGCCCCCTCGTGCGCTTTTGAATTCACAAGTGCACACGTGAAAGCTCTTGGGTGGGCTGTGAAATTGCCCCTGCACACACATGGGTGTGCGCACACGCACACGCAGGCCTGGCTCTCCCTGCAGCCTCCCTGCGCTGCCACAGGGGGCCCGGCTGCTCGGAGCCATGGTTTTCTGGCCTCCTTTCCTGGCCTTTCCCTCTCTCTCCTCTCCGTGTGAACACACTGCCCGTGTCTCCCGCTCGCTGCCTCTTGTCCTCGCGGCTTCCGCTGGGGGTGGTTACGGGACAGCACCCCGCACCCCCAGCCACACCAACCTCATTTTCTCTCCCGCCCAGCGCTGCACGCCTACGGCAAGGCGGGGAAGATGCTGGTGGAGACCAGGTAGGTGGGCGGCGCCTCGGCCCTCCCTGTCCTCACTCCTGCGTCCCAGACGCACAGCATGGCCACCCCCGGGGAAACCTGGCGCCCACGTAGCTGGGGTTCAGCCCTTCCCGCCCCGGAGGCATCAGCGGCGAGGCTGAGAGTCTTACTTGTAAAGACGGAAAACTCGGGGAACCCCCTGGCTGCCCCGCGGCGGTCACTCTCGGCCGCCCCCACCGTTGCATGGAGGTGGCATTACATTGAAAATGTCATGTTTTTCCCCCTTTGGAGTAAAATTTTATGAGATGGAAAAATTGCTGGGAAATTGCACTTTTAGCTTCTCAACGGGGGAGTTGTGAGCTCCAAAGAGCAGCGGCTCAGAGAGAGCCGACGGGCTCAGGCCGCAGAGCTGTTTAGCGCCTGAGAGAACTCTTCAAACCTCCCATGGAGAGAAACACTCAGGCCCGTGGAGGAAAAGGCAGTGTCACTAGATACTCGCTCTGCGTCGGCCGGCGGAGCCCACAGAACACGCCCCGGCTGTGGCCCGTCAAGGTCAAAATTCCACGCCTCCCCGTCCAGCCTGCGGGGCTCCAGCCCAGCAGACGCCCGGGCCCCACGCCGGCCCCTGACACGCCCCTCCCCCCGCAGCATGATCGGGCTGATGCTGGGCACCTGCGTCGCCTTCTACGTGGTCATCGGCGACCTGGGCTCCAGCTTCTTCGCCCGGCTGTTCGGGCTGCAGGTAAGGACGGGCGGGCGCCCGGTGCTTTGGGTGCGCGTGGCTGCTGCTGCGGCCGTGTGGAGTGACCCTCCGTAAGTCACCGCGGGTGGGGCAGGGCGCTGGGCCGTGCAGTGGAGGAAGCCTCGTGGGCCTGGTGCCAGCTGAAGACGGGGCTCCCGGAGTGATGCACCTGACGGAGAGCCAGGGTGGGGGAGAGGCGAGGGCAACAGAAACCTGCAGGCCGCGGCCGGCTCAGGCCTGCTCCAGGTGAGGTCCTGTGTCAGGGCCATTGGCCAGAGCTGCTCCTGCCGGCTGAGGGGGCCTGGGCACAGATGCAGGGACTTTTTGCAACGGCTCTGAGCTACAGGCACCTCAGGCGTGCTGTGGAGTCAGCGCGTGGGGGGCCTGGCTGGCCTAAGCTGGGCGCGTGGGCACCGTATGTCTCCTCTCTGGAGGGTGCTTTGGCGTCTGGGCACCAGTGGGGTGGGTGGGGCTCTGTGTGAGCGGACCGTGCCACCTCTGCTCTCAGAGTGGCTCGCGGGCCTGGGAAGTGGCCGTCTACATCATGGGCGCCTCCTGCCCACCGCAAGGTTGGCGCAGCGTGACAGCCCAAGGCTGTGCTTCCCCTGCCCTGCGCCCACCTGCAGGCTCCAGGGCACCCAGGAGTGACGCTGGCCCTGTAGTGGTTTCCACACCCCTGGCGGGTCAGTGCCTACACGGCCCATGTCCCCAGGGCCCCCGCTGGCCGCTGTGTAAGGCTCCTGAGTGCTGGGACTGTGCGCCCGTGCATGCTTGGGGGCCCCGGAGCTCTCGGGGCCTGCCAGCGTGCTGTGCCACGGCCGCCCAGGCGTTCGTGTGTTCTGCTGCCAGAGACATCGGGCTGGAGCTTCTGGATTTGCTTTCTGGGTCAGAATTCCAAGGCCCTCTCAGAGGTCAGCCAGTGGCAAGCTGCTGATCAGCCAACGTGTCAGCAGCGTCTGGCCTCCGGCTTTTACCCGGCCTGCAGCTGAGCTGTGGCCCGTGTCACGGGGGTCCTTGGCTCTGGGTGATCTTGTTTTGGGAACTGGCCGCGCCCCAGGGGATCAGGTGGGGATGCCCGCAGAGACAGCCACCCAGTAGCTGTCGGTATCCCTGGGAGGCAGTGCCACCTGTACCCCACTGGCCATGGCTAGAGCCAGCCCGAGCCTGCACTTGGCCGCCCCCAGGTGACGGGTGCCTTCCGCGTGCTCCTGCTGTCCTCCGTGTCCCTGTGTGTCGTGCTCCCGCTCAGCCTGCAGAGGAACATGATGGCCTCCATCCAGTCCTTCAGCGCCATGGCCCTCGTCTTCTACGCCGTGTTCCTGTTCGTGGTGAGTCCGCCTGGCCTCCAGGCAACGGCTCCAGGCATGCGCCCAGGCACGGCGGCATCGGGCGCGGCGGGGCAGGAGCTCCCAGAGAGGCGCAGTCAGTGTCTCCCTCCCTGCGGGAGCCCCGCTAGGCGTGTGGCCACGGAGACGGGTGGCCTGTCCTAGGGGCTCCCGCCAGGACCTGAGCCCAGACCTGCTCCTCTCAGGTCAGCAAGGGCCATCTCTGGGCTCAGGGCCTTAGGAGGTGGCCGGGTTAGGCCCAGCCCGCTGCTTGTGAGGGTCAGCCCGGCGGTCTTTCCCCGGGCCCCTGTTAGCTTGTCTTCACGCCTGTCGGGGAGGAAGCTGCCCGGGGCGCGTCCTGTTGTCTGGAGTGCGTGGGGGTGCCTGCCAGATGGCTGCTGGGTGCTGGCCAGGCCGCCTTGCATGGGCATGAGCTGTGCTCTGGCCGCTAGCTCCCTCTTCTCCCGCAGATCGTGCTGTCCTCGCTCAAGCACGGCCTCTTTGGCGGGCAGTGGCTGCGGCGGGTTGGCTACTTCCGCTGGGAGGGCATCTTCCGCTGCATCCCCATCTTTGGCATGTCCTTCGCCTGCCAGTCGTAAGTACCGCTGTGAGCATGGCCCGGCCCGGCCGCCGCAGCCCTCTGCCCTGGGTGGACAGATCCGGCCCAGGAGAAACGTCCTCAGTTCCGCCTCCTCCCCCTGAAGCCGAGGGGGAGCTGTTTTCTCAGCCTTCCTCATGAGTGTCGCCAGCACCCTGGCAACCCCTCACTTGCCAGGGAGCGGCTGTGCAGCCGCGGAGCACCCCGCCATCTGACTTCCGCGCCCCAGCCCTTGCCAGCACTGAGGCTGTTGGAGAATATTGAGAAGGAAATTGCAAACATTGACTCCAGGCTGCCGCTGGGACGCTGCCACAACCGCGCCTGTGTGCGTGCATGCATATGCACACCTGTGTGTGCACGCTCGCCTGCCCACCTCTGTGCAGGTGTGTGCACACGTGTGTGCTGTGCGTGCACGCCTGAGTGTGTGCTGATGTGTGTGCACGCCCACATGCCTCTCTAGGGCACCGGTGCTGTCGGCACCGACCAGGCCCCTCCACGGTCCCGCCGCGTCACTTTCTCAACCACACGACAAGCCAGCGATGGCTGCCGGCGCCTGGTGGGGGCTCGGCGCCCACAGGAAGAGAGCAGCAGTGCGGGGCGGGGGCTGGCAGCGTGGGTCCTGGGCTCTGGTGGGCTTGGCTGTGCCAGCCGTCAAGCGCTGGGGGGAGGTTTGTTCACGCCGCTGGTTCACACCCACGCGCGTGCGATGCGGCTCCCGCTCCGTGGCGTGCGCCAGCTCTACTGCTGGAGTCCCCGCGGCGGCAGCGGGCGGTGCCTCCTTGGCCTGCGTGCCTGCCCATCTGTGACCCGTTTGGTCTGCACATTTGCTTTTAAAAACAAACCTGCGCCGGGCTGTTGCATGGCGGCACGTGGCAGTGGCCCCTGTCGGGTGTGGCTTCGGCGCAGGCAGGGCTCTGGGGGGGGTGTGCGCGGCCTGCCGAGTGCGGGCTGCCCTGAACGGTGCTGGCCCGTGGGAGCGTAGGGCCCCCGGGCAGGCGCAGCCAGCTCGCTGACCGCGGTCCTGGAGCCTGTGTGTGCCCGGGCAGAGGGCACCTCCTGCCTGCCCTTGCCCTTTGGCTTGTCTTCTCCGGCCTGCGGGGCCCCTTTCTGGGGGCCGGGCCTTCCCTTTGCGGTCACTGTTTGGCGGCCCTTTCCGGGCTTATATCTTGGTGAGGTCCTGGTGACGTGGGTCTCCCGGGCTCTGCCTGGGCAGAGGGGCTGTCCACAGGCAGGCCTGGTCTGGGGCTGGGGGCAGCGCCTCTTACCGCTGGAGAGTCAGCGTGCGGGCGTGTGGGCCATTGCGGGGTGCGGCCGCGGGCCCTGGAGCGCGGGTGCGGGCCGGCAGTGCTTCCTGCACTGGTCCGCCGCACGCCTCACCCCAGCACCCACAAGGGTCTCCACCTCCATGCTGGGGACTGATGCCCCCACTGCCCAAGGAGCGGTTAGTCCCCAGATGTCCCGTGTTTCTCTGCAGGCCCTCTGCCCCCCGGCCGGGCCTCAGGGATGAGCAGCCAGGCCTGGCGCAGGGCCCCGGGTAGGGTGCCGCTCCACGGGTGACCTGGGGTGTGCAGGGCGGTGAGGGCGCCCCCTGTGGAGTGAGCAACCCCATCCTCTCGCCTTGAAGGTGGTCCAGGCTTCAGCCTGTACACGGTGTGACCACCGGCCCCAGCTCCCTTGACCACTGTGCACCCCAGAGAACAGAGCGCCCCCGGCCGCCCCTCCAGAGTGTGGCCACCGGCCCCATGTGCCGCCCACACGGGACCACCTCCCGCCCAGCTGTGCCGGGCCCGGGGCTCCAGCCACTAGCCTGTCCTCTGTCGCCGAGGGTGGCGCCTGTGCGGGGGCGTCTCAGCCGCTCGGCCTGAGTCCGCAGCGCAGGCGGCAGGTAGGGGGCTGGGCGGGCACGGCCCGCGGCGTCCTGCTGGGTGTGCAGCCCTGTCTCCACACAGCCAGGTGCTGCCCACCTACGATAGCCTGGACGAGCCGTCGGTGAAGACCATGAGCTCCATATTCGCCTCCTCCCTCAACGTGGTCACCACCTTCTATGTCATGGTAGGACCCTGTCCTCAGCCCCTGTGGGCCCCAGCACTGGCACTCCCCGCCCCCCCCCCCCCCCCCGCCACCGTGGCCTGGTGCAGGGGGCGGGGCCTCGTCGCCAGGCCCCACCCTGGGGTGCTGGCATCCCTGGGCCCCTGGGCTCCTCTTCCTGTCCTCTGGCCTCTATGAGACCTTCCCTGACCCGCTGTCACGAGGGAGTGTCCATGAGCACCGCCAGCTCGCTGACGCGGGAGTACCCCCACCCCAGGAGCGGGCACCACGGCGCCAGGCTGGGTTTCAGCCCGCCCCATGCCCTCAGGGGTCATAAGGAGGTGGCAGGGGTGGTGGGTGCCTGCATGCTCGGGGCTTTGGCCCTCGGCCCCCTGCTGGGACTTTGAGCCAGATGGGGACTGGCCCGCCCCGACAGCCACCCCGGGGCCCCTTCGCCATCCATCTGGCCACCTGCTTCTCGGCCCGGTCGGGGGCCCACGCCTGCTGTCCCCCGCAGGTGGGCTTCTTCGGGTATGTGAGCTTTGCGGAGGCCACGGCGGGCAACGTGCTCATGCACTTCCCCTCCAACCTGGTGACGGAGATGATGCGCGCTGGCTTCGTGCTGTCGGTGGCCGTGGGTTTCCCCATGATGATCCTGCCCTGCCGCCAGGCCCTGAACACGTTGCTGTTCGAGCAGCAGGTGAGGCCGCTCCCCAGGCCCCGCGGCGCCTCCCTGGGCGGCCGTGGCAGTGTCTCCAGGGGTGAGGAAGGGCTTCCGTGGTGACAAAGTCTCTCAGCGGGGCTGAGTGGCCTTTGGAGAGTGGCGAGGCCACCCCGGCGTCCGTGGCCTGTGACCCCAGCCCACAGCCAGGGTGGAGACGCCTGGGGGGCTGGAGGTGGGCGGAGGTCTGCAGTGCTCGGCTCCACCCGGTCCTGGAGGCGCACTGCAAGCAGGAGGCGCGCCCAGCCGAGGGTTCTGCATGGCGGTCTCTCCCATCCCGGCTCTATCTCCTGTCCAGCTGTGGCGTTGCCAGGGCCTCCCAGGGCCTGGGGGCAGCCGGACTCAGCTTGCTGTCCTGTGGCCAGCATGCCTGCCCACGGCCACCCTATGGGCTAAGGCCGGGCCCCGCAGGGCGGACCCTACCGCTTGCCCCTCGCCCTGTGAGCTGGGCGGGCGCAGGCTCTGCCCCTCGGGATGAAGGCGGGCGGCCATGGGCCCCTGGCTGTGGGCCCCGCCGTTCCTGTTTGCTGCGGGCACACGCTTCTGCGGGGAGCTCCGTGTCCCCGTGTGCCGCGTCCGTACTGCTTATGAAAGCCGCGGCGGCGTTCGAGGCCACGCACATCTCCCATGCCTCTCCGTCCTCGGCGGGCCCCGTGGTGCCATGTCCCCCCACCGTCCCCAGCCTCCGCCGCCCCAGCGCCTGTGGGCTGCCCCGCCCCAGTGAGCTGCAGCTCCGCCGAGGGCTGGTGTTCCTCGCCTTGGCTGGTACCGGCTCTCTGTGCCCGGTGTTTTGGAAGCCTTTGTCCCCCCTTTGGGTCCTGGCACCCCATGTTCACAGGCGGGGCACGGAGGTAGGGGCTTTTGGTCGCACCTCCTGGTGTTGCCCGCCCCTCCTCTTGGACCGCGCCTCACCCGCCTGCTGAGATGAGGATGGCGGCCTTTGTGTGCCTGGCCCGCGTGTGCCCACGTGGATCCCATAGACCCAGCTGGCACCCTTGTCAGGAAAGCATGGGCTGGCACTGGCCGTTAGCTGGGCAGCAGGGCTGCGGTGGCACTGGCGAGTGGGCGTCTGCTTGGCTGCGACTCTGCTGGGTCGCTTGGCTGTATCTGCCTGTCGGGGCGCCCCTGCCAGCCTCCTGGGGGCCCCGGGGGGTCTGGCAGCACCCTAGGGGAGGCTGGCTGGTGGGCGTGGCCAAGGAGGCCATCATCCCAAGCGGGTCTGCCCTCTCTCCGCAGCAGAAGGACGGGACCTTCGCGGCCGGGGGCTACATGCCGCCGCTGCGGTTCAAAGCGCTCACCCTCTTCGTGGTGTTTGGAACCATGGTCGGCGGCATCATGATCCCAAATGGTGAGTGGGGGCCGCTGCAGCTCCCCCACCACGCCATCCCCCAGAGCCCCTGCTTCTGCCCTCCGGCTGCCACAGGCCCCACCTGCGCGGGGACGAGGAGACGCCTGCGGGGGAGGCCCGCCCAGGTCCCTGGGAAGCCGATCCCGCCTGCGTCGTCCGTGCTGTCCGCTGGGCCCTCAGGCCCTGGGGGCTCTGCTGGGCCCGCCTCTGCTCCTGGCAGCGTCCAGCGCCGAGGGAGGGCTCGCTGGGCACCCGGGCCGCCACTTACCCTTTCCCGTCCCTCTCGCCCACCCTTCCCCAGTGGAGACCATCCTGGGGCTCACAGGCGCCACGATGGGGAGCCTCATCTGCTTCATCTGCCCGGCGCTGATCTACAAGAAGATCCACAAGAACGCGCTCTCCTCCCAGGTGGGGCAGCTCAGGGCGGGAGGCAGCGCCCCGGTGGTGGCTGGAGCGGGCCGTGAGCCCCGGCTCCGAGGGTCCAGCCCCGCTGGCGCAGGTCTCCCCGGGAGAGGCCTTGGTGCTGCCCAGCCCCCAGCGGGTGCCTGGGTGTGGGCGCCCCGGACTGCGTGCCAGGCTGCAGCCGCTTCTCTTCGTGCCTGAGGCCTGCGGGCCAGGTGTCTGTGCCACGGGTGCCTCAGGATGCGGGTGGTGTCTGCGCCTCCTAGACAGGGACCCCGTGTGGGCCTGGGGCTGCTCCCTGAGGCCTCTCCCGGCCAGCAGTCCAAGGAGGGTGGCTTTGCCCTGGCGTAAGGCGAGGCGTGGCGCGGGCAGAGCACCGGTGCCCATAGTGAGCCCGCGCTTCCGGCTCGGTGACCGCCGCCGGTAGCCGTGGCGCCGCGCTCAGGCCCTGAGGCCTCCCTGGGCACCGCAGTGCACCCGCCCCGCCGCCCGCCTGCTGTTCAGGGGCAGCCTCGCCTTCTCAGCGACCGTCTGGCCCCTCCCCCCGGCCACCTGTCCTCGGCCTCCCTTGTGCCCCGCGGCCTCTGCTGGGGCCGGCGCTGCTGGGTCCACGCCGTGGAGCCGGGACAGGCCTGGACGCGGGCTGCCGGAGGCCCCGGCTTTGTTCTTCCGCACGACGGCCTTTCCTGCTCTGGCCCTTCCCTTCCAATGAGGTCTTAGGGCTGGTGCCAGCGTCCTCCAGGGTGGCTGTGAGGCAGGCGCCGCTGTTCTGCTCACGGCGTGGGGGCCTACACGCGGCTGCGTCTCTCTCCTGTGGTTTCTTCCAGCTCCCGACCCCTCGGGGCTCTCCCGGTCTTGTCTGCAGGCCCCAGGGTGCTCTGCATGCCCTGAGGCTGCCTGAGGCCAGCTGTGGCGAGCGCCTGCGGTGTGGCGGGGGCAGTGGCGGCGGCCCAGCTCTGCTGTTCCCCGTGGAGCCGTGTCACGGGGGCGTGCAGGGGCAGGGGTGACCCGCGAGGCCCCTCCTGTCTGTGGAGGCGCCTCCTCCCCGCGCTGGCCTGGTGGCCCCCCGCTGCATCCCGGGCTGTATTTACACGGTTTGCTCCTCGCTCCTCCTCTGCTCTCCACTTTCACACGTCAGGTGTGCCTTGCGCTGGTGCGGGGGGACTTTGATCCTGTCTCGTGTTGCTCCCGTTTGTGACGAGTGTCCGGGGCTGTTTGCGGTTGGCGTGGTTACCGACGGGGGTGCTCGCTCTTGTCTGCTCTTAGATTTTATTTGTCCCATCTGTTCCTTTTTCTGTTTCTTTCTTGTTGCTTTTTAGATAAAGCAGTTTTTTGCCTGCTTACGCTTCCTGGGTGGCACAAGGGCACCGTGGCTGGCACCTTGACCTATTGGAGTCGCCCCCAAATCCACTTGTTCCGCTTTCCAGCCCAGGCCCGTGTCCCGTGATGATTTGGCTCCATTTACCCTCCTCCGGCCTTCGGTGTGGTTCATGCCTCACGGATGCCCGAACTCTATGTGTGTCTCACGTCCCGCGAGACTGTGCTTTGCGGCCAGCCCTCGGGTCCCCGCGGCGTCCTGGGCCGTCACCGGGGCGGCCCTGCCTCGCACCTGCCCGCTCTCCCTGAGTGCGTGCTAGAGCTGGCGCTGCCTGGGGCTGCACTCAGACCGGGTCCCACTGAGGTTGCCTCCTCTCCGGGGTCATCCCACGTCTGGCAGCCGGGAATCTCACTCTTGGTCCAGGTGCCAGCCCTGAAGGGCAGCCCCGCCAGCCTCCCTGTGTCCCCAGGGTGCCCATTGAGGCCCTACCCTGCCCGGCCCCTCTCAGCCCACCCCTCAGTCCTGCACCCGGAGGCCCTGGGCACTGTCCTGCCCCATGCAGGCCTGTGAGGCGTAGCCCCTCCACCAGCCGAGGCAGGTGCCAGGTCCCCTCCAGGTTGGCCGGAGCTGTCAACAGACCTAGCTCTGTGGCCAGAGGTGGGCGGGCCCCAGGCCCATGGCCCCTGGCAGGCGGCCGCCGCTCCCCCACACCACATACCGGGCTGCTCTGCCAAAGTGGCCTGCGGCTCGGGTGCCCCTTTTGCCCTTGGGGTCTCTGTCTCCCCAGGTGGTGCTCTGGGTCGGCCTGGGCATCCTGGTGGTCAGCACACACAGCACCCTGTCAGTGAGCGAGGAGACCCCTGTGGACCTGGCACAGGACGCCCCCGGGGGCCGGCGTGTGGAGGTGGAGGGCGCTGTGAAGGCGGAGCCAGCCCGGCTGTCAGGTACACGCTAGCCGCGCGCAGAGGTGCCATGGCGCCCGCCAGGGTGTCTCTCCTGCCGGGCCTGTCCAGTGTGCGGGGCCCCGGGCTGTGCTGGTGCTGTCTGCGGTGACATGCCCACTGCGCTGGGGTCTGGGGGGCGTGCCTGCCTCGCTGCAGAGCCCGTGGCGCGGGTGAGATGGAGACCCCAAGGCCTGCAGCCTGCCCCTGCAGACCCCAAGGCCCCAGCCTGCCCCTGCAGCCTTTCATTGGTGGCATTCAGGTGCCTGCGCCTCGCCTGCCGCTTCTGACAGGGCCCTTGAGGGCTTTCCTGTCTACTGGAGGAACTGGCTGTCCACCCTCCCGCCACACAGTGGAGGAACAGTCTCTGGGCCTCCTGGGGAGCCCAGACCTTGAAGAAGCTGCGCCCTGCCTTCAGGGATGGGGGGGTGGCCCCAGACCCCATGTGGGCCCTGCAGGGCAGGCCTGATAGGGTGGGGAGCCCCACGCGGCGGAGAGAGAAGGCAGCGGTCGGGCCGGCGGAGTGCCCGCTGCATGCTGTGGATTCAGTAAATTGATGGGAAGAGCCCTGAAGAGGGGGTGGGCCCGGCCTGCACCCTGTCTCGGCCAGTGGTGCCCCCACGCTGGCAAGCCCTGGGTGTCTGCGGGGCCAGCTGCCTCCCTGGGGCCACAGCAGCTGCGCGGGGTGGTGGGGCGCTGGCTCACCTGGAGCCCCGGCCACAGCTGGTTTCCATCCCCTGAGGCCGCAGCGGAACATATGGCCGGACCACGTGCCCTGCTCAGCGCCTCCGCTGTTCTCGCCCGGCCTCCCCCGTAATTGATGGGCTGCCTGGTAGGAGCAGAGCTGGGCGGGGCCCCCGCGTGCACGTGCCCCATCAGGCTGCTGCCCCCTTGGGAGGCTCTCGGGGCCAGAGCTGCCCGCTGCCCTCAGCCCTGCACCGACCTGCAGGGCCCCGGGGCCGGGGAGCACGGAGGAGAGAGGGTGCGGGCCGAGCCAGGCTCACCAAAGCAATTATCCAGTAAAGAAGGCTAATTAGGCCATTTTTCTCTGAGTGCGCGGGTGCCCCAGAGGGCCCTGCAGGCGGGTTCGAATTTTGTGACATTTTTGGCTCCGTCCTTCCCCCTCCGTGACCCCGTCCCAAAAGTGGGGAGCTGCACCCTCCTGCAGCCCAACTTGCCACCGGCCGGGAGGGTGAATAGCCAGGACCGCCTCTGGGTATGCACTGGACGGGGCCCAAACTTCCGCTGCTTGGACGGGAGGGCAGCCTGCGGGCAGCACCGCGTCAGGCCACGCGGGGCAGAGGGCGACCCCAGGCCAGGGTGGCGCGGGTGTGCCTCCCCGTGCTGCTGGCTCCCGTGCTGCTGGGGGCGTCTGGCGTCGGCACCCGCAAGCAGCAGTTTGTGAGAAGCCTGTCCAGGGACGCTGGGTCCAGGGAGCTGTCTTCCAGCGGGCAGGACACAAAGGCCCAGGGAGAGGAGCCGTGCAGCCGGCAGTCCCAGGGCAGGGGCCTCGAGGCCCGCCGGCTGGCTGTGGCCCAGACTCGGTGTCAGCCCTGGCCCGTCTTGCTCAGTGGCGGCCCCGTCGTGGTGGGCAGGGGCTGCTCCGGAAGCTGCAGCCCAGAACTGCTCTTTGTCCCGCTCCAGGGCCCCAGGCCCGGGGTTCAGGGCGTTTAGCCCCCTCCCCCAGCCAGAATTCAGGAGCCGGGAGCCATGGGCCGGCTGACATCGAGTGGGAAGGGGACGAGCCTTGGATGTCGTGCTCTGAGCCCGCGGGGGGTGGGGTGGAGGGTGGGGGGCCGTGGGCCGGCTGACATCGAGTGGGAAGGGGACAAGCCTTGGATGCCCTGCTCCGAGCCCGCGGGGGGTGGGGTGGGGGTGGGGGGCCGTGGGCCGGCTGACATCCAGTGGGAAGGGGACAAGCCTTGGATGCCCTGCTCCGAGCCCGCGGGGGTGGGGTGGAGGGTGGGGGGCCGTGGGCCGGCTGACATCCAGTGGGAAGGGGACAAGCCTTGGATGCCCTGCTCCGAGCCCGCGGGGGGTGGGGGGGTGAGCCTGTGTCTGCGCCGGGCGTGAGCGCCCCCTGCCGGCCACGCGGTCACTGCCAGTCACTGGGGCGCGTTTTCCTCCCGGGACCTGCGGGTCAGGCGGCATGGGAAGCCGAGCCGGGGGCACTGCACAGGCCACTTCTCTGCCCGTTGGGGAGTTTGACTTTGGTTTTACTGCGGCCAAGGGGGCTGGCAGGGCACTGGCCTGATGAGAAGCCCCTTCAGTTGAAAGACACCATGTCCAGCGCCCGAGGGCCCAGGGTTGGAGTCGGGGCCTCTGCTGTGCTGCCCAGTGCCCTGGCGGGGAGCGGCACACCCCAGGGCTTCTGGAGGACCCCTTCCAGCGTCACCCCACCTGGCCTTGGTGCTGCTCGGTACTCTGCACGCGGGCCTGTCCCCCACTGAGCGGCTGCCCGCCCAGAGGCCGTGAGTCCCAAGGCCGAGCAGGGGTTTCCTGTTTGTTTTGTCGTGTTTCCCTTCCCTCTCGGGCCCCCTCTTAACTCTGCGTGCTAGACAGACTCCTGATTTATGGCTGCTGCTGGGGGCGCGGCCTGGCCGGGGCTGCCGATGGACACCAGGGCTCCCCCTGGCCTGGCCGGTCTGGCCCTCAACCGCGCTGCCCTTGTCCTGAACAGGACCTGGCCTGCCCAGTAGGGCCTGCGCCTGGGGCACAGCGTCGGCCCCTGGGCCTCCCTTTGTGAAACTTCTCTCACCGGATAGCCCTTTAGCCTCTACGCCCCGCCTGACACGGCGCAGCTCCCCTCGGCCTCCCCAGCCCAGTCCTGTGAGCCGTCGGCCCCGGGCGCCAGGGTGCCTCCCTGCCAGTGGGCAGCCGGGTGGCAGGGTTGCACATCAGCCTGCTGGGCTCTTTCCTCAAGTGTGGCTGGTGGTGCCCCCCTGCGGGCCGGGGTCTGGGGGCCGCCCCCTCGGGCTGGGCGGGCACATGCTGCCCTCTGGTGGGGATGGCCGGTGTTGCACGTGTGGGGCCCTTCCCGCTCCCGCTTGGTGTGAATTGCATTTTGACGTGTTTTGTTCCGAATACCGGGAAAAGGACAGTGTCCTGTGCTACATGACTGCTCGCGACTGGCCAGGAAAAGGAGCAACTGCTTCGCTTCCGCCACCTGCCTGGGAGATGCGGTCACGGCCCGGGGCGGGCCGAGCGCCGGAGCCCGCAGGCGCTCAGCTCACTGTCTGCCGCAGGCCAGAACCCCGTCGCCGAAGCGGCCCAGGACGGCCGCGACAAGCCCAAGCTGCCAGGCGAGAAGGACGAGATGGAGCAGGCCCAGATCAAGGGCCCTGTGAACGCGCCCCAGAGGGAAGACCCCCTGGAGAAGCGGGAGGAGGCGCAGCTGGATCGCCCCGGGCAAGGTGGGTGGCGCCCACGGGAGGGCCCCGCATCTCGGAGGAGTCTGGCCTCTGCCTGCTTCACGGGGATCCACGGGGACGTTCTGCCCCAACGGCTGCTCTGCGGCCCCTGATGTTTGCTCGAAGCAGCGCCTCTCTGCGGCCAGACAGCGGGGCCCAGGGCGCCCGCCCAGCGTCCAGTCCCCCGGGCCCTCCCCGACGCTCTCCCTCTCCTTCCAGGCGTCGCCGTCCCCATGGGCGAGGCCCACCGCCATGAGCCTCCCGTGCCTCGCGACGAGGTGGTGGTGGACGAAGGTCAGGACCAGGAGGGGCTGGGGGAGAACAAGCGTCCCTCCAAACTCGGGGGCGGGCAGGCCCCGGAGGGCGAGGGCCAGAGGGTGCTGCCGCCGCCCGACTCTGAGCAGAGGGACCCCAGACGCGAGCATCCTGAAGATCCCCGGAAGGTGCCAGAAGCCAATGGTCAGGCAGCTGTTGCGCCCGAGGAGGACAGCCTGGGGCCCGGCCACGGGGGTCTGCAGCCAGGGCCCCGGACAGCACTGGCTGAGGAGCGGGCCGCCCCGGCCGATGCGGGGGGGCAGGCAGACGGCGACCTGCAGCCAGGCCAGGCCCAGGGGGCCCAGGAGAAGAGTGAGCCCGGTAGGTGTCCACCTGGCCGGTGGCTGCAGTGGACATGGGGGGTTGGGGGAGAGGCGGGAGGGCCCGGCCAGTCCCCACGTGACACGTGGGTGTGGAGCTGTCTGCAGCCGCGGGGGACCCACCGCCTGGGGCTCTGCAGCCGCTGGGACGCCTTCGGGTGTGGCCGGCCTGGACGTTGGGCCGCTCCGCCCCGTGTTCTGGGGGCTCTCGGGGTGGGGCGCTGCTGGCGTGAGCGGCGAGGCGGGGGCGCTGGCTCGCGGCCCTGAGCACGAGGGCTTGGATGTTTTATGACTTCGCCGGCGTCCCAGGTCGGGGGAGGCTGGGCCGACGGGCGGGGCTGCGCAGGTGGCGGGGTGTCAGGGATCAGGTGCCACCGCCTGTCCCTCCCCCTCCATCTCCTGGGCGCCCCGTCCTCCCGAGCCCCCACAGACCCGAGTCTCCCGTGTGTCCAGCTGGGCAGGCTCCCCTCCCGGAGGAGAAGCCGGGTCCTGGGGCCGGGGCGCAGGCCCAGCCACGAGAGCAGAGGACGGCGGAGGCCCAGGCCAGGGACCGTGCCGGCAGCCGCTTGGAGGGTAAGGCCGCCCGCGCGTCCCCCTGCCCGGCCTGGCCGGCCGCTGCGCCCCCTCCCGTGTCCCGGCTGGCCACTGGGCAGGACCTGCCGCCTCTCCCACCCCGCTCCCTGCAGCCTTTCCTCTCGCCCTCTGCCCCTTTGTGGTGACCGTGCTCGGGCGCGGGCCCCGGTCTCGCTCGCGCCGGGCTGGCGTCTCCAGCGCTGTGCCCGCAGCCGTGGGGGTGGGCGCCGGGCGGAGGGTAGCTGGCCCCGCTCGGGAGCCCGGCCCTGTCCTGAGACGACGCTGGCTGGGCCTCCCTCTCCGGGGAGCCGTGTTCTGGCTGCCCCTCGGGGTGTCGCCCCAGCTCGCGCGCCGCCGCTCGGGTGTGGCCTCTGCGGTGCAGGGCGGCGGCTGGTGACCCCTGCGCCCGGGCCGTGCGTGGCGAGCGATGTGCTTGGTGCCGCCTGGCCGGGGGCAGAGCCGGAGGCGTGGGTCTTCTGGGCTCGGTGGCTCTGGGGGCGCACGGGCTCCTGTGTCTCTCCTCGGGCCTGTCTTTTGGGTCCCGTCCTCGTCACGAGCCGCCGAAACCCGCTTGACCCTTTGACTCGTTTTCCTTTCTGGAAAGAGGGTTTTCACGTGTCCTATTCTGCCTCTCTCCTGTGCGCCTCCCCATGGGACGAGCAGCTGAGATCAAAAAGCTGGTGGCAGGTACGAACTGGAGGGCGTCCGGGGCGCTGCGGGCGGCCTCCCCCGCCCTGCCTGCGCGGTGTCCGCGTGCCCGGGCTGCTGGGTGGGGCGGGGGCCCGCCTGTGGGCAGAGCCGGCCGCCTCCACCCTCGCTTCTGCCCGCGGCGCTCTCTGGCCGGCGTCTCCCACATCGCCCTGGGAGGGCACGGGTGGCGTGTGGGGCCGTCCCTGCCCCGAAGGCCGTCTCAGGGTCACGCCCTGCAGGGCAGCAGCGTGAGCGTGGCCGGGCGGTCGGGTCTGCAGTCCCGGGAACGGAGTGCCAGTGGCCTCGGGAGGGAGGCACCCGCCGCCGCAGACCCGGGTGTTCTCAGGCAGGCGCCGCGAGGGTCCTGGGGCCTGGGCTGCTGTGCCAGGTGGCCGAGAGGCCCTGCCCTGCGGGGCCCCGTCCTCCCGTGAGCCTCTGTGCGCGTGCTTCTGGGAATGCCCCTCTCGTCCCTGCCCGGCCTCACGTGGAGTCCCAGGCTGGGGTGCAGCGTGCCCGTGGGTCCAAGGCTCGGCTGCCCACCCAGCGCAGCCTTCCTGCTCACCGGGGGCCACCCGCTCCCCAGCCCCCCGGCCGCCAGCTGACGAGAGCCGCGCCCGGACAGCGGTCTGCTCGCGTGCGCCCGTGTCGGGGCAGGTGTGGGGGCACCGTTGGGCGGGCGTGGACTTTGCTGCCCAGCCCCGCTGCCACGGAAGTGGTTTTCTCCTTTGAAACTCCCACCCTGGGGAAGCCTCAGGCCCGGAGGTCTTCAGGCGCTCGGGCTTGAATGGCCGGGACCGGTCAGCAGCCTGGCCCGCTGGCGCGGGGCCTCGCAGGGTTTCTCCGGGGGTCGGTTCCAGAGGCAACAGTCGAGGGGACGGGGCCCGCGAGGCGTGTGCGAGCCACACGCGGCGAGGACGCAGCAGCTGGCCGGGGGCTGCAGGCGCGTGTGGGAGGACGCGGGCCCTGAGCGCGGTGTTTCCCCACCCAGGGGCGGGCCGGGCGGAGATGCTGGACCACGCGGTGCTGCTGCAGGTGATACAGGAGCAGCAGGTGCAGCAGAAGCGCCTCCTGGACCAGCAGGAGAAGCTGCTGGCCGTGATCGAGGAGCAGCACAAGGAGATCCACCAGCAGCGGCAGGACGGGGAGGACGGCAAGTGGGCTCGCGGGCGGCAGCTGCACCCACCGCGCGGGGAGGGGCCGGGGCGGCCCAGGTCGGGGACCCGGGGCGGGCTGGGGGTCGGCTGAGGCTCGGACGCCTTCACTGCCGGCCAGTGGTGCCCCAGCCCGCAGCGGTGGCTCCTGCCCGGGCCCGTAGCTGACCTGACGCCAATTTCGCTTGCAGCAGACGGGCCGCCAGAGCCTGGGGCGGCCGCTCCCCGAAGTAAGGAGGAGGTGCAGGATGGGAAGGCGGGGGGCACCGTGCCACGCACCCCTGCCCAGCCTTTGGAATCTGCACTGGGGCGGCACCCCGCCCCTCCCCAAGGGCCCGGCCAGCGCCCCTGGGAGGAACCCCAGGGGGCTCCAGGCAGGCCCCCACCGGCAGGCCCTCCTGGGGGTGGACTGCGTCCAGAGCCCCATGCTGCCCAGGCCCAGCCGAGGGCCGCTGCACCCCAGGGCGCTGGCACCAGCCTGCTGGAGCAGGTCCCGGAGCCAGACCCTGCCCGGGGACCCCAGAGCCCGGAGAAGCATGGCCCTGGGGACCCCCTCGGGCAAAGTGAGGGCGTGTTTGCCGGAGGCACCGATGAAAGAAAGAAATCCCGGAAGGAAACGGCCCCTGGAGGCGTCGCTCGAGAGGAGGCGGATGTCCCGGCAGCAGAGGCCGGGGCTGGGGGCCCTCCTGGGAAGCCCCCACCAGGAAGCCGAGACCTGGGCCGGCTTGGGGGCGCCGCGCCCACAGGGAGGACGCCTCCCCCGCCCGCACGCCCGGCCATCTCTGACAGGGGGCAGGGCGGGCAGCGGGGCGGCCGCCCATTGGACAGGAAGGACGCGCTTGGCGGGGACCAGGCCCCTGCCGCTGGGGAGGACGCTGCTGTCCAAGAGCCCGAACAGAGGCCGGACGCCGGGCCCGGGCCCAGGCCAGCCGTCGCCGGGGCCCCGAAGCCAGACAACGCCAGACCCAATCGGGAGCTGAAAGTCCAGGGGGACGCTGACCTGCGGAGGCGGCGGCGTGCCGCAGCCCCTCCTGCTGGCGGGGGCCCAGCCCTGGAGGACTCGGTCCTCATCAGCCTTGACCCGCTGCCTGGCGTGCAGCTCAGTGACCTGCGCAGCGCCCTGGAGGCCCAGCTGCACCAGGCCGCAGGGGGCACTCTGCGGGTGGTGCACGGCCGCCGGGTCAAGCAGGCGCCCGCCCTGGAGGAGGCCTGAGCGCCGGGGCTGCAGCCTGGTCAGCAGGCGAGCCCGAGGGGCGCCCCAAGTGCAGGCCAGTGGTGGCCCTCCAGCCTCCGGGTCTTTGGAGAGAGCGCAGCCAGCCCTCTGGGGTTTCACTGGTGGCAGAGCCGCTGCGCCCAGCAGAGACCCCAGGGGCCCGCGTGCCAGCCGGGCTGAGGGCCCCCATGGCCGCCTGGGCCCGCCCCACCTCCCTGCGGCTGGTTCTCACTCTTGTTGGCTGTGAGCCTCCTGGAGACTAATAAACGCTGCTTCCCTGCTGCTCGGAGCGACCCCGCTCGCACCGGAGGGCCCATGGGGGCGGCAGCCTTGGGGGGTGCCAGGAAGCGCCCCAAAGCAGCCATATCTGGGCAGCTCCTGAGGCAAGTTTCCTACGGAAGGTTCAGGTGCCAAGACTCAGGCCACAGGGACAGCGCTGCCGGCCGGGGCTGCTGGTGCACTGGCATCGGAGCCCTGGGCTGGTCCCGCCTGCCCCAGCATGGCCCACCGGCCTGCCTACTGGTGGAGGTGTCCTGGGGCTTTCCTGGGCCTCTGCCTGGGAGCAGCTCCCCCTGCCCCTCACACCCAGCTGCCGAGATGGTGCCAGAGCAGGGCCAGCCAGGACCAGGCAGGACGTGTGGCTGGTGCGGGCTCTGCTGTGCCTTGCTCCCACCGCACCGCAGGCAACGCTGCCCTCCCCGGCAGCACCCCAGGGCGGGTCTGGGGGCCGGGACTGTGCTGTGCTTTCTGACCACAGGGCAGTGGGGGCCAGCCCTGCCTGTAAGGGCTCCGTCCCAGAGCAGGGCGGCATGGCCAGCCACCTAGCCGCACGGGGCATAAGCGGGTGGAGGCCAGGTGCAGCCCCGAGGGCCCCCGCCCCACCCCGAGGATGGGAGTCTGGGCCGCCCACCCTGGCTGAGATGCAAGTGGGCAGAGCACAGGGGTGAGGCCCGGGTGACACAGCTGCAGAAGCAGGCAGGGCTGAGGTGCCCCCACTCCTTCCTGGAGGCCGGAGCGAGGCAGCAGGGAGCTGGGTGTGCGGCCGAGCAGGGGGGCCGGGAGGGCCGGGAGAGGGGCCCAGCAGGCCTGGACATCGGCCCTCCAGGTGAGGGGCGAGACGGGAGAGCCCACCCTGGGCCTCGGCTGTCCTGAGTTCCTGTGGTCACTGTGCAGCTTGGCTGTCCACCTGGCTGCCCAACCTGCAGCCCCCAGGCTCCTGGGACCCAGTTCACTAGGAGGGAGGCTCTCGCCTCAGAGGTGCGCGGTCACACCTGGGGGCTCCAGACTTCTGGAACTGTGAGGCAGAAACAGGAGCACAGAACCCGCTTGGGGTTCACGAGTGGCCCTGGCCGTGGGTGCCGGGACCCACGGCCCCAACCTGGCTGTCGGGCAGGGCGTGCAAGGCAAGGCCTCCAGAGGCTGCGGAAGGGCAGCTCAGCCTGTGCCCTGCAGCTGGGTTCCAAAGCCACCCTGGGTCCCCCCACCTGCACTCGGGCCCACAGGGCCCCCTGCATCCCGCCGAGTCTGGAGGGCTCCCTGCAGGCCCCCATGGCGTACACCTGGCGTGTCCTGTGAGCTGGCGGTTGCGGCTGCAGCCGCGTCAGACAAGCTTGTAGACGGAATACAACACAGACACCCCGCGAGCGCTGACCCCTGCTTTATTGCTCGTCACCAATGCCTGTCCTCACCCCAACCCTCTACACCGGCCAGGTCCTCTTCCTCTTGGCCCTGAGAACTGGGGTCGTCGGACCCCCAATGGCGTGGCCTCGGGCAGCTCATGGAGACCAGCGGCTGGTCCTTCCTAATGGCCCTCCAGGGTCTTTTTGGCCTGAAAGAAAAAGTGCTTTATCTGAAGGGGCCTCTTCCAAGGCGGCGGGGCGCCCGGCTGTGTGGGTGCATGGCCGAAGGGGCGGGGTGGACGCTGCACTTCAGCCCCCCTGGGCCGAGGCCTGCAGCTGCTAGGGGGCACAGACCTGCAGGCGCACCCCCAAGGGCCAGGCTCAGGAACCCCTTTCCATGGAGGAGAGCAGAGTCAAGCTGCACGCAGCAGGCGCGGGCCCGCAAGGAGACAGCGGACGGTAGCCCACAGCCCCTCCTGGCTGCTCGCACATCTCAGCACCCTAGTCCCACCCTTTGGGTGCCAGGTGTGCGGGTGGAGCAAAGGGGTGCCTGGGGGGGGGGCAGGTGACCCGACGACAAGGGTGATGGGCCCTCCAACCTCCAGGGGGCTGCAGGGAGACACGCCCAGGAGCCGGAGGGAGGCGCGGCCGGGGACCAGGCAGCCGGGTGGACGCCTACACTGGATGTGAGGTGGTGACCAGGGCCGGCTGTCCGGCCGCCGCAACCCGTCAGCCGTGCGGGCGGCCCCTGCGGACCTCTGGCCCCGGCCCCCTCCCCAGCTTTCCCGGAGGAGTCGCTGGAGCCAGCCCCCGCAGGCGCCTCTCCTGGCTTCCCCAGGGGGCTCTTCCCGCCTCCAGCACCCCCACCCCCAAGCCTACATCTTGGGGTCGCTCGTGGAAACGTGTGACCACGTCGCTGCGGCTCTTCACGCGCACGCAGCGACCTTCCCGAGCCTCTCGGCGCAGCGCCCCGCCCGCCGGGGGCCCGGGCCCGCGAGGACAGGGTGGGCTGCGTCCAGGCCAGGGGGCAGCGCCGATCCCCGGCCGGGGGCGGGGGCTCGGCGGCGCCCCTGGGCGTTTGCACGCCCCGCGGCAGGGCCCCCGCGAGCCGCCGGGGTGGGGAAACCTACCGCGCCGGCGAAGCAGCTCCGCAGGGCCTCGAACTCCCGCGCGCAGAGGTCCTTCCTCAGGCGGCCGCCCGGGGCCGTGGAGGCCTGCACGCACCGGCCGTACGCCGCGGCCTGCGGGCGCAGACGGAGTCACCCGCGGCCCCCGCTCGCCAGCGCCCGCCCCGCGGCCCCGCCGCCCGCCCTCGCCCCTCACCTCGGCCCCGCAGGCCGCCAGGCGCTCGGGAAAGGCGCGGAGGCGGCCTCGAACGCGCCCCCACACCGCTCCGTTCCCCGACATGAGAGGCGCTCCCTGGCTCCCACGGGCGCCGCCATCTTAGGCCAGGCCCCTTCCGGTGCATAACGGGTCCATAGGTCGGCGCTTCCGCCCGTAGTCTTTCCCGCGCCTCTCATTGGCCAGCTTTCAGTGCGCGCTGCACCTGCGGGACCCTATGATTGGCTTGAGGGCTTGCCAGTCTTTGAAAGGGACTTCGGATTGGCTCGGGCTCAAACTGTTTCCCGGAGGCGGCCCCCGCGCGGGCTATAGGCCAGCGAGGCCCGCCCCGCGCGGTGATTGGAGGGGGCGCGGGGCCTGGCGGAAGTGGGCGGGGACGGGAGGTGACCGGCACCATGGCGGCCGCGCCGCCGCTGCGGGACCGGCTGAGCTTCCTGCACAGGGTGAGTGCGGGGCGCGCGGGCGGCCGCGGCCGGAGCCGCCGCCGCCCCGCCCCGGCCCCCCGCCGGCCCCCGCGCACGGGTGTGGGCGGGCCCAGAGACGAGCCCGACTGCCGGCAGCGCGGGGCCGGGGCGCCCTCCGGCCTGACGCGGCCCCGGGAGGAGCCCGGCCCGAGCCCGCCCGCCCGCGGGGGACCGCAGCCCGCGGAGCGCCGGCGGGAGCCCCAGGGCCTGCGCGGAGGCGGCCCCGCCGGGCGGTGTCCCCGGGGCTCGGCCCTCGAGGAGGACGCCGCGCGGCCGGGCCCTGTGGACGCGCCGCCCTTGCTCGGGGGCGTCGGAGCCGGCGCCCCTCACCCGCAAGCCCTCACCCGCGCGCCCCTCACCCGCGCGCCCCTCACCCGCAAGCCCCTCACCCGCGAGCCCTCACCCGCAAGCCCTCACCCGCAAGCCCTCACCCGCGCGCCCCTCACCCGCGAGCCCTCACCCGCAAGCCCCTCACCCGCAAGCCCCTCACCCGCAAGCCCCTCACCCGCAAGCCCCTCACCCGCAAGCCCTCACCCGCAAGCCCCTCACCCGCGAGCCCTCACCCGCAAGCCCCTCACCCGCGAGCCCTCACCCGCAAGCCCTCACCCGCAAGCCCTCACCCGCAAGCCCCTCACCCGCAAGCCCCTCACCCGCAAGCCCTCACCCGCGCGCCCCTCACCCGCGCGCCCCTCACCCGCAAGCCCCTCACCCGCAAGCCCTCACCCGCAAGCCCCTCACCCGCGAGCCCTCACCCGCAAGCCCTCACCCGCAAGCCCTCACCCGCAAGCCCTCACCCGCGCGCCCCTCACCCGCGAGCCCTCACCCGCAAGCCCCTCACCCGCAAGCCCCTCACCCACAAGCCCTCACCCGCAAGCCCTCACCCGCAAGCCCCTCACCCGCGAGCCCTCACCCGCAAGCCCTCACCCGCGCGCCCTCACCCGCGAGCCCTCACCCGCAAGCCCCTCACCCGCAAGCCCTCACCCGCAAGCCCTCACCCGCAAGCCCCTCACCCGCGAGCCCTCACCCGCAAGCCCCTCACCCGCGAGCCCTCACCCGCAAGCCCCTCACCCGCGAGCCCTCACCCGCAAGCCCTCACCCGCAAGCCCTCACCCGCAAGCCCTCACCCGCAAGCCCTCACCCGCGCGCCCCTCACCCGCAAGCCCCTCACCCGCAAGCCCTCACCCGCGCGCCCCTCACCCGCAAGCCCTCACCCGCGCGCCCCTCACCCGCGAGCCCTCACCCGCAAGCCCTCCCCCGCAAGCCCTCCCCCGCGAGCCCCTCACCCGCGAGCCCTCACCCGCATGCCCCTCACCCGCGCGCCCTCACCCGCAAGCCCTCACCCGCATGCCCCTCACCCGCAAGCCCCTCACCCGCGCGCCCTCCCGCAGCCGCGCCGGCCGCCTCTTCCAGGCTCGCTGCCCCCCGAGTGTCCCCTCCCCGGCTGCCCTCCTGGGGCCTCCTGCCGGACTCCCGCCCCTTTGCCCGGGTCTGCCAGGCCGGGCGTCGCGGCGAGCAGGACCGCGGGCTCAGTCCTGCTTTGGGTCCTCTCCGTGGGGTCCCGCCCGGGGAGCCCCTGGGTGGGGCTGTGGACGCTGCTGGCGGGTCTAAGCCCCAGCCGTGCCCCCCTTGCCTGGAGGCCACCTTCTCCAGGCCCACCCCCGCCTGGGAGCCAGGCCCTGCGCTGGGGGGCTCTCCCGAGCGGCCGTGGACTCACCGCCAGGGCCTCTCGCCCGGCAGCTCCCCATCCTCCTGAAGGGCACGTCGGACGACGAGGTCCCCTGCCCAGGCTACCTGTTCGAGGAGATCTCCAGTATCCTCCCTGCCTCCCACGCCGGGCCCAGGGCCGCAGGAGGGTCCCGGTTCTCCCGTGCAGGCTCCCCGGCTCCTCTACTGCTGGGGGTGGCCCCGGAGCCCAGGGCCTCGCGGGGACCTGGAGCCGAGGCTGGGGCGGGGCAGGGGTGTGTCCAGAGCACGTTGCTCCCCTAACCCGGCGCTCCCAGAGATCTCCCACGAGTCCCCGGGCAGCAGCCAGTGTCTCCTGGAGTACCTGCTGAGCCGTCTGCACGGCGGCTCCGGCCGCGTGAAGCTCAAGGTGAGGCTGGGCTGGGGGGGGCGGGCAGAGCCAGCGGCTGCCAGGAGCCAGGCCCAGCCCCCCCTGACCCCCCAGGTGCTGAAGATCCTGCTGCACCTGTGTGCCCACGGGTCCCCGGCCTTCCTGCTGCTGCTCAGGCGCAACCCCGCCTTCATCCAGGAGGCCACAGGTGCGGGGACCGTCCCGGGGCGCGGCCCTCCCGAGCTCATCCCAGGCCGTGCCTCTGTCTGAGCCGCCCACTGGGCCGTCCGGTGCCCTGCCCGGTCCTGGCCGTGACCGCCCTCCCCTGGCCAGCACTCCCCGCCGGCGCTCTCAGCGGGACCTCTGGGAAGGCTCGCGGGAGGCTGTGGGGGCCCAGGGGGGTCCCAGCTGGTGTCGCCTCCGCGTGGACCGTCCCCCCGCCTGGCTCTGAGGAGTCTCTGGAAGGACTTGACCCTCAGGCGAGCGTCCACCCACTTCCTGGACTCCCATCCCGGCGCCCTCGGCTGCCCTAGCACGCAGGCCGCTCCCCGAGGGGCCACCGTCGCCCGGAAGAGGCTCAGTGGTTGGCGAGCGTGTCCGTCCTCCAGGCCCCGGGTCGCATCGCCCCTTCCCCGGGGACGCGAGCAGGGCCGCCACCGGCCCCCCACAGGCAGGAGCAGCCTGGACCCCGCTTGCCCGCACGCTTGGGAGGTGCCCCGGGGCTGGGAGCTGGGCTCCCCAGGGCTGGGCGGAGCAGCCCCCTTCACTCGCGGGCCAGGCGGCTGGGGCGTCCCCCCGGGAGGCTGGAGGGCGGGGGGCGTGGCTGGCGGGGCAGCCCCCAGGGCTCGCTGGGCTGAGCTCGGGCTGGCGAAGGGGTGCGGGGGTGCAGGTTGGCACGGGGGGAGGCTGCGCTTGGGGCCTGGCGGTGGGCCCCGTGGGGACGGCTCTGCCCCCGCGACCCGCTTGCGGACTCGCCTCCCACCAGCCGTGCCGGGCACAGGGCGGGCTGCGCGGCTCGGGGCCAGCTCGGGGCCGGCAGCGGGGAGGGGCGGAAGGGAGACTCTTGTGACACGGGAGCCGGGAGGTCGCCCTCGGACGGCCCCTGACAGAGGCGGGTGCCCTTTGCGGGAGAGGCCTGAGGCCGGAAGAGCTCGGGGGCGGCTTCACCCCACGCTGGGGCTCTTGAGCTAGGGAGCCTGCCCGGGCTCGGGGGGACCTCTGGGGAGGGGGCGGAAGGTGGGCCCGCGGCGCGTCCCGGGAAGAACTCGGAGGGTTTTGGGTGGGACGAGCCCCCATCCTCTGGGTGGGCGCCGGGTGAATTGGGCCGTGACGTGGACGCGGCGCAAGGGCCACGGGGCCTGTGGGCTGGGGCCAGTGGCGGAGCCGGAGGGGCTGGGGCGCTCTGGGGAGCGGAGAGACCGGCCTGGGGGTGGTACCTCGGGGCTCAAGTCAGGGCCGGGAGGGGTGCAGAGGTGGGGCCGGGAGGCTCTGCGCCCCTGGCTTGCACCCCCTGGAGGCCGCAGCCCCACGCCCTGAGCCCCAGCCTCCGCCGCAGTGTTCGCAGGACCCCGGACCCGCTCCACGGGAACAGCTTGTACCAGAAGGTGCGGGCGGCCGCCCAGGTGAGCCAGGCCAGCCGCTTCCCAGAACAGCCCTGGGGGGCACCGAGGAGCCGGCCTGGCGGCGGAGCCGAGTTGCAGGGGAGGGGGCAGCGCCCCAACCCCCCACTGAGCCGTCTGCCCTCTCGTCCAGGACCTGGGCAGCGCTTTGTTCTCTGACACCCCGTCACCTCCACCTGCCCCGCCCCCCAGAGCCCTGCCGCCTGCAGGTACAGCCCGGCCCCTTCCCTCCACCTGTGCGGGGAGTGGGGGCTGCTGGCACTGACACCCCCCCCCCGCCCCTCGCAGGCATGGGCTCCCAGTCCCGGCCCCAGGGCGCTCCCCAGGGCTTTGGCTACAGCAGAGAGCGGGCCCACACGGGTGAGTGCCGCATGGGCCCTAGGGGTGTGGGGTGGGTTCCACGGGGTGGGCCCCGGGCAGCCCCCAGGGCCGATCTCCCTGCCCATCACTGCCTGCGAGAGGGTGGCAGGTGGGAAGGCGGGGCCGGGCCGGCCGGAGGCTTGGCTGGGAATGCCCACGAGGCCCAACGTGCTGGGCGACCCGGCCCCATGCTGCCTCGGCCGCTGGCCCCCCGGCGCTCCTGCAGCCCCGAGCCTCCCTCTCTTTGGGGTGCCAGCACTGTCATAGGAGAGGGCTCCCCAGCATTGCGCGTGAGCACCTTGGGGGCCCAAGTTCCAGGCGAGCCGCTCTGCGGTGCGCCCTGGGCTCTGTGGAGCTGGGGAGTGCGCTGAAGTGCGGTGACCGGGAAGCTTCTGGAAGGGCCAGCTCCCCTCCCCCTCCGTGTAGGATCCGCAGGCGAGGTCTTCCTCTCCACCATCCAGAAGGCCGCCGAGGCGGTGGCTCACGCCGTGCGCCCTGGGCCGGGCAGCCCAGGAGCCCAGAGGCCCCTGCCGCGGGGCGACGCCTACCAGCCTGCCGTGACGCCCTCAGCCAGCCTCGGTGCCCCCCCGGCCCGGCCGCCGCCCCCTGGCACCACCCCAGGTGCCCGAGCTGTCAAGGGGTCTGGCTCCCCTGCAGGGCGCGCAGCGAGCTTCTCCTCGTCACCCGCTGGGGGTGGAGCGCCAGGCAAGGGGGCTACGAGGGCGCTGCCCGGCGACTCCCTGCTGGCCGGCGCCGCCCGCGGGCTCCTGGACACTGGGCTCTCCTTGCTGCCGCCCGAGGGGCGGGGCGGGCTTCCCGGGGCCCCAGCTCCCCAGGAGCAGAACCGGGACTCAACAGCCCAGAGCCTCCCGGCTGCTCTGTGGCCCCTGCGGGACCTGGGGGTCGGCGGCGAGCCCCCCAGGCTCTGCGGGCGCGGGCGGAGGGAACAGGCACCTGCGCTGGGCAGACGGTCGTGCTGCGGGGTGGGCGCGAGGGCCCCGCCCGCCTCTCTGGGTCTGCGGGACAGGGGCTCCCGGGAGGCGGGCGTGGGGGCCTGAGGTCCTTGGCTCTGACGGGCCCTTGCGGGTCCTTCCAGCCGCCAGACACCAGCCCGGGCAGGCCGGGGGGGGCTGGGACGAGCCGGAGAGCAGTCCCCGCCCCCAGAGCTCCTCACAGGGGAGCAGCGGCCTGAGCGAGGCCTCCGGTGCCGGCAGCCGGTCCGGCAGCGACAGCCCCCCAGGGGCCAGCGGGGCACCCAGCGACTTGGCGGAAAGGTGAGGCGCGCCTCTGGGTGTCCCTCAGCCTTGCGCTGGGGCCTGCCGGCTGGGGCCACGCTCCGCCGTGACTCCGGGTCCCGCAGGGCGGAGGCCGCGACCCTGAGAGACTGCCAGCCGGAGCTGAGCCTGGTGCAGGCGGTGACCCGGGGGCCCCGAGCCTTCCTGAGCCGAGAGGAGGCCCAGCACTTCGTCCGCGAGTGAGTGCCCCCCGCGTCCCAGGCCCCGCGGCCCCGCGGGAGGGCCTCCCCTGCCCAGCCGCCTCCTGCCCGCAGGTGCGGGCGGCTCAACTGCGAGGCGGTCCTGGAGCTGCTCATCCACCGCCTGGACGGGGCCAGCGAGTGCCAGCAAATGGTGAGCGGCGAGAGGGGCGGCTCCGCGCGGGGCCTCCCTGGGAGGGGTGCGCCCTGGCTTCCAGCGCTGGGGGCTGGCCTGGCCCGGGGCCCAGAGGAGGGCGGTGGCCGGGGAGACGGGCCTCCCTCCCGGGGTCCCTGCGACTGCCTCGGCCCCGCAGAGAGCTCTGGGAGCCCTGGCCACCCTCGGGGGCACCGACCTGCTGGCCCAGGAGCACGTCCTTCTGCTCTCCCGGCCGCGGCTGCAGGAGCTCAGCGCAGGCAGCCCGGGACCTGTGACCAGCAAGGCCACCAAGGTGGGCAGCAGGCGTGGGGAGCCCCCGGTTCCCAGTCCCTCCCGGTTCAGAACAGCCGTCGCCCCGCCGCAGCCTCCTAAGGGCCCTGGGCCCCAGCTCTCTCCACCGCTCTGCCCCGGGGCCCCTCCCCCTCGCAGCTTGGCGCCCACGGGCCTCAGGGCCTCTTCCAGGAAGCCCTCTTGACTGTCGAGGCGGCTTTCCCCACCTTCTCCCCTCTGGGGCCCAGCTCCTGGGTCTGGTTTCCTTCCAGACCCCCCACCGCTTCTCTGGCCGCTGAAAATTCAGGCCCTTAACCGCCTGACCTTGGCTGCGCCCTGTGAGGGCCTTCACCGTCCCCCGTCCCTCCCTCGTCCAGGTGCTGCGGCACTTTGAAGCCTCGTGCGGACAGCGCCCCCCTGCCCGGAGGCCCGCGGCCAGCCCAGAACCCGCCGCCGCCTGCGGGGGCCCGTCTGACCTGCTGGCTGACGCTGTGCCCTTCCTGGGCGGCCCAGCGTCCCTGCAGCCGCTGAGCTCCACCCTGTTCTCACCCCCCTGTCCTGCCCCGCGCCCAGCCCCCGCGCCCTCCACTCCCCTGGGGGACGCCCCCCTTCCAGGCCCACAGGACACCGCAGGGACTGAGAACAGACTGGCAGGTTCTGGAGACCACGGGGCTGAACCTGAGCCTGGCCCGGTGGGTGCAGACACCCCTGACGACAGCGGCAGCTCCCTGTTTGCTGGCATGGAGCTGGTCGCCTGTCCTCGCCTGGCAGGTGCCGGGACAGCAGTGGAGGAGCCCCTCCCGGGCCCCCAGACCCCCTGGACATCGGCGCGGAGGGCAGCAGCCAAAGGGCCTCCTGGCTCCGAGCCATCGGCCTTTGCGTTCTTGAACGTGTGATGGTGGGGGCTGGGCCCGCGGGCCCGCCTGGTCCCGGCCCACCTGAGGGCCTGCGCACCGACCGGTGCCCGCAGCATCTGCCACCGTGCGCCGCCTCCCCTGCAGGTGTTCCCAGCGTTGGTCCGTTCAGAGGCCGGAGCGGCCGCCAGATGCCTCGGGAGAGCACGGCTCGTGGGCGGCAGTGGCCTTGCCTGCCCAGCCTGGCCCCGGGGGGTCCTACGTGGGGAGGGCAGACGGTGCTGGGCAGCTCTGGCAGCATCAGGACGGAGCCTGTTGAGATCAGCCACTGGGGCCCTGGGCCGGGCCTGGCCCTGCCTGCAGGCCGCGGGTGTCGCCAGGAGACCTTACTCTGAGAGGCCGATGCTGGCCATTTGGCCTGAGGGACGAGGCTGACGTGTGGATTCGGCCTGGGTCCTGCTGAGCCGGGGTCGTCCTCAGGGCCAGTCCCCTGCGCGCAGCGTGGCTGCGGTGGCCGCCTGCACACTCTGCGCCTCTGCTGGGCCGGCATGTCTGGGCACGTTGCGAGCTGCCTGGGGGGCGCAGACGCGTGGACAGACGGTGCCGACAGCTTCTTTCCACGCCTCGGGCAGGGCCTGTTTCTGCCCTAAACGCCCCAGTGGGCTCTGGGGCCATTTTCTTCATTTCGAGTTTCTGAGGCCGACACGGAAGGACGCGGCTGCCTGGTTCTTCGGGTTCCGGTAGCTTCTGTCTTTCAGGAAAGCGGTCGTTCCCCATGAGCCAGGGGACCCTCTTTCGTGTCGGCGCCGTTCTCCCCCTTGGTCAGTCTGACTTGAAGTTTGTTAATATCAGTCTCCAAAGAACTCACTTTTGGGGGTGGTTTTTCCGACTGCCTTTGTCTCTCCGTTTCTTCATCTGCTGTAAATTCTTCTCTGGGTGTTGTTTTGCGTCCTGTGAATTTCTGTATTTTACGTCTATTCAGATTGAGTTTTCTTTTTTGAGTTATTTTTATTTATGTGTAGAAGCACTGGGGTGCAGCCCAGAGGTGTGGGGAGTGAGCGGACTCCCCAGAGCCAGAGCGGGGAGCAGCACAGGCGGATGCACTGGAAGGCGCTGCTGCGGGGAGCAGCGGGCGGCAGGAGAGGTCTGCGCGCCCTGTGGGTGGCTCCCTGGCCGCCCATCAGCCTCGGGCCTCAGTGGCTGCCAACAGCTTCACTGCGCTGAGACCTGACCCCTGCGCCACTGGGGAGCCCCAGATTGAACTATTTTTCAGTGTTTTTGCCCCAGGGTTATTTGAAAGTGTGGTTTTCTGCTATTTCTACTGTAGTCCTGATGCAGTGAGGGAACGCACCGTGTAACGCTGGTGACTTGTTAAAGTTTGTTTTATGGCCCAGAATTTAATCTGTCCCGGTGCACATTCCACACGCACTCGGTCTAGAGAACCACAGCCCAGCGTCCTTCTGACAGGCAGGAAGGGCCCTCGGCCAGCCGGAGTCGGTCCCGCCAAGGGGCCTTTATCCTGGGCCGTGTGACCCTCCCCAGTAAGGCCACAGTCACGTGGTCATTTCATGCAGCGAAAGGAAGAGACAAAATTCAACATTCAGGTCAAAACAACTCAGCAAACTCCAAGTAGAGTTTCTTTTCTGCCCGGCAGGCGTCCATGCCCGCCCGCGGCTAACGTCTCCCGCGACGCCTGCCCCCAGAAGGGTCGGCAGAGGCCCCGGGCTGCGGTGAGGCGAGAGGACGGGCGGGGGCGGGGGCGGGACAGTCCCGCGGGCCGGGTCGGTGCACCCGGCGGCTTCGCTTCCAGACCCGCCTCTCCCCACACGGCCCCCAGCGCGCGGCCCCCGCGGCTCGAGAAGCCGGAGCGCGAGGTTTACCGAGTAGGCGTCACAGGGCGGCGGCCCCAGGGCGGGCCGAGAGCGGGACAGCCGGGGCCTGTGGCGCCTCCACGGGGCTTCGTGGCGCGGGCGGACTTCGAGGGCCGCCCTGGGGCCCAGGGTCGTCTCGGGCTGTCCCCGCGGGGCCGAGTCCAGCCCCCGACAGGGAGTGACCCGGGCCCAGCGGACCCGCCTGCTGCGCCCGCCCTGTCCCGGGAGGCCGCGCCCGCGCCCCAGCCCCCTCCCCCGGCCCGCGCCCCAGCCCCCCCCCAACCCCCAGGCCCGCGCCCCAGCCCCCCCTCCCCCGGCCCGCGCCCCAGCACACACCCCCCACCCCCCAGGCCCGCGCCCCAGCCCCCCTCCCCCGGCCCGCGCCCCAGCACCCCCCCCCCGGCCCGCGCCCCCACACCCCCCCCCGGCCCGCGCCCCAGCACCCCCCCCACCCCCCCCCCCGGCCCGCGCCCCAGCCCTGCGCAAAAAAGAAGTCTCAAGGCCTCGAGCGTCGGATCCCGCAGGGGCGGCGCCGCGGGGGGCGTGGGCTGCGGGGAGGCCGCCAAAACTTTGGGAAACACCGAAACACAGCGCCCAGGATGAGGGGACGTCGAGGACCACGGCGCGCCCGCGGGGGCGGGGCTACTCCGGGCCCCGCCCACAGACCCGCCCCTCCGGCCGCGTCCAATCGCACCTCCTCTCTCCCCGAGGCTCCGCCCAGACCCGGGCTTCCCGAAGGACAGCCCCGCGGCCCAATGGGCTCCCAGAACAGCCGGATAGGGCGGCCGCGGGCCAATCCGGGGGCGGCGCGGTGGGGGGGGCGGGGCGGCCGGTTGCTGGTCGGGGTTGCTAGCGCCGCCCGCCGCTGCCCGTCGCCGGCCGGACCCCGCACCCCGCGCGCCAGCCCGGCTCGCGCCCGCGCGGGGGCGCGCAGGTGAGGGGCGCCCCAGGCCCGAGCGGGTGGGGGGGCCGCGCCGCGAGCCCCCCTCCTGCCGGGGCGGCCAGCTGGGGGGCCGGGCGCGCGCGGCCTGTCCGCGGGGTCCAGGCCGCGGCCGCGGGGCTGCGGGGCGCTGGGGCCGGCGCGGGGTCAGCGGGGCCGCGGCGCGGGCGGGGGTGGGGGCGGCCGGGGGCCGCGCCTGCCGGGCCCCGCGGGGCAGTCCGGGGCGCCAGCGCCCACAGCGGCGGCGCCCCCCTCCGCCCGCGCCCCCGTGCTCCTGCCGCCCCCGCACCGGCCGGGCTGCGGCGGTGGGTGTGGACCGCGGGGGGCGGGGGGGCTGAGGAGCCAGGTGGTGGGCGGTCACCCCAGGCGGGCTTGGGGCAGAGGGTGAGGGTGCTTGAGCAGGCGCCCCAGGCCCCTGGTGAGCAGGTGACGCTGGCCGAGCTGCGCCCTCTGTCCTGGGGGCCGAGGAAGGGAGAGGGGTGCAGATGCCCAGAGGGGCGGGGGCCGGCGGATTGGCCCCAGGAGCTCCCGGTGTTCAGGGGAGGGATTCCCTCACCAGAAAAGTTTGGGGACCCTGGGTTGGACAGAATTAAGCAGGTTCTTGGAACTTTCCAGACCAAATCCAGGGTCGGGACCGTGGGCCTGGGCGGCCTCCGGGAAGCAGGGGGCACAGCTCAAGACAGCGAGGCGCGTCTGCAGCAGGTGGGGGTACACAGCAGTGCTGGGCCCTGTGCACCGCCGCCCCTGCGCTGGCACCTGCCGGCAGGGCCCCCTGGGAGGTGGCATCTTGTCCTCAGGCGGCCCCCCTGGCTGTGCAGCTATCCTGCTCCCCACGCACATTGCCCTGGGGTGTGGTGGCCGGCTCTCAGGCCAGTGCCCCCAGGTGCCAGAGGCTGGCCCAGAGCTGGCGGTGGGTCCTGGCCTTGGGGCGTTTTCCTCACGTCTTTCCTGTCTGCTCAGGGCTCCCGTCCACCATGAAGGCCTCCCGGGCCGTCAGCAGCCCCGCCGGCCCCCCGCGAGCTAGTCCGGAAGGTGTGGACCTGAGTCTGACAGGCCTCCCCCCACCTGTGTCCCAGCGCCCCAACAGCGCCTCGGCCACCAGGCCACTTGCCCGCACCGTCTCCGTGGTGGTGGGCAGCGAGCCGAGGAGGAGGGCACTGGTGAGTCTGCTGGGCCGCCCCAGGCTGTGTGCTCTCAAGTGTGGGCTGGCTGGGGCCCGGCTCGGGCCCTGCTCGCGCGTGGTGACCTGGACGGGCAGCTTTCCTGGCCCAGCCTCAGCGTGCCCCCCTTCCACCTGCGGGGGGGCAGTGCGGATGTGAGAAAGTGAGGCGCATGGAGACCCCGGCCCCGCCTTACCGCCTCCTGACCAGTTCCCTCCCTTCACAGGGGGGCCCGGGGCTTGGGGGCCCTCTGGCCGCCAACAACCTCCGCAGGTCCAGCAGTGCCACCCAGGTGAGCCAGCAGCCGGCCGGCCCGGCGTGGACCGGCTCCTGCAGGTAACCCCGCACCCCGGGGACAGCCCTCGGCAACTCCACCACACCCCTCCCGCCTCGCAGCTCCTCCAGCTGCACGCTGTGGCGTCCACTGGGTGGGGGGCCGCCAGCGCCCTGGAGACATCAGGCCTCTGTGCCCCAGAGCCAGCCTCCGCCCCAACAGAGACGCTGCACCCCTCGTCCCCAGCTGGAGCTCCGCACACCCTGCCCCATGTCCCTGGTGCATGTCTGGTGGCGTGGGTGGCGGGGGCGAGTTGGGGCTCATCTGGGGGCCTGTGGGCTCTGCCCTGGGGTGCCGGGACCTGCTGATGGCAGGAAGGAGGTGCAGTGTCTGGTGGTCCCAGAGCCCCTCCCCTGAGCCCCGCTTCTGCTTGGGGCTCCTGATGGGGGTGGGGGGCTGCCTCAGGCCACGCGGTTGGGAGGGGCTCCGCAGCCCTGGCCCCGTGCATGTGCGCACCTTTGAGAAACCAGGTCTCTGCTGTGCTTCGTGCTCGAGCTCAGGAGCCGTTGCCCCGCCTGGCCGCTCTGTGGCCCCGTGCCCTCGCACTGCGGCCGGGGACAGGCTTGGCGGGAAAGCGCCCGCTGTCGCTGTCGGGGAGCCATCCGCGCAAGGCAGACACACGGCGGGAGCCCTGGCCCCGTCACAGCCACTGCTGGCCGCCGGCGCCCCCGCCCTAAGCCCCACGCCCCCTCCCCCCGTCACTCTGTGCCCGCACAGGCCATTCCTTTGAGGCCTGAGCTGCCTGGTCACACCGGGGAAGCCCGTCCTGACCGCCCAGAGCCTGCTGGCTCCTGGGCCTTTGGGAGCCTCGGCCCGCCCTTGTGTCCTGACCGGCCCCTGCCGCCTCCTGGTCTCTGGGGCCAGCCGCCCAGGAGAGCCCTGCTTGGGCCTTGTGGCCGTGGCCCGGGCGGTGTCCTCGGTGTGGGTTTGTTACGGGGCAGAGAGAGGGGTGCCCCAGAGCTCCCAAGCCTGCCTGCTCTGAATAGGCTCTGCCATCCGCCGCATCAACACAAAACATATGAGGCTTTGCTGAAAAGAAACTTTAATACGATTGGGAAACAACACAGAAAAGGCAAAGAATATAGTTTCTAAATTGAGCACCCAGAGTGACCCGTTCCCTCGTGGGTAAAGCCCACCCAAGTAGGATTGGCCCAGAGCAAGGCCCCAAAGCTGCCCCAAGTCTAAAGCACCTTCCAGTGGGGACCCACAGAAAAGGGTCAGAAACAACCAGACAAGTCTGGGAGGAAAAGAGCAAAATCAAGACAAACACTGCCACTGTCCCCTCCCCGCGGCTCTCGCCCACGTCTGTGTCACCCCGTCCACGACCAAAAGGCGGACAGTTTCTTCACGTGTCTCTCGGCTCCACGTGCCTCCTCCAGGCGCCTCCTGACTCCATCCTGCTCCTTCCTTCTGTGTCCCTTCTGCAGCTGCTTCTCCCTGCTCAGCTCCACCCTCCCTTGGGTGGGGCAGGGAACCTGGAACCTCCCCCTTTTTTGGGGACTCCCCCCCCGGTTTTAAAGATTTAGGGTCAGCTGTAGCATTTCCCTGAAGCCCAGCCTGGGGTGCAGGGGGTCCGGGGACGGCTGAGCTGGGCTTGTGCCGTTTCTGCCCTGTGGGCACCTTCCCCTGCTGTGGCGAGGGCCTTACGGTCCGCTGCTGGCCGCAGGGCGGGTGCCGACATCCGAGCTCAGTGTCCTCGCCATCGCGGCCTGCACCCAGCTGGCCTCCGGGCCCCCCACGCAGGCGTCCGGCCGCCGCCCGCAGGGAAACTCGCTGCTCGGGGCTTCCTGGTCAGTCTTCCACTAGGTTGGGCGGGTTTGGGTCAGCACCCACCGCTGCACGTGAGGGACGTGTCCTCTTTGGGTTCCGGGGTGCAGGGGGTGAGCCTTGCCTCAACAACCCCAGGGTGGTAGCTTGCAGCCTCTTCCCTGGGTGGCCGGCCCCAGGGTGTGGCCCGGGGTCCTGGCCAAGGCGGCGGCGCCATCGCCTGCTCCGGGAGCAGACAGGGGCCACCGGAGCCTCCCTGCGCGCCAGCCTCGGCCTTGTGGCTGTGGCACTCAGGCACCCCAGGCGAGGCTGGGCCAGCGGGCGGGCCGTGGAGGGCCGAGGCCCCAAGGGCTGCTTTGCTGAGACCCAGCTCCAGGCTGCCGGCCCGAGGGGCGCAGGGCTCAGCGGCTCTTCCGGCATCTAGAGCTGGGGCGCTGCCACCAGGTCAATGCTAGAAAGACTGTCACCCCAAAAGTAAGCCCGCCTGTGTCCCGCCACTGTCCCTGGGTCTGCCTCTCTGCCCCCATCTGGCCCCCCCGCCCCCCTCTGATCAGCTGCCTTTGCCCCACGTCCCGCTCCGGGAAGGTCGTGGGTCCCCTGCTTGTGGCTGGTCAGCTCCGGTGGGGACCCCGCAGCCCCGTCCCCCGCAGGTGTTTGGGCGTCGCCTCCTCCAGCCGCGCAGGGGAGACCACAGGGGCGCCCTGGAGCCAGCCCTCCCAACCTGGCTCCCCCGCCACCCCGCGCTTCCCCCCGGGGAGGACTCTGGCGGCGCCGTGGCCATCTTTAGGTCCGCCCGGGGGTCCGTGGTCACGGGGCTGCCTTGCTGCGGCTCCTGACGGGGGCCGCCCTGCTCCGGCCCCAGCACTGCCCCACCCGCTGGCCGCCTGTCGGGGCTGGAGCCGAGGTGGAGGCTGACCGCCCTGCCATGCCCTCGGCCTCCCTGTACCAAGCCGCGGGCCCTGCTTGCTGTCCTCTCTCCGACACAGGCCAGCAGAGCGCCCCGACTTCCTGATGCTCTTTGAGGACAGCCCGGGCGGGAGACAGAGGCTGGCCAGCCCGGACAGGGCTTCCAGTGACCAGGGAGCCACGGGGAATGTCCCGGTGAGGGGGGCCAGCGTGGGTGGGCAGCTCCCGTGGCGGCTGCCGCTGGCTCCGCCGTGGCTCTCGCCGCCACAGACGGCCGCGTGAGGAGGCCAGTGTCCCCGGTCAGCACTGCCCGCGTTGCAGCTGAGCCCCGGGGCCGGCCGTCGGGCGCCGAGGGGGAGGCAGCGGTTTGGGGCTGAGACAGGTCTGTGTGCACAGGGCGAGCCGCCCGGAGCCCCGCGCCCCCGCACCCCCGCGGCACCGGCGTGCCCCCGGAAGAGAGAGTGCCCCGTGACCCTGGCCCCCAGCTTCACGGCCAACAACAGGTGTGGCCGCCGGCCCTGCGACTCTGCATCCCGCCCGGCCAGGACAGGGCCCCTGGGGGTGGGGGGGTGTCCCCCAGCCAGGCCCGAGGGGCCGCTCGCCCTGGTCTGCCCGCCCTCCTGCAGGGCGGGCCCCGCGGCAGCGCCCACTCTGCTCCTGAAGGCCGCCCCTGGAGCCCCAGCACAGCCGCACCCCAGAGCAGGGCCCCCAGCCGGGCCACGGGTCTGAGTGGCCGCTGCCCCGGCCCACACCCGGCGACCGGCCGCCGCCGCCTCGCCTCTCCCGCAGGAGCAGCAAGGGTGCCGTGGGCAACCGCGTCACCGCCATGGTGCGCAACCAGCACAGCCCCGCGGAGGAGGCGCCGCCCCCCAAGAGCTCCAACCACGCGCCCCCCTCCCTCAAGTGAGACCGCTCTGCTGCCGCCGGCTGGGGTGCGGGGTGTCCCTCGGGCGGGGCCCGGCTGGGCGGCGAGGGCAGGGCCTCCCGGGCGGCGGGGCCGGCGCGACCGCTTCTGCCCTTCCCGCCAGCAACATCGTCAAGGCGGCCACTGGCGAGGCCCGCGGGGGCAGCAGCTGCCAGAAGCCACCCAAGAACCTCGCCAGTCCCGCCCAGGTGGCCTGGAGCAGCGCGGGGCCGCCCGGCAGGCGCACGGAGGTGACGGAGGAGGAGGCCGAGAGGTGACTGGGCTGCGGGTGGGAGGCGGGCAGGAGCGCGGGTCCAGGGGAGAGGCCCGCGCACCCCACGGCGGGCGGGGCCCGGGTGGCAGCTGCTTGGCAGCTCCTGGAGGCGGGGCTGCGGCGGGCGGTTACCTCGGCCAGCTGCTCCCCGCGGGTGGGCTGGGCCCTTGAGGCTTGGGGGATCCTTCTGCCATGACCCCAGCTGGTGATGGCCACGCCTGACCCGCAGCCGCTAGTGACCAGAATGTGGCCCCCGAGCCTCCAGCTGGACGGGCGGTGACCGTCCCGTGTCCCGCGAGCGCCTGGGCCCAGGCCCTGGGGGTGGGAGGCGCCGGCGCAGCCAGGAGCCCCCGCCATGCGCGTGCGTGGGCAGCGCCCCGGTTCCACTTGGGAGCAGGAGGGTTTGGCTGGCGCGGCGCGTGGACAGGAGGCCCAAGGGCGAGACCGGGGCCTTTAATGAGGAGTGGACGTAGGACATGCGAGCGCAGTGTGGGCCTCGGCGGGGGGGGGCCTGGGGCTGCAGAGGAGCCAGGGCAAGAGGGGTCGCTGCCCCCTCGCCCTCTGCCCCGCCTTGGCCCCGCCTGTGGCCCTGGGGGTGGGGCCGCCTCCTCTTGGCCCCTCCCTGTCCGTGGCTGCTCACCAGGCTGGGTGCTGCGGGGCCGGTGGCATCTCCCTCACAGCTGGGCCCTGGGCCCTGCCCGCCTGCAGGTTCATCCACCAGGTGAACCGCGCGGCCGTCACCATCCAGCGCTGGTTCCGCCGGCAGCAGGCACGGCGCCGAGCGGGAGCGGCCTGCCTGGACCACCTGCTGGCATCTGAGCAAGAGGTGGGCGCGCCGGGGGTCCTGCGATGTGGGCTGTCGAAAGCTCGGACACCCAAGGGCCCGAGCCTGACCTGGGGCCTCGCTGTCTCCCGCCCACGCCCGCGGGTCGGCAGGGCCAGGGTGGGGGGCACCTTGTGGGCCGGCGGTCCCAGCCCGCCCCAGGACGCAGAGCCAGCCCTCACCCAGCCGCAGCCCGGGGAGGAAGCCCGTCCTCTGCAGGACAGAGGCGTGCGGGGGCCCTTTGGAGGCCCAGGCCTGGACCCAGGACCCCAGTCACACCTGCTGGGGCTCGGGGTCTGCAGGGGCAGCGGCGGTGGCCGGGCGAGGCGAGCCCCCTGGACCTGCAGCAGCGGACGGCGGCGGCCAGGAGGATTGCGCGGGAGGAGCAGGCGCGCCAGGCCAGGCAGGCGGCCATCCAGGTGCCGGGGGGTCCTGAGCAGCGGGGGCCCGGGCGGGAAGGATGCTGGCCCTGAGGGCACCCTGGACGCAGGGCAGGAGGGCAGGGCTGACGGGAGGTTCCCTAGGAGCTGCAGCAGAAGCGAGCTCGGAAGGCAGGCGGCCTGGAGCCTGAGCCGCCCCCGAAGCCGGGGGGCACCGCTCACTACACCCTCAAGGCCAACAACGCTGGTGAGCTGCCCCCACCTGCCTCCGTCCATACATGGCTGCCCTGGTGTGCTGCCCCCGTGCCTGGCCACCCCCGTGCCTGGCCACCCCCAGTGCAGGCTCTCTCCTGCCTCAGGTGAGGACAGTGGCCTCTAAAAGTGTGGCCCCCCCTTCCCCGGTGGCGCAGCGGTTGAGCGTTGGGTTGCGAAGCTGCCTGCGGCCTCTGTGGCGCCAGTTCGATCCCCGGCTGCTCCCCGGCCACTGGAGGAGGGTCCCGCATGGCGCGCAGACCTCTCCTGCCGCCCGCTGCTCCCCTCAGCAGTGTCCTTCGGTCCTTCTGCCTGCTCTGCTCCCCGCTCTGGCTCTGGTGAATTCTCTCACCCTCCCGCGCTTCTGACTGTACCCAGTGCCTGTATAAACAAAACAAACAAACCAGCAAACAAATAAATAAAGCATGCCTCTATAAAAAAAATAAATAAATAAAAGTGTGGCCCCTGGACAGCATGCCCCGGCCCGTGTGGCCCTCGCTCTGCAGCAAACCCCAGCCTGTCCCCGCCCCCGTCCTGCTCACACTGGAGCTGGCCTCGTGCCCTGTGGGGAAGGCAGTCACATCACTCCAGACCCCCAACCTTTCCCCGGAAGGCCAAGGGTCTGCAGTGACCCCGGCCCTGGGGTGTCTGTGGCCCCTGGCCGGGCCCCTTCCCTGGGGCGCCTGTGGTGATGCTGTGTCTGTGGCAGGAGCGCAGCTGTGCCCCCTGGGCCAGAGGGACCGCCGCCGCCCTGCCCCTGGCGCATCTGCAGAGCCCCAGCAGCGTCTGGAGAACGAGCCGCAGGTCTGGTGGGGCCCTGGCCCTCCCTCCTCCCTGGCTTGGGCTCATCCGCGCAGGCGTGCCTGGGCCTGCCCCCTCCTCCGGGCCGGGCACGCGGCCGCTCTGGCGCTCCTGGCCTTCAACTCTGCTGCGGCAGGCGGCGAGCTCAGAGCAGGCGCTGAGGCTGGCGGGCGAGCCCAGGCGGGACCATCGCCGTGCCCTGTCCCTGGGGTGGCGGCCGAGCTGGTGCTCACAGAGGGTGTGAGGATAGCCAGGCCCCCGCTCTGCTGGGCTGGCCTCTCATGGCCCTGCGGGTTTCTCCCTCCTGCTCCCAGGGCGTGGCAGGTGAGGGCCCGGAGGTGGTGGACCCCACTGGGGGCAGGGCCAAGTCCAGGGCGACCCTGGACGAGCTGCTGGACACGCTAAAGCTACTGGAGGAGGAGCCCGAGCCGCTGCCCCGGCCCCGGGCCTACCAGAAGGACAAATACGCCTGGACCGATGAGGTGACCCCAGGGCCGGGCGCTGCGGGGCGGGCAGGCCCTCCTGCCCGTTGGGACCTGGTCAGGGCCGGGGGGCCTTCTTGAGTCTTGCGCTCACCCAGGGACCAGCGAGCGCAGGACCTCGGGAGAATGGGGGCGGCCAGGTGCCCAGTGCGGGTCTGGGCAGCCCGAGAGGCCCCTCCTTCCGGGCCCGCCAGCCCTCTCTGGCTGCCTAACAGCCCCACGTGCTGCCCGCGCAGGGGGACGACGGCAGCTCCCTGACGGCCGACAACCTGGAAAAACTTGGGAAGCTCAGTGCCCCCACCGGCCCCCCCGAGGGTGGGACTCTGCTCTCCGAGGCCAAGCTGCAGAGCATCGTGAGCTTCCTGCACGAGATGGAGGAGGCGGGGCAGGACTGGCCGGCCTCAGCCCCCCAGGTGCGCGGGTCCCCGGAGGGCGGGCGGAGCCAGGGGAGGGCCCGCCTGACCCCGTGTGTCCCCAGGGGCCCGAGGAGGGGCCGGGCCGGCTGGAGCAGGTGTCAGAGGCCGGCGCCTCGGTGATGCGGCTGCAGCTCGAGGTGGAGGAGAAGAAGCAGGCCGCGGCGCTGCTGCAGAGGGCGCTGGTAACCCGGCCCGCCCCGGCTGCCCTGCGCCCCTGCCCGCCCCGCTGGGTCCTGGTCCTCAGTGCTAGCACCTCCTGCCCCGGCCCTGCAGGCGCAGCAGCGGGACCTCGCCGTCCGGCGCGTCAAGGAGACAGAGCGGGAGCTGGGCCGGCAGCTGCGGCAGCAGAGGGAGCACTACGAGGCTGCCGTGCAGCGGCATCTGTCCTTCATCGACCAGGTGCGGCTCCGGGGAGCGCCTGCGGCGGGAGAGGCCGCCCGGGCCCCAGGGGCTTCCCAGACCGCAGCCTCTTTGATGCTCCTTTTTGGGGAAGCGTCCACAACTTGGGGAGCAGAGGCCCCACGACAGTGCTCCCAGCAGCACGGCAGGGGGACGGGCAGGTGGGCAGACACTCAGAGCGGGTCCACCCCGTCGGGCACTCAGGACCTGGTCGCTTCCCTTGTCCGGGAGGCAGCACGCCGGAAAGGCGGGGTCGTGAGCCCAAGTGCCAGCCCCCCAATCTGTGGAGGACCCCGGGGCTGGGTGGATGCTCCAGGGAGTTCGAGTCGCTCCGTGACGGGGCCTGGGGGAGGTGTCCGGCAGGATAGCACCTGTGGCTCTGGGCTGACCACGTCCTGGGACGTTGCTCCTAGTCTGGGGCCACTGGGGCAGCCAGGTCCCCAGGTGAGGGGGCTTCCAGCCCACCCCAGCTTAGCCGTCCCTGGTGGGGCCTTTCCTGGAAAAACCCCCGGGCCTGGCACCTGCAGGGATAGGGAGCCCCGTGGCTTCTGCTGGCCGCTGGCCGTGCTCTGCTGGTGGCTGTGGGTGGCCGGGTGAGGCCCGCTGGAGCCCTGGCGAGGCTGGTGTGGTCAGCTTCTCTAACGTGGCGGTGGGGTGCCCTGGGACTCCCCCCAGAAGGCCCTGTCAGGGCCATGGGGCTTCACTGATGTCAGCTGGACCCTAGGGTGTTGAGGGCCACCCCACCCCAGGGCCCTCTGCAGACCGGGTGGTGCTGGCCTTCCTGGGTGGGGGTAGGAGGGTGGGACGCAGACCCTGGGCGCTGGAGTGGGGCCTCCCCGCAGAGGTATCAGCTCTGCTCCACCCGCAGCTGATCGAAGACAAAAAGGCACTGAGCGGCAAGTGCGAGGCCCTGGTGGCCGAGCTGACGCAGGGGGACCAGAGGCACAAGCAGAAGGTGGCCCAGATGCAGGAGCAACACGAGCTGGTGAGGCCCAGCGGGCCCCCCGCCTGCCCAGCCCAGCGAGTCTGGGCTGTGATGGACGGAGCGAGACCCCCGGACGCTGGAACAGGCCCGCAGCAGCCCAGCCTCCGTCCTCTCCTCCTGGGGCTGCTTCCCCAGGGCTTGTGGACTGCCAGGCCCTGGGCAGGGCGGGCTCTGTGCTAGCCCCGCCTGCCACCAACCTGGCACCTCCCTGCTGGCTCCAGGCATGGGGCCTTTGTCATGGCAACACGTAGGCCTCCCCAGGGCTCAGCAGCTCCTCCCCTGGGGCAGCCATGGTCCCGAGCACTTCCCAGAGCAGACACCTTTGTCTTTAAAGGCTCCAGTGGCTGTCGCGGACAGCCAGGGTGGGGGCCCAGCCACGCAGGAGCAGGGGGCCTAGGGCTCCCAGGGCTGGACGGCTGCCCTCCCGCACCCACCCGCCCCAGCCCCTAGAGAGCAGCAGAGGACGTGGAGGCCACGGGGGGCGCCTCCCAGAACCTGGGGGTCAAGGGACAGGGATGGGGTGCCCTCGGCCTCTTCCTGCGTCCGACGTCTCCGCCACCAGCCTCCTGTCTTCTCGCCGGCAGGAGATCCAGAAGCTCAAAGAGCTGATGAGCGCCACAGAGAAAGTCCGCAGGGAGAAGTGGATCCACGAGAAAACCCGCAAGATCAAGGAGATCACGGTCAGAGGTGGGGGCCTCACAGGGCTCCTGGGCCGCGAGGCGGGGGCCTCCAGCCTGCTGCAGGGGCCCCTCTCCGGGGGCTGGGGTGCTGCCAGGGGCAACCCCGTAGCTCAGAGCACTGGGAGCCACGGCGCCGGGGGCCGGGAAGGTACAGGGGCCTGGGCGGGCGGCTGCGGCTCCTGCTCACAGGCCCCTCGCGGCCCCCCAGCCGAGATGGACAGTTCCTCGGGCTAGTCCAGGCCTCCTGGGGGTCCCCCTGCTGGGCTGGGGCCCGGGAGCTATGGGCCCGGGGGTGAGGCTCGCTGAGTGCAGTGCCCCCCCCCAGGCCTGGAGCCCGAGATCCAGAGGCTGATCGCCAAGCACAGGCAGGAGGTGAAGCGGCTCCAGGGCCTGCACGCTGCGGAGCTGCTGCGGGCGGACGAGCGGGCAGCCCAGGACTGCGCACGCCAGCTGGGGGAGCTGCGGGAGCTGCTGGAGCGGGAGAAAGCCGCGCTGGGCCAGCAGGAGCGGGAGCGCGCCCAGCAGCGGTAAGTGTGGGCACCCGCACCCCAGGGCGGCAGGACGCGCACCAGCTGAGCCGCGGCCCAGGCCACGGGGGCCCCGGGGTGCAGGGCCTGGGCCGGGCCGCTCTGAGCTGGTGCCTGCCCCGCAGCTTCGAGCAGCACCTGGAGCAGGAGCAGCGGGCCCTGCAGCAGCAGCGGCGGCGCCTCTACAGCGAGGTAGCCGAGGAGAAGGAGAGGCTGGGCCAGCAGGCGGCCAGGTGCGCCCAGAGGCCCTGCCCACCAGCCCGTCCTGCTCCCCGCCCCAAGCCCCCAGCCTCCTCCCCGGCCCTGCCCCGCCCGTGCTGACCCCCGGCCCCGGCCCGCAGGCAGCGTGCGGAGCTGGAGGAGCTGCGGCAGCAGCTGGAGGAGAGCAGCGCGGCGGGGGGCCGGGCCTTGAGGGCCGAGTTTGAGAAGGAGAGAGAGGGCCAGGAACGCCGCCACCAGGTGCGCGGCTGCCCGCCCTCCCGGCCCCGGCATGACGGGCACCACCAGGGCCAGCCTGACCTGAGGGGCCACCCTGGGCCTGGCCGGGCCCTGCCTGGCGGGCGTGTGGCTCCGGGTCAGGCTCACGCTGTCGCTGCCCCCAGATGGAGCTGCAAGCCCTAAAGGACCAGCTGGAGGCGGAGAGGCAGGCGTGGGAGGCCAGCTGCGCCAGGAAGGAGGTGCTGCCCCGCCCCGGCTTCCAGCCGGCCACATGGGGCCCTGAGGCGCTCGTCGGGGTGGGTGGGCTGGTGTGGAGCTGACACCCTGGCAGCCGCTGGCTGGGCCCAGGGAGAAGCCGTGGGCGTGATGGGTCGGAGTGTGCGGGGCGTGCGGGGCCACACCCCTCGTCTTCCAGTGCCTTCCGGGGGCACGCCGCCTGCACCCTCCCCAACCCTGCAGGACAGCGTCAGGCCCACCCAAGAGGCGTGGGCGCTTGACTGGCTGCATGGCAGGGGCGCGTCCAAGGCGCGGGCTCACAGGGTCAGGACAGCAGGCTGGCCCCAGGGCGGCCTATGCTGACCCCTGGGCGTGGCGGTGCCTCATGCTCACACAGGCCAGTCCGGTGGCAGCCTGGGTCTCTGGGTGAGGATTGGCCAGCCCCTCCCTGGAGGCCAGCTGGGGGCTGGGGAGACCCCTCTGTCCTTGTCCTGCGTCCTGTGGTCCAGTTGGGGAGTATCCGGCCCCACGGAGCCCCCGCCCTGCAGGAAGCCCGGCTGCTGGCCCGGGAGCGGGAGCTGAAGGAGGAGACGCGGATAGCGCGCGACAGGGAGATCGAGCTGGTCGTGCACAGGCTGGAGGCGGACGTGACGCTGGCCCGGGAGGAGAGCGAGAGGGCTGCGGAGAGCCGGTGAGGCGCCCCCCGGGCGGGCGAGGCGCGGCCAGCTGGCCGTCCAGCCGCCCCTGACCGGTCCCCCCGCAGTGTCAAGCGCATCCGGGACAAGTACGAGGCGGAGCTGGCGGAGCTGGAGCGCTCGGAGCGGCAGCTGCAGGAACGGTGCGCGCAGCTGAGGGGCCGCCTGGGCGAGGCGGAGGGCGAGGCTGGGCGCCTGCAGGGCCTGCTGCGGCAGAGGGAGAGGGAGCTGGCCGAGGCCTCAGCGGTGAGTGGGGCGGGCGGGCGGGCGGGCGGGGGTGGGCGCGCTCCGGCCAGCCCCCGTGGCTCACGACCCTGCCCCCAGGTGAGCGAGAAGCTGACCGCAGAGCGCAGCAGCCTGGCCCAGGTGCTCCGGCAGGAGTTCGCTGACCGGCTGGCGGCCTCTGAGGAGGCGACCCGGCAGGCCAGGGCCGAGCTGGCTGAGCTGCAGGCCCGGCAGCGGGTGGAACTGGAGCAGCTGACGCGGGAGAAGCAGGCGGAGCTGGAGGCTGTGCACGGGAGGTGGGCACCGGGGCAGGGCGGCCACTGGGGGAGGCCACTGGGGGACTGGGCAGGGCGGGCCTCCCGTCTGCGGGGCTCCGGAGACAGCTCCGGGGTCCAGCTACATGCGGTCCATAGCCCGCTGCTCCCCCAGACTCAGTTCTCCTGGGTCAGCCACCCCCGTGTTCTGAAGGATGGGTGGGTGGGCTCCGTGAGCCCGGCGCTACAGGGATGCCCCTGGGGGCGTCAGGGCCCCGCTTGGGGTTCTGTTCGGTGTGGCCTGGATCAGCCACACACCCAGCTCCTGCGCTGACCCCCCGCTCACCCAGCGGGACAGCTGCCCCTCTGGCGGGGTGGGGCCCTCACGGGGCTGGAGCTGCCCAGAAGCCCCGTGTGCACCCTGCAGGGTGAAGCTGGCCCTGGCCAAGAAGGAGGAGGCCGTGAGCAGCCTCCGCAGGCAGCACGAGGTGCGTGGCCGGCCGGGGGGCGGGGCGGGCGGGCGGCGCGGGGCCCGGCTGACCGTGGACCTTGCCACAGGCCGCCGTGAAGCGGGCCGACCACCTGGAGGAGCTGCTGGAGCAGCGCAGGCGAGCCCTCCCCAGCGCCAAGTGACCGCAGCGGGGGACCTGGCCGCCGCCCTGCTGGGGGGCCCAGGTGGGGGCCCCTCCTCCGCGCCCACCGGGCCCTGCGTGGAGGCCACGGCCGCGCGGTGTGTAACAGTAAAGAAGTGTTTCTAAGCCGGCGTGGCCCTGCCTGTCTCTCCCGGGCTGGCGGCAGCGCTGGAGGCCGGAGGCCCCTCCCTCGGGTGGCCGGGAGGGGGCGCCCGGCCTGCCCGCTCTCAGCCCGCCCCTCGCTGCCCGGCCTGTGGGCCCAATTCGCGCCCCCCGCCCAGAGCAGAGGGAATGGCTCCCTGTTCAGCTGGACAGGGCGGGCTCCGGGGCGCCGTGGCCCGCGCCCCCAGGAAGGCGCTCTGAGGCTCCACCCACTGTGCCTGCCGCCCAGAGGCCGCGGCACCCCTGAACCCCCCGCCCTGGAGAGGCCGACGCCTCTGGGAGACCTCTCCTTCCTGCCCGGCTCCCTGCCCACCCGGATGGATGTGCCTGAAGGTCCCAGCAGGCTGGGTCGAGCCGCTGCCTCCCTCCCGCTGCTCCCTGTCTGGGCTCTGGCCCGGGGCAGTGTGGGGTGCCCACACTCATGGGGGGGAGCTTCCTCTTGCCTACGGGGTCCCATGCTTATGGGGGGGCCCCCGCACCGTCCAATGACGGTCCTGGCAGCGGACATTCTCGGCCCCAACCCACGAGGCCGTGGAGGGCCGAGGCCACTTGCGGGAGCACGGACCCCAGGGCCCGGCCCCAGGGCCCGGCCCCTCGCTTTCCCCATCTGCGGAGCCCTCCGACCTGAGCTGGGCGCGGCAGCGAGACCAGCTGGGTGGCCCCGGGGCATCCCCAGGGCCGAGGAAATGGCACCCCGTGGGGCTGGATCACAGGGCGGGCATTGCCCTTCCCGTGCCTTGTAGGGAAACTGAGGCAGAGCACCCCCACCTGGCTCACTGTCCTCATCCCTCCTGGGAATGCCAGTGTGTCCCCTGGACAGGGCCTGTGTCCCCCGAACTAAGGTGACGGCTCCCGCTCACCTGCTCACTCTCCCCTCCTTGTCCGCCCGCCTGTCCACTCACCTGCGGGGGGGCCGTGCCCTCTGCCTCCAGCCCCCTCGCTTCCGCCGTGCTCTCGTTGGTGACCCCCACGCGCCAGCCCTCGCCCATAATAAAGGCCATTTGCTCTTGACGTTCGTGGTTTCAGGTCTCCACGCCCGGGTCTCTGCGCCACGGGACCTGCCCGCCACCGCCGTCTGGGTGAGGACGGGCCCCGAGAGGCTGAGTGGGGGGCTGGGCTGTGCCGCAGGAAGGGGCTGAGGGGCCAGTCTCGCCCCCGGGGCGCTCCGGGGCTGTCCCGAGGAAGGCTGCCCAGGTGGACTAGGGGGCCCAGCTGGGGGTAAGAGGTGGTGGCGGAAGGGGGCGCGTCCGCTGGCGAGGTGAGGGGGCTGCGTGGTCAGGCTCACTGACCCCTGCGGGGCCCTGCCCACGGGTGGCCCCGGGCTCAGACCCCTCCCTCCTCTGGCCCTCCCGGCCCAGGCGCCTGGGGCGTAACCCACCCCCACGGTCCGGCGTGTAGGCCCCATGCCCGCCGCGTGAGCATGCGGGGCGCGGGGCCGGTCCTCTCCCCACCACCAGCCCCTAGGAGGAGAGAGGGCCCGGGGCGGGCCAGGGCCACCACCTCCGCACACCACCCGGGCTCGCTAACCGGCTGCGGCCTCCCCGGCCTCTGCGCCTGGGCCGGAACCCGGTCGGCGGTGCTCAGCCTGGGGCCGGCGCTCAGCCTGGGCGAGACACTCCCTTCCCAGAGGTGAGGAGTCCAGGAGCCAAAATGGGCGAGAAGTTGGGGGTCTGGGCGGGAGGCCAGGTGGGGGCGACCAGAGCGCCTGGGCACTTCACCCACCCGGCCAGTGCGGGGGAGGGGCCCTCAGGAAGAGCAGGGCAGAAGGGGAGGGGGGTGCAAGCCCTGGAGGCTCCAGCTGGAGCTCAGGGCCTGCCTGGCCCCCACAGGCCACACCCTGGGGGTGCAGTGTCCCTGGGCTGAGACGGCTCTGCTGGACCCTGGTGGCCACGGGACCGGCTGGCGTGGAGTCCACAGGGTGCGGGTAGGGGCTCCTGCAGGCTCACCCCCACTTTACAGGCAGGGAAGCTGGGCCCTGCACCCCACTTCTGGCTCAGCCCTGCCTCCCCGGGGGCCGTGGTCTCTGGGGGTGGGGGGCTGTGGCTGGTTGAGGGGCTCCCGCTCCGGCCCTTGCTTGAGCTTCCACCCGACGGAGCCACTTGTGCGGGTCCGGGCTCTGGAGGCCTGCGGGGGCCGTGGCTGACAGTCGGGTGGAGGAGAGCGGGGCCCCTGGAATGAGCTGATGGGGTCCATGTGGGGGGCAGGCAGGGGGCAGTCCCGGAACGTCCGCGTGTACGGGAGGAGCCTGAGGTAGTTGAAGGACCCTGGGAGCCCCGTGCGGACACAGCCCGCTGCCCCCGGGGCGTCTGGCGTGTCAGTGCAGGGACAGGGGCTTCAGGGGGCCCTGGGCCGCCCCCCCACACCGCCGTGGGGTACCATGGTGCCTCAGGTCGCTGGGCAGCAGCTCAATGTCCTTGTCCGGCAGGGCCGTCTGGGAGAAGTCCTCGTCCATCCCGGCCCTGCCGTGGACAGGGGCAGCTGGGTGGGCGCAGTGTGGGGGCTCAGGCCAGCACAGACGCGGCCCCCCACGGTGTCGCTCCTGCCCCTCCTCAGGGCCCCCGGCCCAGGCCAAACCCCGGCTGCAGGGGCCACAGGGGCAGCCTCTCAGCGCCCTGAGGTCCCAGCGTGGCAGAAACACCCATGCCCGTGGCCCCAGGAGGCGCCTCTGATGCCCTCTTGCTAGGTGGCCACCGGGCGGTCCCCCGTTTCTCAGAAGACAAGACTGGGGTGTGGAGGGCAAAGCATGGGACCAGAAGAGGCCTCACCAGGAGGGCCCCTCGCCCGGCTCACAGTCACCTCCTCTGGGAAGCCCTCCTGGTGACCCCCAGTGCCACCTCTTCCCTGTCAATCCAGGCCAGGGGGCTTGGCCAGTGGGCCCTGGCTGGATGCCGTCTGCCACCGAGAGGCCACTGGGCCCAGGCCTGTCTCAAGCTGACCAGACAGCCCCAGAGCAAGGAGGCCTGCAGCTCCTGCCGGCCTCAGGAGGAAGCCCGAGCCGGCTCCCCGGGACTCAGCCTGGGGCGGGGGGCAGTCAGCCGGCGGGGCGGGCCCTGCACAGGTCAAGGGGCCAGCAGCGGGGACCAGGCCGTGCTGTGCCCCAGGGCTTCCTGAGCTGAGCCCCTGATGCCCCGCCCCCACCTGGGATCTTGGGGTCCATCCTGCAGGGCCAGGCCTGGAGAGCCCAGGCTCTGGTCCTGTCTGCAGAGCGCGTGGACACTGCTCCCTCCGTCCCCGTCCCGCCACACCCCACGGCCTCAGCTGGCAGCGCCTGCAGTTCTGGCTAAGAGTCCCGGATGCCCCCCAAACCGGCAGGGACCCCCGCACCCCTCATCCCCAGGCCTCCCAGGGCTGTGAGCTGCAGCCAGCACCTGCCAGCGAGTCACAGCTCCAGTGCCAAGACGGGAGAGCGAGGTGGAAAGGGGTGATGGTGGCAGAGCCCCGTGGTGGGGCTCCAGAGGCCTCGGTCCCCCACCTGCCGGCCTCTGGGCCTGTCACCACTCAGCCCCGGGCCTGCCGGCCGGGCTCCACTTTCCCCTGCGGGCCCTGCTCCCGGCCATCCTCACCCGTGCCCCCGCAGACCCAGCGGCCCTTGGGCTGGGGCTCCCCAGGACTGCCCTTCCCCTGCCGGCCCCGTGCCTCCCCGGGCCCCCGTCCTGGGGCTGGTGCTATGCTGCTCGCTAGGGCAGCTCCGCCCGGGCCCACAGGCTGCTTCCTGGGAGGGCGGCGCCGCCAGGCCGGGGGCTGCGCTTTCATACCCGCTGCCCTCCCAGCCTGTTCACCGCTCAGGCGGCAGCTGTCCCGCACCTGGGCCTCCACCTGGTCTGAGCTGCCCTGGGGGCTCGCTGGCATGGGCATGTCCCCGCTGGCTGGGCACACTGACCCCCCAGCCCCTGGAACCCGGCAGGTGAGCCCACGGCAGCCTGTGTGCGGCGGGCCGGTCTGGGTGTGCCCGCGGCCGGGGAGGGAGGCGCGGCGCCTCCGGCCTGAGACAGATGTTCAGGCTCGTCCTCCCGGGAGTGAGACCCGCTGACGGGTGGGGAGCGGGGCCAGGCCCCGGGGTGGGGGCAGATGCCCGGGCCTGGGCCTACCAGGCCCTGCTTGTTTTCTGGGAGGACAGTGTGGGGAGCGAGACGCAGAGGCACCCAAGTGGTTTGTTTCCTGTGACACGAATTTCACCTCGACTGAAAACCCCAGGGGCTGGGAAGCCACGCCTGCGAGGCCCGGAGGCGCTGCGGCGACCTCCCCGCCCCAACCCCTCCCCAGGAGGCCCTGTGCGACCACCTTTGCCCGCCCAGGGCGGCTCCTGAGCCGGCACCTGCCCGAGCGGCTGGCCAGTCCCTGGGGCTGCGCCATCTCTGTCCTGGGCCAGGCCCAGCTGCCCGGAACACCCGTGGGAATGGCTTCCTGCCCACCCCTCAGCTTGGCACCCCCGGGGCGTGGAAATAGGAGAGGAACAGCTTGTGCTCTCCGCGGGCACCTCTGCACAAGGACCTCGGCCTCCCGGCCCCCCCCCCCAGGACCCCAGGCCCTCCCAGACCTCAGCGGGGGGCCCTTGGGAACCCAGAGCCGCCGCCTCTTCTCTCGGTGGCCTCACCCTGACTCTGGGTCTCTGTGGCAAACACCAGAACCCCCCACACCCCACCCCCCAACGCACAGCTGCACTGGGTGGGCTTGGGGGTTCTGGGGGTGGGGCTCCCTCCAGGCAGGTGCGCCGCATGGGGCCCAGCCGTCCCCTCTGCACCGCCCAGAGCACGCTTGGGGGGCAGCGTGAGCACAGCAGGTGGCACAAGCGCCACCCGGGCTGGGGCAGTGGGAAAGGGTGGGTGGATCTGGGCGCGCGGGCGGGGGAGCCCCGTGGGGTCCCACAGGCGGGGCCGGCGCTCCCCGGGGCGTCGGCGTGTGTGGGAGGGGCCGCCGCTGGTGCGGAGATGCTCACGTGGTTGTCACTTTAGGGGGCCTCAGGGGCGGCCGTCCTTCCCCCGCAGTGGGCGAGTGGCGCCCCGGACCCTTCCGTCCGGGCAAAGCCGGAGGTCCTGCCCGAGCTGCTGAGGGGGCGAGCGCGGCGGCCCCGACCTGGGACGGGCGGCAGGAGGCCCCCCGGGGCTGTGGCCGGACCCCCTGCCAGCCCTTCTCTGCTCCGGTGTCGCGAGGGCCGAGCAGGAGGCAGGGGCTGCCCCAGAGCAGGGGCTGGAGGGCGCGGGGCGCAGGGCGGGGGCCGGGAGCCGGCGCGGGCGAGCCGCCCAGGGCCAGGGGCTCCGGTTTCCACTCCTGCCTGGCCCAGACGCTCGGCTCCTGCGCGTCACGGGTTTTCCGTGTTCACTGGCCTTGAAGGAACGACACTGAAGCAGCGACCTCGGCTGCGCAGCCCGTGTGGAGGGCGCGGCAGGAGCCGGAGCGACGGGCTACGGGCCGCAGAGCCCCGGCCAGCGTGCCGGGCTGTGGGCTTCACGCACACCCAGGCAGGCGCCCCCACTTCTACCAAATTCCAGAATATCCCGCCTCCCCCACGAGAGGCACCGTCCCCTGTCGTGGCCCCTGGGCACCTGCTGCACCCGGGTGACCGGGGCCGCCCTCCTCTCCGGGGCAGCCTGGTCCGAGCACCTGCCGGTGGGCGGGCGGCTGAGCCTGCGCTGTCCTGGGCCTCACGTCGGCCGCTCTCCGCCTCCGGGCCTGCCCCTCCGTCCCTCGCGCGCGTGGGGCCTCAGGGGGCCCCGGGCCGGGTCTAGGGCTTTCCTAGTCCTCTCCGGCCCCAGCCTGGGGTCCGCCCCTTCTCAGGAGGGCGCCTGCTCAGGGCACCCCAGCTGCAGCCGGCCTGCTGGGGGGCAGCAAGGCCCTTGGTTCCTCCAAGGGTGCGGTGCTGGGCCCGGAGCGCTGGGGTCCTCCTGCCCCACCTGGGCCCGAGGGAGGAGCTCTGCGCACAGAGGCCCTCCCGCCCCAAGGCCCCTCTCTGCAGGTGGCCACCGCGTGTCCTGGGCATTCGGTGGAGCCGGGCAGTGACCCGGCCACGCGGGCGGAGGGCCTGGGCAGAGGAGCTTGGAGCTGCTGGTCCTGCCCTGCCTGTTCTCAAGGGCCTCCCCATATCTGGGTGATGTCTTGGGGGACCTGGCCCTGGGGCCCGTGCCCGTGGCTCCTTGGCCCTCAACCCGCCGTGGGCACCGTCAGGGCCTGGAGAAGCTCCTGGAGGCCCTGTCCACCTCCAAGGCCTGAGGTGGGCGCTGGGGGCCCCTACACAGGGAGAAGTGGGGGCGCCTGCCTTCGCCCATTGATGGGAAGGGGCCACCTTGGGATAAGGGGGCGTCATGGCGGCCTCTCCGAAGAGGCCAGCCTTCCCGCCTTTCTCTGTCCCCTCCGCCAGGAACTTGGGGTCCCTGCTGTCCCCGCGGGTCTGGGTCCTGGCGCATAACCTGCTCCTGCCGTTCCCCACCCCACCCTGCAGGGGCAGCCGGGGAGCGCCCAAGCCTCGCAGCACTCGGGACCCCGCGCCCCGACTCCCTGCCCCGGGCCGGCCCCGCCCGCCGCCACCGGCCTGGAGCAAGATGGCGCTGCGGTGGGAGGGCCGGCCCGGAGCCGCCCCCCACGGAACCGGCCCTCACGGGCGGGGCGGGTGCCTCCGGGCCCATGCGGGCGGCTCGGCTGGAATCGCGCCCCCGCCCTGCCAGTGTGGCCGGTGCCAGCTGCCCCCGCGCGTGCCCCCCCCCGCCGCCGCGCCCCCGCCTCCGAGACCCCCGCCTCCGAGACCCCGGCCTCCGTGCCCCCCGCCTCCGTGCCCCCCCCTGCCTCCGTGACCCCCCCGCCTCCGTGCCCCCCGCCTCCGTGCCCCCCCCCCCGCCTCCGTGCCCCCCGTGCCTCCGTGCCCCCCAGCCGTCCCCGCCTCCGTGCCCCCCAGCCTCCGTGCCTCCCCCCCAATCTCCGTGCCCCCCAATCTCCGTGCCCCCCGCCTCCGTGCCCCCAGGCTCCGTGCCCCCCAGCCTCCGTGCCCCCCGCCTCCGTGCCCCCCAGGCTCCGTGCCCCCCAAGCCCCCGGCCTCCGAGACCCCCGCCGGCTCCGCGCCTCCCCCGCGCCTCCGGGTCTCCGGTGCTGCGTCTCCGAGCCCGCCCCGCGCGCCGCGCCCCCCGCGCCCCGGGCTCCCCGCGCGCGTCTCCGTGGCCCCCGGCGGGGGAGCCTCGCGCGCGCTCCCGCCGGTGTTTTCGGGCCGCGCCAGCCGAGCCCCGCGGCGGCCGCGCCTCTCCCCGCGCCCGGCCGCCCCGCGCCGCCCCGCGCCGCCCCCCGCCGCCCCCCGCCCCCCCCCCCCGGCCCCCGCCGGCCCCCGCCGGCCCCCGCCGGCCCCCGGCCCCCCGGCCCCCGCCGCCCCCCGCCCCCGGCCGCTGCGGCGGGCCGGCCGGCCGGGCGGGGCGCTCCACCTGCGGCGGCGCCGGCGATGGCGCGGCGCGGGCCGGGGCCGCGGGCGTCCTGAGCGCGGCGCAGCCGGGAGCCCGCGCGCCGCCGGCCGGGCCATGTCGTCCTTCTTCAACCCCAGCTTCGCCTTCAGCTCCCACCTCGACCCCGGTGAGTCCGCGCCCGGCCCGCCCGGCCCGCGCCCTGGCCCGGGGCGCCCCTTCTCGCCCAGGCTCCGAGCAGGGCGGCCCCGGGGCTGGGCAGGCCTGGGCTGGCACCCCCCGCCCGCGCTGGGGCTGGGCAGCGGCCCGGGGGCCTGGGTGGCGCCTCCCAGGGCAGGTAGGAGGGCGCGAGGGCCTGCGCTGGCCCCAGGCGTCCAGAGGGGGAAGTGGCCGGGACTAGGACCCCGGGGAGGCGCGGGAGCGTCACTGTCGGGGTGCGGCCGCCGGGGCCCTTGCCGGGCCATGGTCTCAGCGTGGGAGGCTCCCCCAGGGTGGGGGCCGTGCGGGAAGCCCTGCCGGCCACCTGGCCGCCTGCGTGGGAAGATGGGAGCAGTGGCCGGCCCGCTGGGCGGAGGCTCGGAAGAGACACACGGGGTGGGTGCCCAGACCCCCGATGGCAGGGAGCCAAGGTGGCCCCGTCCAGCAGGCTACGGGCCGGGCCGCTCACCCTCCAGGCCAGTGGCTCAGCGGCAGGCTCTCCCAGGCCGCTGGCCCCGGCTCCGGGGGGCAGTGGGTGGGCTGAAGGGATGGGGCAGCTGGAGGCCCGCACCTGACACCAGCAGGCCGAGCGCTTGCTTCCCCTGCCTGTCGGGCTCCGGCCCAGCCAAGTGGGAGAGAAGCCCCGGCCCTGAGCTGGGCCTGCATGACCAGGGGGACCACGGTCCCGCCCACACCGCTGCTTCCTGCCCCAGCTGCGGGGGGCTCTCCGGACCCCTCCCTGGAGCAGACCCCGGCCCCCGCTCCAGCTGGAGGCATTTGCTCCCCCAGGGAGAGGGCTGGGCAGGTCTGCCTGCTGGGCCGAGGGTGTCCTGTCCTCTCAGCGATGAGCCCCTGCAGTCCTAAAGGCCAGCGGTGGCCTCCGGCCGGAGGGCGGGTGGGGGTGGCCGTGCAGAGCGGCTCCAGGCCCAGGCCATCTCCAGGGACAGCTGTCCAGATGGCTCTGGGCCTCGGAGCTGTTGGCCCCGGGGGGGCGGCGGGGGCAGTCCCCAGGACCGTGAGTCTTATGGGCCCAGAGTCGCCCCTCCTTGCCCCGGGGAGCCCCCACCCTCAGACCTGGCGCTGGCTGACGTTGGCCTCCGCAGCTGCGGTCGCTGTAATTACAAGGTGCCAGTTAACGGCTCCAACTGTGCCGGCAGGCGAGGGGGGAGCACGGCCCGCTGCGGGCGGGGTGGCAGCTCCGGGGGCCCGTGGGCAGGAAAGTGGGGCGCCTGGCCTGCCCCGAGCCCCAGCACTCACAGTAGGGCTCTCCCGGCCTGCAGCCGGAACTCCTGGTCTGCTGGCTGGAGGGGCCCTAGGCCTGCCCCACCTCGGGCGCCGCCCACAGGATGCTGGGGTCTGAGGCGGGAGAGCAGCCTGTGTCTTGCGGCCCCTCTGAGCGCCCACACAGGGGCCTCACCTGGGGGCCGGCGGGCGGGGCGTGGGATCCAAGACCTGAGGGTGACCGGGGCTCCCCGGCCTCAGGCCAGCTGGGCCTGGCTGGGCGGGGGCGTCCGATGGTGGCCTTGCCTCGGCCGCCTTGCCCACCCAGGCATGGGCAGCTCCGGGAGGTTCGGCTTCCCCCAGCCTCTCAGCTTCACGCTGTGCCCCTGCCGTGTCCTGGCCCGTGCCCTCCCCGCCAGGCCACACCCCGGTGTGGACGGGGCACGCAGGCCAGCGAGGCCCAGCAGTCCCGGTCTGGGGGCCGAGCAGGGGATGGGCGCGGCGCACGGGTCCTGCTGCCCAGCTGGTGGGCTCACCGGCAGCAGCTCTCGAGCCCAGCGGTCTGTGGGGCCTGCCCAGGCCTCCCCGGCCAGCCCCAGCGGGGGCGAGGCGGCCCTTGGACGAGCTGGGCTGTGTCTCTGGGTGCACGCCGTGGGGAGTGAGGGGCCTCCCTCTCCTGGGGGAAAATATTTCTGGATTCTGGGGCATCCTTTGGACAGCCAGGCTGTGCCCGTCCCCCCAGGGGACGTCTCTCCGACGGGCCCTCGCCCGCGTCGCCTGTGCCCGCAGCTCAGGTGCGGGGCTCTCACCTGTGAGCACGCAGACCCGCGGGCGCCCGCAGCCCGGGCTGCACACCTGCACCCACCCAGGGGACGTGACCGGCCTCACCTGCCCGCGCCTGCCGTGAGGGGCGCCCACGCTGGCATTGCCCACGCGAGCGCTCACATGTGCCCTGGTGCACACCGTGCAGGCCGCTGCCGCCTGGGGCGGGCCTGATCCCGCTGAGTTGCTGCCATGTCCTCCCCCACGGCCCGCTGCCACTGGGGGGGCTGTGAAGCGGGGTGCCGGGAGTCTGGCTTTATGTCTGGGTTTTCTCCCCACCTCCAGCTCGCCTGCTGGGTCTGGGCCTGTGAGGCCCACCCGGCCTGCAGCGCCTCCTGCTCGGCCCCATCCCAGCTGGCCCTGGCGTGCTGGGCCCCTTGAAGCCCTCCTGACCTTGACCTCCAAGCGCCTGGGCCCTGGATGGGGGCAGGGTCGTGGGGGGCAGGGGGAGCCAGTCCCGGGCAGCGGCCCACGTCATGGTGGGCAGGGACGCCTGTGCCCGCAGGTGGTCCTCCTGGTGTCCATGCAAAGGCTGTGCCTGCTGCTGCCTGCCTTGGAGCCTGTCCTGAGGTGGCTGCCCCGACCCTCCGCCCTCAGGCCCTATGTCCACCCTGACCCCGCGTGCCCTTCCCCGGCGGGGGGCCTGGCTGCGGAGCCCCCGCCACGTCCGCCCGGCTCCGGACGAGACCCTGTGCGGCTGTGGGGGCCTCGTCTCCTGGGCCCAGGGGCCGGCGGCCAGTGGCAGGTCCTGGAGAGAGGCAGAGGGACCAGGGGGCCCAGGGGTTGGGGCGCCGCGGGGGGGCCCAGCCTGGCCCCCTGTGGCTCTGTGTGCGGCGGCCCTGGGCCCCCTCCGGGCGGCTCTGGCTCGTGGGGGCTGGTCTGCGCTCCCTCCCACGAGCTGCGCCCCGGATCTGCCGCGCGCTGGCCCGACTGCAGCTACAGGGGGACGCCAGCACCTCCGGGCCTCGCTCCGGCCCGCCCTGGCGTGAGGAGCCAGGCAGACCCGCGCCGGCCGCCCTGTCCCTGGCGAGGCAACGAGGGCTACAGGCGCAGGCAGGGCCGGCTCCCAGCTGCCAGTCTGGGCCGCTGCGGGGGATGGGGCCACCGAGTACCCCCTCTCTGCCAGGGCCGGGGCTGCCTGGGCCTGGGGTGGAGGCATCCTGAGGGCCCCCGGGGGTGGCCCGGCCGCTGGAGCCAAGTGGGAGTGCGCCCGGAGCCCGGGACACGGTTCCGGGGACACAGGCAGGCCCAGGGCGGGGCGTGCGGTCAGCACCTGAGGACGGGCACGTGCGCTGGGCCGCCTGTCACGGGCAGTGAGGTCAGGCGGGATGTGGCCGAGCGGAGGGACCCTGGTGGCCTGTCACGGCAGCCGGGCGGGGCCTCCTGCGCCTGGCCGGGCGGGGCCCTCCCCCGGGGCAGTGGGCTCGGCCTTCAGCGGCCGGCCTGCTGGGAGGGACCCACTTCTCCAGATCTTGTCCCCCTGCCTGGTGCCCAGCAGTGTTGGGCAGGCCCTGGGGTGGGCGACCTCAGCTGTCAGGGGGCCTGGGTGAGTGTCCGCTGCTCTATCCGGGCTTTCTCAGGCCGGTGGGAGAGACGTCACCTTGGGGTGAAGTTGGGGAACTGCTTCCATTGTGCCTGTGGGTGCGGGCGGTCCCGTTGGGCCGGCCTGATGGTGGGGCCGGGGCGTTGCTGTGGCCCTGGTGGGATAACCGCAGTGCGAGTGGACACAGGCCACTAGGGAGTATGTGCAGGGCGTGGGTGCCCAAGGGAGGGACGGGGGTACGCGTGCAGGGGTGGGGCGCGGGCTGTGAGCTGCCTCCCTCCCGAGTCCCTGGGGCAGGGCCCAGGCCCTGGATCCCCTGGACGGGCAGCACCTGGCCTGGGTGGCAGAGGGCAGGCACGGTGCTGGCCTCAGTCTCTCGGCCCCCTGTGGATGTGTGGCCAGGGTCTGGTGTGGGCGCTGTGTGACCATGCAGCCACAGCCACCTGGCAGGCCTTCCTGCCCTGGGGGCGCTCACCAGGGCCTTGAGCTGTTGGGGCGCCTGGGCCTGGCAGCTTGGGCCTGGGTGGGTCAGGCCATGTGTACTGTGGACTTGACCGCAGCTGGGGCTGTCGCTTGGGTCACACCTTGGCTGGCAGGGCGACTGTGGTCATTTCTTAGCACTGGACACTCACGCTGCCGCCATCCTTGCCCAGATGATCGGTGTCCCCTGCACCAGTCCCAGCCCTGCTCATGGCACTGTGTGCCCCTGCAGTTAAGACAGCAGGACTCTGGGTGAAGAGGCCCGACTGAGGCGGGGAGGCCTGGCAGGTTGGGGGCTGTGAAGCCTGTGGGGGGAGGCCTGGCAGGTCGGGGGCTGTGGCCCTAACCCCGACACCCCTCAGACTCCTGGCCTGCTGGGGGTGGAGTCAGAGCACCAGGGGGCATTGGCTGTACCTCTGTCCAGAGCGCACTAGGTGGAAAGTGCCTCAGTGTCTCCACTTGGAATACTGGGGGTTCAGCTGGGACCGCTGCCCTCCATAACCACCCCTCGCAGTGCGGCGCTTGGGGGTGGCCTGTCCATGGGGCCTCTGCAGCGAGAGGCGGCGGGCAGACGCGCTGGCCGGGCCAGCAGCCCGCCCCGGAGCTCTCTAGTCAGACACACAAGGGTTCTGGGTCTCCCCTCTTCTGTCTCCCCCGACCTCAGATGGGGCGGTGGGAGGGGACAGAGGCGGGGCCCCTCCCCTGGTAGGGGACACCCCCAGATGCCCATGGGGCACGGCACAGCTCTCTCCTTCCTGCCTGGGGACCCTCAGGTGCTGCCATTTGCTCCAGCCAGTGTGGGAGGGGGTGCTGGGGGCTGTGGCGGGGCTCCCGGGGCTCGGCCAGTGCCTGCGCGCCGACCCCGGGGCCCCTCGCGCCCGGCACGCCCCTGTTGCGTGAGCTCCTTCCTGCGCGGGATCCTGTTTGTGTCACAGCTGGGGGGAGCGGGGGAGGGGGCCGGGGTGTCCTCAGGGGCCCCACCCAGGCCTGCTGGGATCCCCACCCCGTACGGAGCCCCGTGGGCCTCAGGTGAGGTGGTGCCGGGACACCCCGGGGTGGGGGCTGGGCCGGGCCCACCGGGACCGAGGTGGTGCGGGGCTGTGGTGACAGCTGCAGGGGCCGCTGGGCCGGAGGTGGATGTTGGCCTGGGCTGGGCGTGCTTCCGGGAGGTCGCCCAGCACCCACCAAGTTGGGGGTCTGGCTGCACTTGGGGGGAACACCATCCAGGGTGCATGGGGTGGGCCGGCCCTGACTCCCCAGGGGACTTGAAGCAGCTCAGCCTTGGGGGTCCTGGTGTGGCGGAGGCCCCAGGATGGTGCTGGCTGGGCGCTGGGCCCAGGGTGCCGAGCAGAGGTGCTGGGGAGAGCAGGGGTGGGTGGGGCGCTGGGCACGAGGGACACACCTGGTTTCGGGGAGAAGTCCGCCTCCAGGGGGCTTTGGGGCACCCCTGGGTGGCTCCGGCTGCCTCCGTCTGGGTCCAGTGCACCGGCTGCCCGGGCTGGCAGCGGAGGCCGCGGGGAGGTGGCAGGGCCTGTGGGCGGCAGCCGTGCGGGGCACGCACTTCCCTCCACTTCGGCGAAAGCTTGCAGATGCCTCCGATCGGCCTCCGGGGTCCACCCAGTAGGCTCCGTTTCCGGCTCTGAACCCCACGAGGGCCCCGCTCGTGGCCGTCTGCCGCCCTTGCCCTCCGGAGGGGTCACCTGACCCGATTCCCGCCATCGGGAGGGGCCCCGGCAGCGCCTGCGTGTGGGTCGTGGCCGCACCGCGTCTTCTCCGTGAGTCCCGCTGTCCAGTCTTTTTTTTCTTTTTTAAGATTTATTTTTATTTATTTTTTTGTTTGTTTGTTTATTTATTTATTTATTTGTTTATACATGCACTGGGTACAGTCAGAAGCGCGGGAGGGTGAGAGAATTCACCAGAGCCAGAGCAGGGAGCAGAGCAGGCAGAAGGACCGAAGGACACTGCTGAGGGGAGCAGCGGGCGGCAGGAGAGGTCTGCGCGCCATGCGGGACCCGCGCCTGGCGGCCAGGGATCGAACCGGCGCTGCAGAGGCTGCGGGCAGCTTCACAGCCCAGCGCTCAACCGCTGCGCCACCAGGGAGGCCCCTGCTGTCCAGTCTTGATCCTGAGCCTTGTCCCGGGCTTGTGGGGGGGCTGGCGAGTGGCCCTCCTCGTCCATCCCGAGGCCCTCCCTGCGCGGGGGCCACAGAGGCCAGCCCGCCTGACCGCGGCCCAGGGCTGGCCAGTGGGGCTGACTCGGCGCTCGGGCCAGTTGCCTGCTTGGGCCGGCGCCACGTTGCTTTTTGCACCGTCTGGACCCGGGCGCGTGGCCGCTGCTGGCCGTCGTCTGCCTTCTTGGGTGAGTGTGCAGCTGGGGTTCCGGCGCCCCACGTGCGCGTGGTTATCCGCTCGCTTACGTGCAGAGCTGGGGCTGCGCGCGGGCCCACCCTGGCCAGCGAGTGTCCCTGTGGGCGCCTGGCCCTGCCTGGCCCTCGGGGCGCACGTCCTCCGCCTCGGGTGTCCCCTCCTCGGGGCCTCGGGGGCCGCGTCCCGGGCGCTCTGCCTCTGAATGGATTCTAACCAGAGCCACTTTCTTGGTTCCTTTGCCCCGCGTTGCCGCCGGCGTGGACGAGGTGGTGGTTTCAGCCGGCTCTGGGGGGCCGCGCGTGCGCACGGGCTGCCTGTTTCTCCATGGCCGGGGTCCTGCGCGGGGGTCCTGGCCGCCGGGTCCGCGCCTGCTCTGCCGACCCTTCGCCCCCAGTCCTGCCGATGGCGGCCGAGGCCCCTGATGCCAGCTTGCGGGGCAGCTCACGGTCGCGGCCAGCCCGGGGGCCACGTGGCCGCTGCTTCTTCAGAGGAATTCCAGACCCTTCAGCGGGCGAGGCCCCTCCCAGCTGAGTGGGGAAACTGAGGCACTGAGGTGGGAGGCCCTGCCGGCCCTGCCTGCCGCTCCCAGAAATGCCTGCGTGTCTCCACGAGGCTGGGGGCGGCAGGGGCTGGCATCCCAGCCCTGGGGGGCTTGGCCCGGCTCAGCGGACCTGAAGGGTGGGGCGGGGCAGCGCAGCACCGGTGGCCATCGGTGGCCGGCCCGGCTGGACGTGTGGAGGCGAGAGGGGCCCGGCCTGGGCAGCCCAAGGGGGACGGCGCGTGCCCGGGGGCCTCCCAGAGACCGAGTAGCCCAGCCGTGTCCTTTGTGCCCCGCGGCCCAGAGAGGCGGCCTGGGGACTGTGCGGTGGCGCCCGCCCCGCCCTCTCTCCTCTGTCCCGCCCCGGCCCGGACACAGGAGCGGGCGGGGTTTGGGTGGGATTTGGGCGGGGGCGGGCGGCTTACTCTGGGGCGGGACCGCGGCCTCCCACAGCGGGGCGGGCCTCCGTGCGCCGATGGGCCAGATCCGCGCGCCCGGGGTCCCTGGCGCTTGCTTGTGGGGAGCCCAGAGGGTGCGGCCGCCTGGCCACACCTGTTCGGGGGGAGCAGGAGCGGGCAGGGCGCAAGCGGGAGGCCTCCAGGGAGGGAGGGTGGACTGGACAGGGGGTGCGGGGAGGCACGCCCTGCGCTGTGCGGGTGGACAGCCGGCGGCCCCCCTCTGTCCCCGGCCGTGTGTCTGGCTCTGGCGGGTGGGCGGGGCGGGAGGGGGAGGCAGCAGGTCCCTGGCTTGGGGCAGACCCCGGTGCCCTGCTGTGTGTTGGGGGCCACGTCCCGCCCCCTCTGGGTGAGGGCTGGCCTTGAGGGACCTGCAGAGGGAGTCCCCCCATCCAGTAGCAGCCCCTGGGAGGCTCCTGGTGGCCATTTGGCAATGGGCGGCGGGACACCCCAGACCCTGGGGAGTGGGGGACTCTGGTGCCTGCCCAGCAGACCCACCCCCTTGGTGACAAAGGGCCCCTCACCCCAGAGGCTGGACGGGCCTCACGGCCCTGGCCTGGCTGCCGGACCCGCACGCGGCAGTGGACAGCAGCAGCTCCTCCCGGCCCCTTGGGGTCTGCAGTGCCCACTTCCCCCCTTCGCTCTCTGCCGTGGGGCCAGGTGACTGGACTCTGGGGGAGACCTGGGCGTCCCTGTTGTTCCAGACCCTGACCTCTGGGGGTGTCTGTGAACCTCCCAGGCTGGGAACCTGGCAGGTGCCCCCGCTGAGGCCAGAGCGGCCCCCAGTGGCCAGCCGAGGCGCTGCAGCTTGCGCCCGCCTGGCCGCATGTGGGGCTCAGGCTGGCCTCGGAGCGAGGGTCGGGCGCTGAGGCCCAGTCCAGGTGGGCTGGGAGCAGGGCAGGGTGGGACCCGGTGGCCCCCAAAGGGTGCGTGGGGCCTGGCGGTCGAGGCTGCCCTGACTGCCCTCTCCCGCAGACGGCGCCCCGCTCGGCGAGCTCTCCTGGTCGTCCTCGCTGGCCGTGGTGGCCGTGTCCTTCTCCGGCCTCTTCGCCGCCGTCGCCCTCATGCTGGCCTGCCTGTGCTGCAAGAAGGGTGGCGTCGGCTTCAAGGTGAGGGCCGAGGGCTCCCTGCATGGCCGGGCGATGGCCCCCCGGCCTCCAGGCGGCTGCTCGGGGCCCAGGCCCGGCCCCGGTGCCCCTCTGGAGACTCCCGGGGAGACCCCCCGCCCCCGACGTCAGCCCCAGGCAGGGAAGGTCTCGCAGGTTTGGGCCGGAGCAGCCTGGGGTGGGCTGGCCTCCCGGAGCCGCTGCGAGGCTGGAGGCCACATCCCTGCTCGTTCCGGCGGCGAAGGGAAACCCAGGCCTCCCGGGCTCGCGTCTGGGGAGCCAAGAGCAGCTCTCGGCCCGGCTTGCGCGGCTCTGCACCCCCGCCTCAGGGCCGAGGGCCGCGCTGGCCGCGGGGCAGTGCCCACGGGGCAGCAGTGTCTCGAGTGCCCGGGCAGGGCCCAGCCCCCGGGGGCTGTGTGGCGGAGCCATCCGAGATGGCCGAGAACCACCCTTGGGCCCCCACCCTGCCCCCGCCTGCTGCAGCTCCGTGGGGCGCACCCGGCAGAGAAGCCGGGACGAGCTCCTGCTGACCAGGCCGGGGCGTTCGGCTGCCCCTGCGGGCTGGAGGGCGGGTTCCTGCAGGGCCAGGAGGGGGGCGAGCGCCCCATGGTCCCGGCCACCACCTGCTGCTCCCCTGTGGGCGCACCCCCACACGGCACAGCACCCGGCCGAGGGGCCTGGGCAGCGGCACCTGCCTCCTGGCCAGGCCTTGTGGGCACTTGCTATCCCCGGCCCTCCAGGGGTCTGGCACCGCCCGGAGCTGCGCAAAGGCTGTCTCTGCTCCTGCCGGGGTGGGGGCCCGGCCGGCACCGCCTGCCTGCAGGCCTCATCCGAGACAGGCAGCCCTGGGCCAGGCCATGGGGCAGGGCGGGCGGCACCCAGGGGTGGGCCCTCAGAGGCTGAGTCGCCCCCCCACGCCCTGGAGAACAAGGCCCTGACCAGGCCCAGCCTCAGCCCCCCTCCCCCCTCCCCCGGGACATGGTGCCGGACATTCCAGCGCCAACGCGCCGCGCCTGGGAGGCGGCCTTCAGAGCGCCTGCTGGGACCGGCTGCAGCGATGCTCACGCTGTCCTACCTGCTCGCCCGCTGTGCCGGCGCCGCGGGCTGGGCGCCCTGGGGGCAGCGCCAGGTAACGGGGACCAGGCCTGGCAGGAGTGTGCCCCGTGGAGCCAGCTGGGGGTCTGGCCCGGCGGCCTCCCAGCCCTAGGGAGGTGCCTGCAGGCCCCCAGCCCCGGTCCTCTGCTTGCACGCCTGGCACTGCTGAGTGGGCAGTGGCAGCAACGCCCCAGGAGGCCTCCACCCTCTGGGCCTCAGTTTCCCTGCCCGGGCCCTGGGTCGGAGCAGGTGCCATTCAAGAGGCGGGGCAGGGTGGGGGGCGTGGCTGGGGCCTGGCGCTGCTCGTCTCCGGAGACTCTGGCCCTGGAGTGTGCTCTGGACCCAGGGTGGGGGCTCCCCATGGGCAGGTGTGGCAGCCCCATTTCAAAATAGCAGCCTGGCCAGGTGTGGCCCAGCCCGGGGCTGCCGGGGCGTGCTCTTAAGGAGCCCTGGGAGTCGGCGGACTGCGCCCCAGGGTCAAGGTCCAGGCCTGCAGGCAGATGGCCAGGGTAGGTGCCCTCCAGGCCGTGGGGTGGTGGGGTCCCCATCATCCCTCTGTTGGGGCTCTCAGTTGCTCGTCCACTGAGCCAGGTGGGTTGGGGAGGGAGCCCCTGGTCTGCCCGAGCCCCTGGCCCCAAGGCAGCTGCCCAGGGCGAGCAGGACCGGGCAGGACCAGGTGGCCGTGAGGGCCGGGGTCTGACCCTGGGCGGCGGCTGGCCTTGGCCCTGGCCTCCAGCACCCCTGTGTCGTGGGTGTGCTGCCCCCACGGAACGGGAGCTTGGTGCGCGAGGGGCAGCCCAGCTTTGGGGCTCTGCCTTTGGCACCAGCCAGAGAGCCGCGTCTAGGGGAGGGGCCGGACGTGGGGAGAGCGCGAGCTGGGGTCCCGCCGCGGTGGGGCTCCCATTGTGGGTCGGGCCCCCAGCCCTCCCCACCCCAGCTCTCGGGGAGGTGGGAGCCGGCCTAGGAAGAAAAGGGCCTTTCAGAGCCCGGCTGCCCCCGGCCCTTCCCGCCCCCGCTCACTGCCTGTTCCTTGGCCCAGGAGCTGGAGAATGCCGAGGGGGAGGAGTACGCGGCCGGCTTCTGCGTGCAGGACTCCCCGGCGGCCCCGGCCCCCAACGGGCCGGACGTGTATGTCCTGCCTCTCACCGAGGTCTCCCTGCCCATGGCCAAGCAGCCGGGGAGATCAGGTCAGTGCCTGCTGGCCAGGCCCGCGTGGTGAGGGGTGCGGGGGGCAGCTGGCTCGGCGGCCAGTGCTGGGGGAGTGGCAGGAGGCTGGCACGGGTGGGCTTGGGGACAGCCCCCCGCCCACCACCTCTTGCCGGGGCTCGGTGCAGAGGCACACCCGGGGGTGGCCCCCTGTGCTGGGGGGCAGGGCCCCTCGCTGCCTCGGGGAGGCCGGGTCCCAGCACACGCTCAGCACCAGCTGGCCTGCAGGGCAGGGCGCCACGGGGCAGGGTCTCTCAGGGGTGCCCTCTGCGGGCGGGGCCGTGAATCAGCGTTTCTTTCCCTCACTCAGGCCGGGGTGGGGCAGGTGGCCTGCGGCCTACCCATCAGCACAGCTGGCTCCGTTCACGGCCAGGCTGGCGCCTGATGCTGGAGTTCTGTCTCCGAGCAGGGGTCCCTGACCCCAGGTCCTCTGGCAGCTCCTAGGGGATCTATGCTGCAGCTCCCCCGGGAGCCCCCAGGGCAGAGGGGCCTGTTATTGCAGCCCAGAGCAGGCCGCCCCCTGCTTCTGCTTGAGGTTTCATGGCCTGACCACGAGGCCACTGCCCAGGGCCCCTGCCCCACTGTCCGCCCGAGGCAGGACTTCAGACCTGCCCGCCCCAGGCCTCGAGGGTGGGCTCTGCCTTCCTGGCTGAGGCCCGGCCAGTGGGCGACGCTGACGTGGCTGGGCGCTGGGAGCCAGAGGGGTCGAGGGCCACGCCTGCCCGGGCAGGTGCCAGGGACTGTCCTCATGGTTGCTGGTTTTCTCTGTCTCCAGGCGAAGCCCTGCTTCTGGGGTGGGGGGATTTCAGGGGTCGCTGGGAGGGCAGCCCAGCTACGGTCAAGGGTAACCACCGGGCGGGCACCCAGGAGGAGGCGCACCCCAAGCTCTTGGGCAGACCCTGTGGTCGCGCCGGGCCCCGTGCCTCCTCCGGCTGCGGTGTGTCCCGGGTGCCCTGGCTGGCGGCCTGCAAGCTCCCGCCCGTCCCTGGCGGAGAGGGGCTTCTGCAGGCTGGGACCCGGGCGGGTCTCTGGGCAGGGAGCCCAGCATCTGGGCCCACAGCCCCCAGGGCGCGGCCCCACCCCACCGCCCACTCCCATTGGCCCTGGCTGGCCTCGGGGCACTGGGCGTGGGAGCAGAATTCAGGGAATCCTCAGGGCGCAGGCGGGGCACGAGTGGGCTCAGCAGTCCCGGCCTGCCCTGCGGGCCCTGCTGACCCTTCCTTCCCGCTGACCTCACCCAGTCTGTTGGGCAGGAGAATGGACCCAGTGTGCTCCGTGCAGGGCAGCGCCAGGCAGCCCTCAACAAAGGCGCCTATGGCATGCGTGGCGCCGGAGTGCCAGGCTGTGTGGGGTGAGGGGCGGCCGCTGGGGCCCCCGGGGCCTCGCCCGGCCCCGCTGCTGCAGCACTGCCCTGGCCGCCCCAGCTCCCGCCCCGTCTTTGGCCTGGCTGGTCCCTGGAGCCGGGGGCACGGCCTTCCCAGACACACCTGGAAGGAGGCCCCGGCGCCCCGCTCCTGATGGCAGTCTCCAGGCGTGGGGGGCTCCCCAGCCAGCAGGCGGCCCCCGCAGGGGCAGGCGGGGGGCACGGGCGTGGGGAGGGGGCTGAGCCGGAGCCCTGCGCCCCCACCCCTTACAGTGCAGCTGCTCAAGTCGGCGGACCTGGGCCGGCACAGCCTCCTGTACCTGGAGGAGATCGGCCGCGGCTGGTTCGGGAAGGTGAGCTGCCCCGCCACCCTGGCCCGGCAGGCAAGGGGTCGGACACTTGCTTTTCCTGGGAGCTGCCCGGCCCTGGGGCCCCTCTCCAGACCCCGCCCAGCCCCTCATGGGACCTCCCCCCCCAGTCCTTTCTCTGTTGCTCCCGGTGCCAGACGCGGGGGCCAGTCTCCTGGGGCTCCTGAGGGCTGTGGGAGGACGAGGAGATGCTGCGTCCTGGCTGCTCCCCGACCCCTGGCTGGGGGGGGCCGGGTCCCTCTTCCTTACTGCGCACCCCCAGCACCCCCAGAGAGAGCCCAGAACAGCTGGGGCCCTTGAGCCTGGGGGGAGGTGAACATGAGAGAATGACAGCCAGGAGGCCCCCCGGGAGGGCCGGAGCCCACTTCGCGGCTAAGTAGACTGAGGCGCAGAAGGCGAGGTGGCCTGTTCCGGGGGGAGGAGGAGCCCGGGGCGGGGCCGCGGTGGTGGTGACGTGGCGCCCACAGGTGCTCCTGGGGGAGGTGAGCGCGGGCGGCGGCAGCGCGCGGGTGGTGGTGAAGGAGCTGAAGGCCAGCGCCAGCGTGCAGGAGCAGACGCAGTTCCTGGAGGAGGCCCAGCCCTACAGGTGGGTGGCGCGGGGGCGGGCGCTCCTGGCCCGCAGAGCCGGCCCCTCCTGCCCGCCGGCCGGGAGTCAGGGGCAGCTGTCGGCTCCGCAGGGCGCTGCAGCACAGCAACCTGCTCCGCTGCCTGGCCGGTGTGCCGAGGAGACGCCCTACCTGCTGGTGATGGAGTCCTGCCCCCTGGTGAGTCGGGCCTCCCCGCGCCTGCGCCGCCCACATCGCTCCGGGTGGCTGTGGAGCCTGGGACCCGCCCCGGCCGCCCTCCCCTCCCCGCCTGCTCAGCCGCCCGCCCGCGCTCGGCCTCACCGCGCCTGGAGCCCGCCGGCCCGGGGCCGCCCACACCCAGCTCAGTGCTCAGGCTCAGGGCAGCCCCTCCCTGGAGGGGACTCCGGCCCTGCCGCGACCCCCAGAGCCTCCCCGCCCTCCGGGTCCTGCCTGGCGCCAGCCATGTCAGGGAGGCCCCGGCCAGCTGCACCGCCCCAGCCTCCGGGGCGCGCCAGCCTGCTGGGCCGGAGTCCGGCCTGCTCTCCCGCGGCTGCGGCCAGGGCGGTTGGGCTGGGCGGCCAGCGTGCGGGCGGCGGGTGATGGTGCTGCCCCTTCGGCAGGGGGACCTCAAGGGCTACCTGCGGAGCTGCCGGGGGGCCGAGTCCATGGCGCCCGACCCGCTGACCCTGCAGCGCATGGCCTGCGAGGTGGCCTGCGGCGTCCTGCACCTGCATCGCAACAACTACGTGCACAGGTGAGGGCTCTGGCCTGCAGGAGGGCGGCGCGGGGCTGCCCTGGGTCTGCCTCAGGAGTCGCCAGTGGCTGGGCACCGGGCGTGGCATCTGCTCTTGAGGGCCGGGGTCCTGGGCGGGAGGCACACTGCCCAGCTGGCCGGGGGCCTGCAGCGGGGTGGAGGCCCGGCCAGGCTGCCCCCTCACCCAGGCCCGCGGGGGGTGGACGGCTCTATCCTGCCGCCCGGCCCCTGAGGTCGGAGAGTCGGGCCAGGGCGCTGAACGGGGGGTGGGCCGGAAGAAGAGGACGCGTGACCCGCCAGCCGGCGCCGCTCGGGCCGTCCTCCCCAACAACATCCTGGTGCTGAGTGATGACTCCGCGACTCCAGCATCAGTGATTTTGTTGCAGAGGGCAGCCGCCAGCCTCCACGGCCCAGGCCCTGCCCCGCACCCCTGGCCCGCGGTCGCCCGCACCCGGCACCCCGGAAGGCCAAGGGCCAGCGCTGGGCTGGAGGTGGGGGTGGCCCACCCGGCCGCAGAGCACACCCCGCACCCCACCTGCCCTGGGGCCAGCCCGTTCCTGACTCCAGGCGTGCAGGTGTCCCTGGGCCCACCCGCCCTTGAGGGGAGTCGGCTGACTGGTGTCCAGGGAGGGGGGGGTGGGCTGAGTCAGGAGAGGGTCCCTGCGGCCTCTGGCACGTCCTAGCCCCTCGGGGCCTGGTTCCTGCTCTGCTGGGGCCTGGGCCGGCGTGGGCAGAAGGAGGGTGAGCGGCCTGTCAGCTGTGCCCTCCTGCTACTGCCTGGCCAAGCAGCCCCCAGCGACAGCGGCCAGGCGCCAGGGTCGGAGCGCCCCCAGCGGCCCTGCTGCTGACCCCGCCCTCCCACCCCCAGTGACCTGGCCCTGAGGAACTGCCTGCTGGCGGCCGACCTGACGGTGAAGGTCGGCGACTACGGCCTGGCCCATCACCGATACAGAGTAAGTGTGGGCGGGCGGCGGGCGGCGCGGGGCCGGGGTGACGCTGCGCTCGCCCCCAGGAGGACTACTTCGTGACGGCCGACCAGCTGTGGGTGCCGCTGCGCTGGATCGCGCCCGAGCTGGTGGACGAGGTGCACTGCAACCTGCTGGTGGTGGACCAGACCCGGGCCAGCAATGTGTGGTGAGCGGCGGGTGGGCCCCAGTCCCACCCTCCAGCTTTTGCTTGTCCAGGCCGGCGGTGCTGAGGGGCAGGCTGGTCTGCCCAGCCTCGTGGCTCTAGGGTGTGGCCGCGGGACAGAGTGCCCAGTGCCCAGTCACGCCCCTCCTGCCCACCGTGGACGCCCCAGGGGATGTGCCTTTCGGCGGGGACGCCTGTTGGGGACAACTGACCGGCGGGCGCTGGTAGCCAGGGCGCCAAGGCACCTCTTCCTGCAGAGGGGCAGTGGGTGGGCCCCGGAACCATAGCCTGTGCACCCCTGAGGAGCCCTGACACAGGACTGAGCACAGGGTGGGCATCTGGACCTGGGACCTCCAGATGGGCTGACCGAGCCGGGCCAGCGCCACAGGCCCTGGACGTCGCTGCCAGGGTGGCCCCGGCTCCCACCCTGACCGGGCCCTGCTACCCCCACTGCTCCCAGGGCCTATTTGGCCTCCCACAGAGGCCCATGCATGGGCCAGCCCAGTGCCTGCTGCGGGCCTACCACGCCCTCTGGTCCCGGCCTGTCCATCCCCGCCCCATTCGCCGCTAACCCAGGTGGCACTAACCCAGGCCGCTGTGACATCTCTGTCTGCGCCCGCCACCCTGGACAGCTGGTCAGGCGGAGCTGGGCGAGGCCACGTGCCAGGACAGAGCCCGGTGTTGTCTGCTCCAGCCCTTGGGCGCTGGCTGCCCTGCCCACTCCCGGCCTCCGGGCAGCTCATCCTCCGTCCCTGGGCCCCGCTCCCTCCTCCCAGCCACCGGGACGCCGGGCGGGACGGGGGGCTCCGCAGCTGGCGTGGTGCGCGTCTCGCGGGGCCGAGGGAAGGAGCACAGCACGCACATGGTCACGGAGGCCGCCTGGCTTTTATTTGGGCTCATGTGGGCGCGGGCTGGGCCTGGCTGTCCTCGGGGAGGGTGTGGCGGGGGAGTCCTGGCCCCAGTGCCACGGGGTGACGGGAGTTGCCCCTGGGCGCCCAGGGCTCAGAGCGTGCTCGTGGCCCCGCAGGTCCCTGGGCGTGACCATCTGGGAGCTCTTCGAGCTGGGCGCGCAGCCCTACCCCCACCACTCAGACAGGCAGGTGCTGGCCTTCGCTGTCCGGGAGCAGCAGCTCAAGCTGCCCAAGCCCCAGCTGCAGCTGACCCTGTCCGACCGCTGGTGAGGGCCCTGGGCGCTGGGGGGAGGCGCCTGCAGGACGGGTGCTCCCAGTTCCTAGGGCAGTGGCTCCCCCGGCTGCTCTCTTGGCCGGCAGCCTCCTCTGGGCAGCGACCGCTGTCCACAGGGAAATGGCCGCCTCCGCCCAACACAAGCCTCTTGCCTGCGGGGAGGGCTGAGCTAAGGGGAGAGGCCGCAGCACGGGGGTCACCCACCCCCATGCCCACCTCAGCAGGTTGGGGGGTGTCCTTTAATTAAGTGGGAAAGTCCTGAAGTCCCGCCGGGGCCCTAACTGCCCACCTGGCGGGCGCCTCCCGCAGGTACGAGGTGATGCAGTTCTGCTGGCTGCAGCCAGAGCAGCGGCCCACGGCGGAGGAGGTGCACCTGCTGCTGACCTACCTGTGCGCGCGGCGCAGCTCCGAGGAGGAGGAGGAAGAGTTCGAGCGGCGCTGGCGGGCGCTGCGGCCCAGCACAGACAGGGGGGGCGCGGGGCCGGCGCCCGGGGGCGCAGGTGAGCTCGCGGCCGCCTCGTCCTTCCCGCTGCTGGAGCAGTTTGCCGGCGACGGCTTCCACGGGGACGGCGACGACGTGCTGACGGTGACCGAGACCAGCCGCGGCCTCAACTTCGAGTACAAATGGGAGGTGGGCCGGGGCGCCGAGGCCTTCCCGCCGCCCGGGGGCGCGCCGCGCCTGCAGGAGCTGTGTGCGCTGGACGGCGCGCCCCCGGGCGTGGTGCCGGTGCTCAGCGCGCACAGCCCCTCCGTGGGCAGCGAGTACTTCATCCGCCTGGAGGAGCCCGCGCCCGCCGCCGGCCACGACCCGGACTGCGCGGACTGCATGCCCAGTCCCCGTGCCCCAGCCCCGCGCCTGGACGGCCCTGCCCGGGGCGATGATTCCGACGGCAGCGCCACCAACTCGCTGGTCACGGAGCAGCTACTGGGCCACCCTGTGCCCACCAGTGGCTCGTGGGACCACTGCGGTGACTCCCTGTGCAGGAGCCAAGGCCAGGGGCCAGCCTGCCCCTCGTGCTCGCCCTCGCCCAGTGCCCTGATGCTGGCAGAGCCTGGAGCCGAGGACCCCGACTGGAGGGAGGCAGCCTTCTGCCCCCCCTTTTTTGAGGACCCACTGGGTACATCCCCCTCGGAGACATCCCCGGGCGGGGCGGAGCTGGGGGAGGAGCTGGGGGAGGCCGAGGCGCTCAGGACTGCCCAGCACAGACACTGGAGTTCCAACATGTCGGCCAACAACAACAGCACCAGCCGGGCACTGCAGCCCTGGGGCGCTGGCTGCTCCCTGGGTGCAGAGCTGGGCCAGCTCCTGGCCTCAGAGGACCCCAGGGAGCCTCTCCTTGGGCTGCAGGTGGTCTCCCCTAGCAAGGAGCTGGGCCGCTGCTCCGGCTTCCCCCATCTACCTCAGCACCTGTCTGCTGAGGGCGTGGCACCTGCCGCTTGCCCGCTTACACCCCTCTGGGCAGAAGCAGCCACAGCCGGGGGTGGCAACCCCCAGGCAGAGCCCAGGCTTGCTGAGGAGGCCGAGAGCACCCCTGGATCCCAGCTGCCCCTTCCCTCTATTCCCTCCCCATCCCAGGAGGGAGCCCCCCTTCCTGCTGAGAGGGCCAATGCCCCCACCACGCTGCCCGCTTCACCTGCCACCGGTAGCCAGACAACTGGCCCCGAGCCAGCCTGGGCCCTGGACCACAGTGGCAGTGACCCAGAGCTGGTGGCGCTGGGCAGCGAGGCCGAGGACACGCCTGTGGCCACCCCTGGCATCCTTGCTGGCTCAGCCGGCGCCGGCCCCCGGGCCAAGAAGCTGGATGTGCCGTCAGCCTTACACTTGCAGCCGCAGGTGGGGGCTCCCGGCTGCCTGGGCTCCCTGCACCTCCCATCCTCAGCCAACTATGGCAGCCGCGAGGTCTTCAGCCCGTTGGCTGCCAGCACCCCTGGGGGGCAGCCCCGAGCCTTGGACAGTGGCTATGACACCGAGAACTATGAGTCCCCCGAGTTTGTGCTCAAGGAGGCGCACGAGCCATGTGAGCCCGAGGCCTTCGGGGAGACCTCGAAGGTGGTGAGCCCTGGGCCCGAGACTCGGCTCTCCGCCTCCCTGGGCAGCCTCGGAGAGAAGAGCCCCTACCGCGACTCGGCCTACTTCTCGGACCTGGACGCCGAGCCCGAGCCGCCCCGGGGCCCTGAGCAGAAGCTCAGGGAGGTGCCGGTCTGTGGGTCAGAGCCGGGCCTGGAGGGCCTGCAGGGGCCCGGGCCACAGCCTGCACAGGAGTCCCTGGAGTCTGGGGTGCTGAGGGGGGTGCCCCCACCCCCGGAGCCAAGCACCTGCCATGCTGACCCCGGACTGGAGCCTCGCGGGCCCCGAGGCCCAGCCCCGCTGCAGCTGCTGCCCAGCCCTGGGTGTTCTAAGAGTCTTCTGCTGACCCCCGCGCCTCCGAGCTCGGAGGGCCCCGGCCCGGAGCCCCGGGAGGCCCCGGCGCTGCCGCCTGCGACGGCGCGGCCCGCAGGCCCCTGCGCCCCCCGCGCGCCGCTGCGCCTGGCCCTGCCGGGGCGCCCCGCCGCCCCCGGGGGCGGCGCGGAGGAGGAGGACGAGGACAGCGAGGACAGCGACGAGTCGGACGAGGAGCTCCGCTGCTACAGCGTCCAGGAGCCCGGCGAGGACAGCGACGAGGAGGCGCCGCCCGTGCCCGTGGTGGTGGCCGAGAGCCAGAGCGCGCGCGGCCTGCGCGGGCTGCTCAAGGTGCCCGGGCTGCTGTCCGCGGCGCTCCGCGCCGACCTGGCGCGCAAGAAGAAGGCCGTGTCCTTCTTCGACGACGTCACCGTCTACCTCTTCGACCAGGTGGGCCGGGCGGGCCGCGGGGGCGGGGTGGCCGCCGGCCGGGCGCCGACCACGTGCCGCTCTGCCCTCCAGGAGAGCCCCACGCGGGAGCGCGGGGAGCCCTTCCCCGGCGCCCAGGAGCCGGCCCCCGGGCTCCCGGCCGGCAGCCCCGGCGCCCCCGCGGCCCCGAGCCGGCCGCGCCCCGCGCACGGCTCCCCGGACGGCTCCCCGGACGGCTCCGCGGCGCCCGAGGGTGAGTTGGGGCGGGGGGGCCCGAGCGGGGCGGGGCGCCCGCGGCGGTGGGCGGGGCCCGAGTGGGGCGGGGCCCGGCGGCGGGGGCGGGACCCGAGCGGGGCGGGGCCTGTCATCGGCGGGGGGCGGGGCCCGAGTGGGGCGGGGCCCGGGGGCGGGACCCGAGTGGGGCGGGGCCTGGCGGCGGGGGCGGGGCCTGCCGGCGGCGGGGGCGAGGCCGGCGGGCGTCTGTCGGCGGGGCGGGGCTGCGGCGCGTGTCGCTGACGTCAGGGCGCCGGCTCCTGACGCGGTGCGCGCGACGCCGCTTGCAGGCGGGAGCTTCGAGTGGGACGACCGCTTCGCGCTGCTGCGCCCCGAGGAGCCCGCCCCGCCCGCCGCCGCCGCCGCGGCCCCAAGCCGCCGCGCCGGGCCCCTTCTCGCGCTTCACCGTCTCCCCGGCGCCCGCGTCTCGCTTCTCCATCACTCAGGTGTGCGACTCGGACGCCGGGTCCGTGGGAGGTGAGTCCGCCGGGCGGGCGGGCGGGCGGGGGGTCCGCGCGGGCGCCGGGAGGGCCCGGAGGGCGAGGCCCTGCGCTTGGTTCTCTGACGCCGCGCGCGGGTGTCGGGGGAAGCTGAGGCTCGCAGGTGCTGGGGCGCCACGGCGGCGCGCTCTGGCCCCGCGTCCTCCGGGGAGGCGCGGGGTCCCAGACACGCCTGCCCAGGCTGGTCTCCGCCTGACCTGAGCCCCCGAACCCACAGCGGCCGCTCCCCCAGGGCCGTCCCGCCGCTGCGGGTCTCCCTCCTCCACGCCCACCCCCGCGGCACTGGCCCGGGGCCTGGGGGTCCGGAGGTTCAAATTCAGCCCGTGGCTAAGGCCTCGGGCGTGGGAGCCTGGGGGCAGGGCCGTAGCCTCCCCTCCCTGCCGCACTCTCGGCCCTGGCACCCGGGAGCTCTTTCCTGCCAGGCAGCCCCCACGCCCCTACTGTGCTAGGCCCCCTTGGAAGGCCGCCCGCCGTGCCGGGAGGTGCGCTCCGCCCCCTCCACCTGGGCAGGCCGGGTCTCTGCCGGCTGCTGTGCCTCAGCACGGGTGCGCCGTCCACGGGTGTCTGTGCGAACAAGCCGGTTGCTGGAAGGCGAGTGTGGGGCCCTGGCCAGCCTCAGTTTCTCCGCCTGTGAGGGCTCTGGGGACGATTGCTGAGCTGGCTTGGCTTGGGCTCTGCCGCTATGGCAGGAAGAGGACGGGCCCCGTTGGACATGAGAGGCAGACCGGGCAGGGCGTGAAGCTTCGGCCCGGGAGCCCTGGGGAGCAGTGGTTGTCCAAGCAGGGGTTCTCTAGGCACCTGCTGTGTCTCGGCGTCTCCCCTAGTGCTCACAGGGCACCCCTTGTTTGCCAGGCTCCGTGGCAGGTGCTGGGGGCGGCTATAAAGAGGCTTGAGGCCAGGTGGTGCCCCGTCTTGGAGCCTACGTGGCCGGAGCCCCTGTCCGTCCTGTTCGGGCAGCAGCGAGGATGGTGACGCTGCGCGAGTGGGAGCTGCGTTCCTGGTGGCGGCTGGCGGCAGCTCCTGGTGCCTCAGTGCTCCGCGCGGTGCTCGGAGACGAGAGCAGGACGAGAGGTTCCTCCCTGGCCCTGATGGGCAGTGACTGTGCCTACTCGCCAGTGCTGCCCTGGGGGCAGAACTTGTCGGAGACACTCGGGTTTGCTGTTAGCCCCCAGAGATGCGTGTCGCCCTCAGGGCTGATGGCGCCCATCCTGCTGCTGCTCCTCCCCCGGTCATCGCTGCTGGACTGCTTGACCTCTGCGGCCAAGTCACCTGCTCTTGGCTGGGCGCGTCGCGGGACGTGTGTCCTCACCTTGGGAAGTGCTGGTCACTGAGCCAGCGCTGCTTCCTCCGCCCTTTCCTGGTTTTGGGTTTACTCAGCACCCCAGGCTCACGTGTGCCCCCTTACCTCAAGTCTGTGGCTGTACTTCTCCTCATTGTCAGACCCATCAGCGCCCCTGCACACAGGGTCTGCCCAGCTGCTGCCCGGCCCCTCCCGCTGGAGCCCAGGTGGTGGGCAGCCTGCTCCAGGCCACCCCCTGCCGACGCCGGGTTTAGAGGTGCCTGTGGCAGGGCGGTGCCGCCAGCTGCCCTGCAGGATGCTGCCCGGCTTGGCTGGCAGAGGAAGCAGGGGCCGCGCTGCTGCCCAGCCCGGTCAGGGCGCCTCCCGCCAAGGCGGGGCGCTGGGAGCGGAACTGCCACCTGGGAGTGGGCGCGCCCGGCTCTCGTCACTGTTGCCAAAGAGACGTAAAGGTGGGGGCTGTGGGGGCTGGGGCTTGTGTTCGGGTTTGCGTTCTGTTGTTTCTGAGTTCGAGGCTTAGGATGCTGGCGCAATGGTTTTCCTGTTCTTTGGTTTGTTTTTTAAGAGAAATGGAGCTAAGAAACAGCCTTCACGGTGGCCTGTGTTTTCTTTGCGGCTGCAGGTGATGCCCAGGGCAGGAGGGTGCGTGGGCCGTGCTGGGGCCCTGCTGCCACTCTGCCTGGGGTGGGCGCAGCACCCTGCAGTGAGCAAGGCCCCACGTGCCCTGGGGGTTCTTCCCGAGCCAGGGAGGGCGACTGTCCCCCGCGGCCCTTTCCCGCCCCTCCAAGGGGTCACACCTGTCCCTCAGCGTGGAGGGGGTGGACTGGAGACGGCCCCCTCCCCAGCACCTGCCCCGTGGCTCTGTCCCCCAGCCTGGGGTGTGGGCGGGCTGCAGTGGCTCAGGCTCCAGGACCCTCTTGAGAAGGTCGGGAGGAGCCTCTCAGCCTGAGACCTCCCCCCCCCAGAGGGGCTGGCACCACGCGGGTCACGGCGACGGCATCTCGGCCGCAGAGACACAAGGTGTGGGGACCCAGGCCTCAGCAACACCCACCCGGCCCCGGGGCAGGGCGGAGAGCTGGGGTCCCGCGGCCTGTTATGGCCGGGAGCCCGGGCTTGGGCAGGATTGGCAAGCCTCCTACCCCCCGAGCTGCTGGCGGGAGCGGGAGGCCCGGCGGAGCGCTTGGCGGGCGGCGGAGGAAGCAGCGTGTCCTAGGAGATTCACCTCGAGAGGCCCGGCCGGCGGCCCAGGAGCGCCTCTTTATTGAGTAGACAGCGGCCACGGTGGCCACGAGAGGGCGGCGTGTTCTCCTGGTGCCTGCAGAGCCACCTCCGCGGGGAGAGGCGGGCCCGGCCAGGGCGGGCAGAGCCGGGCGGGCGAAGGGCTGGGGGGCAGCCTGTCCGCAGATGCAGACCGTGTGCGCGAACAGCAGCGGGGGGACGCGCGACCTTCAGCTGAGGAGAGGGGCGGACCTGTCGTCGGTCACCGTCGGCTTCAGCTGGACGTCGGCGAAGGGGTTCCTGCGGAGAGGGGGGGAGGGGGAGGAGAGGGGCTTCGGTGGGCGGGCCCGGGGCTTGCTGCATCCCCGTGCTGCCCGCGCGCTCAGGCGCAGGCACCGCCCCAACAGCCGGGCCTAGGGACCAGGGCGGTGGGCAGTGGAGGCTGCCGGGGAGAGCCAGGCAGGGCCGCTGTCCCGGGTGCCAGCTGCCCCTACGTGCCCCTCACCAGCACCGCCGGCCCCCAGGGCGGGTGTGGGGAGGCCCGTGCACGCCTGCGGCTGTGCGAGGGGTCGCCCCCCATGCCCGTCGCCTGCCGCCTGCCTGGAAAGGCGTGTCCGGTGGACTCGGCTCGCGGTGGCAGGGCGGGCACGGGGGCACAGCCCCCCCCACACCGACACCGCGGACACACTGACGGGGACGAGGGCTCGTGTCCGCCATCCATGAGCCAGGCCCTCCCCGCTGCCAGGGCCACAGTGGACAGACAGACTCGCCAGACGAGAGACCGAGATGGACGAGGTGAGCACGGGGCAGCGCCGGCCTGGTCCTCGCCAAGCCCCCCCTCGAGTTTCCCGGGGAGGACCTGCGCAGGCGCGGCCGCGGGCCTCAGGCCGGGACGACGGGCTGCCCAGGGACAGCACAGATGGCGTGCGGACACACGGGGTTTGCACGGACAGGACGCTCCAGGGACAGCACGGATGGCGCGTGGACACGAAAGGCTCGCGTGGACAGGACACTCCGGGCAGCGCTTGGCGCCCGGGCGTTACCTGGGTAGCGTTGCCTCCGCCGGCTGGGCTGGCATCCTCGGGCGCCGTGCGGGTGCTCCGTCCAGCGCCAGAAGAGGCGCGGGCCCACCCAGCTCCCCAGGACGGTGCTGACTGGCAACTAGGGTGGGCGACGGCTTTGTGTGCCTGTGCCCCCAGGACGGGGCCAGAGCAGGCGGCGGGCGCTGAGGACAGCAACGAGCAGGGTGGCAAGCGCGCACGCCTTGTCTCGAGGCCCAAGAGCCGCGCGCCACACGCTCAGAGTGTCTTCCGGGTGGACGCCAGCGCCCCGGAAAGCCACCGCCATCCTGTGGGCCACGCACACCTCCTTCTGGGCCCCCTGAGTTCTGGCCACGCAGGCGCGCTTCGGCCATGTCTGGCCCGAGGCGGGGCTGGTTCTGCAGGAGGGCGCTGTGCCCTCAGCGGTCCCCACCCAAGGCACACGGCGGAGGCCCCGGGACGCTGGGCTGTCCATCGGCCGGGCTTCGCAGAGGGGGGCGAGCTGTGCACTGGCCAGGTGGGGGCACACCCCGGCCCTCGTGGTCTGGCGCTTCAGAGACCCTCGTCGCGGGCTGGGCCCGAGGGGCTACTGCAGGGCTGTCCTCCCCACCCCCAAGGGTCTCTGATCTCTGACCCTGCCTTCTTCATTTCCCCCCAAAGCCACAGCTGCCTCACTGTCCACACGGCGGGTCCTGAGACCTCAGCCTGGGGCACAACTCTCCAGGACCTCTGCAGCCCCTCAGGGGCCCGGCTAGAGACCCCCGGTGGCCGCTCAGCCTCTTGGTGCCATAAGACGCCTGCTTGGGCCAGGGGGCGCCCGGGGCCCTGACCCTGAGGTGGCGTCTGGGACAAGATTCCAGCCAGTCCACTGTAGCAGCGCTGTCCCTTGTGGCTGGGGTCTCTGGGGGGTACGTGGGCGTTGGTCACTGCTGGGGCAGACGCCCAGGCTCCAGGCCCCCCGGGGTTGGGACAGACACTGGCCACAGGCCCCCAGACGGAAGACACGCAGGTCCTGCCCTGGCAGAGGGGCATCGCTCAGGAGCCCGAGGTGATGCCGGGGTGGGGGCTGCCGCCAGCCGGGACCATGGGGCTCTCCCCAGGGCCTCCTGAGCAGGGGTGCAGGGGCCGGCAGTCCCTGCAGACTGCACGGTACAGGAGGTGGGCGCCGGGGCAGCCCCTGGGACACCTGCATCAGGGCCCCAGTCCCACTGCCCAGGTGGGTCCAGCCCCGCAGTCGGTGGTTCTCGGCCCCAGGGCTCTGCGTGGTGGGGTCACGGGTCCCCGGCCGGTGGTCTCGGAGCCTGTGCTTGGAGCGGACAGGGCGGTTCTGAGAGGAGCCGAGTGGCCACAAAGGCGCTGTCCGAGCGGCTCCGAAGCAGCTGGAGCGAGGGCGGGTTCCTGCTTCCTGCGGATCTTTCTCCTGCCGCGGCAGCGGTTTCCGTCTTCAGGACGGCGGCCCCTGTGGGGCCGAGTCTTCTCCTTCCCAGCTGCCTCCCCGGGGGCTGAGGACGCAGCCGTGCCGGTCTCTCGGGGGCTCCTGACCGCTGCTCCGGGCAGGCCGCGTCTGCTGATGCCTCCGGGAGCCTGGTCTCCGCCCCACACCCGGGGCGCGTCTGGGAGCCACGTGGCCTCCTGGCGGCGGGCTCCCCCGCGGGAGGGCTCCATCGGCAGCCCAGTGGGGTCTGCACGGCCCGGGCAGGAGACGGGCATTGAGGAGGCGGCCGGTGTCTCCCGCGCCTCCCGGAGCACATGCGGCGGCTCGGCGGTGGGGGTGAGCGGGCGGCGTGTGCCGGCCGGTGGGCAGAGCGAGCGCCGTCCTCGCACGTCCCCTGCTGCCTCTGCAGGGCAGTCCTCCGAGAACCGGAGCGGGGCCGGGCGTGTGGACGCCACGTGTGCGGCTGAGCGCCTGGGCGGGGAGGCCTCGTGGGGGGGGGGCGCCTGTCCCCACGGGTGGGGGCCTCTGCCTGTGGCACGAGCGCGGGGCCTTCCGAGCGCCTCGTTCCGGGCGGTGTTTTCCCAAACCCCGAGCCCCGGCCTCAGGCCAGCGTGCAGGGACCCTCAGCCCAGGGGGCCACGGCCGGCCCGTCACCAGATGCACCCCGATAGCGGCCAAGCGCCCAGCAGAGGCGGGCGGCACCCAGACAGGGCGGGCGCAGCGAGCGGCCCGTCAGACCCGCCGGTGTCGCGAGGAGGCAGGACGCAGCCAGGGAGGGTGGAAGGGAAGCAGAGCCCAGAGCCCAGAGCCCAGAGCAGAGGCTGCCTCGGCAGACCCCGGGCCTGCTGCTGCGCCCGCCCGCCGGCAGGCCGAGGGTGCGCCGAGCGCGGAGGCAGCGCGAAAGCCAGGGCACTTACTACGCTGCCGGGGCGGCTCAAAACCGGGCCACTTCCACCTCGGCGCTGCAAGGAAACACGAGGGGGTTGGTGGGGGCGCGGGGGCGGGAGGGGGTCTCTGCGGGGGCGCCCCGGGAGGGGCCTCGCGGCCCCGCCCCGGCGCCTGGTGGAGAGGCCGGCGGCCCACAGCACCGTCCCCGCGGCGCGGCCACCGGGCCCCGCCGGGCCTCCAGCCTGGGCCGCGGGGGCGCCCACGGGGCTGCAAGGAGGCGCCACACCCAGCTCAGTGCAATAAATAAAACTTTTATTCAAACGACTGCAGTACAGGGCACGACCGAGGTTAAAAAAAAGAAAAAAAGGAGACGCGTCTCCAGCGCTCGGCCTCCGCGAGCCGCCCCCGGCCCCCGTGGCCCGGGCGAGCCGGGCCCTCCCCCGCTGCTTGCGCTGCCGCCGGCCGGCCCCGGCCCCGCGCGGGAGGGCCCCGCCAAACCCCGCCAGAGAAAGGAGCGTCCGCAGCTGCGCAGGCCGCCCGCTGCCCGGTCAGGACACGCGCGGGCGGAGCCGGGAGCCGCGGAGCCGGCGCGTCTCTCCAGTCACCGAGACGCGGAGGCGGGAGCGTTCAGGGCGGACGGGCTGCGCGCCCCGCGCCGCACCCTGGGGCGCCCCCGGCCGGGCCGCGCAGAGCTGCGGGCTCCAGGGCGGGCGCCCCGCGGTCTTTGGGAGGTCGGCGCCTGCCCCGGCCCCCGCCGCGCCTCCCTCACAGGAGCGCCAGCTTCCTCGGGAGGCCCGCGGGCCGGCGGGCGCGCGAGTCCATGCAGGTGTTTCTGGTGGCCGGGAGGGAAAGTCCTTCTACCGCCTCCCAGAGCGGCTGTTTTTGTCAGATCGTTGCCTTTTTCTTCCAACCTGAGACCCGGCTCGCGCCGGGCGGGCCGGCAGGGACAGCGTGCCGCGAGCACGCGGACGGGAGGAGCCGAGGCCGCCCGGCCGCGCGCGGGGAGCAGAGGGGCAGCACCATGGACCCTGGGGTCAGAGTCTGGGGGCACCAACCGAGGGGAGGGGCAGGTGGACGAGGAGAAACCCAAGACAAACCGATGAGAGCGGAGGCGGGAACGCTGGAGACCAGACACGCCGGGGGGCTTCGAGCAGCAGCCACCCCAGCAGCTCCTCACACCGTGGACACCAGCGTGCCGCCGCCGCTGCGGAGAGAGACAGGCCGCTGCGGACCGCCGGCGGGGGGCAGGCGACGGGCCTGGCAGGGAGCCGGCCGGCCGGGGGGTGCGGCGCCCGCCCCATGGGTCTGGGGTCTGTGCGTGGAGGCGGCGGGGAAGGGCTGGGCCGGGTCCCTGCTGACCACAGGCAGCCCAGGGGCGGCCCAGAGAAGCAGAGTGACGGGTGGGTCCCCAGCCTGGGGGTGCGGGGCCAGGCTGCTCCTGCCGGCGGGTGCGACGAGGAAGGCAGCCCGGAGGGGCCGCCCCCTCAGAGACCCGAGCCGGGCTCTCGGCGACCGCGCTCGCCTGGCCGGCGGCCGCGCCGCCCCTGCCGCCCCTCCCGCCCCTCTGCAGGGCGGCGCCCGCCCCCCACGGCCCAGGCCGCACGCACGCAAGGCCCTTACCTGCTCACAGCCCGCGCCCCGTAGTCGTCCAGACCCTGGGAAGGAGACGGCGGCCGGTCAGGGTGTGCGGGCGGCGGGCCCGGCCCCTGCGCCGAGCTGACCTTGCCTGTCCGGCCAGACGGGACCGGCGCCCTCGCACACCGCCCGCCCGGGCCGGCGAGGACCTTCCCCCGTTCCCTGGCGGGAGGGCGCCTGCTGGCCACGGGTAGCCCCCGGGCCGGGGAAGGCCCCCAAGGAGCGCGGGCGGCTGTCGGAGCCCCGGCGGGGCGCTGTGGCATCGGGGGTCTGCGACGGCCACGGAGGGGCCCGGGGAGCTGCCCTGGGCTGCGCCGACACCCAACCAGGGCCTCGCCGCCGGCGGCGCCCTCAGCTGGCCTCCGCCCCGGCCACCCTCCCCCTGCCCGGGGGCCGCCGGCTGGCCGCGGGACACCCAGGAGCGCCGCGCACACTCGCCTGGTCCCGCGGGGGCTCCGGCAGGCCCCCGTCAGCGCCCGGGCCGCTGCGCCCCCTCTTGGCCCCGCGGTCACGGCTCACCTGGGAGAAGGCGGGCACGGCCACGCTGTAGGGCCTCTGCTTGAAGGCGCCGGCCGTCGGGGCGGGGAAGGCGCGCGAGGAGGTGCCGTAGTCGGGCGGCGGGAGGGCCAGGTCGTCCTTGTCCAGGAGGTTGCCTGTGCTGCTGCTCTTGCCCTGCTGCAGGCTGCAGGCCGCGGCTCAGCTCGGGCCCCTCGGCTCCGGCAGCAAGTCCCCCCGCGGCTCCCAGAGCCCCTCCCGCCCGCTCACCTCATGTGCAACCTGTCGCTGCCGTCGCCGTCCAGGACGCGGGTGTAGGAGAAGGGGAACCAGCCCCGCCTGGGGAGGAGGCCCGTGAGAGGCCCCGCCTGGCCCCGCCCGGCCCCGCCCGGCCGCCTCCGCCCCCCCGCCCGCCACTCACATCTTGGTCTTCTCGCTCTCGCCGTAATGCCAGCCGTCGCGGGCCTCGGGCACCAGCAGCGTGATGAGGTCGCCCTCCTTGAAGCTCAGCAGCGTGCTGTTGTCCCCCGCCGCGTGCGAGAAGATGGCCTTCACCCGCGTGCGGCCGTTGCGCTCCAGGCCGGCCGCCATGGAGCTGGAGCGGGGCAGGGTCTTGTTCTCTGCTGCGGGACAGGGCAGCAGTGAGGGGCGCTGGTCCCCCGCAGCCTGAGGGGGCGCCGCCTTCCCACCTGCTCGTCGGCAAACCCCATGGCCCAGGTCGGCGGGCGTCCGGGCCCCCCCCCTGCCTCCCCTCCCCCCTTGGCGCCCATCGCCAGGGCTGACGGGCCCCATGTGTGCAGCCCTCCGGTCCAGGAAGGGGGCGCCCACGGGTCCCGGGGTGCGGGCCGGCGCCACGAGCACTGGGCTTCCAGGCCTCCCTCGGGGTGCCGCCACTGCGGGGGGAGGCGCACGCCGGGCCCTTACTGGTGGCGTAGCTGTTTTTCGGGGTGACGCTCTTGCGCACGGGGAGCGTGTTGGAGTAGGAGTCGCTCATCTTGCCCTGGGACTGTGGGGGAGACGAGGACTTGGGCTGGGCGGCCTTGCGGTCAGCCCAGGGGTTGTAGTCCTCGCTGTCCGGGCCCGAGATGCCGTTCAGGATGGGCACGTTCTCCTGGGCTGACAGCCGCTGTCGGGAGAGGCGGCAAGGGCGCGCGTTGCAGGCGGCCCGGGCGCGGCCGGCGGGAGCACCCTCCCCCCCGGGGCGGGCCCCCCACCCCGGGCGAGCTTGCCGGCGGCCGCGGACTCACCCCCACGAACGGGGCCAGCTCGGGGGGCACCGGCAGGGGCTTGGCCCCCGGGATGGGGTCCGAAATGACCAGGTCGGACTTGGAGGCAGACAGGGCGCTGGGGAGCATGGCGCCGTTGCTGCCCACCACCTGCTGCAGCAGCTGCACCGCGCGGTCCGGGATCTTGTTGGGGTCGGCGCAGGCCTGTTGCCACAGCGGCAGCTTCTGCGCCAGCAGCTCCTTGCCCTGAGGAGGGAGCCGCACAGGGCGGGAGTCAAGGTGGGCACGTGGGGCGCGGGCGCCCTGCAGGACATGGCCCCTGCCGCCCGCCAGGCAGAGCACGGCCCCGTCGGGGGGAGAGGGCCACACGAGGTGGCGGGCGCCGGTGTGTCCCTGGCCCCTGGCCGGGAGGGGCTGGTGTACCCCGGGGCCGTGCAGGGCAGTGGCCACCAGGGCCGGAGGAAGCAGAGGCCACAGGCTGGCAACCTCTCCGGGGCGCACGGGGGAGTGGGGCGTCGCCTCTGGAGGGGCTCTGTGTCCGAGGGGACCGGGACCCCCAGTGCCCCAAGGGCAGTGGCGCCGCTCCAGCCCCAGGCAAGGCCTGGAGGGCGCCTGCACCCCTGGCTGGGGTGGTCCACGGGCACGGGCCCCGCCCCCCAGCCCTGCCAGGCCAGCCTGAGGGCTGCGCTGCCGCCAGAGGGCGCTGCCGCCTGCTGCCGCTGAGCCTGGAGGCTGCAGCCGCCCGGCCTCCCCTGCTGCATCCCCCCCACCCCTGGCTGCCAGTGAGCCCCGGCACAGGGCAGGAGGGACAAAGGCAGCCCTGCCCCCAGCCTCCCCAGGGGCACCGCTGTCCGTGGACTGAGGGAGCGGTCTCCTTGGAGGCCAGGCCCAGGCCGTGTGCCTTGCTGACCTGCAGAGCCCCTTGGTGAGAACAGAGCAGGAGCTAGGGCCACCCTGGTTGGCCGAGCTGTCTAGCCACGCTTTCAAGCTCTTGGAGTGTTCCAGAATGTTCCAACGCCCCAAGAGCTCCCACCCCAGCTCCCGTCATGGGGGTCTCTGGCCCAGGGGCGTCTGAACCGCTCAAGGCCTGGCCAAGTCCTGGGACATGATGGAGCCTTCCGGGGCAGAACCCCCAGGAGCTGTGACGGGGGTTGGGGGGAGCACGTCAGAGTGTGGCCTCAAGGCGGGGTTGGGACTTGGGCACGGAGTGGGTGCGGCCCTGGGAGAGTGACCAGGCCTGCATCCCAGGAGGCCCCTCTGGAGCAGCGGGGAGGGAACGGCCTGCAGGCCGGGCAGCTGGTGCTGAGCAGGGCCCAAGGGCCAGGCTGAGCGGGGCTGGCAAAGGGGGCGTCACCTGGCCCCGTGGGCCTCCAGGGCAGTGCCCAGTGTCTGCTGTACCCCAGGCGCAGGGAGAGGCTGGCCAGAGCTGATGGAGATGTGCGGAGGGGGTGGGGGCGGGTGAGGGCCAGCCAAGCCGTGGCAGCTGTGGACACGGGCCAGGGAGGCCCAGGGAGACACTGGCCTCAGGATCCGGGCGACACTGCTCCACAGGGAGAGCAGAGCTGTGGGCCCGGAGGCCCCCGTGAGGGGCAGGCCAGGGCGCAGGGCACGAGGGCCGGTGGTGCCTCCAGGCACGTGGACCCGTCAGGCAGGAGGCCCTGCAGTCAGCAGCTCCCACAGGGAACTGACCAGCGTCCACGGCCCGTCCTGGGCGCTCACCTTGCAGTGGTAGGCGGCGGCGTTCTTGGCCACGGCGCACTGCTTCTCCACCAGGAAGCAGAACCGCCGGCGCTCCTCCGTCAGGGCCGTCTTGTAGCCGTCCGACACGTAGCTCTCCAGCTCGCCCTGCTTGTTGCTGATGGCGTCGATGAACTGCAGGGGGCGGGGGGGGTCAGCTGGTGCAGGCATGGGGCTGCCACCCCCCACGGTGGAGCTGGAGGCTCAGCCTGGAGCAGCTCCCAGCAACCCGTGCTGACCGGGGGGGCTGCACCCCGGCCCAGCCGAAGGACTGTGAGCAGAGAGGCCCGGCTTGTCTCCCTGGGGCTCTTCCTGTGATGGGGGCGCTGAAGGCCCCGGCCCAGAGGAGGCTCAGGAGAGGGCGAGATGGGGGCGGCAGGGATCCTTGAGGGGAAAACCACGCGCCCCCTCTCCAGGGGGTGAGTGGTTAGAACGTGCCAGGGCCACGGTGGGTGGGGAGCCGGGCCTGTGGGGGAGAGCGGCCCTGCCGCTGTCCCTGGGGCACCGGCGTGGGCGCGTCAGCCTGGGGCGCCGTCGCAGGCGGAGAATCGGCGTCGTGGGATTTGAAGGCGAGTCCCCCACAAAAATGGAAGCCCAGCCGCTCCAGGCCCCCGCACCCCACTGTCAGGGCAGGCCGGCCCGGGGGCAGCCAGGGACGCGGGGCCCTCTGGGGAGGGCAGCGACCGACTGGGGGGCGCGGCTGTCAACTCGCAGAGCAGGGGAAGGGCGCGAGCAGACCAGGCCCGCGGCGGGGCTTTCTACGCGGGGCGCGCGTCCCACCCCGGGGCCCTGTGGCTGCACACGTGGGCTCCGGGCCGGGCGGGCCAGAGTCGGGGGACACCTCCCATGAGCCCCGACGGCAGCCCAGCCCCGGAAGCCGCTGCCTCGCACCCGACACGCTCCGACTTTGCGGGCTGGAGCTTTGCGAGGCCCCCGTGAGGCGTGGGCAGCTGTCGCGGGAGCGCCCGACGCCCCAGGTCTGCAGGGCCCCAGCAGCCCCCGCCAGAGGCCGCCTGCCATGGGAGCCCCCGTGCCAGCCTCTGCCCTGCTCGCCCTGCCTCCCCTCCCACCAGCCCCCGAAGCCCACCGCACGCCCGGCGGGCTCCCCGGCCTGCAGCCGGGACGAGCAGGGGCCTCCCCCTGACTCACAGCCTCCTCGCAGGCTCTGACTCAGCGTGGGTGGGCGGCTGGAGGGAGTGGAGCAGGCTGTTCCTGCCGCCTCCCCCGCGCGGTGCTCCGGGCTCGCCCGCTGCACCCCGCGCCAGCACCTGTCCGTGGCCCGTCCCCAGGGGGCACCTGGCACCTGCTCCCACACCCCCCACTCACCCCCCCGGGGAGCTGAAAGGTTACCCCGATCCACACCAGGTCTGCAGCCTCAAGGGCAAGGCCCAGGCTCCAGAGCCGAGCCGGGGGCGGCTGCGCAGCACCCTGGGCGCGGGGGAGCAGGCCGGGCTGCGGGGGCGGCGCCCGCGCCCAGGTGAGAGCCCCGTGGCTGCTCCTCCCGCCGCCCCTCCCCCTCCCAGCGCTCCCAGTACTTTTCCTCTGGTTACAAAACCCACAGCCTCAGGACGCCGCGCTGCCACCCCCGCCAGGTGGGCGGCTCAGCCTGCCCGGCTCGGGTGCCCAAAGGCACAGTGGTGTGGGGGGCGGGGGAGGTGGCGAGGAGGGGCTGTGAGAACAAAGGCCTGGGGACTAGGCACCTCCGGAGGACAGAGGGTCTGGAGGGCCAGGCCCGGCGCAGCAGGCAGAGGCGCCCCACCTCCTGCAGGGCTGGCACCGGCACCTGGAAGCCCCATGGCCGCAGCAGGGGTGACTTGTGGCCCAGGAGCCTCCCCACGCCGTTCCAGAGGCAGAGGCAGAGCGTGGGTGGGGGTTTAGCCCGTGCGCCCTCCCCTGGGCCAGCACCTCAGCCCTCCAGAGTCCCACCAACCCCAGCACAGCCGGCCCGGGGTGGGGGCTCCCGGGGAGCCCGGCACAAGGAGCCCCATGCCTGGGGGCGGGGAAGGGGGGCGTGGGCCCCGAGCCGCAGGCAGCCTCGGGCAGGGAGGCCAGCGGAGGCCAGGAGGGCAGGAGGGCAGGCCCCACGGCCGCCCGCGCAGGCGCCTGCCGAAAGAAACGCCAGGGCCCGTCCGCAGTGGCCCGGGGCGGCGGCTTAAACCGGGCCGAGGGCCCCCTGGGCCTGCCTGCTGGAGAGCAGCCCTCCCCGGGCCCTCCAGCCACTGCCCTCCGTGCCGTGCACGGTTTCTGGGTTTTTAGGCTGCAGCAGCGCTCCCCACCGCCCCTCGCTCCCCGGGGTGGGGGGGCAGAGCCAGTGGGGCGTGCGCGCACAGCTCCTGGCCTCCTTAGCGGGGCTGCCGCTGCCGCGCCGGGCAGGAGGGGCTCGCCAAGCTCCCCACGCTGGGGACACAAGGCACGGCAGGGGGCCGGGCCGGGGTGGGCAGTGCCCCCGGGTCTCTGGGAGCAGGCAGGAGGGACCAGCCGGGTGGGACCAGGGTTGTGCGCCCCGGCCCTGCCCTCACCCTGGGCCAAGGCCTGTCCTCAAGCGCTGGGACACGCGTTGCCCTTGGCCAAGGGGCGCGGCTGCTCTGCTGACCCCCTTTCTAGGTCGCCCGCTCCCGGGGGAGGCCGCCGCTCCTCGGGCGGATCCGGGAATCTAGGCCGGGTGAGAGCTGGCTGCCCCCCTCTCCAGGCTGCCTGGGGCAGGGACACCCCGCGCCGGAGGAGTGGCCCGCTCCCTGGGAAAGAGCAGCGGGTGGAGAGGCCGCGCCTGTGCTGGGTCCCACCCGCCTCGGCTGTGCCACCGGTGCCATGGCGACGCGCCTGGAAACACCCAGCTGGAAGCGGTTAGGACCACACTGGCTCCCACTTAGTCACCGGGCTGAGCAGCCTGTAATCCCAGAAGACAAAAGTGATCCGGCGACGCGAGGCCGCTCAGTGGTGACTCAGAGGGGGGGCGCCCGAGCCCCACCCGCAGCTCCTCGCCCTTGGCCGTGGCCCCCCCCCACGCTTCTCCGCGCGGGCATGGAGGGGGCCCCAACCCCCAGGGGCTCCTGCGAGCCCAGTGTGCCGGCGGGGAGGGCGCCACGCGGCTCTCGGCCCTGCCGCCTCTGGGCCAGGCCCAGGCCATGCCCTCCTGGCCCGCCTGTGGCGCTGGGCGCCCCCCCTCCCCCAGCAGTCAGCCTGCTTGCGGGGCAGCAGGCAGGGCTTCCCCGTGACCCACCTCCAAGAAGCCCCAGGCCGAGTCCAACAGCCCTAAACCCCAGGAGGGAGAGACCAGGGAGAGAAATCACAGGGCAGGCGGGAGGGGACCGGGCCTACTCGGTCTGCCCCGGGGGGCACACAGGAAGCCAGGAGCAGTCCCCATCCGCTCCCACGGGACCTCAGGGCGCATGTGCCCAGAGCTGGCCACCCCCGGAGCCCTGATGAGGGGCGAGAAGCGGAGGGTGTGGGCTGCGGGGAGCAGCTCGGCTCCTCAGGATGAGGACAGGGCCCAGGGCCGCCCCACCTGCCCCCTGCCGAGTGCCCACGGCCCGGCCTCCAGCCATGCAGGCTGTGCTTGGCGCGCCTCCCCTTCCAGATGGAACCCGCTCCAGTCTGTGCCCCAAATGCGCGCGAGCACCCGTTCCCTGACCTACAACGAGAACGAGCCCGTGGGAGTCCCGGCACAGCCGGGAACGGCGGGCTCTGACCCGGTCCTGCTCCCAGGACCCCTGACGGCTGGACGCTCCGGCCCTGGCTGCGGCTGAGCTCGTGGGTGGGGAGCAGCCCCAAGGGGCACTTTCCCTGCTGGGCGCAGCGGGCACCACACCCCAGCACACCCACTTGGTCCAGCCAGGGGGGTGCGGCCCCCCCTCGCCGCACACAGTGCGGGGGGAAGGCTCCGAGTGCTGCTGCTGCCCCCCCCGCCAAGCGGGGTTCAGCTGCTGAAGTGTGTGTGAAGGTCAAGGGTCAGGAGAGGCGCAGCTCCAGGTGCCCAAGGCCCTCAGCCGCCAGAACACCCGCCCACACCCAGGCGCAGCAGCCTCTGCAGGCCAGGGCCCCTGGAGATGTTCCCGGCATCACCACCCCTGGGCGGTGGGGTGTCTCCAGCGTGTGGCCCCCGGACGAGGAGCAGCCCACCGCGCTCCCACACGCTGCCCGGGGCGCTGGGGTTCGGCAGCACCCACGGCCTACAGAGGGGTGACCGCGTCCTGCTGCCCCGGTTTCGGGCTGACGCCAGGACACGCCGCGTGGGGCTTGCACACCCCCATGGCTCACCCTGCCCAGCCCCCAAGGAGCTTCTTCACCCCGACTCCCGGGACTCGAGTCTGCTGTCCCAGTGGGCCCGGGGCCCGGGAGCCAAGCGGCTGCACGGAGGACCAGGGGCCGGCTGAGGAGCAGCTCCCCCCTCCCGCTGCGGCCGCCCCCGCGCCCGGCCCCCCGGCCCACCTGCAGCTCCTTGTCCGAGTACTTCTGGGGGTTCTTGCTGCCCTGGCTCTTCTTGCGCAGCTTCTTCAGCTCCGCCTGGCACTTGTCCAGCGCATCGCCCCTGCCCCGCTGCTCCGTCTGGTACTTCTTCAGCGCGGCCTGTGGGGGGGCACGTGGCCGAGACCCCTGAGCCCTCCCTGGGCGCCCCGCGGCCCCGGCCCTCGCTGGGGGTGGCGGCGGCCACAGCCCCGGGGGCGTCCCGGGACCGGCTCTCCCGTGGACAGGCCGGGCTCGGGCGGCCGGGGAGGGGCCGCCCAGGCGCAGGTGCGGCGCTACTTACGCTCAGGTACCTGGAGTCCAGCTCCACCTTCTGCTCCAGCTGCATGAGCAGCTCGTTGTGAAACGACTTCAGCTGCGGGGGAGGCGGGGTCAGCCCAGGGCCGGCTGGGCCGCACAGCACCCCGGGCCCGCCGCGCCCCCCATTCCCAACCGGGGGCGGCTCCGGCCTCGGCCAGCGTCCCTGGCGCCCAGACGCGTCCCAGGCCCCGCCGGCTGCTCCGGGGTGCGCGGCCCACACAGGCCCGGCCCGGAGGGCAGCGGTACGCCCAGGGGGCGGGCGAGGAGCCCCCGCAGCTGACCCCGCCCTCCTCGAGCGGCTGCCTCGGCCGCGGCCGGACTCACCATTTCTTCCAGCTGGTTTTGGATCTGCCTGTGCACCTCGGCCATCTGGAAGAGGACGTCGCCTGCACGTGCAAGCAAAAGGGGGGGCGGTCAGCGCCTGAGTCGCCGGGCCCCCACCAGGGCCTGCGGGCAGGGCCAGGGTCCCAGGCGGTGCCCGGGGGCGCCAGGCCAGACAGGTGAGGCGGCGGGCACGGCGCCGGCTGGTGACACCCCACACAAGACAGCAGGCCTCAGACGTGTGTGTGGGGGTGCTCAGGGCCCCACCAGAGCCGAGGGCCACGGCAAGGACAGGAGCGCCCTCCCTGCCCCCAGGCCCTGGCGGCAGCAGAGCGAGCAGGCCCCGGAGCACGCCCCGGGACGCCCATGGGGGCCGCCTCAGCCCAGGAGGCCCGGCCCACACCTGCTCCCGGCCTGCCCGCGGGCCGCTCCCCAGAGGAGGCCGAGCAGCGGGGGACGGGGCTCAGCCGGAGTCACCCCAGGCCCCCCCCCTCCTCCTCTGGGGAGGGCCGGTCCCCAGCTGACCACGCACCACGTCGCCCTCGAGGGCTGTTGCTTTCCGGGCGCCAGAGCGGCGCCAGGCCCTCCATGCCCCCTCGGCCGGGCCACGTATGGCGACTGCCCGGGGGCGCTCGGCTGCCATCGGCCCCGCCGCGGCCCGCCCCCGTCCGCAGAGCCGGCTTCTCGCGCCCGCCCCGCAGCCCGTCCCGGCGGCCGGCGCTCTTCCGAGGAACCGAGAAAGCTCCCTTCGTGGACGTGGGCCGCTTCTGTCACTCGGCACGCGCTCAGCAAGCCCCCCGCTCCGTGTGTCCCCCCAGAAAGAACCTGGTCTCACGCGCCCGCCACAGCCGCGCGCCCCTGTTGGCTGCCTCTGCGCGGCCACCTGTGCCGGGCATGGCCCTTCCCTTCGGGTGCCAGCTCGCCGGGGGCCGCTTAACCCCCGTCCTCGTGACGTGCAGCAGGCCCCGGTGGGGCCAGAGTAAACTGGGGTTCCCCCACCGCCTCTGCCCTTGGGGCATCAGAGCTTGGGGGGGAGCCCGGGTGGGGGCAGCGGGCAGCAGGCGGCACAGCTCGCAGGGGTGAGTGCGGGCCGAGGAGGGCATGGCGGTGGGCTGAGGCCAACACCCGGAGGCCCCCATCCGTCACCTCAGGCGACCAGTGGGAGTCCCAGACCCGAGGGGTGTCGCGGCTGCAGCGAGTCCTCCAGGGCGCGGAGGCAGAACAGCCGCCTTCCCCGCGGCTTGCCCGGCCTGGCGGGACACTGTGGAGCCCCTGGGCCCTCACCCAGGCCCCCAGCGGCCACAGCCTCGCCACAGGTGGGGCACGCCTGACATCGGTACCGCGCCCCCCGACTCTTCTCAAGCAGGAGGACGCGGGGACACCTGGCATCCCTCCGCCCCCGGTGCCAGTCAGGTCTGGGCGGGGCCTGAGCGCAAGACCCCCAACCCCCGAGCCGGGAGGGGTGTGCCCTCGGGCCCTCAGGTGCACAGGGGACGTGACAGCACCTGTGTGGGTGCCCAGAACGGTGGGCACACGGGGTCCGCCACTCGCCCCTCAACAGGGCAGGCAGGCTGCAGGCGCCTGTCACCTGCATTTGGGGCCTGGGTACAGCTCCCCCGGCCCCCAAGCTGGGCCAGCAGCAGCCCCAGACAGAGGCCGTGGCCGGCCGACGCCTGTGCTGGGCGGTGCCACCAGCTGAGGAGCAGATGCTCTCAGGGGGCGCCCGTCAGGCCAGCAGCCAGGGAAGGCAGGAGACCCTGAGCGCCCTGTTGTCCAGCTGCCCTCGCACCGGGGCTGGACACACGGGCCAGGTGTGCACGGCAGCCTCCCTGAGCGCACAGAAGCCCAATGGCCCCACCAAAGGCCCTCAGAGCCCTGCTGGGGAGCGGGAGTACCTGGAAACTGCCTCGCAGGCCGGGGTCCAGCAGCCAAGGGTTAGCCCTGCACGGGCACGGCGGACAGCCAGGCGGTGCCCTTCAGGAAGGAGGCCGAGGGTGGGCAGGGGGCTGCCCAGTGCCAGGGCGCAGGCACACCAGGAGCGTGACTCAGGCCGAGCCGCCGGGCTCAGGTGTGGAGCCACCTCCTGGCAGAGCTGGGGAGCCCGGCACCCCTCCTGGCACTGCGGGTGGGGCGGGCAGGCGTGTACACGCCCGGACCACAAACAGCGGCTCCCGGAGGGCAGGGGCCTCAGGGACAGCAAGGGCCGACGGGTACCAGGAGCACGCAAGGGGCCATGTTTGCTGGCAGCTTCACCTCAGGTGGTGCCGCCACCCCCGGATCCAGAACATTCCAGAGGACTATTTGATTTCGCCTCCCGGAGCAGCAGGGGACGGGCAGGCACGGAGTGTGTGCACAGAGCCTGAGTCACCTGCCCAGGGTCACACGGTGCCAGGAGCCAGGGGCACAGGCGTGGCCGCCCCCGCCTGCCCAGCCCTGCCCACCACGCCAGTGAGAGCGGGGCGATGCCCGAAGGCACAGAGGCCGCCGTGGCCCAGGAAGGCCCTCCCTGCAGAGACTGGAGCCAGGGCGCCCGAAGGACACCCGGGGACAGGACACCTTGGGGGGCTGGGAGGAGGCGGCGAGCGCGACAACACGGGCTGGGGCCCGCCGCCCTTCCTGAGGGAGCACAGGAGGCCGGAGCGGCCACTGAGCTGGACGTGTGTCCTCCGCTCCCTGCCAAGCCCCTGAGCCCTCTGCAGCGGCAGCCCCAGCCGTGTGTGTCCTGTGCAGGGGCGGCCGCCCCAGCGGAAGCCCGGCCCGCGGAGCACAGCGAGGGCCCGGGGAGGCAGAGCCGGCGGCGGCGGCCAGAGCAGGCCAGGGCGGGGCAGCGTCCCCCCTCCCCTGCCAGGCGGGGCATCAAAGCGAGCGGGCAGCCCTGGGCAGCCCAGGCCGAGCTGCTGCTCTGCAGGGAAGTCCCGCAAAGGTGCCCCGGAGGTCGCGGCTGTTCCGTGGGGGGGAGGGACGGCGCTGGGGCCTTCAAAGCTCGGCTGCCAGAGGCCTGCAGCTGGCTCCAGGAGGAGGGGGCCCCGCAGGAAGGACAGGGCCAGGCTCTGGGGGGAACAGGGCGGGGCCGGCAGCAGGGGGTGGGGTTCAGGGCACAGCTGCCGCCCTATCTGGAGAGAAAGAGCCCGGGGGCCTCCCTGGGGGCGCAGGCGGTTGAGCCGCACTGAAGCTGCCCCAGTGCCCGCAGCCTCTGCAGCACCAGTTCGATCCCGGCCGCCAGCGAGAATCCCACAGGGCGCGCAGACCTCTCCTGGCTCCCCGCGGCTCCCCTCAGCAGGGTACTTCCTCAGCCTGCCTGTTCTGCTCCCCGCTCTGGCTCTGGCGAATCCTCTCACCCCCCGCATCTCTGGCCTGCACCCCAGCTCTTGTGTGCAAAAATAAATCTTTAAAAAAAAAAAAAGATGGGCGTCATGCCAAGGACGGGGCCCCAGGACCCCCGGGGCCACTGAAGACCCCGACAGAGGAAGTGAGCCGGCGGCGAAGGGCCACTGTGGCCTGCGGGTGGGGGAAGCATCGGCGGCTGGTCATGCAGCGCGCACCCACATGGGGCCTTCCGGCCTCCACGCGAGGCCTAGACCCGTGGCAGGAGACCGGCTGCTGGAGCCCCGCGGGGTGGGGGAGGCACCTTTAGCTCCACGGGCCCGGCCCCAGCCTCCCGGCTCACCCGGGGACACCGCTGGCCATCAGAGACGCAGACGCCCTGGGTGGGGGTTGCTCGGCCGCACTTGTGTCTGGAGCGAACGCGCAGCCCACGCCAGTTGGGGGGAGGCGGGCGCCAAGGGCCCCAGCCAGGAGGGGCCGGGCAGCCCCAGGGACAGCAGAGCAGCAGGGAGGGTGGCCTGCCCCTGCACGGCCCCCACATGCACAGCCGCGCGAGGCGTGGCCCTTCCGGCCGACGGACGGACGGGAGCTGTGCGTGAGACGCTCGACACCCAGCTGCTCTCTGGGGTCCAGGCCCCCCAGCTGCCACTGGAGCCCAAGAGCATGGAGCGGGACCCCCAGGGTCCCAGACCGGCTGCTGCACGACCTGGCCCTCACCGCGGGGCCCCAGCCTCCACCCTCAGTGTCGCAAGCAGGCCTGACCGGCCTGCCACCGGGGGGCCCCGCGCACCTCTCAACTCGCAGCCGCATCTCCACTCCAGCCCCAGAGAAAGCCCGATGCTGCCGCAGCCCCACCGGGGGTTGTGGTCAGCGGGCAGCACGCCCTGGTAGCAGGGGCCCCGCACGGCCCAGGAGCCATGTGCCCAGACGAGAGAGACAGAGGCCACCGAACGGCCGCTCCTGGGGCTGGGCAGCTGGACGCGGAGAGAACCGAGCGCTGCCCGGGCTGCAGCGTGGGGGCCTGGCCGCGGCCCCACTGCAGTGACCACCGCCCCCCGCCATGCCCGGTGGACGGCCACCCGGGCCTGCGCCCCCTCCCTAGTCCCTGGGCCTAAAGGGCTGGGGTGGGGGCGCCACCATCTGACTCACTTCCCAGGGACTCCACATCGTCACCCCAGCCTGACGAGGGTGCAGCTGTCAGGACTGCAACCCCGCCTGCCGGTGCCCCACCCAGAAGCTTACCCAGTTCTTTGGAGCCCTGGCTCTCGCTGGCCAGCTCGCCCATCTTCACGAGAGCATCGAAGTAGCCTTTGGCCGCATAGGTCACACCTGGGGGAGAGAGGGGTGACTCCTTGGCGCGCGGCTGAGCAGAGCGCCAGCCCGATCACCCGGCAGCCTCGACCAGTCCTGAGGGCGTGCGGCCTCGCCCTGGGCACCCCACCCTGGGTGTGGGGCGGCCACGGGACCCACCCCCACCCTCACTGCCCAAGGGGTCGGCTGGCCAGGAGACACGACCGGCCGCCGGGCCGCGTTAAGGGGGGACATGAGATTCACGTGGAGAACTCGGAGCCGGGCCCGGCCCAGGGCGCCGGGAGCACTGGACGTGGCCGGTATCGCCGGCTTTCCCGACGCGCGGGGAGCAGGCCGGGTCGGGCCGGCAGTTCGGCGGCAGCCCCAGAGGCCCCACACTGCTGCCCTCGGCCTGCCGGGCCGAGTCGGGGTGGGGCCTGTGCGGCCACCACCTCAGGCCTTGCTCGGGACACGGCCCTGAGGAACAGACACTCGTGCCCAAGGCCTGGGGTCAGCGCCCCCAGGAGACCAGCCAGGAGGCCGTGACCTGGACGGCAGCTTCGGGGTCTGTCCCAGGTGACAGGCCGGCAGGCAGCACGGCTCCCCCTCCCTGCCCCCAGGCCGGCCGGGCGGTGGTGGGGCCCCCATGGGGCCGAGACTGCTCCCTGCCGGCGGCGGGCTGGGCTCAGAGGCGGTGACGCACGCGCCGGAGAGATGGCCAAGGGGGCGCCCCAGTCTGGGCCCCGAACCCCCCAGCAGGGAGCAGCCGCAGCAGCCCTGGGGCGCCGGGTGGGGGTCTCGGGAGACCGAGCCCCGCCTGCAGCTCCGAGGGCCTGGGGGACATGCGCCCCACTGGGTGCCCCTGGGCTGCCGGCGCTCACCTGCCAGCGCCTTCTCGTAGTTCTTGCCCATGGCGATGAAGTTGCGCAGGCTGGGGTTGAACTGCTCCATGACGGCCTGTGGGGAAGCAGCGGGGGCTCGGTCAGCGCCAGCCCCTCAGGCTCCCGCCACCCGGCCCGCCGGCCCTGAGACGCCCCTGTCCCCGGGGGTGGGGGCCGCCCAGGATGGGCACCGGCGGGCCCGGGGGCTCTCCGGCCGGGCTCCACACCGCCGTGAGCCACGCCGCGGGCGCCCTGATCCGTGCCCGGCGGAGGGGGCGGCGCTGCCGGTCTCGGCCGCTCTCAGACAGAGATTAGACTTTCACCGCGGAGGCCAAGTGAACGTTTGGCTCACAAGGCCGGGAACAGACGTGCGCGGGCAACGGCCAATTCCACGCCGCCCGGCACGTGCCCAGAGGCCTGGCTGAGGACGCCAGCGGCGCCCCCTGGCTCTGTGCGGGGCGGGCTGGGGTGGGGTCCAGGGGGGCCGGGTGTGCGGGCGGGGAGGGGGGCGGGGTGTGGTGGGTGCAGGGCAGGGGCGCACGGAGGCCGCATCTGGGGGCAAGGCCAGGCCCCCCGGGCAGCAGGGCCTGGGCTGAGTGCTCGCCGCCACCGGCTCCACACAGGGCGGGGGGAAGCGCGGCCCGGCGGGCGCTGGGGGGACGGATGGGAGCAGCTCTGGCCCGAGGGCAGCTGTGGCCCTGCTTCCGGGGTTTGGGGTGCGGGTGCGTGTGTTGGGGGCCAGCGGGGACGCGTCTTGCTCTCGGTGACGAACACGGCTGCGGCAGGGCCCCAAGGGGTGGCGAGCAGACCCGGAGCTGGCGGCGGCGGGACCCAGCAGCTCCGGCCTCCCCTCCAAGGAGGCTTCACCGCTCTGAGCCCCGACCACGTACGCTGAGCGCAGAGACAGGCCGGGAGCTGCCGGCACCCAGGGCCCCACAGCGCCTGCCGCTCCCCGGGTGACGCGGGATGGACCCAGTTTTGTTTCCACGCCGCGGCAGCTGAGCTCACGCACGAGGAATGCCGGCGAGGGGGCTCCAGCCGCCCGGTAGGCCCGGCTTCTGCGTGGCCGTGGGGGGCTGAGGCCAGGGCGGGGGCGAGGGTGTGAGCACCGCGGGCCCAAGGACGGGCCTCCTGGGGAGCGGGGAACAGGCCCCGCGTGGCCGTGCAGGTGCTGGGAGGGCGCTGCTGCCACGGAGGCTCCAGGTCCCCCCACCGCCCCGGCTCCGGGCAGGCCCACGCTCCCGCAGAGGCCCCCGGGCCCCCCACGCACATGCTCACAGCAACCCCTGCTGCGGGGCCCGGGACCAGCCCTGCCGGCAGCTACGTGGCTCGTTTGAGCAAACGGACGGACAGACGGCAACTAAGGGGGGTTCTGGAGCCCAACCCCCCCAGTGTCCTCCTCGGCGTGCGGCAGGGAAGGTCCGCAAACAAGGGAAGGCGGGCGGCCCGGCCCCAATGAGCTGCTGAGCCCCGGACCCCGCGCGACTCTCAGCGGGTGCCCTGGGCTTCCCCGTGCCATCCTCACGCTGGCCCCAGGGACGCCGGGAGCAGAGGAGCCCCAGGACCCCATTCCCTGCCAGGGAGAGGCCCCCACGCAAGCCCCGCCAGCCTCCTCAGGTCCTCCCGGCCCTGCCCGCCCCGGGACTCCCCGCCCCGCCCGCCCGGGGCTGTCTGGGCCCGGACCAGGCTGAGCCCGCGCCTACGCAGTCGGTGCTGGCAACACACACCTCCAGGAGCCGGCGCTGCGGCTCCCCAGAACACGCGCACCCCGGCCCAGCCGGAGACGTGGCCCCTGCCCAGACCCTGCTCGCCCACAGCCGCGGACCCCCGGGCAGGGCGGGGCCGGAGCCCAGCGACTCGGGCAGCTGCTGGCAGGACCCCAAGGCCAGGAGCCAGGGGCGTCCTGGGCAGGAGAGGCCGGCCTGACGGTGACAGCGTTTTGATCCACTTGGGTCCTGGGTCGGCCCGGCCGCCGGGACAAAGGGCGGCGGACACCCCCGCTCCCGCCCGGGGGCCGGAGAGCGGCCAGCTCGCTTCTAGAGGCGCGTGGCCAAGGGACTTTGTCCGGCCGGCTCCTGCCTCTGCCCAGCGCGGACAGGCCTGGGCGGCCCTGCTCAGGCCCTCCCGGCAGGCGGCCGCGCAGTTGCCCTCTGCCGGAGGGAAGTGACGTCCCCCGAGCCACCCCCGCCCTGTGCAGGGAGGGCGGCCGCAGGGCCGGGGCCCGGCGTGGCCGGCAGGAGGCTTGCTCGGTCCACACGTGCCCGACACCCAGGGTCTGCTGGACGCGGGGCGGGGAGGCCCCTACCCACTGCCTTGCCTCCTCCACACCCCTTCCTGGAGATCTGCACCCCCGCTTCCAGGGCCCAGCAGCCCGTGGCTCTCTCCACCTGGGCCCAGGCGTCCCCACGGTCGCCAGCACGCAGGACAGAAGCAGGAGCCCGGCCGCCCAGCTCCGTGCTCCTCCACAGGGCCGGGCCAGGCACTGTCCATCCAGGGCAGGCCTGGAGGTGCCCCTGGCCTGCCGGTGCACGTGGCCTGCGGCCTCGAGGGATCTCGCCTAACTGCCTGGCCACACGCCCCTCCCTCCTCCGCCACACCGGGCAGGGTGAGCAGGGCCAGCACCGGGGCTGTTGCCCAGTCCACCAGGGGTGACCGTCCGGGGAGGAGCACCGTCCTACAGAGAGACCAGGGCAACACGGCCTCCGTGCTGGGACCGGCCGCTCTGCCCCACGCTGCCCAGCCAAGCTGCACGGATCTGCCAGGCACCAGGGGCTGCCCGCCACAGCCACCACCCCCTCCCCGGGTGCCAGGACTGGCCAAGCGTTGCTGGCCCAGAGCAGGAGATGCTGGTCTCTGCCTTGGGGTGGAGGGGGTGCAGGGGGAGAGCCCGAGGACTGAGGGGCCCCAGCTGCCCAAGCTCACCGGGTGCGAGGGGCCGGGAAGGCACCCCAGGGCCCACGGCAGTTCTCGGCCCAGCCTGAGCGCGGGCCTTGGAGCACCCACCAGAGACAGAGTCTGCAGGACTGTCCTGGGCTTGGCCCAAGGCCGTGGCACGGGCCCCGGGGGGAGGGGCAGCCAGAGCTCCTGAGGCCTGTGTCTCCCAGGGCTGGTGGGAGTCGCCCTTCGCGGGGTCCGGCACACCTGCCCCCCGCCCGCGTGTTCTCTCGGGGTCTGCTCCCCAGCCTGACCTCCTGAACCAGGCGCAGACCCCGCCCAGGCCCCTGGCCTACAGGAAGCAGCTGCGCTCGTGCTGGGGAGCCCGCCCAGAAAGGCCGGGTGGGGCTGCCCGCCCGCAGCAGAACCGGATGATCCAGGAGCCCCGCGGCCCGGCCCAGACACACAGCCCGACCCTTCCTTCCCATGGCAGAGGCGCGTCCTGCCGCCCCGCCCTCGCCGCCACCCCGGCCGGCCGCGGGTCCCATGGCTGTGTCCCCACGAAGCCGGGCCGTGCGTGGCGCTCTGGGGCGCGGCCTGCCCGGTGGAGTCGTCAGGACGAGGGAGGGAGGTTTCGCCCGCCCGAGTTCCCACTGGCCTCAGACCGAGGCCAGGACGCCCCACCCCCAGCACGCCGGCCCGCTGGAACTTGGGGGAACCCCGAGAGCTGCCGGAGTGTCCCCAATGATTCGCAGGCTGAAGCCCCCACCCCAGCACCGTGGAAGGGCGGTGACCGGAAGCCGGCGGTAAAGTGAGGCCGCGGGGGCCAGAGGGCCCACGCCCGGCCCCTCTCCAGCTCAGCCCCCAGAGGAGACAAAGCGGCCTAGCCTGGCCGCCGCCCCGCGGCCTGCACCCCACACACGCGGCGGCCCCCGGCTGCGGCGGCCGGGAGTTTTCCGCTGCTTCACCGAACCGCTAACGAGGACGTCCCGGAGCAGGAGCTGGAATCCCTGCCTGAAACCCTCGGGACACCGGGCCCCGGGGCAGGGAGACAGGCAGCGGCCTGGAGGCCTGGCTGGGGGGACCCGCACGCCAGCGCGAGGACACGCCGGCACCTGCGCGGGGGCCCGGGACGGGAGGGCGCGGACGGGCGGGCCCTGTGCCCCGGAAGGCTGCTTGGCCGCCCGACCCTCGGGCAGTGCGAGCGGGCCCGGCCTGGGCCGCCCCAGGGAAGCCAGGGTGAGGACACCGCGTGGGTCGTCCACACAGGTCAGCCCCGCTGGGCCCCGCGAGGCGGGACAGGCCGCGGGCGGGAGCGGGAGGCCCACAGGCGGGCACAGGGACACGGGCATCGGCGGCGGAGAGCAGAGGCCAGCTCGCGGCGGCGCAGGGGGACGGGGCGGTGGGCGGGCCCGCGTCGGCCTCCCGAGCCCATTTCCTTTCCGAGCGAGCCGGAGCAGCGAGGCCCTCACCACACCGGCTCCTCCCGGCGCCAGCGCCCTGCGGCCCGGCCCAGCTCCCGGGGGGGCACAGCCTCCCCACGCGCGTCCTGCGAGTTGTCCACGGAACCCCGACGCGTCCCCGGGCCCGACGGCAGCCCTCCCCGGCGTCTCCACCCGCTGAGCCCACCGTGACCGTCCCAGCATGGCCAGGCAGGGCCAGCGCGGCCCCGGGCCCACCTGCCTTCCCGCGGCTGAGAAACACACGCGCTGGCACGGACCTGCAGAGCAGGGCCCAGGCGCTTCGAGGAAAACCCCGGAGACATGACAGGGAAACACAACCCAGAGCGCAGCCAGGCAGGCGTCGGGCCGGGGAGCCACACCGTCCCCAGCCTCGCTCCCCCAAGAGCGTCGCGTGAGGGGCCCGGTCCCGCCCCTCCGGGTGGGCGCCCTTGAGCTCCTCGGGGCCAGAGGAGTTGGGCCGCGCAGCGCAGGGCTCCCTTGCCCCTGTAATTACTCCCTCGGAGGCAGCAACTGGGGCTGCCCCCTGGGCTCCAGGGTACAGAGCAGAGCTACAACGAGGACGCCCCCCAGCTAGAGACCTCAGGAGAACCGCTGGGAGCAGCGGGAGTCCGGGGGGGCCCTGGCGGAAGACCCCCCAGCGGATGACAACCCAGACGACCGAGGGCAGTCACATGCGGCTGGTGGGGGCGGCAGCGGGGCAGCCCTGCCCACGCCCTGCCCAGAGGATCAGACACCACAGTCCCTGCTCAGGACCCAGATCTGTGAAAGTGGGGGGCATGGCGGAGCCAGCCCTTGGGGCTCAGCTCAGCAGGAGGGGATGGGCTCTGCCCAGCGTTGGCTGCGGCTGGGGCTGCCTTGGGACACTTCGGCCCAAAGCCACCAGGCCCGGGGCCCCAGGGCGCTGCCGCTCCTCTGCCCAGCGCAGGGGCACCCGGGTGCCCGCGGATGGTGTCTAGAGCTGAGTCACCCCCGCAGGGTGTGTGCTGGAGTCGAGGCCCAGGGAGGCGGCACAGGCAGATGCCCCGCCCAGCGTGGAGGCCGCGGGCCAGCACACCCTCGGCTCGGGGCGCCTCAAGAGCAAGATTCCCGGGCTGTGGAGCCCATGGCTGCCGGGGAGGCGCTGCCTGGGGCTGCCCGGGAGGGGGCGGGAGGTCCCTCCAGGAAAGGCTGCCTGGCGCAGGCGCGCACAGCGGGCTCCGGGATGGGAGACCCCGAGGGCCCGTTGGGACAGCGGGTCCCCTGGTCTCAGCAGAAGAGGTGACCCTGCTGGGCACGCGAAAGCACCTCCAGAGCAAAGCCCACACATGCACAAGCACGCACCAGGTGCACACACGTACACACGCGCACACACCCACACATGTGCTCAGGCGGGGCCGGCACCTCCTTGGCAGAACAGCCGCCTCGTCTGCTTCCCCAGCAGGCATTTCCACTCTCGTCCTGCCCACGGGCGCCCCGAGCTCTGTCCGCTGGGGAGGCCAGACTCTGACCGCAGCCGGCGGCCTGGCGTGACCCACCGCGGGTGAGGGCACGATGCCTGCGGTCAGTGGCCGAGGGCTGGGGCCGCACCCTGCACCTCTCCCAAGACCCCTGCTGAGGCGTGAGGGGGGACGGACGAGACGCGGCAAGGGCAGGGGGTGGCCGCTCTCAACCGGGAGAGCCGGCGGAGGCACCGGTGCCCAGGCTCCCTCCTGCTGTGCTGGCGCCCACAAGCTTGTACCAGCCCTACCAACCGCCCCAACCAGGCGGGGCAACCCTGCTTGGCTCCCGCCCCGCTGGCAGCCAGCCCCGAGCACGCCGGGTGGAGACGACTAGCGGCCTCGGGCCAGCACGACCCAGCCCGCAGGCCCCCACGGCCAAGCCCGGGCTTTGAGAACTACGGGCTCCTCCGGGCTCCCGATGGGTCACCGGGTCACCCAGGGCCGGGCCTTCTCTCAAGGTACAGGAACACAAAGGGTCACCGCCGTCCCCCGTCGCCGCCTGGGGCGAGGCTGCAGCTGAGGCAGCCCCGGGAGCGGCCGGGCAGCTGCGCTTTGCTGTGAGCAGCACCGGCCCACCTGCTCTCCTCCCTGGTCCCGGGCACTGGCCAGCGCTCCAGGCTCCGCTGCCTGCGCCCCAGCCCGCGCCCGCCCAGGAGGCCCCTGGGGGGTTCAGTCCCCGTCCCCCTGCTCAGTCGTGAGGAGAGCCGCCTCCTCCCCCCCAGCTCTGTGGGCTCCCGGACACGGCCGGGCCAGGGCCAGGGCGGCGGGAGGGGCTGGGGGTCCGCGGGGGCTCTCCGGGCGGGGGAGGAGCGTCCAAGCCGCGCAGCGCAATCGCCAGGGCCAAGGCCAAGGCCAAGCGCCCGCGGCCCCGCGCCAGCACCGCCGGAACCGCAGCCCGAGTCGCCGCCAGGGCGGGCGCGCGGAGCAGGTCACGCCGGGCCGGGCTGCCCCTGTGCCCGCCGCGCCGGCCCGAGCGCACGGCCGGGTCCGGCCCGCGTGGCGCGGCGGGTTTCTGCCCGGCCGGCCCAAGGCTGCCACCTGGGCCGGGCGGAACCTCGGCTCCACGACGGGAGCGGGGAGGGCGGGGGCGGTGCTGCCCGCCCGCCCCGGCCCAAGGCGGCACCGGCAGGCGCGCCCGCCCGGCCCAGGGAGCCGGAGCCCGGGGACCCGCCCGCGTCCACGGGAAGAGCCGCCGCCTCCTCGCGCGGGGCTGCGGCTCGGCCGTGCTGCCCGGCTCGGGGCTCCGCGCCAGGCGCCCCGAGTCCCGTCAGCAAAGTTCGCGGCGCGGCTCGCGCGGGGCGGGCGGGCGGGCGGGCCGGTGCGCGGAGCTGTGGCCGGCGGCGCGGCCCCTCGGCCCCCGGCCCCCCCGGCCCCCCGGCCCCCGGCCCCCCGGCCCCCGGCCCCCCCCCCGGCCCCCCCCCCGGCCCCTCGGCCTCCAGGCGGCGGCGGGCGCGGCGGACACGGGCCGCGGGCTGCGGGCGGCGCCGACACGCCGAGGCCGGTCCCGCTCCGCGGCCGCCGCCCCAGCCCCGCGCGGCCCCGCAGCCCCGCCGCCGCCGCGCCCGCGAGCTCAGGTCGGGCTGGACCCGCCGCCGCCCCGGGCCCGCGGCCCCCGCCCGGCCGCGACGGCTCCGGGCGCCGGCGGGACGGGCGCTCGCGGGCCCAGCTCGGCGCCGCCGGGAGCCCCGGCCGGGAGGGGGGCGGCGGCCCGTCCCCCGGAGCGGCCCGGGACGCGCGGCCTCGGCTTACATAAGCGCGGCCGGGCCGGGCCGGGCCGGGCCGGGCCGGGCCGGGCCGGGGCCGGGGCGGGGAGCGGGCGGCCCCGGGCGCCGACGGGCAGCGCGGCCTCCGCCCGCCCCGCCCCGCCCCGCGCCCGCCCGGCCGCTGCGCCCCGGGGGGCACCTGTGAGCGGCCCGGGCAGCCCCGAGACCCGCGGAGCCCGACGCCCCGACGCCCCGGCCCGCCCGGCCCGCCCGGCCCACCTTGTAGACGCCCTCCGTGAGCCGGTGCATCTCCTCCGAGCGCGACAGCGACATGGTGCCGGTCCGCGGCGGCTCGGCCGGGGGGCGGCGGCGCGGGTCGGGCCGGGAGCGCGGGGCCCGCCGGCCGCCGCCTTTATAGCCGCGCCGGCCCCGCCCGCCGGCCCCGCCCCTGCGCCCGCCCCCGCCGGGCCCCGGCCGCCGCCCCCGGCCGCCCGCCCCCGCCGGCCCGCCGCTGCTAGGCAACCGGCAGGCCCCGCCCCCGCGCCGCCTTCCCATTGGCGGGTTCCGGCGCGGGGCGGGGGCGGGGCGGGGCGGGGCCTGCGGGCAGCGGCGGGCGGCGATTGGCCGGCCGCGCGGTCGCTCTCGGGGGAGGAGGCGGAGGCGCGGCGCGGGCCGGGCCCGGGAACAGCCTGAGGGGCGCGGGCGGCAGCCGGGCTGGGGGCGGGGCGGGGGCGGGGGCGGGCGGCGCGGGGGGGCGGCGGGGCGGGGCGCGCCGGCGGGGCCCGGGGGGCCAGTGGGGGCGGGGGTCGACCCCGACGGCCCCGCGGGCGGACCCCGGGGGCGGCGGGGCGGCCGGGCGGGCGCCCCTGGCCTCGCGGCCTGAGCCGGCTCCCCGCGGGCCCCCGCCGGCCCCCGTCCTGCCCCGGCCCCGCCCGGCGACGCCCCGGGCCCGGCTGCCCGCGCCGGCCGAGGACGGCCGCGGTCGGGGCCGCGAACCGGCCCGCAGCCCGGCGGGGTCGCTCCTGGCGGCGGACGCGGCGGGGCGCAGAGACGCCTCCGGGGCCAGCCGGGACCCCGGGCCTGGCTGGGGCCGCCTGGCCCTGCCCGGCGGGGCGAGCGCACGTGGCGCGGGGAGCCGTCCCGGCCTGGGCCGCGCCCCCAGCGGGCCAGGAGCCGCCGGCGGGCCGGGGCCAGAGGACGCCCCTGTTCTCCCCGCTGGGGCCCGGGCCGGGCGGGGCGCTCAGAGCGGGAGGGGCACCCGGCGCCCGCCCGAGCCTCCAGGGGCAGCAGCGGCCAAGGACGGGGGCAGGACCGGGCCCGAGCAGTGGACACTCCTGACCGGGGTGGAAGGTCCCTCGGCCTCTGCTCCGGGGGTGGGGGAGATGACCCCTGGCCAGCACTTTACTTCGGAAGTGTTTGGGGGCGTCAGAAGCCTCATCTGTGGGGGACAGCATGGCTGGGAAACCAGCCCCTGGGCCTGGGGCCCGCCCACCCCCCCCCAAGACCAGCAAGAAGCCATCGGCGCCACAGAGAAGCTCTGGGCTCCTCCCCAAGGGACCAAGGCGCTGGTGTCCACCAGCACCCCGGCCCCAGCCCCCCAGGCACAGCACCCCTCTTCCCACCCTCGGGCCGGATGATGGCAGAGGGCCGGTCCGGGTCTGCGGGAGCGCGGCAGGCGGCGGGCCCAGCCACGAGGCTCCCGCCACCCCGACCCCGACCGCGCTCCCACGCCCGCCCCAGCAGGCCGCGGCGCCAGCCCTGGGGAGGCCCCGGGACGCGCGGGGGGCCCCGGGGGGCCCCGGCCGGCGGGCGCGTCTGACCCGGGAGCCGCGCCCGGCACCGGGAGGCGAGGGCTGGAGGCAGGAGGATACGCGCGCATCTCTTCATCAGCTTATTTTTAGTCGGTTATGTAAGTGGCTCCATCTCGGCGTCAGTAGGGAGGGGGTCTCGGATTTAATTACAGGATGACAGCCTTTGCTTCCCGAGCAAGCTGTTCTCCTGGCAAGGCGGCGCTGGGCTGCTGGATTTTGCTAACAGAAGGAGCGCTTTTCTTTCTGAGGTGAGCGCCCAGCAGAGCCCCGAGCCGCCGGGCCGCCACCTCCCTGGCCAGCGCGGCCCAGCTCCGGCGGAGCTCGGGGGCGGCGGGGGGAGCGGCCGCGGGTCTCGGATCACCAGGAAGTTCGGGCGTCGGGGGAGCGTCTGCTCTCCCCTGCCGCCCTCCCCCTTCCTCTTGGCAGCCGCGCCGTCTTCCTGGATTAGCGCTCCTGTCACCAGTAACTAGAAAGTTCCAGCGCGGGAGAGACTGAGGCAGGCGCCCTGGCTCCTGGAGTGAGGACGCCCCTTCTCCCTTCTCTGCTGCCCGCGCGTCCTCCCTCCGCACCAGCCGCCCTGGGCCACGCCGCCGGTCACAAGCACAACTGCCCCCAAGGCGTCCGGGGCTCCTGGCCGGCTGCGGCCCTCCCCTGGGCACCAGTGGCAGGAGGGCAGGGCAGCACCTGCAGCCCCCGGCCCAGGGCTCTGCCCAAGAAGGCAGCGCGTGATTCTGGCCGCAAGGCCCAGCCCACCCGCGGGCTTGTGAGCACGGGACGGGGCACCGGCTGTCCGTGGGCACTGCCACAGGTGCCAGCTAAGGCGGACGACTAGCCCGCGCATCCTCAGGCTTAGCCACCAGCCGGCACGCAAGGATGGCACTTGCAAAGCGGCCCTGAAGGGGCCTCGGGTGCAGGAGACCCCGCCCGGGGATCAGAGCGCCCACCTGGGCGTGACAGGGTGAGGGGCTGACCGGCGCCACCCCCAGATACCGCGAAGGACAGACCGGCAGCCCGACCCTGCAGCGGGCACCCCCAGCGTGCCCATGGACGCCGGCCAGGAGCCCAGGAGGGCGGGGGTGGAAGGAGGCAAGAGGCAGCCCCGGGAGGTGACCGCCGCGTGGCGTGGCGCCCTGGCTGGTGGACGCACGCGGTTCCTCGCCGTCACAGCCGCTGCGTGTCCTGGGCCAGCCCACCCTCTGCAGGGACGGAGGGGCCTCACATGCCCACACCCCAGGCCACGAAGGAAGTGCGAGCGCCTCGGGACAGACTCCAGCCCGTGCCTCCCGGTCTCCCGTGGGGTCAGCGGGTGGAGCGGTGGCCCCGACCCCTCGGAGCACGCCCACGCTGCTGTCCGGCCGGGGGTGGAGGCCCTGGCCCTGCCGCGCCCTGACTGCTGGGCTGCCCTGCCTGCTCCCCGGCCGCCCGGTGCGGCCGCCTCTCCCCTCGTCTTCCCCGCAAATTTGTCTTTGCTCCTAAAATCTGCTGACCCTTGACCTAAGGCTCAGGATTCCCTCCCTGGGGGTGGCGTGGGCACCCCAGAGGCCAGCTGAGCCACCTGCAGGGGCCAGGGCTGGCAGCAGGGCAGGAGCAGGGTGGCTTGGAAGTCGGGGTCCTCCTGGCCCCCGCTGTGGGGAGGGGCGGGGCTGGGGAGCGGCCTAGAACGGTCCAGCGCCCAGCCTGCCCAGCTCCGGGGCTCCCCAGAGGTCAGGCCCGAGGGGCCGTCTCCGGGGCGGGAGGTGCCGCCCCTGCGGCCCGGCGGGGAGGCTCCCAGCAACGGCCCTTACATAATCCCGCTGCGTGACTGCAGCGCCGTGGGCGTGTGGGGGTGCGCACAGGGGCGCGACGAGTCTCCGAGCTCCACGGCGCTGCCCCCCTCACATCTCCGCGTCTGCCAGCTCTGCCCCCCGCTTGCTAGCACGCACCCTGCCAGCGCACCCTGCGGCTCGCGGTGGGGCCTCCGGGGCCGCCCCAGGAGGGTACGGGCAGGCGAGGCCCAGCCGGGCCGCCGGGTCCCACGCGCCCCAGCCCAGGCTCGCCGGGGGGCACAGGGCGGCCAGCTGTGGGCGGCCCTGCGGGGGCGAGGCCTCCAGCCCGCTCAGCTGCTCTGGCTTCGGCGCTCGCCCTCTAGGAGCCGCCAGGGGCTCTGAGCGGCCCGCAGGGCGTGCAGGGCGGGGATCTCCCCTCGAGCCCGGGATCGGGGCGCCCGGGAAAGGCCGGCCGGGCCGTGCGCAGACGCGCGCAGATGGCGCCTCCCAGGATGGCAGCTTCTAATTTCAGCTGCGGGAGGCCTGCGCGCTCTCTTTTTCATTCCACGTTTATTTAAAGCCAGATTTTAAACTGTTGTCTTCAGCCTTGAGATCTGACTTTTTTCTGTCCAAAGACCCAAGGTTCCCCAGGGGGGCTCGGAGCCGCGGGGCGGGGGCTGGGGTGGCGGCTGCTGCTCCCCCCGACCCTGGGTCTCCAGCACTGGAGGTGCCGGCGCCCCGGGGCAGGACAGCCCGAAGCAGCTGTCGCCGTGGCGGGCACCTGGGCCCGCCTGCCCCTCCCTGTCCTGGGCCCCGGCGCGGTGCCCTTCTGGTCCCGCGGGACCCTGGAGAAGGGTGGGGCCCGCAGGCAGCTTCTCCTGGAGGTGGCGCTGTCTTCCCGGCACTGCTCCGCCTGCGCTCGGGACACTGGAGCCCAGGAGGCCTCTCTGGGGAGCGAGTAGCACCCCCGCGCTCCCCTCAGAGTGCGGGGCTGCGGGAGAGGACACTCGACCCAGGACGCAGCCGAGCCCGCAGCAGGCGCTGGGGAAGCCGGAGCAGCCGGGACCGGCGGGAAAGCAGCCCGAGAACCGCAGCCCGGCTGGGCCCCCGCAGGTCCAGCAGGAGACCCGGGCTGGCGGGGGGCACCGAGGGAGGGCGACCCCAGCCTCCGCGTGGCCCAGGAACGGCAGCCGTGCTCTGTGCCCGGGAGGTGTGGGCGCTCGGACTGCTGCCCACCAGGGCTGTGCTCTCCAGAGAGGCCACTTTAGCTTCAAACTTAAGAAAACCACCTGCGCGTCTGGCCTCTCCGAGCCGAGGGCAGCTCCCGCGGAGGCCGGTGGGGGCCGGTGGGGGCCGGTGGGGGCTGGTGGGGGCCAGCGTGCCGCAGGGCAGGTCACGCGGGCTCGGCGCCCACGGGCAGGAGAAGCGGCGCAGCTGGCGGGGGGCTCGGTGCGGCGGGGCCTCGCCCCGGGGTCTGCAGGCTGGTGAGCCCGGCCCGTGGCGCGGCGGCGGCCAGGTGTCCCTGGACTTGGCGGCTGCTCTGGCGGCAGGAGCGTGGCCGGGCTGATTCCTCCCGCCCTGCGCTGGCAGAGCTGCTGCCGGGAAGGCCGCGGGTCCCGCACCAGCAAAGTCCAAGCCGAGACTCCGCCAGCCGGGCCCATGCAGAGGCCACCGCAGCTGCCAGGGGCCAGCCAGCGTCCAGTCTCCGAGAGGCCAGGGCTGGCGCATTCATTGTTGAGACGCCCGGGAGCGTCCAGCCCCGGTGCCTGGAGCCGGGCCTCTGTGGCCTGCGGTCACGGGAAGCTTTGTCCCGCGGGGGCACCTGCTGCGCGGCCTGCCAGACGGCAGGGCAGGGACGGCGCCTCGAGGCTTCACTGCCCTCTGGCGGACAGCCCGGGAAGGCCAGCATGGGCTGCTGAGCCAGGCGCCCTGGACCGCAGGGGTGGACAGCCCGCGGGCGCAGGGCCGTGCTGGGGACCAGGCCCGAGCCTGGGCAGGGGCTGGAGGGCTCCCCAGGGCGCGTGTGACTGGGTGGGGAGGCCGCAGACCCCTGGAGGGGAAGAGGGGCTGGTGGGGGGCGGCTGCCTCTGAGCGCAGTAGAGGGGCCTCGCCCCACGGCCAGGCTGGGCTGCAATGTGTATGCCCAAGGCACGGAGGGGCGTCCCCGGAAGGGCGGCTCAGCGCCACAGGGGCACACCAGGTGGCACAGGGCATTCCCTTGGGGGACCCCACATTGTCCCAGAACCTTCTCATCCCCCTCCCGAGGGGAAGCCACCCTACGACCCCAGGGCCCAGACGTGCCTGCAGGGCGTGTCCCTCAGCACAGGGGTCCCGGCGCCCCATCTTCGGCCCCTGAGTCAGCAGTGGGGCACTCGCGCACGCTCCGGAGTGACCCGCTGGCCATTCCGCTCGGCTTTGAGGGTCCCCAGTGCCGCCAGGCTGGCTGGCGTGAGGTGGGGGTCACGCGGGCGGGCTGGAGTGTCAGCACCCCTGTGTCAGAGCCCCCACAGGCGAGTCTGGGTCTGGCCCCCGCGCCCCAGCAGCCGTGGTCTCCCGGACAGCGTGCGTCCCGGCCAGGCAGAGTCCAGAGCAGCGGGACAGCTGGGTGCGTGACGAGGAGCCACTGGCCTGCAAGGGGGGGTGGGGAGTGGGGTCTCCTCAAGGCGAGGGGCCATGGGGCCATGCGAGGAGCTGCCCCAGGCGCCTGGCGGGGAGAGCCCCCTGGCAGGACTGCGCGCTGGGGCGGGGAAGAGGAGGGGCGGCTCCACCACCTGCCTGAGGCTCTGGACCCCACCATGGGGGCGGGTGGGGGGGAGCAGAGCCCTTGCCCCCTGGGCCCTCCCCCAGTAGTCTGGGCCCGAGGAAGGGAGGTCAGGGGCTCGGAGCTTCCGGGAAGCCAGGGAGCAGCCAGGGAGAGCGGCATGGCCCCGCCCCCCAGAACCCCCAGGCTTCCCCCAGGAACCCAGCCCCCCCCACCCCGGGCTCCCCCTACCCCGTGCTGAACCCCAGGGTCACAGGTGGGCACTGTGGAAGCTCCAAGCCATCTCCCCTGCAGTGAGCCCCCAGAGGCTGCTCCTCAAAGGGGTCCTCCAAGCCCCCTCCGGCCCCGCAGAGCCCAGGGCCGGGGCACTTCCCAAGACCTTGAGGCCTGCGTGCAGTGGGGGAGCAGCCCCAAGGAGCTGCCAGGGAGGCGCCCCCTGCTGCCAGGACCTCTGCCCCGAGGGGCTCTGAGCTCTGGGTTCTGAGCTCGGAGGGAGGGCCTGGGCCTGGGCCCCTGCAGTTGGCTCCGTCCCCCTCCCCAGCCCAGGCCTGGCCTCCGTCCTCCGTCCTCCAGGGCTCACCCGCTCCCTCCCCCTCCGGCAGCCTCCCAGGGGCCCAGCGGCTCCCATGGCTTTCAGGTGTCCACTGTCATTTCAGTGATTTCTACTCGTTATTTTGGGTTTAATTTGTTGGTTTTTAATTAACTAAGGTGAAAGGTTTAAGTGACTGACTTCAGGGCCTCCCTGTGGCCTGTGGGCAGTCTCAGGCTGTCACCGCCTTGGCCTGAGCGTGGTCCCCGGCCAGGGAGCGACCCCCAGGGCGCAGCAGGCCTCTCCTGGCTCCCGCTGCCCCCTCAGCCGTGGGTTTTGGTGGATCCGCCTGCTCTGCTCCCCGCTCTGTCTCTGGGGAGTCCTCTCACCCCCGCACCTCCGGCCTGCACCCCAGCTCTTGCAGCATAAACAAATCTTAAAAAAAAAAATCGACGTGAGGCTCTTTGGTGACATCAGCATTTACCGTCAGCGACTTCCCAGCGAGCCCGGCTCCAGGCGCACCCCGACGCCACGTTACATTCGTTCCCTTTCCATCCGTTCCCAAGCGTCCTGTGGGGTCCCCGTGACTCCCGGCACCCTGTGCCCTCCCAGAGCCCGTGGGCCTGGCGGGCCGGCGGCTTCTGGAGCAGTTTCTCCTTGTCTGAGGACGAAAGGTCCTCAGAAGGTCCACTGGGCTGGCGGGTGGACTCGCTCCCACGGGCGTGACACCGGGGTGTGGGGTTCCCTGAGTCCTGCCCCGAGTTTCGGGTGAGGGAGACGGACCGGCAGCACCTCGCAGCCGCGGCTCTGTCCGCCATTTGCCTCGGCGCAGCTCCCCGACCTTTGACTCTTAACCTCATCCTGCTTCACACAGTGGTTCCTTCCAGCAGAGAGGGTGTGAGGCCCCGCTTGATGTCTCTGTCCTTAGCTGCGTGGGGACTGTCCACGCCAGTGGCCTGCCGGCCTTGGCCTGCCGTGTAACTGCTTCCGGTTTCTCTCTTTGTTCCTGTCCCCTCCCGCCTTCTTCCAAGGTGCCTGGACGCCTCTGCGGTGTTCCCGGTATGTCTGCGTCCGCAGGGCCACCCGGGGCTTCGTGTGCCGGCCAGCCCTGCCCTGACAGAGTAGAGTGGGAGCCCTGGGCTGGGCCGGACACCCACATGCCTTGCCCGACCCCCCAGGAAGTGTCTGCGTAAAACAGGCACAGACGTGAGGCGCTTGGAACAGACCCACCCCGACAGCCACCGCGGCTCTGCGTGCCGGCACCACCCCCGACCCCGGCCGTGTCCACGGCAGCGGGTGGACACTCAAGTCCCTTCTTGTCTGGCGCCTTCCTCACTCCGAGGTGGTTCTGGCCGGGCTGTCGCTCTGACCGGCACACGCGGCTTCCGGCCACCAACCCGGCCTCATTCAGACTGTCCCTCTGCAGCGGCGAGCCACGGCGTGTCCAGGCCTGGTTTCCTCTGGGCTCCTGTCTGGGAAGTGCTGGCTTCTCGAACCTGTAGATTAATGTCACCAAATCTGCAAAATCTACGGCCATTATTTCCTCAGGTTTCCTCCTGCTCCGCCTGCCCCACTGGGACGCCCTGTCAGTGTCACTGACCCACGGGAGCGGCCCCCACGCCCGGCCCCTGCCAGGACTGGACGCCCGCGAGCCTTCTCCACGCACACCCTCTCGCGCCTTCCTCCCGCTGAGAGCCTCTGGGAGGGCCTTCGAGGCGGTGGGCGTCTCTGCCGTGTGTTCATCCTGAGGTGTCCACTTCATTGGCTGGTATCAGCGGAGAAGTCCCGTCGGTCTCACGGGCACGGACTGACCCCAGGCTGGATGCTGACCACCCGCGGCACTGGGGCTGGCGCCTGCCCCTGCAGACCCACACCTGCAGCTCCCTGTGCACCAGCAGCTTGGGGCCAGGCCTCGGCGCCCGACTGCAGCCGAGCGCAGTTCTCAAAGCCTTTCGTGGGCTCGGGGTGGGGCAGCCGGTCCTGCTGCACTCAGGTCCTTCCCACTCCGCCCTCTCTGGGGCTCCCCAACCCCCAGGCTTCCCGCCCGCTCAGGCTACTGCAGGGGTTTCTGTTTGCCTGCCCGAGAGGCCCAGAGGGAAGAGAAAAACCAGGAGCTGCCTGACTCGGCCTGTCACCCTCCCGGTCCCCACCTGGCAGCTCACAGGTTTCCAGCCGGAGCCGTCAGCCGTCCCAGGGAGCACCGGGACGAAGGAGGGGGCCTCTCCGAAGCTGTGGGCAGCCTCTGCAGCACAAGTCCATCCCCGGCCAGGGAGTGACCCCCAGGGCGCGGCAGACCCCTCCTGTCTCCCGCTGCTCCCCTCAGCCGTGGGTTTCAGTGGATCTGCCTGTTCTGCTCCCTACTTTCTCTGGGGAGTCCTCTCACCCCGCACCTCTGGCCTGCACCCCAGCTCTTGTGTGCATAAATAAATAAATCTTTAAAAAAATATTAAAAAAATTAAAAACAAAACCGGGGCCTCCCCGGTGGCACAGCGGTTGAGCGCTGGGTTGCGAGGCTGCCCGGGGCCTCTGCGGCGCCGGTTCGATCCCCGGCTGCTCCCCGGCCACCTGAGGAGGGTCCCACATGGCGCGCAGACCTCTCCTGCCGCCCGCTGCTCCCCTCAGCAGTGTCCTTCGGTCCTTCTGCCTGCTCTGCTCCCCGCTCTGGCTCTGGTGAATTCTCTCACCCTCCCGCGCTTCTGACTGTGCCCAGTGCATGTATAAACAAAAACAAATAAACAAACAAATAAATAAATAAAACATGCCTCTATAAATAAAAAAAAAAAAATGTGTTAAAAAAAAAAAAAAAAAAAAAACAAAACCGTAGAACCATCTGGAGAAACAGCAGCTCGTCCAGCGGGGGCAGCGCGGGCAGAGGCGGCTCGTCCCAGGGGCCGTGCAGGCCTGTTGGTGGTTCATGCCCTCATGTGGCTTCGGGTGCCTGGGGCGCTGCAGTCAGCGCCTCCGAGTGGCATGACTGTCTGCGGGGGAGCCGGGGGACGGGGGACACAGCAATGAGCCCCAGGCCGCTTCCAAAACCCAGCCCAGCCCAGGGGTGCCTGGAGCCCCCTGACGGACCTGCTGCACCCCCGCCCACACACAGCTCTGGCTGAGGATTCTGCTGTTCCCTCAGCTGCCCCCCCCTCCCCCGCCACACTGAGCCCCAACAGGAGTGCTACGTCCTGGGGCTTGTGCTGAGCCGCAGCGGCTCCCCTGGGAACATGGACTCACGGTACGGGGCAAATCGGCCCCGATCTGCACATTTCGGGATGGCGTCTGCATGCCAGGTGCCGCCGAGACCACCTGCCCCGAGGAGGGGGGAGAGAGAGAGAGGAGGGAAGGGGAAGGGGTGGCGAGCTTCACACGGACTCGCTCTGCGGGGACTGCGCCTCCCGCCCGCGGCACAGACACGGGCACTGCTGTGCGCATCTCGCCAGAGCCAGGGGGCGAGGACGCGGAACAAAAGGCGCCTGGACGGGGAAGGAGGTGCGGCTCTGTCGGGATCGCGTGGCTGGAAGACCCCAGAGCCGCTGACACCCCAGGACGCACCCGCGGGGGCGGCAAAGGCGCAGGACGCTGCGTGGGAGACAGTCCGAAAGCGGGGGCCAGGAAAGCGCTCACAGGAATTCAGAAAACAAGCAGAAAGGGAATACCCTGAAGGGTCTAAAAGCTCGATGAGGGCCTCCCCCGTGGCGCAGCGGCTGAGCGCTGGGTTGCGAAGCTGCCCGCGGCCTCTGCGGCGCCGGTTCGATCCCCGGCTGCTCCCCGGCCACCGGAGGAGGGTCCCGCATGGCGCGCAGACCTCTCCTGCCGCCCGCTGCTCCCCTCAGCAGTGTCCTTCGGTCCTTCTGCCTGCTCTGCTCCCCGCTCTGGCTCTGGTGGATTCTCTCGCCCTCCCGCGCTTCTGACTGTGCCCAGGGCTTGTAGAAATAAATAAATCTTAAAAAAATAAAAGCTCGATGAGAGGCGCCCATGCTTCAGCGGGAGACGCAGCGCCCCCAGGCCCAGGACAGACCCTGCCAGCTGCTCAGACGCTGCTGCTGCTCTGCAGAGTTTAGCCACTGACCCGCCTGGGATGCTCACGGCGGGGAGCCACGCCCCGGAGCTCAGGGAGGCCGTGGGGACGGAGCCTGGAGACAGACGCTCAGCACACGCCGCTGGACTCCCAACAAATGACCGTCTTCTCCAGGGGCTCCGGGACCCCGACGTCTGCGTGCAGAAGGGGGGACATCACCTTCTGACGTCCACGCCGGGTGCCCCCGCAGCTCGGAAACGAGTTTGCGCGTGACAAGCCGAAGACCGAGACGCGAGGGTGAAGACTGCCGCAGATGGGGCTGGCTGCCCAGCAGAACCACCCCAACAACCTGGGTGTCATCAAAAAACGTGCCCCAGGAAGCGAGGAGACACTGGGAGGGAGCTTCCTGGCTCCTACCTGAGCAGAATCCGGCGTCCCGGGCACGTGAGGAGCTCTCAGGACTGAACAGCGAAGAGACACCCACCCCGGCTTAAGAACTTAGACCAACAGGGGCCTCCCTGGGCACAGGGTCAGTCTCAGCATACGGAGCTGTCGGCTCGGCCTGAGTCCATCCCCGGCCGGGGAGCAGCCCCCAGGGCGCAGCAGTCCCCTCCTGTCTCCCGCTGCTCCCCTCAGCCGCGTGTCTCGGTGGATCCGCCTATTCTGCTCCCCACTCTGTCCCTGGGGAGTCCTCTCCCCCTGCACTTCTGGCCTGCACCCCACTTCTTGTAGCATAAATAAGCCTTAAAAATAAGAACTTACAGGACGCAGACGGACATCTTTGGAAGGTCTGAGCGGGCCAGCAAGCACATGCTGGCACCTGCCGGCGTCATCACCAGGGAACCCCGGGCCGCGGGAGCACCCCCCAACCCAGGCTGGCGCTGCGGTGGACAGGCGAGAGCAGGCCGGCCAGGACTCGGCGGGATGAGCGGAGGGGGCTGCCAGGCAGCTCCCCCCAGGCTCCAGACGCGCCGCATGGCCCACGGACCCTCCCCAGGCGCCTCGGCGGGGCAGGGACAGCACCGGCCCGGCAGGGACAGTCCACGTGGCCTGGCCCGGTGGGCGGGACTGAGTGACAGGTGCGGAAAAAGCCGGCCTGTGGGTGGGCCTGTGTCTGGCCCTCGCTGCCGGCCCCCTGGGCCGGCCTCGCCTCACTCTGCCCCCAAGGCCCTCGCATGCCGCACAGAGGCGCCGCCAGGAACACCCCATGTCGCGCCGCGGGGATGTGGGAAACGCCACGGAGACCGTGCCCCGGCGTGTGGGCTGGCCCCGCGTGGCCTCCTGCGGTCCCAGAGCTACGTGGCCGGACCCTGCCTAGGGCAGGGCAGGGAGCCAGGAAGCCGCGACGCTGAACATCAGCCTCTCTGCTCCCCATGGGGGGCGTCAGGAGCAAAGGGGTGAAGCGCTGGGCCTCACCGGCCACAGCCCCTGCCGAGCCCCAACACACGCCGTCCACAGGCTGGAGCGTCCAGACGGGCACACCCAGGCCCGGGGAGGGAGGGAGACAGCAAACGGCCGCCCGTCCCCGGGACAACGGCCGACGGCGCCCTGCCCTGGGACGCGGCTGCTCGCCCACGCCCGGCTCCAGCCAGGCCGCTGCTGCCAGCGAGCCGTCCTCGCCAGGCGCCCACGGCGGCCTCCCCACCCGGACTCCCATCCGCTCGGCGCAGAACGGCAACGCAAGCCGGCCCCGGGCACCCTCGTAGGATGCGAAGCTCCCGCAGGAAGGTGGGGAGGGCGCGCCCTCCCCCGGGGCCGGTTCCTAGGCTGGCTTTGGCTTGGGGTCACCCAGAGGGCGGGGAGCTGGGCTCCCAGGGGCCCTGGAGCGAGACCGCCCCGAGGTGAGGGCCACCGCCAGCCTCCGGGCCCAGCCGGACCCACGGTCACCCAGGTGAGCTGCACGGGCAGGAGCACGCAGGGGTGGTCGGCTGGGCCGGACGGAGGCTGAGGATGCCGGGCGCCAGGGAAGGGGCAGGGGCAGCTCAGGGTCACAAATGGCCTGGCGGGGGCCCGGGTGTCCACTGGGGAGACCCAGACGAGCGCCTTGGCTCTCGCGGTCAAGGCCCGGCCTGGGTCTGTCTGTGAGGCCAGCTCCGCCGCAGCGCTGCCCCCGCCCCAGGCCAGCGTGTCGGAGTCTAGGGGGAGGAGGCCGGTGGCGGGAACCCCCAAGTTGTGGGTGCGGCCGGCCAACTGTGTGGCTCTTGGTCTCCCCAGGAAAGGCGGCGCGCGCAGCCGAGGAAGTCCGGGGTTGTGACAACCGCTGGTCCAGACTCTCCCAGCGGGTGGGCGCAGGGCAGCGGGCGGCCCATAAGTGGCACGGGTGCCAGGGAGCACCCTGTGGCAAAGCTGGCTGCAGAGAGATGGTGGCCCCTGCCCGGAACAGGGTATGATATGGCCAGCGCACCCCCCATCCCAATCCCCTGTGATGCACCCCATTTCCACCCCGACCTCCCACTTCCCATGCGCCGTACCAGGGACACATCCTGCCTACCCGCCCCGGGCCTGGGTGCTCTGCCCGCCACCCACAGTCACCCCGGAGCCCGGGACAGACGGCTTCCCCTGGGCACGGGGCCTCCCCCCCGGCACTCCAGGGCTGGCGGCCACCTTTCCTTGCCGCGCAGGGGGCTGAGGCCTGGCCTCCCAGCCCTGGCCACCACCACGGAATCAAAGCCTCAAGAGTGAGGAGGGGCCCCAGCACCCCAGGAAGCAGGCGGTGGCGCACGCTGAGCCTCAGCGAGGGCAGTGGCTGGGGGCGGCTGCCTGAGCACAGGCCGGCTCGGCCAAGGCCCACTCCGGGGAGAAGCGCCTCCGTCCCCCAACCCTCTGCGGCTCCAGCAGCCCTGAAGCGGCTGCCCCAGGAGGGCCAGGAGCATGTTTCAGGGACAGCAAAGGGGAGATGCCCCAGGTCCCCAGGTCAAGAGGCAGCAGGCCTTGAGGCTCCGACTTTAATGAGGGGCTGCCCTGGCTGGGGCCAGGTGGGCCCATTTCTGAGGCTCATCGGGCCCCAAAGGCGGTGAGGCGCCAGGCCCCGCCCCGCTCGCGCATCAGTGGGGAGCGGAGCCCAGCAAGGTCGTCCACCCAGCGGCGGGGCTGGGAGCGGCGTCCATCCCGCAGCGCTGCGGCTGGGGCCGGGAGCCTCGGTCTCTCAGGCTCCGTGCTAGCCGCAGGGAGACCCACGGAAATGGGGGTCTGTGGTGCCAGAGCGGGTCCCATCAGCACCTCTGGGAGCCTGGCCGCTGGCCGTCCTGAGGGTCCATCACGGGCGGGTGCGGCTCCACAGGCGGGGCTGGGGCAGCGCCCCTGCAGCTGCACCCTGCACCCACGTGGGAACCGGGCGCCAGCTGGGGGCGGGGGAGGGGTACAGGCCCAGCGGACGGGGGAGAAGCTCGTGGCGCCTTCCGGTGGGACAGTCGGCTGAGGGTCAGGCCGGCACGCAGCAGTCCTGGCGGCTGGACCCCGGGCCCGGCCTTAGTCCCGTCTGGCCTGGCCGTTCACTCCACCGGCCAGACGGCAGCGGCGCCGGGGCAGCCTCCCCGCCAGCCTGGGGGCGCGGCCTCCTGGAGCCCGGCGGCTGGCCACGCCTGCTCCGTGCGCCCGGCTGCAAGGAGCCCCTGCCAGTCCACGCCTGAGCTGCTACGAGGCTGCCACCGGCTCCGCCTGCCGGGGCCTGGCCTTGGCCGGCACGCGCTCTGCGGAGGAAAGGAGACGGCGCCAGTGCGGAGGCCCCGCGGGCGCCCGGGCTGCTCAGCGCTGGAGCGCGAGGCCGGCTCCGCAAGGGCAGTCGGCAAACACGCGGGGTGGGCGCGGACCCAGGCGGGCGGCGGGCGCAGAAGCACACGGCAGGGGCCCAGGCTCCACCCCCGGCCCTCGGCCCTCCCAGGCGGGCGCCGGCAGGTCCCCCAGGGGCGGGCGCCCGGCTCTGTTCTCCTGCGGCGGCAAAGGGCAAGCGAGGGGGGTACCTGGGTTCGTCTCAGGAAGGGGCTCCGAGGGCACGTCCGGAAGCTCTGCCTGCTCCTGCGGGAGACCAGGCAAGGCTGTGAGGCGCCGGGAGGCCGCCAGCCCTGCTCCCGCGGGTGGGGAACGGGCAGATCTGGGGCGCGCGAGTAACACCCTCGGCTGGAGCACACAGACCCGAGGCCTGCGCGTGGCCGGAGTGAAGCACCAGGCGGGGGGCCTGGGGAGGAGGGGCCCGGGACCGGTGGGGGGGGTGTTGGGGGGGGCACCCTGGCCCTGCCGCCCCGGCGTGGCCACTCCCCACTCGCCAGGCGCTGGGGGCCACCCCAGGCCCTGTTCCCAGGGCAGCTTCTCCCCGTGGCGCCGGGTGGCAGCGGGCCTCGGTGTAGCCAAGTGCTGGTGGCGTCAGGGAGCCCCAAGCCAGGGCTGTGCTGGGTCCCTGGCGGCGCCCGCGGGGGGGGGGGGGGGGGTGTCCAGCCCCGGGAGGGCTCTTACCTCAGTGATGGCGTCCAGCTCCTCCAGGATGGCGTCCTCGTCTTCCTGGGTGAAGCTCCCCGCCAACAGCTCGTCTATTTGCTGCAAAGAAGGAGCCGAGGTGAAGCCGCGCAGGTGGGCGATGGGGGAAGGGCAGCCCGGGGCGGGGGTGGAGGGGGAGGCACAGCCCTCAGGGGCCAGCCAGTGAGCGGGCGGGAGCGCCCAGGGCCCGGCCACACCCACCCGCTGGTACTCCACGGCCTCCTGGGTCTCATCCAGTATCCGCTCCACGTCCTCGATGGACATCACCTGAGCAGTGAGACGTTTGGGTTTGGTCAGCCAGCCACAGACACCCGGGCCACGGCCCCCTGGCCAGTCAGGCACCGCGCACCCCACCTGTGCCGCTGCAGGCGGGCTGGTGCCCGTGGCCCGGGACCATCTCGCTCACTCCTGTCCCAGCAGGGTCCCGCCCAGAGGCGAGGAAGCGGCCGGGGCACCTTTTCCGAAGCCTCACAGGCCCCCTCACCAGGCCTGCCCAGCCAGCCCCAGCCGTCGCAGGCGAAGAGCAACTGGCAGAAGCGGTCTCTCGGCGAGGAGAGGCCTCCCTGGTAGCTGGCTCCAAGCAGCCCTTGGCTTGACCGCCAGGCTCACTGCACGTGACCTATGCACGCTGACCAGCTCCCCGATGACCCTCAGGGCAGCAGGCCATGGCTCGGTCTAGGGGCTCCTCTGGCCACCCAGTCCTGTTACATGCTGAGAGGCTGGGTGCTCCTCCTCCAGGAAGCCCTCCAGCCCCAACTGGCCTCAGCTCACAGAGCAGCCCTCTTGGTACTGCGACGCTGAGTCTGTCCCACCAGATGGTAACCCGCCCTGGTTGCGACCAGCTCCCCCAGGTTGGGTCGGACACAAACCGGGCACAGCCTGGGCCCTGCCTGGGAGAGCCCCGTGCCCCAGCTCTACCTGGTGCATCTTCTTCAGACACTCATTTCCAAACTGCAGCCCCTCCATCACCTTCATCTCGATCTGGGTGAACTCAATGCTCTGGACCTGAGGTAAGCAGACCGATGTGGTAGGGACCCTCCAGACCAGCTCAGGGTCAGGCGCTGCCGAGGGGCGTCAGGGCCGAGGGGCCTCCTCCCTGTCCTTCCCTGCTGCCCCCCCCCAGTGGTGGGGGCTCTGGGCGGGACTGGGGACAGGGGAATCCAGGTGTGGCGAGGGCCGGCAACTCAGTGGAGGCCTTGAGCAGCGGGTGCCCTCGGCACCAGAGGGGACCCAGCCCCGCCATGCCCCGCCCACGGCCCCCCCCAAGGCTCCCTGGCCCCGCCTCCAGCTAAGAAGCAGTTTGGTCCCAAGGCACCCCACAGGCCGGCCTGACTGGGGCCTGTGTCCACCTACCATGGCCTCCAGGCTGGTGATCTGATTCTCTGTCTTCTCCAGGAGCTGCTCTCGGTAGCGCTTCTTCTTGAGCAACAGCTTGGCCCGTCTGCAGAGGAGAGCCCGCGCATGGACCTGCGCCCAGCGCCACCCGCCGCCCTCCCGGACAGCCCCGCGCCAGCCCCGGCCACTCACTCCTTCTTGCCGTCCCGCAGCAGCTGCCGGGCCACGCCGCGCTCGCGCTCCAACTGCTGGGTGACCCTCTTCTGGTACTGCTTCAGCTTGTCCCGCTGCTGCTTCAGTTGCTGCAGAGACACCAGGCCTTGCGTCCATGCCCAGGCCACCACGCAGGCCCGGGGGACCCCTTATGGGCCAGGGGGCCCTGACGGCAGCCACCTGACAGGGGCTTCGGCCCCTGAGCTGCGGGGCAGTGCTGGAGATAGGCCTGGCTTCCCCAGCGGGGGCCGCCTTCGCCACTGAGCAGCGCCCAGGGCAGCCCCCACTGTGTTGGCCACAGCCAAGTGGGGAGCCCGCCCCAGGCACTGCTGCACCCGAGAGTTGCTGCCAAAGCCGTGGGCTCAGGACCACTCCCGCCAGCCACACCTGCGCCTCGAGGCCGCCCGCTGCTCCCCAGCGGCCTGGACGCGGCAGCGTGCACTTTGCTCCCCGCTGTCACGGGGCTCAAGGGGTGACGGTCGAGCGCGCGTGGGCCCGGCATCCCCCTCCCGGGCCAGGCTAGGCACCCCCCGGGTTGTCTTTAGGGCTGATCGCCCGCAGCGGGTGGCCGGCAGCGCAGACACCTGGCGAGGCCTGGAGACCCGGGCAGGCCGCGCGCCGCTGCCCACGGGGCGCCCACTCCAGGCGCCGGCCCGTCCACGGCTCCGCCGGCCGGCGCGCGGGACTCGGGGGCCGGGGGGCGGGGGCGGCGGGGTGCGGGGCACCCCGGCCTGAAGCTCCGGCGCAGCCGCCCGCGAGGGGCCGGCGGGGGACCGTGTCCTCCGGCCGGGACGGACGCCGCCGCGGGCACGAGGCCGCTCGCGGGGAGCCCGAGGGAGCCCCGGAGCCGCCTCGGCGCCCGGCCCGGGGTCGGGGGGCCCGGCCGCTCCCCGGAAGGGCCCGACGCGGCTCTCGCGGCCCCGCCCCGCGCCTGGGGCTCAGGCCGCCCCGGGGGCCTCGGAGGCCGGGGTCCGGCCGCGCCCCCCGCCGCCCGCCCCGGGGTCCCCGCCCCTACCAGCACGGCCTTGTCCTGCTCCGTGACGCGGCTCTGCTTCCTGCGGCCGAACAGGTTGCCCATGGCGGCGCCGCCCGCGCCCCGCCGCCCGGCCCGACCCCGCCGCCCGCGCGGCCGCCGTAGCCCCGCCCCGCCCCGCCCCGCCCCGCCCCGCTACGGCGGCCGCGCGGGCTCAGCCCCGAGCGCGAAGCGCGCGCCGGCCCTGCGGAGGCGCCCGGGTTCGAACCCCGGCCGCGGCGGTCGCCCCGCACACCCCGCCGCGCGCGGCCGGACTGACGGTGGCGCCTGGAACGTTCCAGGTGTGCGATTCCGGGAAGTTCTAGCGGTGCAGGGGGAGACTCAGTGGCCAGTCTCCTGCGGGGTGACCAGGGGACAGGCTCCCCCACCTGGAAAGTCCTGTGCGGGAGTCATCGCTCGCCCTGCACCCCACCGGCCGCCGCACGCGGAGACACCGGCAACCTCTTGCACTAAAAGGTGTCTGCAGAATGGGCCTCCCAGTGGCGCAGCGGTTGAGCGCTGGGCTGCAAAACTGCCCGCGGCCTCTGCAGCGCCGGTTCGATGCCCTGCTGCCGGGCGAGGGTCCCCCATGGCGCGCAGACCCCTCCTGCCGCCCGCTGCTCCCCTCAGCAGTGTACCTCGGTCCTTCTGCCTGCTCTGCTCCCTGCTCTGGCTCTGGTGGATTCTCTCACCCTCCCGCGCTCCTGACTGTACCCCGTGTTTGCATAAATAAATCTTTAAAAAAAAAAAAGGTGTCTGCAGAAGTGGGCCTGGGCAGTGTTGCCCGCGTGGCTCGCTGACCTCTCTGCCTCCAGCCCTGCGAGCGCCCAGCCTGTGGTCAGGGCCCCAGCCCCCCTACAGAAGCCACCGTCTGTTGGGCAGGAAACCCTCGTGGGGCGTCGGGGCGGTCAGGCGGAGCCCCCCGCTTCCACCTGGGCTTCCCGCCTGGGTCTCCTCTCCCAGGGAGGACCCGGCCCGGCCCCCAGTCCCCGCAGCCGTCACCCACCCAGCGCCGGCCCGCAGCACGGGGTGGTGGTCAGAGAAGGCCGGGCCTGCCGCCTCTGCTCTCTGCGAGACGCTGTCCTGGTCAGCAGCAGCCCGGGCCGCCTGAGATGGGTGCAGGCTGGGAGGGGCTGAGTCCACACCCCGCTGCCTCCAGAGAAGGGTCTTCAGGGGAAGACGGGCTGCCGCATGGGAGGGGGTGCCCACCCGCCTGCTGTCAGGACCGATGCGTGGGGCCTGCCCTGCCACTGGCCGCTGGACTCCCTGGGCGGGGTGCGGGCCGTCCCAGCCCCAGCCAGCCGCCGCTCGCGGGGCCCCATGGGAACGGATGGTCAGAAACACTGAAGGGTGAACTCAAGAACAGGCTCGTCAGCGCGGAGGGGGTGTTTAGTTGGGGGCGGAGGGGGTGTTTAGTTGGGGAGCGGGAGGACCCCAAAGGCCAGGAGCAGCAGCCGCTGGCAGCGGCGACTTCCTAGGACCAAGGGGGCCGTGGGAAGAGCCACCAGTCACTGGGGTGCTTGGGGCTGGGCAGTGCACCCCACCCAGGGGCCGACACCCTACCCCACTGGGGGACAGCCCTGGGGGCAGGGGTGGGGGGCACCCCAAAGCCCCTCCCACCTGCCATCGGGGCCACTGCAGCAGGAGGAGGATAGCAGAGGCCACGGCAGGGAGCCCGTGGTCTGGGGAGCCCTGCAGTGTCCCCCAGTGCCCCGAGGGCCACCAGCTGCAGGGGCGGCTCCTTGGAGGGGACCTGGAGGCAGGCGGGCTGGGCCCCGGGGCCTGGTGACCGGCAGGTGACCCGCGTGGGCGGACCCAGGACTGCCCAGCTCACTGTCCGCACCCGGGAGCCCCTGCAGGGCCGGGAGTGTCCCCGCCCGGGTGCTGCCGGAAGGAAGGAAGGAAGGGCCCGGCCTGGAGGCGCCGCCCGCAGCAGCCGGGGCGGGGGCGGGGGGTGCAGGGGTGCGGGGGCGCGTCTCGTCTCCTCCCAGACGGGCCGTTTCCGGCCAGGACCCCGCGCTGTCCCCGTGACCCCCGCGGCCGCACTGCCCGGGCCGGCGCCTCGGGCTCCCGGCGGCCCGGGCCTGAGGGCGGGCGGGGAGCGGCACTGCGGCGGGGGGCGCGGGGGGCGGCGGACTCTGGACCTGGGCCGTGCAGAGGCGCCGCCGCAGGAGCCCGGGGAGAGGGCCCGGCCCGCGGGGACCCTCGAGGGCCGTGGCTGGGCCACGCTGGGCCGCGGCGCGGAGGGCAAGAGCCGCGGGGGCCCGGCGCGGGGCGCCCATCCCCTCGGCGCCCACCCCCTGGGCGCCCACCCCCTTGGGCACCCACCCCCTCGGCGCCCACCCCCTCGGCGCGGCCGGCGTGGGAGCGGCCGTGGTGGCCACGCGGTGGCGCTGCAGGACAGCCCGGGGAGGGCGGCCAGCGTCGAGCCAGCACCTCGGCCTCCAGCCGCGCCCGCCGCGCTGTCCCCCCGCCAGAGGCCGGCACTGGCCGGCAGTGGCCCTGGGCCCTCGCGGGAAGGCGGGTGGCCCTAGAACAGCGCGGGGCCCTCCTGTGCCACTGACCTGGCGCTGGGAGAAGTGCCCGACCGGGCGCCCTCTGTCCACTGCTGCCCCCCACCCCCCTCGCCTGGCCACCGACCCCGCTGCCCCAGTCTGCCCTGCGGGGTGACGGTCCGAGGGACTCGGCCCGTGCTTGGGACGCTCCCTTGGGGAGACGGAGGCGCGGCCGGCTGCCCGGGACACCCTGCGGGGTGCGGCCTGCCGCTGCTGATCCTCTGTGGGGGGCTGCGGGCCCTCGGGGGGAGCAGACGCAGCCTGATCTTTACAAGGTCTCCCTGCCGGGCCGGTGGGAGAGGGCCTGGAGCGGAGCCAGGGCTGGGTTCACACCCCGGGGCGGGGCGAGGGTGGGGCAGGCCTGGGCGCTGGAGTGCTGGGGCCGAGGGGGGGCGTGCTGGCAGACCCGCCCCTGAGGGCCGCCCCGTGGGCAGGGGTGCCTGGGCTTGGGGCCACGGCTGGGGCTGTGCCTGGGGCAGGCAGGCTGCCGGCGGGCCCTGGACTGTCCAGCCCGCAGTGGCCGTGTGGTGTGGCTGGGTCGGGCAGCGGGGCGCTTGCGGACGGGGCCTGGGTGGTAGCCCCCGCTGGGCAGCAGCCCCTGGAGGCCTGGGCGGACCCCCACGGGCCGGGACACCTGACCTGGGGCTGAGGCGCCCCCGTGCTCCGCACCCCACTTTCCGTTCCCAAGTAGATGCTTAGGAGGGGCCGCGGGCTCCCTGGCCCGGCCTGCTGGGGGCCGCCACCTCGGTGTGGGGGGCTGGCTACTGTCCTTCCGCCCCGGGGGTCCTGGTGTCCCCCAGTGACAGGTGATGCCAAGCTGCTCCTTGCGCCCGCTGGCCCGCGCCGACCCTCGGGGGCGTCTGTCCAGCTCCTCTGTCCGTTTTGAGCAGGCGTGGCTGGCGGCCCGGGATGGCCCCTGCGGGTGTCCCCTCCTCCTGCACGAGGCCTTTTGAAGCACACGAGGCTTTTGTGAAAAAACACACTTTTCCCGTGTGTGGCATCGGGTTCCCTCTGCAGCAAGTGCCCAGCTGTGGGCCCCGAGGCCCGGTGTGGGGGCCGCTGCCCAGCGCCGTCCTTGGGCCCAGGTGGTGGCGCTGCGGCTCGGGCTTCTCCTGCGCACGGGCGAGCCGCGGCCCCGGGGAGCCGCGCACCCGCGCAGGGGTGGGTCGGTGCGAGCGCCATCTGTGCGCCCCGGTGCTGGCGAGCTGGTGCCCGCAGGTCTGCGGTGCGTTCTGAGACTCCATGGAGCCCTCGCCCGCCCTGAGGGCAGGTCCGGTGGGCGCCACGGGGGTACCCAGCCTAGGCGCACGTGGGCCCTGCAGGGAGCTGGCGCCCCCATTCCCTGCTCTGCCGGCTGTGACCCCTCCCGCGAGCCGGGCGTCTTTGTCTTTGCACCCTCACCTGCTCCCGCTTGGCCTCTGCTCCGGGGGCTGCTGGTCTCTGGCCAGGGGCAGCGCCACGCTGCACAGGCTGGGGGGGCGGGGGTGTCCGGCGGGAGGCTGGGTCCCCACACAGAGCTGGGGAGAGCTCTGGGCAGCCGCCCTCCCTCCCTCCAGGCTGGGGAGCTCCCCATGGAGGGGATACTGCCAGGAGGTTCTGATGCCCCAGACCTGTCCCTGCGCCCCCCCCTACCCCCCTCCCCCGTGGTTCCACGTGTGCACTTCAGGCGGCGCCTGGGTCAGTGACTCTGCTGCCTTCCCCGACTGCGGATCCTGGCCCGGACTGGCCCCTGTGCGCTGGTCAGGCCCTGGGTGGCCCTTCCGGCCTCCCTCCTTCCTGGGGTGACCCGCTGGCCAGTCTTCCCGAGAGGGCCCCTTGGGCTGAGGCTCTCGGGCACACGCCCCTGCGAGCATCTCGGGGCCCCACCCCGCGGACCCCGCCTCCCGCGTCCCCCCCGCCCCAGTCCGCGCTGAGGGTCTGCTGGGCCAGCAGGGGCAGCTGCGTCTCGGGTCTCCCCCAGGGAGGGGCGCGGGGAGGGGAAGGTGCGCGCCTGGGCGGGCAGCCCTCCCCGGGGAGCCCCAGGAGCCCCAGGAGCGGCTCTCGCGGGCGCCGTCCTGCCGGCCCCGCCCGCCCACCTGCCCGAGACCGGGGAGGGTCACCGGGGGCCGCCGCGCCGCGGGCTGGAGCGGATCCGAGGACGACCCCGCCAGCCCCGTCCCGGCCCCCCCGGGGCGCCCGCCTGGGGCCGCGGGCGGACGTGGGGCGCCCGCCCCCCTCGGCCCCGCCCCCGCCCCGCCGCCCTCGGGTCCGGCGCTCGCCGCGCGCAGACTGAGGCTCGTCGGGGAACTCGCTCTCTCCGCCGCGCTCGCCGGCGCGGGGCGCCCACCCCGGGCGCCCTCTCGGTCGGCGCCGGCGGGGCGTCCGCGCAGGCGTCCGGCGCGCGGCCCTGGTTTCCATGGCGACCGCCCCCCCCGCGAGCCGGGCGGAGCTGGGCCCGCCCCGACCCCTCCCCTCCGGCCCCAGACCCCGCCCCCAGGGCCCCGCCCCTCCGGCCCCAGACCCCGCCCCTCCGGCCCCAGGGCCCCGCCCCTCCGCCCCCAGACCCCGCCCCCAGGGCCCCGCCCCTCCGCCCCCAGGCCCCGCCCCGCTGCCCCGGCCAGGCCTGGTCGTCCCCGCGGCCAAGGGCGCCCGGGCGCCTGCGGCGTCTACACGGCAGGCCCCGGGGATGCCCGGCCTGGTGCTGGGTCCGCCGGCGAAGGGCTGAGGCCGCAGGTGGAGTGGGGTGCTGGTGCCGAGTCCGCGGGGAAACCCCGCACGGCTGGCTGGGGGGCGCCCCTCGCTGCTGCCCACCCTCCGGCCGCGCCGGTCCCTGTGCCCGCGCCCGATGCGCCCCGCGGGGCCTCCGGGCAGGACCCGGGCGGCGGCGGCGCCGAGTCCTCCACGCGGGCCCATCCGGCCAGCGCGGCGCCGGGAGCCGGCCCCGAGCCCTCCGGGAGGCCGTGCCCAGGCGGGCGCCTCGCCCCGGGCGGCTGTGGGCGCAGGGGCGGGCGGCAGCGCAGGGGCGGGCGGCCGGGCCTGGCGGTCCGTGGGCTGGTGCGCAGGGGCGGCGGGAGCCCCCGGCCCACAGGGCAGCGAGCGCAGCGCAAGGGGCCTGAAGACAAGCGCGCCGCGTCTCTTGCACTTATTTTTTATTAAGTTTCTTGCTGGTCGTTGCCTTTCCTTCCCGGCGCGGTTCCACGTTTGTCCGTCTTTCTCAATCCTCGTCTTGGTAAAATAAATAGGGGTAACGGCCTCTGGGTCGCGCTCGCTCCAGCCGCAGGCACTTCATGATTGAGCCCCACAGGCGCTGGGAAGGCGCCGCCCGGACGCCCCAGGTGCGCAGGGCCCCAGCCCTGGACCTGCCAGGCGTGGCTGTGACCCAAACAAGCAGAACCACGAGCTAGCCCAGAGCCTGCGGCGGAGCCCTCCCTGAGTCAGCTCTGGCCACTTCCAGAAGGTTCCGGCGTCACTGGCTGGAGTGGGCGCAGGGCTGACGGGTGACGGTGGGAGCGGGGCCTCCTGCCGCTCTCCGGAGCCCACTCTGCCACCCAGCCAAGAGGCTGGCGCGGGCTCCGGGCCCCACCCCAGAACCTTCCCCAGGGGCAGCACGTCCTGTGGGCAGAAGGCCGCCCCCTCGGCCCGCCCCGTCCAGTCCCTCGCAAGATCTGGGACCAGCCACGGTCCGCACCCGGGCCAGGCCTCCGCCGCGGCGTCCGCGCACACCCCGCTGCCGGCAGACTCAGCCGGGCCCGTCACTTCTCTGGATAATCCTGATTCCCAAGAGAAGTGGAAAATGTTTTCCAGAATATCATCATTGTGGGTGCCGGTCCCCAGGCTCTCAGCACACCCTCCGGATCCTTCCCGGGTGCACTGTCCTCCGGCTCTGGCCACGCCGACCGGCGCAGACGTGCCCGCTGCGCTCCCAGGAGCTGCTCCGCCGGCTGCGCCCCGGCGCTCCGCTGTACCCCGCGGGAGGCTGTGGAGGCCACCCAGGAGCTGCACCTCGCCGAGCCCGCGCCTGGGGAGGCCTGCACACGCGTGTACGCCCTTGCCCGCACATTTGATGGAAGACCCGGTGCGCACACGCATGTGCGCCATGTGTGGGGGTCGTGCCCCGTGGCACCTGCGGGGAAGGCAGCTCCAGCCGAGCCCGGCCTGAGGCGGGGGCCCAGCGTCCAGTGCCTCCCCCTCCTGCTGGCGGGATGTGCGGGGGGCCCCAAACTCAGCACGAAGGTCTCGCCTGCGCGGGGGAGGGGCGGCCTGGGCTAACCGTTGAGCCAAGTCGGCCAGAGCTGGCCAGGGCCGCGGCCGGACGCCTCCCCGCGAAGCCACAGCCTCCGCCAGCTGCTGGGAACGTCCGAGGGCAGCCCGGGGGTGGGGGTGGGGTGCCAGGGCCAGGAGGCCTCCACGCGCTCACAGCCAGCGTGTCCAGCAGCCGTCGCCCCGGCGGCAGGCCAGGAGGCGGCTTCCGACCCGGGACCTTCTGCAGCTGCTGCTTGCGTGTCGCTCGGAGGACAAAAGGAAGGTGCTTCCCCCCTTAGAGATCCCAGGACAACCGGGGTGGAGGGGCTGCCCCGGGCAGGTGCGGGCAGGGCCGCCCCCACAGGCCTCCGCCCCCTTCCCGGGCTTCCTGGCGGGGCAGGGAACACAGACAGACAGACAGACAGCGTGGGCCTCCGCGAGCCCTCGGCGCCGTGCGGGGCAGGCTCTCGCGGCGGCGTGTGGGCCGGGCGCCGCTATCTGGCGCGCTTCTCCACCGAGTACACGGAGATGTAGTAGTCGTTGCTGCCCACGGCCAGGTGCGGCTGCGGGGGAGGCGGGCGTGAGTCGGGGTTCAAAGGCCCGCGCTGCCCCGCCAGACTGGGGCCCAGGGCCGGCCCCGCCTCGGGGCAGGGGCATGAGCACGGGCAGAGCCAGGTACCTCCCCGCGCGCAGCCCGCTCCCAGGGCAGGGGGACGGCGGCCCTGGGCCGAGCCGGGGCGGGAGGCGGCCTGGGTGGCGGGTTGTGGGTTTCCCCCACCCCACCCCCCTTCCCCTGCTCTGGGCTGCCGGGCCCGCCCCAGCCCTCCCCGGCCGGCGGGGGACACAGACCCAGTGTGGGTGGAAGGCCAAGCAGCTGATGGCGCCGACCCGCTGGCCCATGAAGCCGTCGTAGTACTTGATGTGGTTGATGAGCTCCCCGCTCCCGCTGTAGATGGCCGTGAACTGGTTCATGGAGCCGCTGGGGGCGGGAGGTCTGCCCTGAGCGCCTCCTCCCTTCCCGGGAGGACGGCCCGGCCGAGGCCGCAGCAGGCCCGGGCGCTGTGGGGGACGCCCGGACCCTCCCCCACCCCAGCGAGGTCGCGCCCAGCCCCGGGCCAGCCTCCTTCCTGGGGGAGCGGGCGCCTACCACGCGATCAGGTTGGCCTGGGGGTGGATGTCCAGGGCCGTGAGCCCCTTCACGATCTGCAGCACGTTCACCGACTCCGGCATCCGCGGGTCGAAGACGCGCACGTCCCCATTGACGCTGCGAGAGACGCCGTGAGGCTGGGGGGTGCTGCCCGCCCGGGGGACGGCCGTGGGGCATTGCCGTCCGCACACACGCTGCAGGGCGGGCTGAGCCCCCGTGTACCCCCCCAGCACTGCCCCCACCAGCAGAGCTGCCCACCCAAGGCAGAAGCCGCGAGCCGGGAGCCGCCGCAGGGCAGGCGCGGGGGAGGGCGTGAGTGATCTGCTTCATTTCCAGTCCCGGAGATTAGATTCCGCGCTGGGGACCTCGGCCAGCCGCCCCCCCGCCGCCCCCCACCCTGGCCCGGCTGCCCCCACCCCGGGAGGCGTCCCCTCGGGAGCGCTGTGTTCTGCTCCCCATTACAAGCGGGGGAAGCCCTTGGAGGCGCGCGGCTGTGTGGCGGTAAATCACACTTCGCCGGCCCGTTCACGGGCAGGTAACCACCGCGGCCTCAGCCCAGGGCCCCCGCGGCAGCTGCCCGCCCCCCTGGCAGAGCTCCCGGGACCTCCCCCGGCCCCAGCTGGCCCTGCCCTTCCGGCCAGGCCTGGGGCGCGTTCCTGCTGCCCGAGCACGGTCGTGCCAGCTGTCTGAACGCCAGGACACACCCGGGCAGGAGGGAAACAGCGGTGGCGGCGGAGCCCAGCCGGCACTGGCGCCTCACCTGACGCTCATGATGTGGCCCTCGGGGTGCTTCTGCAGGTGCGCCTTCACCACCCAGGCCGTGTGCTCACGGTACGTCATGACGCGGCTGGAGGGAGGGCACGGTCAGGGGGGCGGGCTGGGCGGCCTCGCCGCCCGCTGGGCTGTCTTCGGGCAGGGTGGGGTGGGGCCAGGCTACGGGCACCCCCGGCCACCAACCCACTAGAGCCACGGAGTCAGGTGTGCGGTGAGTCCCAGCGACACCCCCAGCATCTCCCACCCAGCACGGCACCACTGAGACCGGGCCACAGGCGCGTCCTGGCGGGGCTGGCCCAGGGGCGCAGACTGTGGCCGAGCGGGCCCGAGGGGACACAGGCCCCACAGAATGGGTCAGGCCAGGACGTGGCCCTGGGGATGCCACGGGTGCCCCCGTCTCTGCTGCCCATAGGAAGAGGAGTGCAGACCAGTCCCACCCTCAGGTGCTCCGTGACCCTCAGCTCCTTTCGGGTCAGCTTTCGAGTCCTCCGCCAGGCCAGGGAGGCCTTTACAACAGCAGCCTGAGCTTCGCCCCGCCTCCACGCGCGCAGGCCGGGGGCTCGGCGCCCAGCACTAGCACTGCACCGCGGCCGAACCCCAGGTCTGCATCACCCTACCTCCATCCCCCCACCCTGCTGGGTGCTCCTCGCTGTCGGCAGGGAGCCCACAGGAACGGGGTCCAGGGCCCAGCCCCCTCCCCGTGGGGGCGGGGGAGCCCCCAGCCCAGCTCAGACCTGCTGTGTGTCCCTGCTGCCCCCAGCCCTCCGCCAACAAGGCCGTCCCTGCTGCTCCAGGCCCGTCTCGGGCTCACCCACCCCTATAGGCAGACATCGGCGCAGGAGCTCCTTGGCCTGAGCTCCCCGCGTGGGGCCGGGCAGGCGGCCGGGGCCGCACTGGGGTCACAGGTGCCGCGAGGCGACAGCACAGGCTGGGAAGCAGTCAGGGGCCCGTGCCCAGCACCACAGCCTGGCTGGTCACGTGCTCGGCCACAGGCGGCGGGAGACGGCTGGCTTGGGGTTCAGGTGAGAAACTGAGCCAGGGCCACCCTTGCTTTCGACCTTATGGCCGGGGCTTGGGGGGGACGAGCTGCTCCGTGCGCCCGGAGCAGGGACAGCTGGTTCAGGGCTCGCTCCGTGGGGCTAGAGCGTCGCTGTGTGTCTAGGCGGCCTGGCGCCATGGCGGGGTGGGGGCGGGCATTACCACTCGCTGAGCGCCATCCTCCGGTCGTACACGCGGACGGAGCCGTCGCCGAGGCCGGCCACGATGAGGGAGCGGTGGGAGTCGCAGGACAGGCTCGTCACGCAGCTGTCGGCGCCCGTGGGGATGTCCTAGGGCCAGACGGACAGTGAGGTGCGGTGGCCCTCTGCAGCCGCAGGGCCTGGCCGTCACACCCTGGCCTCCAGGAAGACCCTCCAAGGGCCCGAGCCCAGAGCTCCTTGGGCCTGAGCCCCGTGGGGAGGGCAGGGGCGCAGAGCTGGGGCTGCAGCTGGCAGACGCTACCAGAGGCCCTGGCCCCGGGGGAGCTGCCTGCAGCCTCCCGCTTCCCTCGGAGGCAGACGGCGCACTTCCAGGGAGGCGTCCTGGTAGCTCCCTCCTAAGGCCCCCAATTAGCCCGGGGGAAGGTCCCCGGGCTCCACTGCTCATAAACCACCTCTCTCTCCCTCCTGGCGGGCAGCAGAGACAGGATGGGCCTTGGGGGCCCCGAGCTCCGGGGAGTGGGGGTTAGGGCCAGGCCCGCTCAGCCCCTTCCAGCAGTGGAGGTGGTGGGGAGAGTGGGGGGGCCCAGTACCCCACAGCTGGCCCCTCCGCTCCCTCCTCCTTTCTGCCTCGGTTTCCTTGAGGGCAGGTGGGCAGAGGCTGGGGGGTTCACTCTATCCTGGAACTGCTCCCCCAGGACTGGGAGGAAGGGGTTCCCGGGCCTCTGGAGCTGCCCCCCTTGCCCCCGCCGTGGACAAAGGGGTCACCGAGGTTTCCAGCCCCTGCCCTGGCCCTGGTCACGTTTCCAGGATGCCCAGGCCTCCCTCTCTCCCCTGAAACTGAAAATAAACGCTACTTTAAGAAGCGCACAGTCAAATAATTAATCATTTTAATTTAAAATATTCTCACCCCACCGCCTTCTATATTTCCTCATCTGCAGAGATAAAGTGATACTGGAAAACATGAGGATGAGCACAGGCTTGATCACGCTGCAGTGCAGGTCGGCCGTGACTGACGTGGGGCGCCGAGCGCCCCGCAGCCCCGCAGCCCCGCGCCCCCAGCCGCCTCACCTGCACCTTCATCTCCCGGTCCGTGTCCCAGACCCGCACGATGCGCACGTCGCCGGAGCTCATGAGCAGGCCGGTCTCCTGCTCCCAGTCCACCACCATCCCGGCGCCTGCGGGACAGGCACGGCTGGCCACCAGCGCTGCCGCCAGCCCGGCGGCCCCCAGGGGCACCCCGCCACCCCGGGGACCCTAGGAGCGTCCCCCGGGAGAGGCGGGGCAGACACGGCCGCGCCCCCAGCACAGGGACCCAGAGCCCGGCGCACGGGGCCACGGCGCGGAAGCTGACCGCGCGGGCGTGTGGCCCTGGCCCCGTGGGCTCCCACCCTGGCCTGGCTGGGCGCTGGGTGTGGGCTCTGGGGTCCGCCTCCGAAGCCTCTCAGGCGAGGCGTTTCCCCCTTAAATGGCGGCGCGGGGGCAGGGATGGTCGTGGGGTAGGACGCTGGGAGGGGAGAGCCACACAGCACCCGGCCTCGGAGCCTGGTGTCCGGGACGCCGCGCCCGCCCCTCGGCTCAGCCCCCGGGCCAGACCGCCACCAGGGACGGCGCTGGCCGCAGCGGGCCTCGGCTCTGGACCGGAGGGGCGGGGTCCGCGCTCGCCCCCTGGGGCCTGGGGTCCCGCGGGCATTATCACGGACGCCCCCGCTCGCTTCCTGGGGGACGGCCGGGTGCGGGCAGCGCGGCCTCCCCCCCCCCAGCGGGTCGCCAGGCTGAGGTTGGACCCGCGTCCGACCCCCAGAGCGCAGGCACGGGAGCGCGGGCACACGGGAGCGCGGGCACACGGGGGCCTCCCTCCCGGCAGGTGTTAGCAGGCGGCCAGCGCCCCAGTGTGGGCCCCGCGGGAGGCGGCTCTCCGCCACGTGCTCAGGGAGCGCCCGGCCCTTCGCCCAGGAGCCCTGCGGGGACGCTGCGCGTTGGGGGGCGAGGGGGAGACGCGGCGCCTGCCCCAGGCTCCTCAAGAGGCCCTGCGCGGCGAGGGGGGCCAGCGGGTGGCGGGCGGCCGCCTGGATGGGCGTGCAGGGGACCTGCCCACACGGTGCTCCCCAGCCTCAGCCCCCGCAGGAGGCCCCGCTGGGCGGCCCGCGGGAAGCCGGCGGGCTGCAGGGCCGGGATGCCGGCTCCCGGGCCCCTCCCTTCCCGGGCGCCCCCTCTGGGGCCCCCACCATCCGCAGAGCGGGGGTCTCCCAGGCTCCCTCTCCCTCCCACATCTTTCTTTTTGCTCAATCGTCCTGGCCGGGACGCGAGGCCCAGGAGGCGCCAGCTGGCGGCTGAGAGTGATGTGCCAAGCCCTGCCCGCGCCAGCGGGCTCTCCAGGGACGCCGCGGGGGTGAGGGGACGGTGGCCGGGGCAGGGGTAAGAAACACCCCCACAGTAGCCCCCTCGGTGGGGCTGGGCGGTCCGGCAGCACCCCAGCACCCGAACCTCGGGTGCCTCAACGGGCTGCAGAGGGCAGGGCCCCCCAGTGGTATCCTGCTGGGGTGCTTGCTGCCCACCCCTCGGCTTCCTCTCCTCCCAGGCGGACGCCCCAACACCCCCCTCCTCTCGACGCCCCCACCTGCACCCTCTCTTCCCTGAAGAGCTTCTGGGAATAGTTAGAGGCAAGACCCCTCTCGTCTTCCGGAACCGCACCCGCTGGCTTACTCACACACATGCCCGCACACGCGCCACAGGACGTGACCCAGGGCGGCCCTGACCTCAGCTGGCCTCCTTCGAACGGGGGCTCCGAGGGCCACCCTCAGGCCTGGGGCAGGTCAGCTGCTGGAGAGGAGTAGGAAGCCCCACGGCCAGAAGGTGACGGAAATCAGCCTGCAGGTGTCCGCTGCCCGGGGAGCCGAGTGCCGGCGGGGGGCGAGCGGCGGGGCTGCGGGGAGGTGGGCTTCTGCCTGCTCCAGGGGGGCTTTGGCTGCAGCTCTGCCCTCTGAGCCTCCCCCGGGTGCTGGGACGCAGGGAGAGGGACGTGCCAGACTCACACCGAGCAGCTGAGGGTGGACGAGCGTGCAGAGCAGCCCAGGCCGGCCGAGGGAGGGCGCCCCTTCACAGCTGCGCAGCAGGGACCTGCCGCGGGCTGGCCACTCGCTGGGCCTGCTGCCCTGCGGCCACCACTCACCTGCCCCCCTGCCTGGACGCACCTGCGCGCCCCTCGGCCCACCCCCACCCGCCTCGGTGTCTCCTGCCCGAGGGGAAGGGCCTTCATGGTGCGCGGGGAAGCTGCGGGCGCACGACTCCAGGGAAGCTGAAGTGAGCTGGGGGGGCTGGGCCCGAGCCCCCAGCCCTGGGGAGGCGCCAGGGACCCACCTCGGGTGGTCGGCAGCATGTCCGAGAGCCCCTGCCAGGCCGTCACCATCTCTGGATTCTTCTCCAAGTCAGCGAAATTCTTCCAGACCCTGATGGCGCCGTCGTCTTGGGAGAGGGGAGGGGGAGGTTGGCGCTGGCCGCGCTGTCGGGGTGGGCCGGCCCGGCCGTGGCAGCACAGGGGGCGCCTCCCTCCCGCCGGCCTCAGGGCCCAGGGTGAGCGCTCAGAAAACCACTCGGCGGGAGGGGACACGGTGACACTTCAGGCCGGACGCCGAGGGAGGGGCGGGAGCCGGCAGGGCGGCCGTCTCAGCACCCCTGCGGGCTGAGTCGGGGGTGGGTGGCCGGGGGGGTGTCGGGGGAGCCTCTTCCCTGCCCTCCACGGTCGCTCAGCCTGCCCTCGCCCGGCCCGCGGAGGGGACGAGGCCGCAGTGCCTTCTGGCGCGGAGTGTCCTAGATGAGCGCCGGGCGCGGCCTCTGCCCAGGAACCTGGGCGCCGAGGGCAGCAGAGGCCAGGGCCAGCGCCACTCACCTGTGGCCGTGAGCAGGAGCGAGCAGTCCTGGCCGTTGAGGTACTCCATGGCGGTGACCCTGGTGTACCGCGGGTTTCCGTTGTGGAAGTGGTCCAGCTTCTCCCCTTTCTCCCAGTCCCAGAAACTGAGGGGACACAGACGTCAGGCTCCCCGCCGCCGGGCGAGCTCAGACGAGCCCACGGAGACCCGCCCGCACCCAGGACAGCCCCCGTCAGGGACTGGAGGGGCAGCGGGGATGGCGTGTGGGGAGGACCAGAGGGAGAACCAGGGCCTGCCGGGGGTGGGGGCCAAGGCACGTGCACGCCGGGGGGACTGCTAGCCGGCCTGGAAAGGGGAGGTCCAGCCACGTGTGGAGGACCCTTGAGGACACGATACCAAGTGGGAGAAGCAGGCCACACCTGCCTGAGGGCCCCCAAGGGGTCCTCTCTGCAGAGAGGGGGTGGGGGTCCCACGGGGACAAAGCCTGGTGTGGGAGGACGGGGGCTCTGGAGACACGGCGGGGGGAGGCCGCACAACCCCAGGGATGGGCTTAGTGCCACAGAATCATGCACTTAAAGTGGAAACTTCTGGGCCTCCCTGTGGCCCGGGGTCAGGCTCAGGCTGTCACTGCTGAGGCCTAGGTCTGATCCCTGGCCAGGGAGCGACCCATAGGGCGCAGCAGACCTCGCCTGTCTCCCCGCTGCTCCCCTCAGCCGTGGATTTCAGTGGATCTGCCTGTTCTGCTCCCCGCTCTGTCTCTGGGGAGTCCTCTCACCCCTGCCCTCCGGCCTGCACCCCGGCCTGCACCCCAGTTCTACTCAAACCAACCACCCAACAAACAGCCCCGGAAGCGTCTCTGTTGTGTATTTTGCCACAATAAGAAAAAGAGGCGCAAGCAAGAGGGGTGAGGCCCCGTGGCGGCCCTGGCTGCTGAGGGCAGGGGCGGGTTATGTGTCCGGCGCGGTGCTCGTTGTGCTGGGCCGCCCCCGCACACTGGCCTCCGCAGGGGCCGGCACCAGAGACCCTCCCTCACGGTGGCGCTGGGGGGCACACGCACCAGATGCTGTCCTTATCAGCCACGGCCACGCATGGCGTGAAGGGGTGAAACTTGACCACGGAGGGGACGCCGGGGTTCCTGTTGAGAAAGATCTGGTCGTCCAGCCTCGTGATGCCTGCGGAGAGAGCCCACCGGGCAGCTAAGGGCCAGGAGGCCAGTGGGGTGGCCCCAGGGGGCACCAGCACCTCGTGCTCGGGTGCCAAGGGGACGAAGGAGGCGGGAGGGGGTGCGTGACCAGGTGCTCCCTGATCCCCGGGCCCCACGGCTTGGCCAGCTGTACATGGCGCGTGTCCACTGAGGCCCGCCACCTGTCCACCACCACGGCAGTGCAGGGGTGCATGGGCCCTGGGGCGTGCGCGCATAGGGTGTGCCACGGTCAGGCGGCTCAGGGGGGCACAGGTTGAGGCTCACAGTCGGGAGGGGCGGCGCCGTGGCTCACGTGTGGCCAGAGAGCACGTGGCTGGGGTGGCGGCAGGTGGGCTTCGGGAGTGCCCACCGCGCCATGGCCCTGGCCCGTCCCTGCTGGTGCTGAGTGAGCCTGCCGCCAGGGTAGCCACGCCCTTGGGCACTAAGGCTGGCTGGGGTGGCTGGCACAGGGCCCGCCCTCCAGCCTGCCCTCACACAGGGTCTCAGAGAGCCCACGCGGGCCCGATGCTCAGCGCGGCTGCACTGAGGAGGGCGCCCCGAGTCTAGCTGCAGACCCTGCAGGGCCCCCCCCCCACCGCCCGTGCACGGGTGCAGTGGAGCTGCTGCTTCTCGAGCGTCCGGCTCTGACCACTCCTGGCTCAGTGCTGACCCGAAGGCCGGCCAGCGCAGCTCTCGCGCAGCCCCCTAGGTGGACGACTGGCCGTGTGTGTGGCAGCCCTGCCCCAGCCTTCCGCGGGAACCTGGGCAGACGCCCAGAAAAGGGCCCAGGCGGCACACTTGGCAGCGTCCCAGGCCGCAGGCGCGGGCAGGGCCTCCACGCAGCTGCCCTCAGCTCACGGTCAGAAGCATAAGTGCCCACGGCACCTCACAGGGGCCTGAGACGCCCAGGCTGGGAGGACGTGCTCAGGACCGTCTAGGAGGCACCGGAGCTCTCCAGGGGCGAAGGAGTGAGCGGCAGAGGACGGGCCAGGCTGACCAACTTCAACGACACCGGGATTTTACGGGACCGTCAATCAGTGGTTCACTGGGCTATACCTTATAGCCCAGTGGGGCAGCCGCGGGCCCGTCCTGGGGTGCGGGGGGGTGGCGAGGCTCAGGAGGAGGGGAGACCCCTGACAACTTGCGCTTGGAACTGGGGGGGCCAGCGCCAGGGCAGAAGCCCGTCTTCCGTGCCAGCCCAGCCCGGGGAGGGGACAGGAGAGGCTGGCGCTTCAGCGAGGCTGCTGGAAGCGAGCTCGCGCTCCCGTCCTGCCCCCATGAGAGGCCCCAGGCTGCTCGCTCCAGACGACCAGGGCTGGGGCTGCTCCCAAGAAGTCACGGTCCCGCCCAGCACCGGGGCCTTCCCCGCAGGGCCCTGGAGGGCAGGCCGCCCAGGCTCCCCCCACCTGCCAGGGCTGGCCCGGGGCGCTGGGGCCCTTCCCGCCTCCCCTGGGGCTCACCCTTCTGGATGGCCTGCTGCGCCTGCTTCCGGACTCGCGTGTTTCGCAGGAAGCGCCACTCCCGCTCCTTGCGGATCTGACTCTCCAGGTCGTGCTCCTCCGGGATCTTCAGCAACAGAGACAGCAGGTTACGCCGAGCCACTGAAAACAACCATTTGCCGACGAACATGCCTCCTCCTGGCCGCAGACGCGGGCTCTCCGGGCCGGCCGCGCCCGGCCACCATCCCCCCTGCTCCGCCCCTGCTTTCGGGGACAGAGGCACCCGGTCCCCTGGCGGGGTGCGGCTTGCGGCCAGAGCCGAAATCAGACGGTGCGGAAAGGCCAGCCCCGCGCGTGGTGCGTGTCCCGCGCCCGCCGCTGCCGGGTCTGTAAAGCAGCAGCCCTGAGCGACGGCCCCGCTCTATCCCGATTGTATTTTATTTTTTATTATTATTTTATTTCATATATTTTTTACATGAGTTTTCATTTTTGTACAATGTGTGCCTTTTGGTCTCGGGTTAGTCCCGTGGAATTCCCACCCCCATTCACCCGCGACCGTCACCGAGGACGGCTCTGCTTACAGTCACCTGGTGACTTGGGTCTTTGCCTTATTATGATGACTTCCTTTTTCCTGGCTCCTTAATTGGATCCTCCACACTCCTCCTGGAAGTGAGACCGTCCGGTATTTTTCTTTTTCTTTCTGGCTTATGTCGCTGAGCATGATCCCTTCTGGCTCCATCCATGTTGCTGCAACTGGCATGAGTTTATCTTTCTCGATGGCTGAGTAACATTCCATCGTGTGCATGGACCACATCTTCTTGATCCAGCATCTATTTTTGGGCATTTGGTTGTCTCCACAGCTTACCTATTGTAAATGGTGCTGCCATAAACAGAGGGGTGCAGGTTCGGCATCCTTTGGGTAGATCCCTAGGAGTGGAATTGCTGGTGGATCCCGATTTTAGAGAAACATCCCCCGCCTTGCCAGGGAGGACAACGTTCGCTGGAGGCCCTTGCAGGGCCCTTGGCAAGGGTCGGTGGGTCCTTTTGCCCCTTGTTCGTGGTGGTTTCCATCACGAGTGGCTGCTGGATTCTGCCACGTGCTTTGTGGTTTGCGGCGCTCACACGGCTCTCCTCTGGCTGAGTCAGGGCTGAGGGAACAGCTGAGTCGACCTGGGCTAGGCTCCCGGCCCCAGTGCATCGCCGGACACTGGTCCATCCCATGCTGACCACTGAGGACGTGTCGTTCCTGGCCTCGGCGTGCCTGTGCCCGGCGCCCCGTTCCTGCGGGGCTGGTGCAGACGGGCCTGCTCCTTCCGCAGCTTCTCCTTGGCTGGAAGGTTCCTGGGGCGACTGTTCCAGCTCCCCTCTGAGCCCCGGGTGACCTCTGGCAGCTCAGTCTCCCGGGGCATTTGCTGCTTCACCTTAGCGGCCGAGGGGCGGGGCCCTGGCATCGAGGGCGGGTTCTGGAGCCGTCGTCCACACGCCTGTCCGTGCCCATCACTGGCCCGGGCTCGACCGGCGCAGCCTTCTTGAGCCCCACCGCCGGGGCGAGCCACTCCCCTGGGCCGGGATCTCATGGGCCCAACTCTCTTGTGCTCACCTGGGCCCTGGAGTGTCCCTCTTGACTTCCGTCTCAGCGTGTCCATTTCTGCAAAGACGATCAGCTGGTGGCGCTGACGCCAGGGGGCGCGCGGGGCGGGGGCTGCCGTCTCCACGTGGTCTTCTGTGTTTGAAGGATGTTTAGAGACGACGTCACCTGCGTCCCTGGCTGGTTGCAGCTGAGCAGGGCCTGGGGGAGGCCGCGTGCTCCAGGGCTTGGGCCTCCGCTCCCCCCGAGCTGGTCGGTGCTCTCACGGCTGTCCCCCAAGCCAGTGCTGCTTCCTCCGGCAGCGGGCCCTCCCGCTGTCCTGGCCACCCGCTGTCCTCCGGGCATCCCTGAGAGCCGTGGGAGTGTCCACTTCAGAATCCTAGCGGGCCAGGCACCAGGTCTCCCCTCAAGGCGCGGGAGACTGAGGGTGCGGCCACCACAGTCCGGGCCCCGCCTGCTGAGCTCCATGCACGAGGCCGTCAAGCCCGGTGTCGCTGCCACAGCAGGCCCAGAACGTCAGCCTGGAGCCCACCCGGGGCCGCGGGAAACGGCTGCCTGGCCCCAGTGTGGTCCCGGCGACACAGGCCCTGCGGCCCAGCTGGCGCCTATGGCGCGGACGCTCAGCTTCTTCCTCCATTCTGGTTTTAATAACACACTTTATAAAGGACCGCACTGGTGTGATTGTGTACGGGCGTGCGGGGCCAGCCCAGCCCCTCCCACGGTCTCCTGATCACCCCTTCACACTCACCTCGCATGCTCACCCCAACGCTCGCCCCTCGCACACCCCTGCACCGTCGGGCACAGGCTGTCAAGGCTCTCGTGTCCGGAACGACACGCTCTGCTCGCCGTCACAAGGCTTTTCTAAGAAATTAAGGCCACCCAGAAGCACGTGAAGCAAAAAGGACAGCCCCGTCTCTGCTTCCCAGGTGTGACTGCGCGAGTGATTGATGGGCCCCCGGACACCGCCCGGTGCTGACAGAAGCTCCTGGAGCCACAGCATCCGGTGTCAGGGACGCCCAGTGCAGCCCCTGCACGCTCATGTGTGCGCACACACACGCACAGACGCGCACACACACAGGCATGCTGTCTCCCCCGACAGGCGGCAGGCGGGATGCTCTGCGGGATTCTCAGAGACCCCGGGGGCCGTGGGGCGAGCGGGGGAGGGTGTTGGCGCAGCTCAGCCAGGGCGCCGGGGACACAGTAGCGAGAAGGACGCGCCCGCAGACCTCGGCCCCAGCCTGGACTCGCCGCCTCGGGGGACTTTGCTCCCCAGCAGGCTCTGGGGCAGGCCCCTCACCCCGTCGGAGCGCTGGTGCTCAGCACAGGAAGCTGGTCCCTGGGGGAGACTCAAGCGTTTAGAGTGCTTCGGACGCGGCTGCCACTCCAGCACTGCGGGCAGGTCACGGAGGTGTTTTTCAGGCTGCTCGTCGCCACACCAAGGTGCCCACAGGGACAGCCTGGCAGGCACAAGGCTGCGGTTAAAGAAATGCCACCGGCGAGCAACCTGAGCTCCGCCCCGCGCCTGCTCCGTGGCCTTGACTTGGCCTTGACCCGGCCCATGGGCGTGACCGCACAGGCGTGGTTTTCTGCCAGAGAGGGGCTGGAGGAGACAGCAAGCAGAGGGAAGACCAGTGTGGCGCCCGCAGGGCCGGTGGGCCGGGCCTGCTCCCTGCCTTGCAGGCCTCAGCGCACAGGGCACGCCTGGAGCATGCCCACCCTGCTCTGCGTCCACGCTGACACGCTCGTCACGCGCATGTCCTGTGGCGTTCATTTTAGGGCTCAGCCTTAATAGTGCTAGTGATGCAGCAAGTATTGCACAACTTCTCAGCCTCTCCAGGGCGGGCGTTTTGGCCGATCTCGGCTCTCGCTGTGGGGGCGACAGGCAGCCCCGCAGCCCTGGCGGTGCTTCTTAACATTGTAGCCAAAGGGTGGGATACGGCTTCGGCACCTGTGACCAAACTGCGCTCTGGAAAAGTCAGGCCCCTTGACACCTGTTAGCGCCCTTTTCACAGAGGGCTCAGCCACTAGCAGCCTGTTCCCAGCTCAGGCACCAGCGACGAGGCGTTTTCACGGACTCAGGTGCACTCGTGGGGGCGGGCGGGGGAGAAACGCTGCGGCGGGCTCTCCACACTTTCCACGGGGCTCGCCTGGGGCAGCCTGACGGCGCCTCTGCGGGGGAAGGTCTCTAATCGTGCCTCACGCTATATGGGGCTGAATATGAGCCCCCGTCACCTGCTGACACGGGACATGTGCCCCTCGTGACTGCAGAACCGGACCCAACAGCCTCTCGAGGAACAAGCCAGAATGCACTAGAAGCAGCCCAGGGGACGGGACCTCAGAGAGCTGGAGCCCCTTGTCCACCAGCCCAGCCAGGTGCAGGCCCGGGGGCGGAGGCACAGGCCTCGAGCTGTCCTCACGGGGACACGAGGCCAATGCGGGCCGGCAACACATTTAGAGGCCCGGAAGGGCAGGCAGCCTCGAGAGGGCGGGCAGGTAAGCGAGGCCGACCCCTGCTGCTTTATTGTAACTGCCCACGGCAGCCACCGTGACAAGGACGTGGCGCCAGCCTGTGCTGGGGGTGGCCGCACGGGAGCCCAGAGGTGGGGCAGGCCAGGCCGGGTGGAAGGAGCAGAGTGGCCGGGACGGGGCCTGCACGGTGACCTCAGAGCAGAGAGGGGCAAATGGCCAGGCCTGAGGCCAGAGGGGGGGGGAGGGGCGCTGGAGGAGACCCTGCAGGCCCGAGGGGATGCTGCCTCCCCCAGAGGGGACGCACTCTACCTTCATGACGGGCTGGGCGAAGTACCGGGCGCTCCAGTCGCAGAACCCCGTCTGCAGCGCAGCGGAAACGAAGCCCTTGTGTCCCGCGGCATCATCGGGGTCCTCAGCCGTCTTCCGGGCGTTTGGAGAGGAGGGGAACAAAGTGAGGCCCTCACGGCCAACGACGAGCTTGCAAGAGGCGAGAGGCCTTGACCTGGTGACCTCGCGTCCTGGTGATGAGGGGCTCCTGGAGCCCGAGGGAGGGGGCCCGGCCCAGCTCACCTGCCTGGGGCGTCTGCCGCCTGCCTCGGGGCCACAAGTCCTGGGAGCCCAGCACGGCAGTGCTGCTGCCACTGGCCCCCCAGGCTCCCGAGAGGGCGCAGGCCCAGGCCTGATGGCACCAGCGCACAGTGTGCTCTCGGCTGGTTCCCAGGCTGGACCTGGGGCGCCACTGCCGGCGTGTCACGTGGCCAGCACCAGGAGCCCCTCATTGGGGCAGCCCCTGGGGGACAATCCCAGAGGGGCCGCCGTACAGGGACCCAACTCCTGCCGGGAGAGCCACGAGCCTCCTGTTGTAGGGGTCCTGGCCCGGGGCAGTGACACCCTGTTCCTGCTGCCTGCGCCAGCGTCCAGCCAGGCAACTGAGCCTACCCTGGGTGGGGCAGGCGGTCCTGCTGCATGGCCACCCAGGCAGTAAAGTGGGTGCTGGCAAGCAAGGTGACACCCTATTCCCACAGGCCTCCTCTGAAGACATCTCCGGAGCTTGTGAGGGCACTGAGCTGAGGCACTGGGCAGCGCGGCCCTGGGGGCATCCCGAGCTGCCTCCAGACTCTGCAGCCCAGGCGCTGTCCAGACAAGGTGGTGCAGGCCCGGGGCATGCTGGCTCCCCGTACTTCGAGGGCCTCAGGCAGGTGCCAGGCAGCCCCTCCTGAAACTCCTCCTACCACCCAGGGCAGAGGCCGCACGCAGCCTGAAGGGGTGTTTATGGAGAAACAAACCACTGGTCACGATGAGCCCCACTGTGGCGGCAGCGGCCTCTGCCGGGAAAGGGGCAGCAGAGCACGCCCGGTGACGGCCTAAGCAGGGCTGCGGATAGGAGGGCCCTGCCCACGTGGGACGGCACCTTCGCTGGGCGTGCCATGAGGTCTGTGGGCCTGGCAGAACCCCTGGCGCTGAGGCCTGCCTCTTGCCCGGCTTGGTCCTTGCTGCCCGCCCCCACAACACAGCCCTGTCCATACCTGGTCAGGGCCCTTGTCAAACATCTTCCGTGTCCGGGGGAACTGGTGGGAGTGGGGGGTGTACTGCACCCCTGCGGGCCCGGCGGTGCCTGGTCGGCCTGCAGGGAGGTCCCGGCTGACCGGCTGCTTGGCCACGTCATTGGTCAGGCTGGAGCTGCTGGCGCTGGATGTTGGCGGGGAGCCTCTGCCATCGGACGGGCGGGGGGAGAGATGCTGGGTTACCCCAAAAGGAAACTCTGAGCAACCTGGGCTCCCACCCCAGCCCTCAGGAGCATATCCGGGCCACCAGCTAGGCCGCCCCTGCCAGCAAGTCCACGTGACTTCAAGCCACCCAGCGTGGGCGCCCAGTCTAGCCCCTTCCAGCTGGGCCTGCTGGTGCAGAACCGTCTGTGGGAGCTCTGGGGCAGGGGCCGGCTGGTCGGGGCTCCCCAGACGTGGCCGGGTGCCTAAGGGTGCTCCACATATGAGCACTGCCGGAGGGAGGGCCCTGCTGGTCACCACGTGGAAGGGGCACTGGCCCTCAGTCGTAGAACTCGGGGGCCACAAGCCAGTCCAGTTAGCTCTGGTGGTGACAGCGTGCGGGGGGCACTGGTGGCTCCTAACTGCTCTGGGACAGGCTTGACGGGAGGATGAGGGGGCGCGCGGGGAGGGGGCAGCACTCACCCCGCCTGCTGGATGAGGATGCCCTTGTTGGTGGGGCTGGCGGGCGCTGACTGGGTGAGGGAGGACGTGGTGAGGATGCGCTGTGGCCGGGCATTCACGGTGGCCTGAAAGAGCAGGGCAGCAGGGCCGTGGGCGGCAGCCTCCACGGCACCACAGCACGCACCTGTGGGGCTTCCTGCGAGGCGTGTCCCCAAATGTCAGCCTGTACACAGAACGCTGTTGCGTTTTCCTAGAAACTGCGAGCTGGGGGCCAGGCTCCAGGGTGGCCTCCTTGGAGAGCTAACGAGGACTTGGGGTCCCGGGGAGTCCCCCGGGGTGGCGCTCAGGAAGGCACCTGGCCCTCCGCCTCCCCCTCTAAGGAAGCCTCCTGGGACGCCTCAGCCTGTCCCCCTCTGCTGAGCTGTCCCAGCCCTCGTTCCAGAGGCCACAAGGGGCCGAGGACCATTACACTCCCACGAGGGCGGCCGTGGGCAGCTGCCCTCGGCTGCTCCCCAGTGGGCGCTGGCGGAGTCAGTTATGCCCCTGGAGGCTCGGGCCCTGTGCTGCCTGGCCAGCCAGGGGCCACCTCCAGGACAAGTGGCGGCTGGGGCTCAGCCCTCTCCTTGCCCAGGCCACACGCTTGGAACACCCCCGTCGGGCTGGCAGGACGGGGCCGAGCGCGGCTGACCACGGCGTCCAGGAAGGATGCCGGCCCAGCCTCTGCTTCCTCTCCGGCTCAGGGGCAGGTGCAACAGTGTCTCTGGACGTGGCGCTTGGTGGATGGAGACAGGACAGCGGCCGCGGTAAGCTGCCTCCCACGTCCGCGGGCCGGACATTTTGCCAGGAGAAAGATTTGCCTGGCCTGAGAGCTGGTGTCCAGGAGGGACATGGTTTCGCTCTGTGCTTTAACTGGGCTCTCCGGAAGGCTGGCAGCCGGATGTCCGCCAGTCAGCGATGGCGAGGGAAGGAGCTGACGAGGGGGTGCGGCTCTTTTGACAACCCGCCTGCGGCCGGCCTCCCTCCCTGCCTCCTGCTCCGAGCGGTCACAGGGCCTGTGCTGCCGGGGGGCCTGTCTGGGTGGGGGGACGAGGCGGGAAGCCGGGGCCTGGCCTGGCTGGCCGCCCACAGTGGCCTCTCACGCCGTGGGCAGCCAACAGTAAGAAGGTCGCTGACGCCACAGGCAAAGCCATACCGGCGCTTCCGGGTATTCTCTTCTCGCAGATCAAAATGGCAAGAAAGCGTCGTCAGCCTGTGAAAGACGCTTGTCATTTTCTGAGTGAGGAAAGGGGCCCAGGCCCTGCCGGCCCCAGACAGGCCCCCAAGCCTGGGGAGTCCGGGGAGGAAAGGAACTGAGGCTAACACGGGCCGCCTCAAAATTTCCAGAAAAACAGCAGGAGGTGATGAGGAAGACGGACGCTGATGGGGTTGAAGCAAAGACGTCAGCGAAACCCACAAGGCTCACGGGCTCGGAGCTGTGGCCAAGGGGGGCTGCTGGCACCCCAGGGACCCACAGGGAGAGGACACTGAGGTCTCAGCCGCAGGCCAGGGATGGCTCAGGCAGGAAAGCAGACGGGGGCGAGAAGACACCCCTCGGTGGAGGAACGCGCCCCACAGGCCCGGCAGGCGTGTGCAGGCACCAGGGAGGGCGCGAGACGCAGAGCGCGGGATCGAACACAGGATGATCCCAAATGCACTCGTGGATGACTCGGGTCCTCTCACGAGATGACCCACCGCGGAGCTGTCCAGGTACCGCCCACTGCTGGGGGCCGGGGGAGAAGGAAGCCGCTGCTCCTGGACCCCGGCGCCACGCGGGGCCGTGCTCCGCAGGGGCTGCCCGGCCGTCCCAGGCTGTGGGGGTATGGGGAGGCCCCGGGCACCCCGGTGGTCTCTGCAGCAGACAGAGGGAGCTGGGGGCGCCAAGTGGTGGGGTCTGCAAGGGAGGGGTCCCTGTGGGCAGCAGGGGCCGTGTCCTTGAGCTCATGCGAGTGTGGGGTGAAATCACCAGGCAGGACGAGCCCCCCCAAACACATGCCTAGAGCTAGAGAGAGGGGCTGGGGGAGGGGTACAGCCCCCAGCAGACAGGACTAAAACCTGTGACTGACGCTTCTAGAATCAGGAGAATCAAACACCAAGTCAGCAAAGAGACACACTGATGGTAAGAGCAGGTGCGCGGAGCCCGGTGGTGGGGTGGCCACAGCAGTGACGCCGATCGAGCGGGGGCGGCCGGGTCATGCAGACCCCGGGACTGCGGGTGCCCCCAAAAGTCCCGCCACTTGGGGGAGATCCCACAGCCCACCCGTGCAGGGCTGTGCTGGCCGGCCCCTGCGGCCTGCACCCACCTTGTAGGCGATGCTGTTGAGCACCCTCATGGCCAAATCGGACACGTCTGGGTAGGGGTCTGCCGCCAGGTGCAGGAGAACGCGCCAGATCTGAGTGTAGACGCTGTTGAAAGAGACTCCTAGGAGAGAGACAGGAGGCTCCAGCAGCCGCGCCGCGCCACTGCACTGCACAGCTGCCGCCCGCTGCCTGTCCCGAAGCCCCACCTGCCCACCTGGGGTGCCCAGAGCTGGGCCAGCACCCGCCTGGCTACTCTGGCAACGAGCCCAGGGCCAGGTCCCTGCAGGTACGCAGGCTGGGCCTCATGGCCTCCCCTGCTGGAAAGCAGCCAGGGCAGGCCTTCCCTCTGGGTCCGTGCTGAGACACCAGAGGTCCTCGTCCCTGGGAGTGGCGCAGTGGGACGAGGCCATGCCATACCTCACTGCTGGCCTGGCCCACACGCCACATGCCATGCCACCCCCAGATCCCAGGAGTCCCCGAGGGCTGTGAGTGCCCTGACTGCAGCCCTCCCGCAGCCTGTGACAGCAGCTGGTATGGGAAGAGGAGGGGCCGTGGGCCCCGCGGAAGAGGCACAGCAGAGGGTTTCCTGGGGGTGGGATGCGCCCTGGAAAACACCTTCCAGGAGGGAAGGTCAGCAGCGCCAACAGCAACCAGATGCAGGGGGAGTGGCTGGAGAAGAGCTGACCAGAACTGGACAGCCTAATCACAGGCCCCAGCAGACGTGAGGGCTCAGACCAAAGGGAGGGTCAGCGGCGGGCTGAGCACCTGCCAGGGACAGCCAGGGTGCCCGGGGCCAGGGAGCAGGGTCAGCACCAGGCTGGGTCCCGGGGGGCTGAGGGCAACCTGGGAGAGGACACGGCTGCACAGGCAGCGGTGGGGAGGGGCGGCGGGGAGGGGCAGCGCCGGAGCTTGGGCACCGCCCCCTCTCCTGCCCCCAGGGAGTGTGGGCCGGGGGACAGCTGCCTCTGCTGCATCCAACTGCAGGCCTTTCACTTGAGAGGACGCTGGGCGGGTTATTGGAAAGAGCGAGCTTGTTCAACAGCAGGAGCGGGAAAGACGTCAAACAGGCCGTGCGCCTGGCGGCGCGCGCTCCCATCCAGGCCCTGTCCTGGGCGCTCGGGGGAAGGTGCGCCAGAAGGGGACCCGCGCTCCAAGGACGGGGTTTGGCAGGCAGGGCAGATCCAGGGGAAGACGCTGCGTGGAGGTCTGGAGAAGCCACCCGGTGCGGGGCGTCTGCATAAAGCAGCCCGGGGGTCCCGGGGCCGCCCACGTGGCCATCCACACAGGCGGGTGAGGAAGAGCCGCCCCAGCGCCCAGTGCGGGAGGCCGCCGTGGGAGACGGCTCAGCAGACCGAGTAGGGGCAGCGGCAGCGGTGCTGACCCCCAGAGGGACCCAGTTCTGCCCCTTCCCGGCTGAGCCATGGGAGGTCCCGGACAGAGGTGCAGGGTGGGGAGCAGGCCAGGGCAAAAGCCCACTACCAGCCAGGGCTCTGCTCGCCAGCCCAGCGACGTGGGCCCTATTTGCTGGGTCCTGCCTGTCAGAACCCTTCTGCACCCAGCCTTCCCTCCCGCGCTGCTGCTGGCTTCCTCGAGGAAGATTCCGCTGCGATAGCGCGGCACCCACTCCTGCCAGAGCCTGACACAGCCCCGCACTGTCCACAGTGAGCCGAGGACGGGGCCGCCTGCGCGGTGTCTCTCCCGGCCTGCCACCGCCCGTCTCGGCCTCGCTGTGGAACATGCTGCTACAAAGCGGAACGTTCTGGACCTGCCGAGCGCAGCTGCAGTCCCCGGGGAGGGACTGGAGGCGGCGGCGTGCAGCTGGCGCGGCTGGACTCCCCAGGCGCGGAGGGCCTATCTGCACGTCTAGACTAAAAGTAATAAAAGATGGTAACTATTGGTGTTAGGATTTATTTTTTACAGCAACAGCAGCTACTTTCTAAATTGCATAAGACACGGGAAAACTTGCTCAGAGCGCTGAAGCCACCTCTGGGTCCAGCCCCGGGAGGGAGGAGACCTGGGCCTGCCAGCCCGGCCGCGGCCACCTGCGGGGACACCTCTGGGGGCCGTGGGCAGGCGTCCCCGTGTCTCATGTCCTGTCAGCCTTGATGCCATCCCCATGGGACACTCTAGTGACAGGCCCTGAAGCTACAGCCGACCTGGGGGGCTGGGTGCTGACAGGAGGGGCCCCAGGGAAGCCGGCCTGCCTGGGGACGGGGGCCCCGGCCGGCCTCCCCGAGTTGGCAGGTGCGTGCTACCCGCTGCTCCTCTGCCAAAAGTGAAGACCCGCAGCTGCTGCCCGAGCCCCGGAGCCCCAGCCAGGGCGGGTTGTGCCTCCCTCCCGCCATCGTGTTGCCCTGTGAGCAAGGCCTCTTGGGGCTCTGCCCGCACCGTGCAGCCCGCACGCAGGCCTCGTACCAAGTCCCCTGTGCCGATGAGGGTCTGGCCAGGGAGGCCCCCCGGGCTGGCGCGGGGCATACAGGCCCTCCCAGAAAGCCTCTTTTGCAGCAGTCAGTGGAAGTGGCTGAAGAGATTGCTGCTCTTTGGTTGAAATGAAAGGAAAAATGGGCTTCAAACAGGCGAGCATGGCGGTGAGGCTTCTATGCAGGCCGTGAAGTTTAAACACGGCAGCTTCAGGCAAAGTGGGCGCCAGAACTGAACGAGGCCGACTGGGCCTCAGCCCGTCTCCCAGCACCTGCCGCACCCCAGACCCTTCCCACCCGTTTTCAGAGACTTGAATCAGACTAGAAGTGCCGGTGAGCCTGACTGTGTGAGCGGGAGGGTGAGGAAGCAGGCCTCCTCCTGGGGGGTACACCTGCTCTGGCCCCGGGGCTGTCCACCTGCGGGCAATGAGACGCCCTCACACCCTCCACCTGCAGTGCCAAGGCTGGATGGCCTCACGCGGGCTGCAGTGCACCGCTGGGAGCACCTACTGCCCAGACACAGTTGTGCTGAGCTGAGGCTCGCACCCCGCTGCTGGGCACTTGGGGCACCGCACCCCGCCGCCGGGCACTTGGGGCACCGCACCCCGCCGCCAGGCACACAGACCTGGATTTCAACTCTCAAGGTCAGTGGACAGGTCAGATTCTGAGCTGGTTCTCGGTGTGGGGTGCCTCTAGCTAGCAGGGACCCCATGCCAACTCTTACTCCCTGGGGGGGGCCTGACGGCTACCTCCACACCCGTGAAGACAGGGCCGACCAAATGGGGACGCAGACGAGGGGTGAGGGGCCACTGCGGATGCCCTCAGAAGGACGGAAGGGGCGCCATCTTTACTGTCCACTGCGGAAGTGAGGAAGAACGAGCACAAACCCAAAGAACATAGAGGAAATAAAGAGAAATGACCGGGACGTGAACTAAAGCTGTAAATAATGGACCGACACAGCAAAGCCAAAGCTGGAGCTCGAAAACACTAAAATGAACAAACGTCTCCCAGGATTGAGAAAACGCAAATAAACATAATAGAAATGAAAAAGGCGGCAAATCTACAGAGACCAGCGAGTGAGGTCGTGAGGCTGCTCAGGAGACCCCGGGAAGGGAGAGAGGAAGCTTGGCTGAAGCGGGGGCTGCTCAGAGGCCCAGGCCCATGAGAAGGCGCTCGTGAGGGAGGGCTGACGTGACGCCGCCGTGGTCGTTGAGGAAATGGAGCGAGGCGCCGAAGGCCATCCACACAAAGCCCACTAGCCCCGGGGTGCTGGGAAAAATTCCACTCATACGCCAGAGAACACAGACACGCGTGTCACACAGACCGCTCCAGAGAACAGGCGCGGGCACGCCCCCCGCGGCTCCACGAGGCCAGAGTGGACGCCCTCCTCGCCCCCGCGGTTCCCTGAGGCCAGAGTAGACACAGCCCCTGCGGCTCCACGAGGCCAGCATGGACATGGCTTCCATGGCTCCACGAGGCCAGAGCGGACAAACCCCAGAAGCTTGCAAGGCGTGGCGGGAAGCACGGGCCGGCCTTGCTTGCAGAGACTTAGGACAGGGGATGCCCCGTGAGGGCATGGCAGCTAAGCAGGGTGGGCCAGGCCCCAGCTTTGTGACCGCCATGTAGCGGGGGGTGGACGGCAACACGCAGGGTCATGGGAGACACACCGTGAGTTCACTTCACGTATGGAAAACTAAAACCCTAACTGACTGGACAGGAGCTCCCATCACCCGCGGAAGGGATCCCCAGAAAATCTAGAGCCAGCATCACATCAAGAGGGGACAGGTGAGGAGTGAAGTGGGGCCCTCCTGGCACCCCTGCAGCAGCGCACAGCCCCAGAAGAGACCACGACCTAAAGTCAGAGGACGACAAGGTGGCTCGACCAGGCGGTCGTGCCGTTACGCGAGTCACACGCTGACTTGAGAACGCGGAGGCTCAGGCCAAGGGAACCCAGCCCAGGCCCGGTCGAGAGCTCGCTCTACGAAGAGGGGTCTCCTCCAGCCACACGCATCCTGGGAGGGCGTCCTGCCAGGGGACAGCCCCCCAGAGTGGGGCAGAGGACAGGTGCGGACAACGGGAGAAGACGCCAAGTGAGGCCCTGGCCCGGGCTGTAGCCCGCCAGCCGCTCTCTGGGCGCTTGGCCCAATCCTGGGGGGCTCTATCCATCACGGGCCTGGCCAGACCTGCTGGAGAAAGGACAGGCCTCTGCGGAAGGGGCTGGGACAGCTGGAGACCCGCGTGGGACAACAACGCCGGACCCACAACCTCCCCACAGAGACTTGATCCAGTGCATGCTTATTTAGGGAGAAAAAGGAAAACGCCAGTCCTGAATTTCATAGAAAATGTAGAAAAATATCTTCGAGACAGTGAGGAAAAAAAGAATTCAAGACACCAAAGGGTAGATTTTAAAGAAAAAGATAAATTAAAATGTAACACTTTTAGATCAGATAAAAATATCAGATAAATAAAACCACAGCTGGGAAGGGGCGTTTCAATGGCTCCGCGTGATCAGGAACTAGTATCTGTGGCCTCGGGGTCAGTCTCAGGCTGTCACCACTGCGCCTGAGCTCTATCCCCCTCAGGGAGTGACCCCCACGGCGCAGCAGACCTCTCCTATCTCCCTGCTGCCCCCTCAGCAGTAGATCTCAGTGGATCCGCCTGTTCTGCTCCCCACTCTGTCTCTGGGGAGTTCTCTCACCCCCCCACACCTCTGGCCTGCACCCCAGTTCTTCTATGGAAAACAAACAAACAAAACAGAATTGTGACACACTGCTAAAAATGAAGAGACAGGTGACACACGTTGGGAAGTGTCAGGTTCTGGACAGGTGACTGACACAAGTGGACACTGGACAGACCAACCGACCTGGAGCCTGGCCTCACGCCAGGGGAGGGGCAGGCCCGCTGGCCACTGCCGCAGAGCAAGCAGCACGGCGCGCCCTCCTTCCCAGCACGCTCACTCCTGGGAAGCCGCCCTGCACGCGACCCCGCCCACCCCCGGCACAGGCTGGGGCGGGGGGAGCCCGGGACAGCCGAGGGCAGGTGTCTGGAGAGAGGGCAGGCACGGCGGCGGATGCGCGCAGGCAAGGACGGCAGTGGGGTGTTCTTAGGAGAAGAAGCAGGCAGGGAGCCGGGGCCAGGGAGCCGAGGAAGCACCCTCAGAATGACTGGTGGGGCGGCTGGCTAGGTCCCGGGTGAGGGGGCAGAACCCTGCTGGGCCCCGGGCAGCCGCGCTGGGTCTGGATCAGAGCTCTGTGGGTGGGGGCCGGCCCAGTGTGCGGGCGTGGGGTGCTGGCGAGGGGCCCAGAGGGGGGGCCCGCACCCCCAGTATGCAGCTAAGGAGCGAGAGAGGGTGGCCTGACACCCCTGCAGGAGGACGGCTGGCAGCGGACAATGGACAGGTGTGGACAGCGGACCGTGTCTGACCGTGAATGGGGAAGCGGTGACTGCCATGAGCAGGTGTAAACAGAGGGCGAGGCTGGCATAACCTCGGTTCCTACAGCCAGGGTGGGGTGCCCGGAGCTGCGGTTAAGTCTGTGCCGGGGCAGGTACTCCTGGGGCTCAGGACAGAGTTGATGTGCAAGGGTGTGCCTGCAAAGAGGCACCCTGGGGTGCATGGCTGGAGCTGGCTCTGTGGGTCTCGACCGCCAGAGTTTCGGGGCTCCCCACTGGAGGAGGGCCTTGCTTGGGCCCGTGCCGTGGCTCTGGGTCAGACCCCGGCAGAGGGGCCACCGGGCGCGTCCTGTATGGGGGTGGTGGGTGAACGCCCGCCCCTCATCTGCCGGGCAGGCCCCTCGAGGTGAGCAGGAGGCAGAGCTGAGCCCCAGCTGGGATCCCCGCTGAGGGTGGGGGCTGTCAGATCTTGAGGGGGCCTGAAGCCCGGTAGGGCCCACCACGCAGCACAGAGCATGGGGAGAGCCGCCTTCCCACAGGAAGCCAGCAGCCCCATGCCAGCCGCCTGCGCCACACTCAGCAAGGGGCCAGGCACCTGCTGGGAGCGCCGTGTGTGCTGAGGGAGGCGCCGGCCCACACGCACCGGGTGGACCATGCAGGGATATTGCAGCTGGGCGGCCAGCCCTGCCCCCGTGCACCCCAGCTCGTCCTGGTCTCAGCAGCACGGCCGGACCTCGCTAGCCCAGTGCGAGGAGCTGCCTGCGGGGGTCTGGCGCGGGGCTCACCGATGAGGGAGTTGAGGGACGAGTAGGAGCTGACACGCCGCATCTTGTCGATGGTCTCGAAGGACAGGATGTACTCCTCGCTCTCAGGGCTGCCCAGGGTGCTGCTGGCGCTGCTGCTGGCGCTCAGGTTCCCGGGGGAGAAGGCCGCCGAGCTGCCCGCTGGCCATGGACAGAGGGAGGGGTCAGCGCCAGCGCCCACCCACCTTGGCCGAAGCTGCTGGGCGTGCAGCCGGCACCCACCAGGAGCTGGTGCTGGGGCGGGGCTGCAGTGTGGCGCGCCCGCAGTGGCCAGCTCGGGAGAGGGCGCCACGGGTCAGCAGACCCACTGCCGGCTGCACATGGGGGCGGCGGGCAGGGCAGGGCGCCTACAGGAGTCCCGGACAGTCCACCCCCGCGGCCCGGCCCTTACTCTCTTCCGTCAGGCTGAGATTCTGCAGAGACTTGTTCAAGCTCCTTGCCGTGGCCACAGCGCGGATGTTGCCATAGGAGCTGACTGAGCGCAGTCTGGGGGTGCAGGGGCTGTCCCGCACCGGGGTCAGGCTCCCGCCCTCTGGGGAGAGGAGAGGAGAGGAGCTGATTGCCCGGGTCGCAGCTCCAACGCGTTGGGACAGCGGCGAACCCGGACGGCACGATGCCCACGGAGCCGCAGGGCCCCGGGGACCGTGGGGGTGGGCCGGAGAGGCCCGGCTGCCAGGAGCAGAGACCTTGGCTGGGTGTGTGCTTGGGCCGTCCAAGCCGGCGGCCGCGGGGAGGGCCCTGAGAAGTGGGCTCGCAGGGGCAGCACAGGCGCCGCTCTCGGTCTCGGGGGGCCTCGCCCGGCCCTCCCCTCCCCAGTGCCCAAGCAGAGATTGCTGACCAGCAGCCCCGGCCCCGCAGAGGCGGCCACGTGGGGCTGGGGCTCGCGTGTGAAGGGGAGGCCGGCTCTTTGCTGCCAGGGATTTGCTCCCCCCACTGGGTCAAAAGGAGGGAAAAAGGCAGAGGCCCAGAGGGCCCTTCTGGGCTGCCCGCGGCGGGGGCGGGACCAGGGCTCAGGCGGGATGGGGGTGGGGTGGGCAGGGCGCGGGCGGCAGCACCTGTGGCGGCCGGGGAAGGCAGCGGGTAGCTCTTCTCCTCCTCCATGAACTGCAAGGCCACGGTGCAGAAGTTGCTCTCGTACTGGACGACCAGGTGACTCAGCGCCACCACCAGCTCCTGCGGGAGGAGAGCGCGACCCTTAGGCGCTGGCAGCCGTCTGCGGGGGCAGCGAGCCCGGAAAGTCAGCACCCGACGCTTGAGCCGCCTCAGACGGCCAGGTTGGCGGGGCTCGGGCCTCTCAGCGAGCGCCGGTGTCCAGCACAGTGTGGTCAGGAAGGGGCCAGCAGCCCGAGGGGCTGCCCAGGTACACACAGCTCAGTCCAGGGAGATGGACCCTGCACCAGCACTCGGGGACCTGCAAGCCTGCCGGCCGGCTGTCCAAAAACCCCAGCAGCTCCCACTTCTGTCTCAGGAAGACTCGGCAGAAAGCCAGTCTGCGGGAGCTCCGGGCCGGGGCCGCCGGGGTGCAACGGGGCTCAGCCGCCGCATCCGTGGGCTGCTCAAAAGCGCTGGGCCCCAGCTCTCTCCATCCAGTCCAGGCTGGCCCCCCAGCCCCCGGCCTGGCCTGGCCCCAGGGGTGCTCTGCCCCACCTGCTGTCCTGCCTTCCCGCCCAGGGCCCCGCCTTGCCACCTGGGGCTGCTCACTTCCAACCCCATTGCCCAGAAAGTTCTTGGGGAGAGTGGGGCACCCGCCTGGAGACCAGGCCAGCTCTGGGGCCAGGCACCGTCACGCCAGGGGTGTGGCCAGGGGCTGGTCAGGGAGGCGCTGCTGGATGCTGCTGTGGACAGGACACCACCTGGGAGGCCTGAGGTCACCCACATCTACAAATACAAACTGCCTGTGGGGGCGCATGTGCCCCCCTGCTGAAGTGGTGACAGGGAGAGGCCCGTGGCCCCTCCCCACTAGGCCTCAGACAGTGGCCGGCGTGGGGGTCACACGGTGCCTGCAGCCTGGCCCTGGGCTCGAAGGGGCGGCCGCTGGTGGGCAGCCGGGACTGCACAGCTTGCAGAGGGGGGCGGCGGGACGTGCTGACTAGACCCCATCAGGTCTGCATGCAGAGCCCTCTGCTGCTGGGATGGCCTATCTGATGCTGGACCCGTGACTTCCTGAGGACCTGGGATGAGGCCCTTCTTTCCCTCACTGGCCATTGGCTGGGGCCAGCAGAGGCGCCTTGTGGCCCCACAGTGGGTGGACAGGCCAGGTAGTGGCCGAGTGCTGGGGCACGGAGCCCCGGGGCTCCTGGCGCTGGCTCCCAGGCCTCAGGCCGTGGGCCCTGCAGTGTCACATGTGATTGGCGACTCACAGGAGCTGCTGGCAGTTGGGTCCTCTAGTGAAGAAAGGCTCGCAAGGTCCCGGGAGGCCTCCTGGACACCCCAGGAATGCCCACAGCTGTGGCCCCGCTCCCCCAAGCCTCTGCATCTCCTTGGTAGGACTGAGGCTGGAGCAGGCTGAGGGCGGGCACAGATGCCCCAAGGGCAGCAGGATGGGACTGAGACAGGGCTCCTCCCACTCCCCGCAGACGCCTCCCTGGAGGTGGGCAAGTGCCACCCAGGGCCTGTGGCAGTGCCAGGCCAGCCTCTGGGCCCTGATTCCTGACCAGGGCTTTGGCTTCATTGAGCCGAGCCGGCTCAGGGAAGGCGCGGCCTCCCCTCCACACCCTGTGAGCCCAGGAGGGCCGGGATGACAGAGGAGGGAGCCTTTCTCCCCCCACGGGGGCCACACCCGGCTCCGCCGTGCAGCTGAGGCCCTGGGCACCTGGTGCCACTGAGTCCTGCAGGGGACGGAGCCCACGCTGGGGCTCAGACCAGCCGCCTCTCTGGTGGCCTCTCCTCGCCCCAAGAATTTTAATGGACACTCAAGGGAAGGACGGATCTGCTGCTTCTGCCGAGGCCCTGGGAGGCTTTGGGGGTGGGGGAGGGGCTCTGATGCCAGCGGCTGGACTTGGGGAGGCAGCTGGGCCCTGTGCTCAGCGCAGGGCCCAGGACGGGTCAGCAGGCCCTCAGCTTGCCTCTGTAAGTCCCACGCAAGCAGGGGCAAGCCAAAGGGGTTGGGATCGGGCTGCAGGATGTGCATTAGGTCACAGCCTCCCCAGTAAACTGGGGGTCTGCCCCCAAACAAGCAAGCACCCCCACCGTGCCCTCTCCCGCAGCCAGTCTCCCCGCCAGCACCCGGGAAAGCAGGCACCCCAGGGTCTGGGGACGAGGGATCATGGCGCTGCCTGGCGGCCTCCCTGCCCACTGGTGTATGCTCTGCCCGAGGGCGGCTTGGCGGGGCGGGTCACGGTGGGGATGGCACGAGTGGGCGCGGTCGGTGAGCAGCGATCTCTGGACGGGGTGGGAAGGGCACGGCGCACTGGCTGCCCTTGTGAGTTTGGTGTGGTGAGCAAGGCCGCCACGAGCAGGGCGGGCGGGGGCCTGCCAGAGGCCACTCGAGTCTCTGGTGAAGAGGCCACGGCCAGGGAACTGGACAGACACCAGAGGCCTGCCCCATGGCCACAGACGCTGGCCAGACCCGGGCTGGGGGAGGGAGGCGCACGTACCTTGCGGACCACGGGGCTCCCGTCACTGATGAGCTGGGCCAGCATCATGGCCACGTTGTGGTCAATGGTGGTGGAATGGTCTGTCCTCTCCGCTGAGTTGCCCACGAAGGTGCCGAGGGCAAAGACGGCCGCGCAGCGCACCTGTGAGACGGGCGGGCAGGACGTGGGGTACCAGCGCCTGGCCCAGGCCCCTCTCACGGCCAGGAAAGGCACTGGAGCAGGTTGGGGTCCTGCGGCCCGGCCCAGGCATGGGGAGTGGAGGTCAAACTCCCTGAACAAAAGGCCAGCAGCCCGCTCCCCAGCCCACGGGCCTCGGGTGTGGCCGCCCATGGGGCCTGGATCCGTGCTCCACGCCTGCCTCTGGCCCGTCGGATGCAGGAGAAAAGCTCCACCTTGCTGACCCGTCCCCTGGTTTCTAAAATGTCCTGTCCTGGGCAGCTGGGGGAGGGGTAAGATGGCCCGCGATGGTCCCACTGGACACTGCGCCCAGGACGCCAGGGAGCCGGGCCCGTCTGGCGGCTCCTGGCAGACCCATGTGGAGCAATTCAGGATCGGGCCCCCGGGTCCCGAAAGATTGGGCTCCACCTGGAATTAGCTCTGACCCATGAGCCGGGCCGGGCGCAGGGGGTGGAGGCAGGGGCCGCCCTCGGCTCACCTGGGCCTGCGGTCAGAGCATGTGGGGGGAACATCGCGGAAGCCCTGAAGGTGACCCCCAGAAAGAGGCTAAAATGGGTGTGGACAGAGCGTCCGGGGAGCGTGGGTGGGCAGGGCCTGAGGGACACGCTCGGCGGGCAGAAGGGACACGCGCCGCGCCGGCATTTCCTCTCCCTGTCCACCTTCCCCCCACGACGCCAGGCTGCACTCGGGGTGCCCTGCATCTCTCTGAACAAACTGGGAAACCAAACAAACTGGAGAGAGCCTGAAGCCTGCGCACCTCGCCCCCCGGCCAGGACCCAGAACTGCATGGCCCCTCCCCGCACCCTGAGCGCCGGCGCCCTCACCTCGGGGATGGGGTCGGACAGCAGGCTGCAGAGCTTCTCGTGTGCGCTGTCCCGCACGCCGCACCACCGGGCCGAGTCGAAGTTCTGCCAGACCCGCCCCAAGCAGATGGCCACCCACTGGCGCAGCAGCGGGTGCGGGTCGGTGAGCTGCTCCAGGCAGATGGCGATCAGGTTGCCCTGGAGACAGGCCTCCTGCGGGGGAGCAAGGACACCGTGCACCCCAGGGCTCGCGCGCGTCCCTTTCAAACCCCAACTTCCACGGCTGGCTAAGCCGCAGGGCCGCTCCCCTTGGGGCCGGGGTGCGCATGGCCGTCTCCCTGCCGCTCAGACACCCAGGCCGGGGCAGCGGCTCACCTGCCCTGCGCTGTAGCCGTTGACGATCACTGCCAGGATGAAGGCCGTCATGGTCCTGTGCTCCGCCTGCAAGACAGAGGCTGCTTGCCCTGGTGGTCCCAGGGGGAGCTCTGCTGCGGCAGCGGCCAGCTCTGTGGTGTGGGCACAGCCTCTTGAAGGAGGCCTGTCAGGGGCCGGCTGTCCTCTGGGCCCCGAGGCCGCAGGATGTGCCACGTCGCCACCAAGCCTGCCGAGCTTCCGTACGTCTCCCCTCACCCTGGGCCGGTGAGGGGGCTGGGGGGTCCTGGCCAGCGTGCACGGTGGAAGGAGCCAGTCCCCAGCCTCTGTCCCCCGGCCCGCTCTGGCCACCCTCCCCCGCTGGCTCTACGAGGTGCCCTCCGCGGCTCACGAGCCCAGGCAGCCAATCCCTGGCCTTCCTGGATCGCCCGCGGCTGCCAGGAGACTTCACCCGGCCCCTCCCGCTCCACCCCCAGAGGCTTCTGTTCTCCATGTTCACAGCCCCTGCTCTTTGGCGCGGGCCAGGTGCGCCCAGCTCCTCCGCCTCCCGCTGCGAATGCACCCGCGACCCCACGGCGTCCCCCCTCCCCATGGCCTGCTCAGGGCTCGGCAGCAGGGATGTGCGGGCTCGCCTGGGCGTGGTCCCCGGGCACAGGGCCTGGGCCGGCCCCTCATGGGCCGGAGGAGACAGGACTGCGCCCAGCAGAGAAGTGACAGGCGGCCCGCAGAGCGTGCAGCTGGGCGGGGCCACTGGACACCCGCCCGCGCCCACCTCGGCCCGCTTGGGTGAGTGAGTGGGCGGGCGGGCGGTGCCACTTACAGGCATGTAGGGGTCGGCCAGCACGGAGAGGAAGTACTTGTGCCCGCTGTCCTTCACCAGGTCGGCCTGGCACGACTGGGGAGAGAGCAGAGGAGGCCTGAGTCTCCGCAGGGAGGGTGGGCACCCCACACAGCACCCGCAGCCTGGCCTCAACCGAAAGAGCAGCTGGAAGGAGGCTCCCGACGCGCCCCGGGAGGGCCCAAAGGCGGGGCGGGAAGGACGGGGTCGCAGCCACGTTCTCCTCCAGCAGCCCCAGCAAGTACAGGGACCTGGGGGCTAACAGCAGAAGCAACGGCCCATGGAATACCCCGCGGGCGGCTTGGGGGCGGGGGGGGGGGCCTGTCCTTGGCGAGAGGCCGCAGTTGCAGCTGTCGCCTGACAAGAGAGCAGGGCGGGGGTCCAGGGCCCTCGTCCACGTGAGACGCCCCGAGGGATGCACCTGCGCCCCTCTGCGGGCTCCTCCCCACGGGGTAAGTGGGCAGGACGGTTCCTCTGGGGTCTGGACCCTATGGGAACTACTACGGGGTGGAGCCGTGGGGGCGTTGCCACCTTTCTCTGTCTTCACCAGGACTCTTGCTCCCACCCTCTCCCTGCGCCTGCCCACCAGTCCCAGGGTGGCCCCGGCCCTGATCACGCCCACCCGCGGGCTGAGTGTGGGTTCCCAGAGGCGGCCAGCAGGGCCCAGGGTAGGCCGTGGGCAGGCTGCTGGGGGCGGCCACGCTGGGAGTCCGCGCTCCTGTGCCCGCTGACAGATGGCGCTCGGCACGGTGCCCTGTGACGGCCTCGGACGGCGAGCCTGGTAACACTTCAGGCCACGGCACCTCCCCTGGGGGCTGGCGGTGTCCTCTGACCGCTGCCCTGGGGCGGGGGCGTCTGCGTGGTCTCGAGGAGCCAGGGGCTGGCTTTCTCAAGTGGACCTGACGGAGGGGCTCATTTGACCTCCCTGTTGACGGTGGTGCTCACCGTCCGGCCCCCCGGGCCACCCCCCAACACTGCACCGTCGAAGCCCCTGCCCGCCCGCTGCCCCTGCCTGCACCATGTCCGCGTGGCCCCGCTGCCCGTGCCCCTCCACCCGCTCCTGCCCCTGCAGCTGGAGTGGTGAGCAGACTCCGCGCTCGGCAGGCCCAGCTCCCGAGCTCGCTCTTCCACGCCGAGCTTGGGGTGCGTGTGGAAGCCTTTGCTTGGCCCGAGGAGGGGCCCCTGGGGCTTCTCCTGGGCCCCGCAGTGGCGGCTACAGGTCTGCGGCCATCGTGTGCTGCTGCAAGGTGTGGGCTGCAGCTCCGGCTTAGGAGCCGCCGAGGAGAAACGTCGTTTCATTCCAACTAAACCCACCGTTCCTTGAAGGGCCCCAAGGGCAGGAACGGCACAGACTAGATTTGTGCTTCCAGAGTTTCCTGCGACGAGGCTTCCGGCCAGGCTGACCCGACGCCCCCCACCCGCGGGCCGCTGTCTCCTCGCCCCGCCGGGCGCACGCGGCCAGCACTGCGCGGGGCCCACTCTGGCTGAACGGGCAGATCTCTGAGAGATTTAAAGAGCTCGGCTCACAGCTTTGGCCACACCTGCACGTGTCCAGCCAGCACGTCCTCAACTACTCTCTCGGCGGCCCTTCCAGGGCCCGCCCGCACGGGGCCGCCCGCTGGGCCCAAGGCCATCTCCCCGAGCCTCGTCTGGCGCAACTCACGCCCACCAGATTTCCCTCCGCTGTTCACTTGGCCGGTAATCCCGTCCAGTACATTCTTCACGTCACGTATTGTCGTTTTCATCTCTAGAAGTTAACGTCTTCCATGTCCTGACTGAACAGTCTGGCGCAGAACAGACGTATCGTAAGGGCTTTAACGCCGCCTGCCGCCCCCGGCATCATGGGATGCGACGGCGCAGGCCAGGCCTCCGCTCCGCGGACGGTCTCCCGCAGAAGCGTAGCGTGGCGTCACGTGCACGCGGCTGGTTTGGGAAGAGACCTCTGGAAACGGGTTCTCTGGAGAAATCCGCCCTGAGGGTTCAGGGCCGGGCTGCCCTGAGCTGCGCCCCCTGCGTCCCCGCAGTGCCCCCGGCCCTGCTGTTGGTGGCTCGGGGCTCTCCCATGCTGCACCCCCGGGAGCGGTGTTCCTCCCCCAGACAGGCCTGCCTTTGCAGTAGAGGCCTCCTAGTCTCCCCTGACTCTGCAGGAGCCCCCCATGACACGGTGGGCGCGCGACACGTGCCTGGTAGAGGAGGGTCCCGCTGAGGGGGCCCCCATCCTTCTCCACCTTGGCGAAGCACCCCGGGGGGCCCCAGCCGGGAGAGCTGAGCACAGGGCGGGCCTGGGGCCTGGGGCCACGAGGTCCGTCACCACAAACAGGACGCGGCCCCCCAGCCTTCCGGGAGGGTGCCTGGCCTACCAGCCTCCTCCCGGCCACACCCACCTCCTGCCCCTGCCCCCCGGCGCGTGCCCCAGCCCTGTGTGGAGCTCTCATGCCCCCGGAGGCCGCGGGGGGCAAGTGGGGTCAGGGTCACCTGCTGACCAGAGAGCCTTCCTGTCAGGGCGGGGGGGGGGGTGATGGGTGTGGGGCAAGGGCAGGGCCAGAGGCCCCAGGGGAGCACGACTTTGTTCTGGAAGGGACGCGCTGGCCTGGCCACAGGAGGGTGGTGGGTGCCAAGCCTGGAGGTCTGGGGAGGGGGGAGGATGAGCGGTTTGGGCCCCTCAGAGGGGAGCGAGGAGGCGGCGAGGCCTGGCCCCTACACCGCACGGCCGGGCTCGGCTCGGCTCTGGGGGCCAGGCAGCTGGTGACCCCACGGTGCTCCCACCCACGGAGGGCAGGCCACTCACGCTGTCGACGGCGAGAATCTTGGCCCAGATGAAGACGAGCAGCGGCCGCAGCTCTCGGGCCGAGCTCTGCAGCAGCTTCAGCACGTAGGGGAAGATGCCGACAGACAGGGCCTGGGGAGAGAGGGGCGGGGCGGGGCGCCTCGTTCACTCGTGGGCACGGGCCGAGGCGGCAGAGCTCAGCCGGGCAGGCCCCCGGAGGGCGCAGGGACCGCTGTCAGGCAGGACCCAGGCCCCTCGAGGCTGCGGTCATCGATGGACCATCCTGCACCCTGCTGTGCCCACCTCCCTGAGCTGACCTCCTTCCGGGGACGGCAGGAGAAGCTGGGGTCTTGTCAGGTGGGGTGGGGCTGGCGCGGGTGCTCCACTAAGGTGCCCTCTCGGCAGGGCTATCAGAGGGCGGTTGGCCCAGGGCTGCCTCCCTTCCTGCTCTGCCCTCAGCCCGGCTGCCATCCCACAGGCGCCGGCTGGCACCTGGGGCTGTGACCAGGCTGGCTGGGCCTTGTGTCCCCCGCCTCCCCCGGCGCCTCTGGTCAAGGCCAACCTGGCGGGCTGCAGCCACGGCTCACGTGCCAGCCTCTGTTCACGTCGAGCAGAAGCTCCCGTGGCAGGAGCGCCAGTCAAGGGGCCAAGTTCAATCAAAACCAAAAGTGATCGCGTGAACCAAACTCTGAGTGGTGGCCGTGTCCCCTGCTTCTAAGGAGCGTGGTGCCACCGCCAAGCTTCACTGAGGTGATGAGGCGGCGCCATAATGGCCCCCCTCTCGTGGGTTCCGCGGTGCAGAACCCCGGGGCCAGCGTCTGCAAGGCAGCGGCCGCCCACGGCCACAGCAGTGCTGAGACCCCCCCACGGAGAAGGTGGCCGCCCGCCCGCCGTGGTCAGGGCACAGCTACGCACCAGGCTCACTGCCCAGGGGCCCAGGTCCAGGAACCTTCCCAGCAGGTCCAGGGCTCGCAGCCGGTGCACCTGGCTCAGCAGCACCTGCGGGAGGGGGGGCGTCAGGGAGCCTGTTCTCCAGCCGCGGGAGAGCCGCCGCAAAGCACCGGGGCAGGGCCAGCCGTGCCGCAGCTGCCATGCCGGCGTCTGCCCCTGTTCCTGCTCCCCTCCTCACCTGGCCGGCCAGGAGCATGGCCACAGCGCCCTTCCCGCCCTTCCCGGCAGGCATGGGCGGGGCCCGAGGCCGGCAGGCTCTTGTGGACAGCTCGGGGTGGACCCCCTGGCGCTCTGAGTGCCTGCCTGGGAAATTCCGAGGCCCAGGCCCAGTCACAGAACACAGCCTGCACTCGCCGCTCGCTACCCGCCCCACCTCGGCCGCCCCCATGACGTGGCGCCACCCCCAGGATGGCCTCCCTTCAGGGCAGCAAGGCGGTGGGCGGGGAGGTGGGCCCGGGGGAGGCGGGCCGGGGAGAGGTGTGAGCTCGGACCAGTCACTGAACCTCTCTGCCCCTCATGTTCACTCCCAGAGCGGGTGGCCACAGCCTGCCCAGCCGGTCCATTCAATTAGCTCACAAATTAAAAGCTCCTGGGACAGTGACAGCCTGTGCTGCGTGGCTGTCGGCTGATAGGTAAAAATAAAATACCCTTTTAATCTAAATTTCTTTGATGACAAGCGAGGTTGGGTTTTTTCCCCACAGGTTAATTGGCTGTTTCTCTGGTAAACAGCCCACGCGTGTCCGTATTTCCTACTCGACGTTCAGCGTTTCCTAATTGCCATGAAAGAGTCTTACAAATTAGAAAGGGCAGCCTCTGGCAGACACGATTTTTTTAAGTTACATCAAAGTCTTAAGTTTCCGTGGTGCCGTCTATGCTGCCCCGTCCGCCGCCACACGGGGCCCTCCGGCAGACAGCATGTCTGCCCGACGTCCGCCACTCCCCGAGAGGTTCTGGGGTGCTGGCTTATGTGGGCTGGGAAGCCTCTCCCACCCCCAGGTGGCCGCACAGCCACGGCCACGGCCCGCTGTAACGTGGGTGTTTGTGGGGCAGCGCCCGCTCCGCCCCAACCCCTGGGCCCCGGGCCTCTGCCCCGGGGGGCGGCGGCCCTGCACAGAGGACCTGCTGGGCTCCGTGTGGGCCTGGGGACAGGTGCAGTGTGGGTAGGCCCTTGTGGGGCAGAGGGGCTGGCAGGGTGGGGCAGGGGCTGGCAGGGTCCCTTGCAGGGGCAGGGTGGAGGGAGGGTCACGCAAGGTGGGGACAGAGCAGGGAGGGCCTGAGCGCCACCAGGCTCCAGGGAGGGGCTGGGAGGAGTCAAGAAGGGGTGCATGCTGAGGTTTCCACCGGGCGGGCCGCTGGGTGGGCCAGAGCCATGGGGAGGCTTCTCAGACCGGGGCCCGTGGTCTGGGGCACGGCCACCCTGCTCTTCTCGGACGACGCCTGAGTGGCGTCTTGGGGCGCAGGGGGTCTGGGCGGAAGCTGGCAGGTGCCGTGGGTCCACCTCCTGATCTACCTCTGCTCGTCACCTGCCAGCTGGTGCAGGTGTGCAGTCAGGGTGCAGTCAGGGTGCAGTCGGCGGAGCTGGACAGCGGGGGCCGGAGTCACGCCGAGAGGGCCCAACGCGCCCTCATGCCGTGAGTGTGGCTTGGGTGGCCTTCCCCTCGGGCAGCCAGCGCCATGGGCTACAATCCCAAGACTGGCAGGCGGGCCCGGCCTCAGGGTCCCTGTGCGATCTGGACTCGGCGGTGCCAGGGCCGCCATGAGTGGTCTCTCGGGGCCATCACCGGGCGCGGGGAGAGTCCTGCTGCAGCCCCCAGCAGGCCCGGCCGCGCAGCTGTCAAGCAAGCCTCTTTCCCGTCCCTCCGTTATTCGTACTTTTAAAAACTGGAAGCCGGTGTAAGTCCAAAGGACTTTTACGACAAGGACCCTTTCGGCGAGTCTGCACTTTTTAGCAGACTTCCTGCCGCCGCGCCCGGGCCTGCGGGAGTCGAGGTGAACGCGGGTGAACAGAGTGGGCCTTGGGGTCTCCCGTCCGCAGCAACAGGTGCCACTGTGAGCCAGGTGCCAACCCTGGAGAGCACTCGGCACCTGCCTGGAGAGGTGCCTACCGCGGGGGCCAAGGCACCCCCCAGGTCAGTGAGATGGGAGCCACCAGTGTGCCCCGTGTGTGTGATGGCGACACCCCACACGCCCGCTGCAGCGGCCGCGGCTGCGACCCGGGGACGAGCTCTGGGCGGACGCCCGCCGGGGTGACTGCACAGTCCTCCCAAACCCCTCTGTCCTCTTCCCAGGGGTTGGGGTTCTTCCTTCTCTGCAGTTCGGCAGGTCCTGGAGGCCCCCCAACTGTCCACACAAGCAGAACGGACATGGGGGCTGCTCGGGAGTGGGGTGGCTGTGCCCGCATGTGCACGAGGGCCCGCGGCACGGGTGGGCGCCCCAGTCTGGGAGGGGGTGATGTTTGTGGAGAGGGCGGGGCGGTCAGCACTCCTCCCGCCAGGGTGGGGGTGACCTGGACGGGGCGGAACCTCAGTTGTGCCAAGTGAGTGGCCTCGATGCCGGGTGGCTCTGGGGAGAGCCCAGCAGCGGGAAGGCGCGGCCACGCTCGCTAGGGCCACAGGGAGCGGTCGCCTGTGTGCCACGAACCCTCCGGGCGAGGGGGGCTGGAGGGCGGGCGTGGGTGGCGGCGGCAGTGCTGCAGGGTGGCAGCGTCCTGTGGGGAGGGAGGCCCGGGTCCTCCGGCTGGACGTGGGGACGCTCGCCCCACTCCACAGGGCAGGCGAACCCGCCCCACCCGCAAACCGATCTCCAGGCTCAAGAGCGAGACATCAGCCTCGGGGCACAAAGCGCGGTCTGAGGCTTGTTCCAGAGCAGACGGCTCTTCTCGGTGGTGACCCGACTGCCACCCCCCAAAGAACACACCAGAGGCCGGAGCCCGAGGGGCCCTGAGCCGCCCACCTGCGATGGATGTCGGTTCTCCGCCACCGCCCCCACTCACTGCGGCGCCAACCTCCCGAGCTGCGGCTGCCCCGCAAGCACAGCGGGCTGTGAGAGTGGCAGCCCCCCGCCCCCGCCACTCCCTCCTCCCTTCCCTGGGGCGATGGGTCAGCCCCTGCAGAAAGCACTCTCACGCCAGGTGGGGCTGCAGCCGAGACCGCACCCAGTGGGGTTGGGACCCAAACCTCAAGGTGCTGGCAGGGGAGTCCCACGGGGCCGGTGAGAGTCGCCCGCGCCGCCGCGGGCCCGTGGGAGCAGGCCGGGGCTGTACGCCCGAAGTGTGCCTGCATGGCCGGCTGGCTGCACACGGCAGGGCTCCCTGGTGACGCGCGCGCCGGCTCGCGGCCTGGGCTGGCCTGGGACGCACCTGCAGGACGATGGGCAGCTGCTCGGGAGGGCTCCGGTTCTCCACGCCCATGGCGAGCCACACCTGGAAGGCGGTCAGCTGCTCCGCGAAGAACGGGCTGTGCTGTGGACACAGAGTGGGCAGTCAGGGGCCCCACCGCCCCACTTCCTCCCAGGTTGGCCTGCGGGCGGGTTCACAGGTGTCCGCAGCTGGAGACGCTGCCACACGCAGACACACCCCACCTTTTCCACCCAAAGCTGCCGGGAGAAGCCCCGGCCCAGCTGTCGCGCTTCCTCATGCTGCGGCCGATGCACAGAGCAGCCTCCCGGCAGGTAAAGGGCACCCGAAAACACCCCACATGTCTGAGGGGCACGTCAGAGCTGCATTTGGGGCCAAATCACCAGCCCACCCCGAGCCGGAGCTGCGGTGCAGAGTCCTGGGGAGCCAGGCAGCGAGGTCGGCGCGGTGGAGGGCCCTGGGGAGGTTCTGCTATTCTAAGTGGTGGGTGAGCCCAGCGCCCCCCCGTGTCCCGCTTGCCGCCCTGTCCAAACACGCAGGGACTGGGTGTCAGGGCTGAGACTCCCCCACTTACGGCACCTCACTGCTGAGAAGAGGAGGCCATGGGGAACCCTCGGGAGCCCAGAGTCTCCTCTCTGGGCCCGGTCAGACGGCTGGGCCTGCAGGGGCTCCCGCCAACCCCGGTGACCTAGGGACTCACCCGAAACGCGGTGCCTTCCTCGATGATCGTGGGCAGCTGAGAGAGACAGATGTCCACGGCGAGGTCCCAGGCCTGCCTAGGGAGGCAGAGGAAGGCCCAGGGGTCACCAGCAGCCACTGGGCGGCCCCAGCTTAGCCGCACGGGCACCCACGGCACCTGCCAGCCGCTGGTATCCAACGTCAGAACAAAGCTTGGGGTAAGAGGGATGCCCCCCCCACTTTCCAAGGTCATCCCCCCACCCCCGTGCCCCCTGGCCCGGCAGCGCCCATGAGCAGAGCCCTGGGTGGCAGCAGACGCAGCCCCAGACATGAGCCGGAGAGCCAGCTGGGCGGGTGTGGGCACCAGCAGCCCCAGGGTCAGGGCCTGGGCCCCCAAAGGCGGGGTGTACAGGGGGGCCCATGCACTGGTGGTGCAGCCTGAGGCGGAAAGACCACACTCTCTGGTGTGCGGAGGTGACGGTCTTCCACACCTTCTCTTGGGCACCATCCTCCCAGTTCGTCCTGTGCCGACCTGGCGCCCCAGCCCAGGCGGAGGGGCCACAGCCCACTCCAGCTCTGGCTCCGGGCTCAGCCTGAGGGGTGGCTGTGGCTCCCGACACCCTGGGGACTCCAAGGTGTTCCTCCACCCCTGTGAGGCAGGCCCCTGTGCAGCTGGGAGGCCAGAGCACCGACGGGGCTGGCTCCGAGCCAGGCAGCCAGGGTGCCGCGTGAGAACTGAAGGCACTGAAGGCACCTTCTGAAGGAACGCTTGGCCCCGCAGAGGATGCGACGGTGCCAGGCCCCCGCATCTGCTTCCCAAGCTGCTGTGTCCGGCCGGACCTCACTGCCACCGAGGCCCAGGCCAGGGGGCCTCGCCAGCACTTACTGCACGAGAGGGGGGGGCGACAGCTTCAACGCCCACAGAGCGGTCTAAGGAGTCTTGGAGAAGGGGCTTCCACCCCCACCCCGCGCTGGCAGCCAGCCCTGGCCTCGGGTGTGGCTGTGAGACCGCGCATGTGCTCGCCTCCCTAGGGCTGGGGTCCCAACCATGTCTCCCTTGCTGGCCTGTGGGAGGCCCTGGAGGCCAGGAAGCCGCAGCAAGGACCCGGAGCTGCGTGTCCTGCCACCACATTGCAAACGTGGCCCAGGCTCTCATGGCCACTGGCCAGGTGGCCTCCCAGGGACCCAGCGGCTCCTGATCCTCGCGCTCTGAACTGGGGCACACAGGGTGGCGGTCAGCATGGGGACTGGGCGTCCAGCCTGCGGCCTGAATGCCAGAAGGTGGCCTCTCAGGACCCCTTAATAAGGGCCCGAGCAAGAATCTGGCACGAACAAGATGAAAAAGCCTTTCGTTATTAAAATACATGAATAAACCTCGCTCCCAGCTGGCCCTCCGCACAAGTGTGCCCTTCCCCCGCCAACGTAATTAAGCGGCAATCAGGAGATAATCAAAAGTGCCTTCAGCCACGGGTGATAAACACCCCCACGGGCTCCGCAAACGGGCCTGCAGGACGCGGAGCAGGGAGGGAGGCAGAGTCCACCACGGCAGCCCGGCTCTGGGCGACGCCGGAACGTAACGGAGCAGCCCCCCGAAGGCGAGGAGGCGCGTGCGGCTGGGGCGGAGGCCGGCCGCCGGCCGGGCCCTGAGCCTGGGGTCCTGCTGCCGGACCTTCCACTGGAGCCTTCCCTCCCGCAAAGCCAGTTTCCGGGCCCTCCTCGGCCAATCGTCAAGACCGCGAGGCCGGAAGGCTGACGGCCCGCTAAGCCTCCCGCTAAGGCTCCCCGGGGGACGGGCGGCTGTTCCTGGAAGGCTGTGAAGAACGAGGCCATGCAGAGGCCAGTTCCGGCTGCTCAACCCCTCTGTGGGGAGCGCAGACACCCACAGAGTGGCCCCGCGCGCGCGAGCGAGTAAGCGCGACCTGAGCTCCGTCAGGCTGGCCCCATCCCTGCCAATCCCGGGATCCGAGCCAGAGCAGCCATCCCCTGCGCAGCAGCCCAAGGGCCTCGGCTCATGTGCAGGCTGGGGGGCTGCGGGTGGGGGGCAGCCATGCAGGAGGGGGCTAGGGCCGGGGGCGGCGCCCGGCCCTGGGGAGGGGCAGTCAGCCCTGAGCGGAGGCAGAGGGGAGAGGGGCGAGGCCCCCCTTGGGTTCTTTTTTACAGAGGGAGAGGGTGGGGTGGGAGGCGCTAGAGACCCCCTGCGCACCCCTTTCATCTGCAGATTCGCCTCCACTGAGCGTTTTACTCTTGATTGAAACTGGCTGCATCTCCTGGGGTAAAGTCAAAATGAACTTGGAGCCTTATCTGGGGTTCTCAGCAGGGGGGTGGGAGAGGGGCCTCGGGATCCCGCTGGGTGGGCTGCTGGCGCGGAGGCTGGTGCGGGAGCCCCGCGGAGGTGTCTGGATTCGCACCTCCCACGCCGCGCGAGGGGCGCTCTGCTCGGCGGATCCGGGAGGCAGGCGCTGTGAGCAGCTAAGCGAGTCCCGGCCGGCACCGCGGCGCAGGACGCGAGCTGTGGGCTGCTGCATGAGTCACTGCTGCAAACGTGCCATCCGGGCATGAGCTGGGGTTTTCAGGAAACAGGCCTGAGAAGGCAGAAGGCTGGGCGGGGGAGCGTGCCGGGGGGCGCTCGCAGCTCCCTCAGCCCGGGCGGCAGCGCCAGCCCCCACGATGGGGCCCCACGCAGGTGACTGGCGGGACTCAGGGTTCCAGACCTGCTGAATTGGAAGGAAGGAGAACGGCTCCCTGATGGCTCCGCATCAAAAATTAAACAGGGCGCAGCCCGGCGCCTCATCACCGCTGCCTGCGCGGGGGGCGGGGGCCTGTCACCTGGTTTTAACCTTGATTTCCATTAGGCCTTGTTCTCTCCTCGCCCAGTAACAACTCAGCCTCCGGCACCAGCCAGGCCGAGATGGCCAGGGGCAAATGAGTCACTCCGGGGCTCCTCACTGCTCCCCGGGAGTGGCAGCTGGGCCTGCTCATGGGAGGGGCGGGCGCCTGGGCGCGCCTCATGGGGCCTGGTCATCCTGGCCAGGAGCTGGCACTGGCCGGCACCTGGCACCGGACACCTCCATGCCAGTTGGCCAGTGACCGTGGGTGAGGCCGATTCTCCCCGCCTGGCACATGCCATCCAGGTTGGGGTCACACCACCAGCCTCTGGGATGAAGGACGGAGTGGAAGTGAACATGACCCCGAGAGGGGCTGCATGGCAAGGCCGTGGCCTTAGGGGTCTCCACCCACTGGCACTCCCCACGGTGGATGGCGCCCCGTCTTCCCTTCCAGACCCCGGGCCGCAAGTGTTCCAGTGTTTTTGACTCGGCAGAACAGTTGGGACCAGTCTCTAAGTTAGGTGATGGCCAGGCTGAGTGCTGGGCCAGCTGGGCCTATGCGATGGGCCCTGCCACCAGCACCGACCCTGCCGCGAGGATGCATTGGGCTTGGCTGACGGTGCATGCCAGGGCCCAGGTCTCATCTTCCGGGGCCCTCTCTTGCTTCCAGCCCACCAAACTGGCTCAGTCAGGATCACGGTGGCAGTCAGGTTGCGTGTGGACATGCAGGGTCAGCAGCAGGTGTAACTCCACAGTGAAGCGCAGCGGCGGCTGGGGTGGGGGGCACTGACTGGACCTCGCAGTGCCCGGCACGGGGAGGAAGTTGAGCCGATCACCCCGTCTCGCCATGGCCAGTGGTGGGAAGGCAGGGTGGACATGCACGGTGGGAGTGTCCCTGCTGTTTGCTGGGAGGAGACTTGCCAGACAACAGCCCCACCAGCAAGCCTAGCGTGACCGCCCTCGCAGGGGAAGGCAGGCTGAGCTGCTGTCCCCGGGTGGGGAGGCTTCAGGGGCTCTGTGGGGGCGCGGCTGGGCGTGGAGCCGGCGTGCTTGAGGACCCTGGGATGGGGGTCATTCTTGAAGAGGAGCTTAGGGACAGCGTTTAAACAACTGAGACCGCTCAAGATCTGGGCGGGAGGTGACTTCGAAGGACACACTCGGCGGACGAGACTCACTTCCCCTGAAAACAGGCCACCCGCACCCCAGGCAGGCAGCTGGCCCCAGGGGTGCCCTGGTCTAGAGTGTCCTGCTGCCACCACCAGGGCCCATAGCTCTGGCGACCCCTCAGCAAAGCCCCCGGGAGAGGCTGCTGCTCTGGTCCGGAAGGGGCTGCTCCCTGCGAACAGGCTGCCGGGGGCACAGAGCTGGACGCTTGGAGGAGAAAATTCCACTCTGAGCTGCGAGGCCCGGAGACGAGCCCCAGACAGGGAGCCTGCAGGGGCGGCGGGGGCTTCTCCCAGCGAGGCGACTGGGCGTGGGCTGGGGCCGGCCGGGGCAAGGTTCTCCCGCCACTGCAGAGATGGTGCTCGGGGCCAGGCCCTGCGAAGCCTGCCTTACGCCCACGTGCACCCGAGCGCTCTGCCCAGGGGCAGTGCACCTCGGACTGCCAGGGAGGGCCCCGGGGCCCAGTCGGACAGTCTTATAGCTCAGCTTCCCCTCAGGCTGCCTCCAGGCCGCATGGCCCTGCTCCCAGGAGCACCCGAGGACGAGCCTCACGCAGGCTGCTCCCTGTGGAAGCCAAGCTCCAGCACACACGGGGGAGAGAGGGGAGGGGCCCCTGGAGGGGGTGGGCGAGGCCACCCAGCGCTCCGCAGTGCAGAGCCCGAGGCCAAGGCTCCTTGGCCTTGGTTAGGAACGCAGCAGAAGCTGAGTCCACCGTGACGGCCCCAAGCCCACGTGCTCCCGACGGCGGCGTTCTCATCGGGCGTCTGAGCAGCGCCCCGCACGTGCGCGCACACAGTGAGCTGGCCCTGAGGTCCGCGGGGCCTTGCAGCAGGGGCAGCTGGGCTCGGGCACGGCAGAGCAGCAGCAGCGGCGGCAGCACTGCGTCCCGCCCCGTCCAGACACTGCAGCTGACGCCCGAATCCAGGGTCCTGGTGGGGTGGCGAAGCGGTTGCTTCCTGCCCACAGCAGCGCGGCTCCCGCCGCCTTGGAGGAGCCCACGTGCCACAACCACCCCGGCACCGGTTCCCACAGCCTGACGGCTGCTCCTGCAGCCAGAGGGCCCTGCCTCCACCCAGCCTCTCCTTCCTCCCGTCTCTCACAGCAGGTGTTCGGAAAGCCTGGGTCAGAGCAAACAGGCCGGACTTAACGCCTCGCTTTCCTAAGGGAAGAGGCTGCTCTGAGGGTCTCTTCCTGCAGGAACGTGTGTCCTGCTCGTTATTCATCCTGTCACTGGGAAGGCTCTGCACGACGCCCTCTCCAGGCCCAGCCTGGGTTCCCGGTCATGTCCAGGAGCTGCGCGTTGACCCCGTGCCCAGCTCCTCGAGGGGCCGGCAGCGCAGGACGGTCTTGCTCCGCGGGGTGGCGCGGCCTGTGTGGCGCGTCTGGGTAACGTCCCAGATGACAGGGCTGGCTCCCGTGGGCCGTCGGGGAGGGGCAGGGCGCCCGCGTCGGGAGGGGCCGCCCACACGCCCAGCCACAGGTGTGCACTGTGGAATGGCTCTGGGGTGCGCAGGTCGGGGACGCTCTGTCTGACGACGGTGCCAGGGCTCCCCCAGAGGCTCCTCCCCGCCTGCTTCCCCTCCACCTCTGGGCATGGCCTCAAACTCCACTGGTGTTAGAAGAGCTGGGAAATGGGGAGAAGCCGGGGCCGGAGATAACGCCGACATGCTGCACGCTGCTGCCCTCGGGGATAGCAGCTGGGAGCCGGCTGGGGAGCGGCCTGCGGGCGTGTGCGGGCGCAGGGCCACGAGCAGGCCTCGGGCCAGGAACCAGCCTCAGGACGCATCCAGAGCTCGGCAGCAGCTCCTGATCTTACCCCCCAGCCCGAGTCTGAGAGCTGCGGGCCCCAGAACGCGTCCGGCCACCCTAGAAGCCCCTGCTGGGACCCGCTAGCTCTTGTCCTGCCTTGCTGGGCCGGGGCCGCTCTCCAGGCTGCGCCGCCCACAGAGCTGCTCCACGCAGACGTGCCGGCCCCGCCGCCCGCGCGCCTGCCGTGACCACTTACCACATGGCGTGCATGTACGTGGGGGGCAGGCGCGGGCTGCTCACGGGCGTGCAGTTGTACGACCTCATGATCCTTTCTGCCAGCAGAAAATTTCGAAACAGACTCGCCACCAGCAGGTCCTGCCTGAACAGCTTCTGGAAGAGATCTGGGGGCAGATGTGACATGAAAGGGCGTCCCCAGCCACACACACAAACACACACACACACACACGCACTGTCGACGCCTGCTGCAGCGAAGGGTGAGCGTGCATGGGGACGCCACGAGTCCGGTGCCGTGACCCGGCTGTCAGGACGCATCGAGCAGGGTCAGGGAGGCGGCCCACAGGCGCTGAGCCCTGCCCTCCCGGCATTCGTGACCCCGCCCCAGCACCCGGGGACCCTGGCTCCTCGGCTCGCTCTCCACGAGCCCCAGCGCCAGCCCACGGCTTCCTCCCGGGAGTCCCGCCACTCGGCTTCGCAGCTCGCGGCCCGAGCGCACCCCCGCCCCGGCGCTGCAGCCTCACCCCGGGGGAGCACGTTCCAGGCGATGGTGTCCGTGATGGCCGTGAAGATCCAATTCAGTTCGCCCAGCGGAGTCCTCCTGTCATTCAGCCGGCCGGGAATCCTGGGGGACAAGGGTCGGCCTCAGGGGCGTCCTGACGCTTGCACAGGTGACAGAGGGCGTGGGAGAGAGGGGCGGGGGGCGGACAGCTGCAGGCCGAGGGCTTGAGCAGCCGTAGGGGGCGCCTGGCCCGCTGGGTCTCGAGGCTGAGGGAGCAGCGCGGCCGGCACCCTCGGCTCCCCTTCCCCACCAGCCTGTCCCTCCACAGCTACACAAACGCAGGCTCTTCCGGGGCCTCTTCCAGATGCACGGACTGGAGTCCTCAGGAGGGGCCTCCTGCCCTCAAAGGGGAGAGCCATGCAGGCCGGTGCCAGGTGACCAGCGCTCCAGTGCCCGGGAGCAGAGCCGGGACCTCTGCCAGCACAGCCAAGGGGCTCTGCCAGGCGGTGGGCATGGGGGGCGTGAACAAACAGCCGGGAAGGCACCTGACCAGGCCCAGCCCTGCCTTGCATGCCATGGACGCCGGTCACTGGCCTGGAAGAGTCGTCAGTGGGCACACGGGCTGGGCACACACGGTGGGCGTGGAGCCCGCAGGTTCCTGGCTGTGTCCAGGCCTCTGTGGAGACCAGGACCCTCGCGCTGAAACCTTCAAGGAGCGGGCACACGAGACCGTCACCATCAGCCAGGCCCTGCCTGCCCTCCCCACACTCCGGACAGACCGCCAAGTCCCTGGGCCCACGGCTGCTGCTGAGGGTGCCCCGCGCTGGGCTGCGTGTCCCTGGAGCAAGCTCCCAGGAGGCTTGCCCCGACCCAGGGCCTCCACACCCTCGCCTCTGACACCAAGAGCAGGTTGGGGAACCGGCCGCTGCTTTGGAAATTCACCACGAGGACTGGGGACACCCAGGATGGCTGGCCCCTCAAGGTGACGGTCACTGCAGAGGACGAGCTGGAGCAACATGCCCGCATCAGCACAGAGAGGGCTGCGGCGGCGTTGGGGGCCCCAGACTCAGCCCCCAGCACCCGCGTGACAGCGCCACGGGGTGTGCCCGCCGGGCCCCCAGGAGCCCCACGGAGCCCAGCTGGCAGGACCCACACACTGACCTCAGCCTCCAGTGAGGTGCACTGTGGGGTGACCCTGCTCAAGCCTGGGCTGCTGGAGGCTCCGCCTAGTCAGGATGGCCAGGTCACCATCATGGCCTCCTGCGCACGGAGGCAGAGGTCAGCCGCTGTGGACCAGGCCCTCCTCTGGCACAGACTGTCCAGCACCAGGCCGAGGCTGAGGCCCAGGGCCCAGCCCTGTGCCCGCATGTGGCTAGGCTGCTGCAGGGCCTGTGCCTTGCGGGTGAAGTCCCGAGCAGCTCCTGGGGAGCAGAGGCGGCTCTGAAGTCCGTGCCTTGAGCCGGAGTGGCAGGGCACAAGGGCAGGTGGCAAGGGGCCTGGACGGCTGACCCCAGCAGGGCACACGGGGCGAGGAAGCGAGTCAGGCTCAGCCCAGCAGAGCCGCCGGAGGGCGGGCGGCCGGGGAGGGGCTGCAGGGAGGGCCGCGCATGTCCCTTCATGAGTGAGCGGCGCCCTCAGGCTCAGCCTCCGCCCCGTCAAGGACTAAGTGCTGGGAGGTGCGCGAGGAGCCGCTGGCCGCCCTGCTGGTGCCAGCTGTGCTGCCGGCGCGGGCGCTGCTCCCTGCTCTGAGTCACGAGGCTGCGAGCTCCCGTGCCAAGCGGGGACGGAAATAAAGTGGCAGCTCCCACAGCAGACACGCGGCCGCGGCTCGGGGCTCCTGCCACCGCCTCCTCACCCTCAGCGCCGCCGCAGCTCAGGGTTATTTCTGCCTCTCCCCGACATCTGGCTCCCCTCCGGCTCAGTCCGGACAGGCTGACCTCCGTGGTTCCATCCTAGGCTGTCAGGGTGACCCGAGATGGTCGGCACACGCCTGCTGTGCCTCAGTGTCCACGCCCACCTTTCGTGGTGCTGGGAAGCATCAGGCCAGAGTGGCCGGTCCCGGGCTGGGCTCCTGCCCGCCAGCTCCCCAGCCCCCGCCAGGCGTGAGCAGGGGCCGGTCACCCAGCTGCTCAAGTGGCCCCAGCCCGCTGTCATCGCCCGACCAGATCTGGCAGAGATGGCACGGACGGCTCCAGCTCTGCCTGGCCACCCTTGTGGCTGGCCTCCAGCCCCGCTTCCCCACCCGAAGGGTATAGAATGAGACGAAAGGCTGACCCCCTGGGCCGCGGCAGCCACTGGGGAGCCCCGGTGGTCGAGTGGTATCCCCCCATGTCCGGCCTCCCCGCTGGGCCCTGTGGGCCACAGCAACTGCTCCCTGGGCCAACTCAGGGCTGCGCGTCCTGGCCCAGAGCCGTCGCCTGTCATCTTTCCTTCGTCCCTGCTCTGGCGTCCGCATCTGCTGACGGCCTCTGCGTGGCCAGCTGCTTCTGTCATGGCTCCGAGAACTAGGACACAGATGGCGACTGCAGCAGGGCAAGGCCACAGCCCGGCCTAGGTTGCTTCAGGGCCTCACACATGAATGTCCAGCTGGAGGGGCAAGCGGAGAGGCCGGAGGGAAGGCTGGGTTGACCCCCAGCTAGCGTGGGCTCGAGTTTGGCCCAGGCAGGCTGGCTCGGACATCCAGCTGGAGGTCGGCCTGGGGCTTCACCTCCTGCCCACCCCACGAACCTCCTTGCCGGAGCCTCCCGGTGCACACTGAGGACAATGAGTATCACCGAGGGGTGCTGAGGCAGGTGCTCGGCAGCCTCAGTCCCGGCCATGACTGCTATGCAGGGTGGAGGCCACAGGGGTCCAGGGCACAGCTGGCTGCGGAGCTGTGGCTGCAGGTCTCTCTCGGCGTTGCTAACCGGGCTGCCCCGCAGACTCACCGCGTGACAGTGGGTCTGTCCTCGCTGTCCTCAAGAGCCCCTGAGAAGCCACTGACTCCACCGCCGGCCAGGCCCTGCCCTGGCCAGTTTGGATCTCCACTGATTTTGCAAAAGCTGCCCTCCCCACACAGGCACCCCAGCGCTCCCTGCGGAGCTTACAAGACCAGGCAATGAGGTGCTTCCACGCCCCAGCTCACCTGTCTTCCCAGGTAACTCCCCACAAGTGAGCTCGGGATCGTCACCAGGCCCTGGTCAGTCCCCCTCAAGAGCCCCTGTGGGCTTTTCATGGAAGCTGGAGACCTCCGCTGTGGCCCCTCACCTGTCCTCCCACCTTCAGGGGCCCTCCCGGCCTCTTCCACCTGCCCCCAAGCGGGGCTGCAGGCAGGCCCATGGGGTGGTCTTGGGACCATCGGAAAGGGCCTGACGCCTGACCGCTCGCCAGGCCCCCGTGCTGCTGACAGGAGGCCAGGCTTGCCCGGCTCACATGAAGGTCTGTCCTGGGCAGCCCCATCCCCAGAGGAGACAAGCCCACCCCTTGGTTGCTTGGCACGAGCGCCCTATTCAAGCAGACGGAGATGCACCGTGTGTCTGGCCACCTGGTACTCGCTGGCCGCGGCTCTGCGCTTTCCAGTGGACCCTCCGGGCCAACCTCCTGGTGACTGGGCCCTGAGCATGGCAGCCTGTGCTCCCGAGTAGCAGCCCCTTGGGGTCCCGCAGGGCTGCTGAGCGCGCCACAGCCTGGCTGACTCACGGCGCTTCCCTATTTAAAAACAACTGTTCCCATGCACGCCCACCACTCCCCAGCGCCTCAGGGCTGCGGTTCGCGTGGGGGTGCCCTGTCCTAGCCCTCAGGAACACTCGGAGTCCTCCCAGGGGTTGGCTGAGGTCTCCCAGCAAAAGCCACAGGCATGGGGGCTGGCCTCTCTGGCCCAGGGACCGCCACGGCCCACGGCTCCGTGTGGCTGCAGGGCTGTGCTGGGCTGTGCAGGGCCCGCTTCCTCCCTGCCTTGCCCCTGCAAGGTCCCCTTGTCTCGGCTTCTGCTCCCCAGACACCCAACTGGAACACGAGGTGTGTGGGGGATTTGCAACCTGCACGTTTGCCACCTTTCACCAGAGATGAGCCCCGTCCAGCAGGTCACCGCAGCGGCCTCTCAGACACGCTGCCCAGGTGGGCGCTGGGCCACGGCGTGTCCCGTCAAGTCCAGCTCAAGTTCTGCCTCCCGGCAGACACCCCTTGCACCTGGCCGGAGTCCCAGTGCCTGCTGCATCCTCACGTGGGCCAGCGCCATGAGAACGAGGCCGAGGGCACAGTGGCCGCCCCCCGCGCTGACCAGAGCGAGGGAGCCCCGTGGACAGCCTGCAAGCTCTGAGGAAAGAAGAGGCTGGGAAACCAGTCCCCAGAAAACGCCAGACTCCCAAGATTTATTTATTTATTTACACAAGCACTGGGTACAGTCAGAAGCGCGGGAGGGTGAGAGGATTCCCCAGAGCCAGAGCGGGGAGCAGAGCAGGCAGAGGGACCGAAGGACACTGCTGAGGGGAGCAGCGGGCGGCAGGAGAGGTCTGCACGCCATGTGGGACCCTCCTCCGGTGGCCGGGGAGCAGCCGGGGATCGAACCGGCGCTGCAGAGGCTGCGGGCAGCTTCGCAGCCCAGTGCTCAACTGCTGCACCACTGGGGAGGCCCAGGAAAGTGATTTTTAAAGACAAAAATTTTAATTTTTATAAGACCAAGATGGAAAATTTTGGTAGCAAACAGGAAAGTCATTTTTTAAGAGCCCCCTAAATTCTAGAACTGGACCCCCCTCAGCAGGGTCTGCTGCATGGGAACCCGACAGGAGAGCTGACAGCAGACCAGGCGCAGCCGGAGGGGGATGGAAGGCGGCTCGGAAGAGCCCTCCGAGTCAGCCGCAGGGAGACAGAGGCGGGGCCGAGGGGGGTGCAGAGGAAGGTGGTGGGGCACCCCAACTGGAAAGGGCACCCCAACTGGCCCCAGGGGAAGGGAGAGGGCTCAGAGGGCAGCAGCTCGGGACAGCCGGGTAGGAACTGGCACATCCACGATCTGGGGCCCACCCCACATCCGGGCAGACACCACAGCTGGGGCTGACCCTGGAGACCAGTGGCCGGAGGGACCAGGGCTGGCGCCACCTGTGGGCCATGGGCTGGCCGCAGCCTGAAGACTCAGCCTGGACGCGGGC